TGGGACTTTAAATATATCTTTACTCATTAGTCTATATACAGGGCCGTAAATGTGTAAGCTGAAAGGTTAAGCCTACAGAGGAAGAAATCTGCATCTGTTGAATTGTTCAAATTCACCAAACCCTCTGGGGAAAACTGCAGTTGAAAACACAGTAGTGCTTTTTTATGTCAAGTAAAACAATCAAATATTCTCTGGTTGGCTTTTCTGAAATGTCAGAATCCTCTTCTCTCATAAACCAAATATTTGGGGTTTGGACAGAAGAAACCGCCAGAGTAAGGTGTCTTTAAAGTGTGTGAAGTGAATATCAGACCTATTTTTTGCATGTTAAATAGGCAAAAAAAAATCTGCACATTAATTAATCATGATCCTCCTGTCTACTTTTGATCGAGGAGACTGAATCTGAGGTCTACAGGAAAAACCGTCAGTATGGACAGCAAAAGCAGGTAGAACACAGTCCTACCCTCGCTCTGGACCTCTGTGAAGTTTGTCTGCAGATGATTGTAAAGCTGGAGAAAAGGAGTTACTTCCTTTTTCATTCGATCATTGAGTGTAATATCTCTCATTGAATATAAACCATCTCTTGCTCTTTTAAGTTTTATGCAGCTCTTGCTGTCACTGTAGTTCTGAATTCTCTAACACAAGCCTCGTCCACACATGGATCATCTATCGTGATAATGAAACATTCAGAATACAAGTTGGGTTTTTTGAGTCCACTTCATTAGCATTTCCAAAAGATTAGACACAAACAGACAGAAAGAAACTTAAGTAAAACAGCGATGGGGGTGTCAAGGGTGGATTCAGGGGAAAGCTGGACGTGCCCCAACTCAGAATCCTAAAGCATGAATATGCAATACTTTACTTTATTAGCATGGACTTGAAAACTGTTTTAAAATGCAAATTATTGTAATAATGTAATGTAATAAAAACATGCAGTTTTAAAGTGTGATTGAATGTGATCAACTGTTTAAGTTCAGAGATTAATCATGATTAAAGATGAAAATGCTTTGACAGCAAACACACTGAGTTTCTTATTTATGAACTTTGGCCTCAGAGGAAAAAAAATGCTTATGAACTTCCTGTCGACAACATCTGCTAAGAGTAAGGTGACAGGACTTGAGGGAGTGATTATGTCTCTGATTTCTGAGGCCAGTATGTCTCTGTGCGTCTCTGTCGTTGTGTCCATTTTCCAGTCCCTGTTCTTGTTTTTGTCCTCCTTGTGTCTTTCTGTCTTTTTTTCTGTCCTCTTTTGTGTCAGTATTTTTCTCTGTCTTTATGTCCTTGTCTCTGTGACATTGTATCTTTGTAGGGTGACGTCTGTCTTTCTCGTCGTACACGTCATACACAGATGTTGGCTCTTGAACTTTGCGTCGATAACAGTCCGGATGGTTCTTTTCCTCTTTGGCCCGGAGGACACGACGTCCACTATTTCCAAAAAACAACTTGAAATGTGGACCCATCAGACCACAGAACACTTTTCCACTTTGCATCAGTCCATCTTAGATGAGCTCGGGCCCAGAGAAGTCGGCGGCGTTTCTGGATGTTGTTGATAAATGGCTTTCACTTTGCATAGCAGAGTTTTAACTTGCACTTACAGATGTAGCGACGAACTGTATTTACTGACAGTGGTTTTCTGAAGTTTTCCTGAGACCGTGTGGTGATATCCTTTACACATTGATGTCGGTTTTTGATACAGTGCCGCCTGAGGGATCAAAGGTCATGGGCATTCAATGTTGGTTTCCCACCGTGCCGTTTACGTGCAGAGATTTCTCCAGATTCTCTGAACCTTTTGATGATATTATGGACCAAAGATGTTGAAATCCCTAAATTCCTTGCAATTGTACTTTGAGAAATGTTGTTCTTAAACTATTCGACTATTTGCTCATGCAGTTGTTCAATGAGTGGTGATACTCACCCCATCCTTGCTTATGAATGACTGAGAAGTTTTGGGGAAGCTGCTTTTATACCTAATCATGGCACCCAGCTGTTCCCAATCAGCCTGCTCACCTGTGGATGTTCCAAATAGGTGTTTGATGAGCATTCCTCGAATTTCTCAGTATTTTTTGCCACCTTTCCCAACTTCTTTGTCACGTGTTGCTGCCATGAATTGTAAAGTTAGTAAAGTTGCAAAAAAAAAAAAAAAAAGTTTATGAGTTTGAACATTAAATATCTTGTCCTTGAAGTGTATTCTATTGAATATAGGTTGAAAAGGATTTGCAAATCATTGTATTCTGTTTTTATTTACGTTTATCACAATTTCCCAACTTCAATAGAATTGGGGGTTTTATTTGTCTCTCTTTGGGTCTCATGTCTCAAGGTTTGGCTGTTTTGTCTCTTTTGTGTCCCACTGTCTGTTCAGTCTTTCTTTATGAGTCTCTGTCTTTTTGTAATTGTCTTTGGGTCATTGTGTCCGTCCCTGTTCCACTGTTCTTGCTTTGGTATCTTTGTCAGTCTCTCTCGGTCAGTACGTCTTTGAGTCTCTTGGTTTCAGTGTCTGTCTCTTTTGTAGTCTGTCTGTCATTGTCTCACTTTGTCATTGTGTCTCACTTTGTCTTTGTACTCTTTGTTGAGGTCAGGTGGATTGTCGGCAGCTGAGAGAACAAATGGAATAATCCAGAAAACGCGACGAGAAGGTGTTGAAGAGACAGTGAGGACAGCTGATAGTAGTGAGGGTTAGGTTACACACAGACACACACAGACACACACACACACACAGCGAGGTGTGTATTTGATCGACACTGAAATAAAGAAGTGAAGAGTATCGCTGATGTGACGGCGATAACCCCCCAGCTGTCACTGAGATACCAGATCTGCCTGAACTCAGCAGCACATAAAACACTAAATACGACCTTAGAGCCGCTCTGCTTTACAGCAGTGAGAAAAACATCATTAGATTTACAGTTTCTTCATGAAAAAACAACTATTTAACAATCTCCCTTTTTAGATGAGTCACAATATTAAGTTTTAAACAGATTACTGCTCCTTCCTGCTACTGAGCAGCTCCACTTGAGCACAAAACTAGCTTCTATTAGCTTAAAAATACTGTCTGCTAACGTCCACGATCAATAAGCTCATCCGTTTAAAGTTTTATTTCTGGACTCGTGATAGTAAAAGGATGCTTTTGCTCCAATCTGAGCTCTGAAATCACACCTGGCTCCAATCACCTGGGACCTTAACTTTATGCACATTGAGGCAAGGCTCCACCAAGTGTTGAATCAAGGAATTACATATCTTTCACTCCCCTTCTCTTTTACTCCAAAGGACTAGGAGTCAGAATATCTGCTGTGTTTAAAGTGGTTAAGAACCGAAAGAAACCCCCCCTCTTTCTTTCTCTCTCTCTCTCTCTCTCTCTTTTTTCACATTGAGGGAGGAGTGGGTGGTCCGTCTGGAGAACCGAACCAAACACCTGAAGCTCAATGAAAACTTCATCAAGAAGGTGAAGATGGAGAAGCCGACGGAGCAGATAGTTGAAACAAATGAAGATTATGTGTCATCATAATGTTTAGAGCAATAAAGTGACTTTTTGAAAAATAAATGTCAGCATCATTGTGTTCAGAATTTGAACTTAGTTTGTGTTTACTTCCATAAAGTTTTTACGGAGCAGATAGTTGTTTGTTTAAGTTTTTATTTAATTAATTAATTAAATTAAATTTATTTAATTTTATTAAAGAAAATGCACTCTGCCCAATGTATTAGATGAGACAGCAAAGATATTCCCTGTTATTTTACTTATTTGTTGTGTAGGGGGTATACAAAGGTTTGCATTACAGGTTAAACTACTTCTTCACTAGATACCTCACACTTTTATATCTTAATATGATTCTACACTTGTATTTTTAAACCAACTAATTTTACAATAATCTATTTTGAAATCTCTCCTTCTCTCTCTGGCCTGAATTTCCTGTTAAACTCCATTCAATTAACACAGAATATTGGCCTTCATAGGATGACCTTTTATACGTCCTGACAAACAGAAAGAAGCAATCTTAGCCACTGTGATATCCACTTTTGGTCCTTAGCCAGCAGTTTTCAACTCCTGACATTTTGGCTGCCATCGTCTTATTTCTTGCACTAGAAGTACAGTCTCATTTAAGGTAGAGTGTTCCTGATTTCAAACTTAGCCTGTTTGTCCTGAACAAGAATAAAGATCATGTTATACAGAGGTTAATTCTCTTTAATCACTAGAATAAATCTGAGAGAGGCAATAGCTCACTGATCACTCCCATCCATTTCTATAGCTCCTACAATAATTAAAGGTGCCAGATAAATAAATTTATCTATAGATGGTGTTTGTTTTGGTTGTGGTGAACAGCATGTTGCAACAGAAATGTACAAAAAGGCCATGCAAGAGGGGCCACTGGCCTGGTAGTTCAAGTGCATTTGATCAATGTAGGTGGCCCCGGGTTTGACCCTAACCTGCAGCCTCTTTTGTGCATATCCCTCCCTGTTCTTTTTTTCCTCCATTCCTGCTTTATTCACTGTCCTATCTGAAAAAAATACTGTAAGACCAAAAACAAGTCTTAAAAAACAAAGAAAAAGACATCACAGTTATCAGTCATGGTTTCCTTCACTTTCTGTCACAAAACGATGGAGCTGTGTGCGACCATTTTTCAGTATATGGTAGAAAAAAATAGGTTTTTTCTTTGTACACTTACATAACAGCAGACTTTATACCTCTTGTGTAAATAGTAGATTACTTTTAGAGACATGTCAAGAGAGACAACAGATAATTGAATATTCCTTCAGGGATTAATAAAGTTCTTATTATTCTTAATCAAGTTTCAGTAATTCTACAGATCAGTGAAGTGTCTTTCTTCTACAATACCTCTGCACATGAACACATATGGCTGTGGTATTGAGCCCCCCCCCAAAAAAAACATTCTGTCCCTTATTTGGTACTGAGAGAGTTCATGATCCTTATCAGAAGTGATTTATAGTGAAGTGCTGGCAAAGTTTTCTAATGGGTTAGTTAATGAAATGCATTCATCATTCAAACAAACATATTCACTTGGACCCATTTTTAATCTCTGTTTTCAGTAATCACAGATTTGAAGCTCATGCTATCAGTTATTTGAGGCATAATAACACAAACAGCTCAGTGTGTTATGTTTTTTTATATATTTTTTTTTCATTTAACCCTCTATTTAAGATGATCCAGAATTTTCAGCTGATAGTTTTTCTTTTATTCTGGTGAAATGATGTTTAAACTACAGATTTGGTCCAGTCAAAGGGTCTGATCATGAGATGTAGCCATACTAAGCGATGCTAACTATGACCTGGCTCCAGATCATCACAACTGACCATCAGAGAGAGAAGAAACATATGAAGCAGAATTAAAAAAAAAAAAAGAAAAATCAACATTTAGATTTATTGCTCTGTGTTCATGTGTTTTAAGTTTTACAACATGTTGTATAACCGTTTTTTTTTTTCAGAATAAAAGCTCTTTGCATAATAGCAACAGTCAGTGTTCTTTTCAGAATAAGAGTCCCCCTCTTTGAATCATGCAGCAGCTAAATTTGGTCAGTAGAGGCTATGAATTGGTAAAATCGAGGTGTTTTTGGTCATTTCCAGCAGTTTCTCTTTCAGCGTCTGTTTTCGGACCTCACACCACATGTATCGAGAGTTTTCTACAGGCGGAGGTTGTCCCGTCACCTTCTGCTCAACCTTCTCTCCGTTCTCGTTGCGTTGGACGTAATCGGGCACCAGAGCCACCAGCGTGTTGAAGCACACGCCGTCTGTCTTCCCATGCTGCCGGCCGTTGTGCTGCAGGCTGAAGACGCCAAGGGTGTTGACATCGTGGTCGTAGTACGCTGTGGGCATGGCTTCCTGCACCACCATGTTGGCTGCCCAGGTCACTGCATGGGTCTTTACTGCAGCCGCAGTGGGGAGGTGGACTGCTGGGGCTGCAGGAGAGAGAGGAAGTAAAGACGTACAGAGGAAGAACTCAGATGTTCGATTTGATCAACAGCATGATGAGCCTGCAGCCCTGTTAGAAACTCTGACCTGAGGAATCAGAGTGCATTACCTTTGATGACCAGGACCCAGATCTTCTCATCATTGTGGGTAAAGACCAGAACCAGTCTCTGCACCACATGACGGCAACTCACATCTGAAGGTAACGTGATGGGGTGCCAGGGTTCCTGACGGTACCTGAAAGCAACGCAGCAGAGAGACAGCCAGTCATAACCTTTACAAACGGAGAATCCGTGGAGCATGTTACGCTTAGCAGGAGCGATTTCTTCAAACAGAGATAGTCGATTAAAATCTATTTTTGTTGGACCATTTGGAAGCAGCCTGCCTTAGAAGAAAGTCCAAAAGTTTCAGAGTAAGTTGGAATTTATACCTGAGTCCAGAGTCAATGAGTCGGAGGATGTCCCGTCCTCTCAGGGGGAGAGTCGACTGTCTGTCCCACCAGGACGCCTGAAGGGACTCCTGATCTGCTGCTGACAGAGTCTTCAAACTCCCACCTGAGTCCAAAAAAATGGCCCCTAAAGCACTTGAAGTTTTTTAATTTAACAACAGAGGAAAAAAAACATGAGAGAGAATAAGTGACCTCTGACCTGTGACTCTGGCCAGGAAGATGAAACGGATCCACTGAGGTCCCTGCTCCTGGATCAGTAGTAAAGTGACTGGCTCACACTCCAGGCCGGCCTCCTCCTTCACCTGTGGGAAAGCAGAGCTCGAACTCTGGACAGGTGCGTGTGTGTGTGTGTGTTTGTGTGTGTGTGTGTGTGTGTTTATGTCTGTGTGTGCATTTATCATTGTGTCTCACCTCCCTCTGCAGCGCCTCCACCAGGTTCTCCCCCACCTCCATCCTCCCTGCAGGGAGATACCACTGCTTATAACAGTCCTGTTTGGCCTCCTGAACCATCAACACCTCCTCCTGAAAGACGACACACTCGTATTATTGTCTCCTGCAAGATTGTGAACCTTTACTACCATGACATCGAGGTAAATAATCCAGCTCTCTCTCGACACAACAAAAACCTGAATCCCATAATTCTGCATTTAACTGCACCTCTAACAGTCAGATCAGATTTCACACAGCGCCATCTGGAGTCATTTAAGACTTATTACAACAATTAGTAATACCTGGAAACAAACAAGGAGAAAGTTATGAAAGGAATGAATAATAGACAGAAAGTAAATCAATAACTTTGGCTGTGCCTCATTGGATACAAGTGTCTTTCAGATACAGGAGACAAACAGGTGAGTCAGGACAATTGACCTTATCATTGAAGATGACTGCTGCGACGATATAGGTGACGTTCTTCCTTAGAGTTGCAGGTTTGCTTGCCTCGATGCCTACATCACACAACGTGACCTCTGACCCCTGACCGCTCAGCATCTTCTCTACCTGCTCCTCCACCTGCCGCCGCTCCTCCTCCTTCACCTCCATATCTGCACAGATGGAAACACACAAAAATGTTTTCTGTACAATCACTCTTTGTCTGTCGGCAACTTTGAAAACCGGCTGCTGCCTGTCTCAGCTGAGACACTTGTGAAAGAGAGACTTTTAATCTAAAGGGAGTTTTTTTCTTCTGAATAGATAAATGTTAAATAAACACAGAAAGATACCACTACAACTTAAAATAACGACAGTAATAATGAAGATGCTTTAATGAGGTTGCGCCCATGATGTTTTATGAAAAGTGGGTTCACATAAAGTGTTACCAAATACTTAAACTAAAACATGTTTCCAAATCCAGCACCCCTCCTCCTCCTTTAAAAACACTGCAGTGCAATAACAATGTGCAATTATAACAATGATCAAATATGGTGCAATGACATGCTGTGCAATGAAAGCTGTGCCAAATATCTACGTGAGATTTGAGGGGGAAAACACGTGGAGTTATTCTCAGTACATACTTTCATTATTTTTTAAGTGTTTAACAGTGTCTTTACAGTTGTTTGTAAGCTTGCTAAAGGTTGACTCTGAAGCTAATGTTGTTCAATGTCATTTAAACGTATTAATTTCCCCCTTTTGGACTTTTTCTTGTCAACAGTTAGCGAGTTTACCCCGAAATCTTGAAAAAAATTACAAAAATATAACCAGAAACCTCTCTGTGATTACGCTTCTTGTTATGTTTCCATTCACGGACTCTGTTCCGCTGCTGCTCTGTTTTGACATTTAACACCGGCAACCTAAACAGGAAGTATCTTTACTCTTCCGGTTCGTAGTTTTCAAAACAAAAGGCTTTAAGGATATTAAACTGATTGGCATGCCTTTGGAAGTAGAGACTACCAATTTGAGACAAATTTTGGTGAATTTCGATGTACATTTCAAACTTTTTTGAAAAACTATGTCAGGTAATTTTGTCTTAATCTTTTGAATCTGAGCACAACAAATACTATGTAACAATATCAAAACATCTTAAATATCTTAAAACATATCACTAAGGTTATTTTGAAAAGCTTCTCACTGAAATTTAGGATCAAGAAATGTGTGTACACACACACACACACACACACACACACACACACATATATATATATATATATATATATATATATATATATATATATACATATATATATATATATATATATATATATATATATATATATATATATATATATATATATATATATGTTTAATGTTTGTGTGTGTAGTTTACATCGGCACAAAAACATTTTATCCTTTGTACATGATATCTTCAGCGTCATTCTCATTTCCCCCTCGGACTTAGCTTCAACGGCCTCCCTTTATTCTGAAAACCCTGCATAGGAAGTAATATTTGCAGTCAGATGGGTTTTTTTTGTAGAGTGTTGTAACGTGAGGTAAGGTCAAACAGAAGCTGTTTGAATCAGCTAATTCAGGTTTTTAAAGTAAGCCAGTGTGTGGAGCGGTGTTTTATGGCTCTTTATTCGCTAACTTTACTTCGACTGACGGAAATAAAAGCGGAAACGTTTAAACTCAGTTAGAAAACCAACACAGTCAAACAGGTGAGCTAACTCTGCTTCATTAACCACCAGTTCATCTGATGTGTCAGGTTTTTATTGATTATGTTTGCAGCTTATATCATTGGTTTGCACCCACACATTTAGCTGTGTATTTGTATTTTCATAATATCTGCAGCTGAATAATTAATCTGAGACTAAGTTTGAGAGTCTAAACTGTTGAAAGAACTGAAGGGAGATTTTAGTCAGACTGGAAGAAGCTGGTTTGTATGAGTCCCACATACAGAGGCACAGCATTTACTGATTCGACTTCCATCCCATATTATACAAATTATTAGGTATACATAGTGTGCATTATTATGTGATATTTGTGGTATCAGCTAAACTGAGTTTGTTATTTCCTCTGACAGTCAGACGTCAGATCCTCCCTCCATCCATCCATCATCAGTACAACACCTGGAAACCTCAGGACACTTCCTAGCCAATCAGAGTTCTTCCTACTCCTCTGCTGGACAAGCATGAGATGTTTTGCCAATTTGTGAAATCCCAGTTAAAAAATAAAATTAACAGCATTGTGGTGTGTTTAGGGTCCTGCTGGTTCAGTCTGTACTCCTAGCTTCTCCTGTGACTCATTCAGGATTTATAAAAGCTGCAGTGTCCTTTTCAGAGGCATAATTTAAGTCTTCCTTTTTAAAGTTTTTAACTTTAAAGCACAGACTCTGTCCACAGCTGTGTCTAGTAGACATTAGAGGAACTGCATGTAAAGGTAGACTCAGTTTTTCCTGTTGAAGAGGAGTGAGTTGGGGCTGCGTTTGGGAGATGGTGCGGCACAGTAAACTGCAGAAGCAGGTTCTGGCTCTGTACCGTCAGTTCCTCCGGGCTGGTCAGGACAAACCTGGCTTCATCCCTCGAATCCGTGATGAGTTTAAACAGCATGCTCAAATCAAGAAGACAGACGTGATGCACATCGAGTATCTGTACCGACGAGGACAGAGGCAGCTGGAGCAGCTGAAGGACGTCAACACCAAACAGCTGGGCTCCTTCTCCAAATCTGGAGAGAAGAGCTGACCCCTGAACTCTGAGGACATCATGGGATCACCAACAGACCCACAGATTGGCCTACCTCTCAAAGACTCTGCTGCTGATGCTGAGGTGCTGTGTTCAAGTCCAGCTGGAGAATAGATGCACAGTGTGAAGAAAACTGATGAGCTCAACTTAAAGAAATGTGTCATATTAGCCGTTACACAGAAAATGTTCACTTTCATGTTTAATAAGAATAAATAACCTGCAACAAACCCAGTGATGTTGAAACAGTTTATGATGTTGCACTTGAACAGCATTGATCAGTGAGAACGATTATAGGTGATAATAAACAAGAATAAGGTAAAGCCTCTTTACGACCTACAAAAGCAAACACGATTAAAAGCAATAAGAATGACAAATTCTGTCTATTAATTTTGGTACCTACAAGTGCTGTCAGTGGGAGGGTGTCAGGAAAGTTTAACCGCACAGTGAATATAACCTTTCAGCAATTTCCACAACAAAAAATCCTACAGAGTATTTATAGACAGCAACCTTCAAAACTCGACTTAAGGTATCATTTTGTCTACAGGAGCAACCAAAATTAACACAAAGAAAAAGTTTATCACTAAAGCTTTGAGCATTTTTAGTTTGGGAGGTATTATGGCATAAATTCAAGAGTGGAATGAAATAAACTTCAATATAAAAGTCAAGATCAATAACACTTTAGAGCACATTTTACACTTGCTTTTACATTTATTTATCTGAAAACTGCTGATTTTCATGATTTAAGTTTAACAAATAAAATATGATAAAAAAAGATCAAGATTAATGGGAAATATGTGGACAGAGCAGTGCAACATTGTGACCTTAAAATAATACATGGAGATTAAAATTGTAGGGTATAAATTTAAAACATAAAACGGAAATATCTAATAAAGTAACAGTAGCTTGGGATAAAAGAAGATGTGGACATAACAAACACATGATTAGAAATTCTTTGGAAAAAGATGTCTACTTTTCTCAAATACAATTTTAGATGTTTTTTTTTAACCAGTAAATACTGTTTGGATATTGCTGTGTTTCTGTGTTGACTTTAGTATTGTTCTCACTGTAAAAACATTGAACGTCCCTCTTATAAACTCAGTTCAACAGAAGTTTAATTTCTGGCTTCAAAGAGATTGAACTATAACTGCTAGAGTCCTACTCTCCAAAGCTGAGGGTCTGCTAGTTCTGCTTCAGATGTTCCAAGTGACACCTGTACTAAATTCAATACGATTCTTTTTTATTTAATTTGGAAAGAAAAATCCTATCTTGTCAGAAAAAATGTAATGATTAATAAGCTTAGCGCTGGTGGATTAACTTTGACACTGCAATCCACATTTAAAATCAAGTGGATAAAGAGGTACCTGATATATCCAAATTCCTTATGGAACTTTATTTCATCACATACTTTTGATGCACTGGGACGCCTAAACTTTTGGTTAAGATCTAATTACAGCATAAAAAAACTTCCTACTAAACTCTCCAGTTTTAATAAGTAGCTTCTTTTATGTTGGTGTATGTCATTGGTATACAATCATAACTTTTCCCCATATTAAAGTTACATATGGAAAAACAAATATATTTGCTTTAAACATAAATAACTGTTCTTTAAAAGCTGGGTTGATAATGATGTGCTTCTTGTTCAGCAATTATTTAACAAGAAGGTGCAGTTACTTACATATGATGAATTTTTATCAAAATTCAATTTCCCTGTAAAATCTAAGGAATATGTGGTTGTTTTTTATGCTAATCCATCTGGTATGAAAATTCTTATTTCATCTGCAACTAGAGATTGTGGACACCAGAATATTACAACAACAAAGTTATACATAGGTAATACAGATCCATTCTCAAATTCCAAAACCAACAAGAAATGTATAAGGTAAATTATTCTAGAGTTTGTAGATGTGGAAAGGTCTGCAAAGGCGATAGAGGTCTGAAGATACATCAGAGTAAGAAGGGCTGCTTACGACACAGTAGTGTGCAACGCACAGGGCAACCTTATGAGACGGAGGAGAGGCGGGGTCAGGTGGCTAACCATAGTACCCAGAATCTCCAGGCACATAATGAAGTCAGCAGTGACCCTCCAAACAACAATGTATCTGACACCCTACAACAAGAGAGACAAGCCAGCCAGGAGACAGCTCAGCGAGTGCAGGACAACAGAGGAGGAGAGACGAGGATTAAGCCAGTGAAGTGGCCATCAGCAGCAGCCAGGAAAGATTGGGAGTCATTTGACAGAGAAGTGGATCAAATCCTGGAATCTGTCCTCATCGGCGACATCGGCAGGAAGACGAAAACGATGTCCACTATCATCTGGAGCATGGGAGCAGAGCGCTTTGGGATGGAGCAGAGACAGAACAGAAGTGTGCAGCATGCTGGAGAGAACAGACGCACAAGGGAGATCGCAAACCTCAGAGGCGACTTACGGAGACTGAAGAAGGCTTTTCTGCAGGCTTCAGAAGATGAAAAACCTGCCCTGAAAGAGATGCGAGATACCTTGAGGGAGCGCGTAAAGACTTTGCGCCGAGCCGAGTGCCAGCGAAGGGACAGAAGGAGACGGGAAAAGGAGAGGGTTAAATTCACCAAAAACCCCTTCAAGTACCTTTCCGGGCTCCTGGGAGTCAAAAGATCAGGAGAGCTAAAGGCCTCAAAGGAAGAGGTAGAAGACCACCTTCGCAAAGTACACAGTGACCCAAGGCGTGACGAAGAACTCGACCTGGAAGGGAAACTGCGCTGCCAAGAGGAACCAACCAGCCCCTTTGATGATCGAGAGCTCAGATGGCAGGAGGTCAACGACTTCATCCGAAAGGCCAGGGGAAGATCTGCACCGGGGCCAAATGGGATTTCGTACAGAGTCTATAAGAACTGTGAGCGGCTGAGGAGACGTCTGTGGAGGCTACTGAAGGTAGTGTGGAAGAAGAACCATCTACCAGACAGTTTCCTCTTTGCCGAGGGGTGCTTCATCCCGAAGCAGGAGGACTCATCCAGCATCAAAGACTTCCGCACAATTTCACTGTTGAATGTGGAAGGAAAGGTGTTTTTTGGAATCATAGCAAGGAGGCTGACCCAGTTCCTGATTAACAACAAGTACATTGACACCTCTGTACAAAAAGGCGGAATACCAGGAGTCCCCGGGTGCATTGAGCACAACAGCGTCATCGCTAAGATTATCGAGGACGCAAAGAGGAACCAGGGAGACCTAGCAGTCTTGTGGCTTGACCTAACCAATGCTTATGGCACAATACCACACAAGTTAGTCGACCACACACTCAAAGCCTACCACATCCCCCAGAAGGTACAGCTGCTTCTCGGGAGGTACTTTGGGGACTTCAAGATGCGCTTCACCTCTGGCAGCTTCACCACAAGCTGGCAGAGGCTGGAAGTTGGGATTGTGACCGGATGCACAATCTCTGTGATCCTGTTTGCAGCTGCAATGAACTTCATAGTCAAGTCAGTGGAGAAGCCAAGACGAGGAGCGGTACTTTCAAGTGGCATCCAACAGGTCCCAGTCAGGGCCTTCATGGATGACTTGACAATTACAGCGAGGTCAGTCCCGGAGGGCAGATGGGTTTTGGAAGATCTGGTCGGGCTCACTAAGGCAGTGAGAATGGAGTTCAAACCATCAAAATCAAGAAGCCTGGTGCTGAAGCGAGGTCGTGTCCAAGACCGCTTCCGGTTCAAGATCGGCGAAGACATCATCCCGACTGTCACAGAGAGGCCGGTAAAAAGCTTAGGACGTTGGTACAGAGCATTAAGGAGATGCTCAACCAAGCAGAAGAGTGGCTAAAGGCCATAGAGAGGAGTGGCCTGCCCGCCAAATACAAGGCCTGGGGCTATCAACACGGCATCATCCCAAGGCTCCTGTGGCCACTGCTTGTGTACGAGGTTCCCTTGACAACGGTGGAAGCTTTGGAAAGGAAAATTAACAACTTCCTCAGGAGGTGGCTCTCCGTCCCCAAAGCGTTTTGCTCCATCGGCCTCTACAGCTCCGGAAGCAAGCTGCAGTTGCCAATCACATCAGTTGTGGAGGAGTTCAAGACAGCTAAAGTCCGGTTGGCCATGATGTTGCGAGACAGCAACGATCAGGCTGTGCGGCAGGCAAACATCACGGTCAAGACAGGACGGAAATGGCAGGCCAGCGGAGCCCTGAGGGAAGCGGAGGAGCACTTACAACACGCAGACGTCGTGGGCACTGTGACCCAGGGGAGGCTGGGTCTCGGAGTCATCACCCGAGCAAGCTGGAAGGACGCAAAGGTGAAGGAACGGAGAGGGATGGTGCAGAAGGAGATTCGGGCAGTGGAGGAAGAGGATAGACAAGCCAAGGCAGTAGCCATGAGACAGCAGGGCAGATGGACCCGGTGGGACGGTGTCCGGGGACGATCGCTCGGTTGGAAGGACATCTGGAGTATGGAGGGGCACCGGATAAAGTTCCTCCTGAGCTCTGTCTACGATGTACTCCCAACACCAACAAACCTCCAAAGATGGAGATTGACAGAGGATCCCTTCTGTGCGCAGTGCAAGAGACCAGCAAACCTGGAGCACATCCTGTCGTCCTGCCGAGTAGGCCTGACTGAGGGGAGGTTCAGGTGGCGCCATGATCAGGTGCTGGCGCAACTCGCCGATGGTCTGGAAAAGGAGAGGAAGCGAAAAGGAACAAAGGCCCAAGACAAAGGCCCCCGCTTCATCAGTTTTCTCAGGCCTGGTGAGAAGGCAGGCAAGGAGGACAGATGTGCAGGGATCCTTGGTACGGCAAAGGACTGGGAAATGAGAGTTGACCTGGGAAGGCAACTCAAATTCCCAGAGGAGATCGCCATCACCAGCCTCCGACCGGATATCGTGCTCTGGTCCCAGATAACAAAGCAGGTGGCCCTAATTGAGCTAACGGTACCCTGGGAGGAAAGGATCGAGGAGGCACACGAGCGTAAGCTGGGGAAGTACCAGGATCTCATTTCCGAGAGCCAGCAGAGGGGGTGGAGAGCCTGGAATCTACCAGTTGAGGTTGGCTGCAGGGGCTTCCCTGGACAGTCACTTTGGAGAACACTGGGGATGCTCGGCCTCACAGGGGCAACCCGTAAGAACCTGGTGAACAATATCTCAAAGCAGGCAGAGTCAGCATCCAGATGGCTGTGGCTAAAGAGGAACGATCAGTGGCTGAACCAGGCTGGCAGAGAGGGGTGTCAGAGCTGAGTGGGGAAGACCTGTGTGGCTGAGGGGGCAGCTCCAGGACGCTGGTGCTGTTGTCAAGCCCCACCGTGGTGTCGTGGGCTAGTTGACGAAACACCAGGAAAACGGGGGGTGCCCACTTGAAAACCTGGTGAAGCCTCGAGGTCTGAAGCATACAGCTCTGACACCAGTTGTGTTAGGTTAGGAGGGAGCGACTTCTATGCTAGCCACCACACATAAGGAACAGGCGGTAACTCCTGCTAAGTGTGGTGGCTGCGATACCTATCGTGTTAAAGACCTTCCCATTCTGAGAAGTTCTTGCAGTAAACCTGCACTTGTATTTGTCTGGAACAACGTCTGATATTGACAAGAAAAAGACTTGGTCACTGCCTAGAATGTATTATTATTATTGTTATTATTATTATTATCATTATTATTATTATTATTATTATTATTATTATTATTTTTATTATTATTATTATTATCATTATCATTATTATTATTAGTCTCAAATAAGGTACGAGAAATTGCACTGACAATTTTACACAGATGCCATCCAGTAAGTACAAGTTTTGTAAAATACAAGTTAGACATTTCCCCTTTTTGTTCATTTTGTCACAACCATAGACTGTATAAAGAATGGACAGGGTCTTATATATATATTATATCTATTATATATAGTCTAGTATATACAGTCTATCACAACATAGATGAAACTATTCTCCACCTTTTCTGGGATTACATTTATAGTCAGACCTTCTGGAATGATCTAAATCTGTTTTTGAATTGAAAATTAGATCTGCAACTTAGGTTTACTGATGAATTTGTACTGTTTGGTCAGCGAAATGAAGTAGCGTCTTCACAGGAAAAATATGTCATTAACCTATTTATTATACTGGCAAAATTCCACATTCATACAAGAATATTTTTTAAACAGATACCCAATCTTAAAGTATTCATCTTCTATGTAAGGTCCCATCTAACAACACTTGATAATTGCAAAAATGCCAAAGCTGTTAAAACCAAAGCCTTTTGTGATCAACTGGATCTATGACTTTATTTTACTCCTCACCTATTGTAACTGTTTTGTTAACATTTGTCCAGTGTGGTTGCATTTTGTTATGTTTATAACATACCTCGAGACCCGTTTCAATACTGTACTGTTTGTGATAAGTTGTTAATAAAGATGTTTAATTAAAAAAATTAAAATAAATTAAAAAGAAGCGGTTGAACGTAATATGACCGCCAGGTGGCAGACGTGTTCCAATTAGGAGGGGGAGGACAATACCAAGACACCAACGAAGAAGAAATGTAAACAGGAAATAAAACGTCAACACCCTCGTCTGGAACAATCTTTTTTTGCCAAATTTCTGCGATAATAACGAAATTAGCTGTAGTTGAAGGTTATAGGTGAGTTTTTAAGTTTCTTGTTTTCTTAAAACTCCTCTGACTTTTGCGTTTTAGTCGTTTTTTTGCCGTTTTTCCGTCATGTCGGGTTCGTTGACTACGGGGGGAGAGATGAGTAACGCTCAGTTATTTCAGCAGGTAAGACCGTTTTAAAGCTTTTCCAGTTATACCTGTACATGTAAACTGTACCTGTAAAAAGTGTTAAGGGTGTCTTCTGGAGCTAATTGTTCTCTTTTATTGACACAAATTACTCCAGATATAAGACAGTGATGAAAAAATGTAGGATTTCTGAAGGTTTTACCTGAAATGTAGCCCCAGTGTGTAAACTTGGATTTACTGTGAATCATAATTATTTCAGCTGGAAGTCTTTGTCGTTTAGAGCTCTTTCATGTTTTTAATGTACCTCTGTAAAGCTCTAGAAGTCCTCTGTGTATGAAAGGTGTCCCATTAATAAATTAGCCCCACCTGATAGATAAAAGTCCAAATTTACGAATTTAACAAATTTTGATGTAAATGTCGTTACATTTGTCAGAAACAAGTTGTTTTGAATATCTTTTGATTGAAATCACTAAATGATTTGGTGTGATGTTCAAAAGTTATGCATACAACTGTTACCTGATCTTTGTATTAAACTAGTGAGCATTGGCTCCTAAAAGGTATGGAAAGAGGAAAAAGTGAGGCTGTTAAAATCAAAAAAGTCCATTTGCCATTTCTCTTCAACCTCATATTAAATATCTTCCCCCTCATGCAGATAGCACTGCTGCGCTGGCTGTCCTCTCAGTCCGATGAGGATCGAGGATCTTTGACGGCAGTGACGGGCATTCAGGTTGCCAAAGAGGTGCTGAACCGGATCACCGGACAAGACAAAGTGGACGATTATAAGGTACGTATGTGCTGGCTGCAGAGATCTGATGACAGGTTTGACAACCAATAAAATGAGAAAGAGACAATGATGGACAAACCTTCTTTTCATGCAAAAAACACCGGCCAGGGACAACAAATCATTAAATTAACAAATGAATTGGGTAAAATAAACATAAAATGTACTTCACAGTGCTGTTTAAAAGTAGTTTCCACGATAATAAGATTAAAAAGCTCCATCATACAGAAAATTTTTGGAGCATTTGAAATTCCCCGTAACTAAAGAAAGTGACTTTTCTTCGTCAAAAAGAAAAAGTTTAAACGGTCAATGAGTGGAAAAGTTGGACTGTAGTTAAGTATAAAATTTTTATGTAAGCTCCTACTAAATGTTTTCCAAATTTTCTTTTGTTTCTTTTTCTTGGTATTATTTCCAGCTTTTTGCACCTCAGAAATGTTTTTTGTTAGAGTTGCTCCAAAATACAGTAAAATTCAAAAAGATACATACATGAATACAAAAACCAAGAGAAGTATTTTGACTTTTTTAAAATCTTAAGTAACTTTGTGTGTGTGTGTGTGTGTGTTTTCTCAGAGAAACTGCATCCTGAGTATCTCACAGTTCATCAAAGACAACCCTCGAGCCTCACAGAATCAGATCAATGCTGAGGTGGAGAAAAGAGTTCTGATCTTTGCTGCTCAAGTCCAAGCTCTGGAGTCAGCCCCTCTGCTCTGAACCAAAGTTTTAATGATTATACCAAACGAAAGAAGATTTTATGTCCTTTTTACTTAAAATGTATCATAAGTTACACTTTAAAATGTCTTTTTTATCTTGCATGATATTTGTGTAATTACTCTATGTTTTTAATGATTTCCCAGTGCAGAATTTTTGTCTGAAGTCTGTATCAGGACTTTGTATAAGGAGAGGAAAGCTCAATGGGACCTTGGAAGTTTTAGAAATAATTTTGAAAAGTTGCAGAGTCCAATCGTTTAAGCTTAAGAACACATTGAAAGTCTATTGAAGTGTTAAAACTGTGATGTCCGCGACATTCCTGAGTGTCATTGCTTTAAAACTGTTTGTTAATGTGATTCTCCTTGAGTTTCCAAAATAAAACCATCAGTATATTCACATCTTCACTGTGCTATTTCTTGTTGTGCTCAGAAATCGAAACTTTACCCTTTTTGTGGCTGTTTTCCTTGGTCAAGTTTCTTCTACCCACGTGTATTTGTTCAACAGAATGCCCTAAAACCAAGAGAGTATGAAGGTGCAACTGTACAGCTGCAGGTGACAGTGTCAGCAGCCACAGACTGATTTGATTTGATGTGTATGATAAGGTCGCCCCTGGTGTTGCTTTTGCCATTGAGAAGGTATCAGTGATATTATGGAGTTTTTAACCATCAAACATCATATACACAGCAAGGATGGTTCAAGACAGAAGCTGACACCTTGCACTGAACAGATAATTGAATTTGCCTTTGGGTTTAAATGAAGTTCTTCTTATTCTTAACTGAATGCTTTAATATTGAGATTCTTCACCAAGATCAACCCCAGCTCTCCTTCCTCTGCTCCTATTTCTTTAAATTTGGCAAACTACTACTTCTTCTTGAACCATCCATTTTCTACCGCTTATTCCCATTTCCAGGGTTGCGGGGGGCTGGAGCCTATCCCAGCGAAGGGCAGGGGACACCCTGAACAAGTCGCCAGTTCATCGCAGGGCTGACATATAGAGATGAACAACCATCCACACTCACATTCACACCTCTGCTTGTATTTGGGATGTAGGAGGAAACCGGAGCACCCCGAGTAAACCCACACAAATACAGGAAGAGCATGCAAACTCCACCCTGACCTGGATTCAGATTTGAATCCAGGACCTTCTTGCTGTGAGGCGACTGTGCTAACCACTATACCGCCCCTTCTTCTTGGACCCCACATGCCAAATCTTGCAGACAACAATGTAGGAATTGAACCTAAATTATGACTTTAAAAAAAACATGATGATGATTGTTCAGCCACTGTAGCAGGTAAAATGTCTTTAGGATTTTGGTCAGAGCACTAAAATATTGTCAATAAAGCAACTGCACTAAAGATACAGTGTGTAGAAATAAGAATATTTAGCAATATGAAGAAACCAGATTTTACATCTTGCTCACCCCTCCTACTGGGGACACAACATAGGCCTTCACTAGTTACTAGTTGGTCCCTTCTGAGTTGCTGTAGAAGTATGGCACAAGTATGGCCACCTCTGGAGGTGAACCCACACTTATGTAGATATCAAAGGCTAATTTTAAATGAACAAAAAACTAACTTCACATCCACTGTGATTTGATTAATGGCCTATTTAAGAAATTATTTATTTAAACATATTTTATTCAATTTCTACCAAGTCTCCTCTGCTAAATGTTTCTTGATATCACTGACTGCTCCTTAAGCATTTGTTTTAGAATCTACAGTGATTATTGTCATTTTTGTCCCTGTTTCTACCTGAAAATGTGTATCAACACAGATTTTAGCTAAATTTCCTTTTATGAAAGTGTCAGAACATGTCAGGACATGAATCAGACCTGACATACAGATGTAAAGAGAGGTATTTCAGGTAGGCCTATTTTCCGGATTTATTTTTTTTTTCGCAATCTTAATGACAGTCTCGCTGTAGACCACGCTGTTGGTAGATTCCTTGAAAAATAATTGGGTGAGAGAGAAATTCAAACTCAAACCAAAGTGCCCAATAAAACAAGTCATACCACATAAATATGTGCGATTTAGTTTGAGGGTAAAATTGCATATTCTAGTACAAGTGAGCTTATTTAAATTACTTTAGTGAAACAGAAATATGCTTTATATATTATTTTCACATAGTTCATTTTATTTCCGATAACACGGGTGACTTCAGGAAAATCGAAACTTAAAAAAATGGGGGATTTTCCAGATATTATTCTAATGAAGGCAGCGTCCGCTTACTGCATGTTGGGTTTGACGTTACTCATTGGCTGTGCTACAGAGTAAGTCCCGCCTTCTTGAGATTTTTTCCATTCTATTGGAGAGTTCGGCTATGGCGTCACTGCACACAGTTCCCTCTGATTCGCAGGAAAAATTTGGCGGGGGGAAGAGTTTACAGTTCAAACACAATAACACTCATACTTCCGAGTTCATCAGTCTTCTGTCGGTTTCTGCCCCGGACCGTGACAGAATACAGTTGTTCGTCGTGTTTTTTCCTTTTTCCTGGTGAGAGGATACGGTCGTCAGGATGGATGTTTCACAACAAAACGATGGCGTTTCGGAGATTTCCAATAAACTGGAGAAGTAGGTGTCTAACTGCTAACAGCTAGCATAAATGCTAACGTTCAGATGGTTAGCACGAGTGTCAGGACACTCATGTCAATGTTTAACAATGGTGGAGTTAATCATCTGTTTTATTGTGATCTTTATCATGAGTGGGAAATGTTATAACTGTAAAGATTTTTTCAATCATATCAGATTTTTGGATTGATTACTCATTGATCAGTAACTGAACATATAAGTGGGTCTGATCTTACCATCGCTGCACATGATGTCCACTCAGCAAATCTCATCATTTCAGTATTTTATTCCGAGCTTTGTGGTGTCCCCTCCAAAAATAAAGAAGGATTACAAGAAAAAGCATAAGAAGCAAAGTTCAGTCAAACAACATAATGTCTGAAATTAATAAATACACAAAGAACATATCCAGACATTAAAACTGGTACTGACCCTGTATGTAAGTTATATTAAAAGTCCAAAATAGAGAAACATAGTAAGTACCAATATCTGATTGATTATCAATTACAACTTAAAAAAAAGTTAACAAATTTTTGTTGTTTGACATCATTTGAAGCTTTCAAATTCTAGAGCTGGTCATAGGAAAACTAGTTGCTTAACTGTTCATGTTAATGTTAATTTTTTTTTCAACCATATTTTTGTCTTGACAGGTCTCTAACCATGGACACGGATGAAAAGATGGAAGCCTACCAAAGGTAACTTTGACAGATTAACTTCAGTTTTGTTTTTGATATGATTAACATATAAAAAGCTGTTCTCTTTTTACTGTTGAGATAAATTCAATGTGCCTTATATTAATACTGCGATGGCCTCGTAATTTTGTATTTTTCAGGCTTTTAATCAGAGAGGTTACAATGTATCCACTTTCTTATTCCCTTTAAACAGAAATTTATATCCCGACTGGCCAATATTTCTTAAAGCTTTTATAGCTTGTCCGTGTAAAATTGTGTGCCCTCAGTGGACAAAACAGTCATTCGTTATCCTTCCTCTACATGCTTGAGTAGTGACTTTTGACACAAAATTTCATCCCACTGACCTCTGACTTTCAAACATATTATTGTTAACATTTCATGTGGAAATTGCAAAAACATGGCCCCTACCACTCACACGGGTTTCAGGCATTAAGATTTGGATATCATAAATCTTCAGTGTCGTTGCTGACAATCTTGTTTTTTTTTTGTTTTGTTTTTTTTGTATCATGACAAGGAATTGATATGAATTTCAGTTGATTCCATTGACATATCAAAGTCCTTTAAGATGATAAAAGAAAAATAACAAAATTCAAAATTGAGCAAAGTTTATCCAACATGGCTTAAAACGGCATCTCAGAGTCTGCTGCTAAACATCAACAGACTAGTCTGCAGGGAGCTGCAAATATCATCAGAGATAGAAACATGCCTGTGCATGTCAAACATTGTACTGGTCTGTTTAACCTAAATAAAACAACCTCCATTTGCCAGATTAGAATACTGGTAAAATGTGCTGCGCTACAAGATGCAATGTGTCATCTGTGAATGTTTACATCCAGAGCATTACAGCAGTCATCATTAACCAGAGCTGCAGCCAGAGCTGTTGGGGTTGGTTGTCCAACAGCTCATTAAGAACATTTGTCAAGCATCTCAGACCTACAAAAATACAAATATTAAGAAGTAATTTGACTTACTAAATATTGTAGAGATAAAGCATGGTGAAGTGTAACTGATAAGAAGACTAAACATATACATCTGCTTTTTATAAATCTGAATTTTTCCATATAATTAAAAATAAAAGACAGGGAGGGGCCTTTCTCATTTTAACTCTATGTTCTTATTCTGTAAAATTGCCCAGGGAAGTTATGTGGTGAATAAAGTCACTTGCAAAACTAAAGTCTATGTTAGTAATTAAATGGTTTCAGGTGACAGTTGATAATTCTTTATTTGTGCCCCCTCTCTGCCACTTTCTTTATACAGTTTTTTAAATGTATGTACATGAACGTTTATGTAAAATGAAATAATATTATTTCCTCATAAGCCGAAACTCACCTGCAGCATGTGTAACATCTGTAAGCATCCTTGGATATGGCAGAAAAACATGGTCTGAACTCTTGTAGGCTTTGAGGACATAATTTTAATGATCAATGAACACCAGGTTATGAGACACATTTCCTCCAGTGTTGACTCTTTCTCTTCCTCTTTCTTTTTGTCCTTCTCTCCAACTCTTTCTCTAAATGTAAATTAAACACCTGTTTTGACTGTTATTTAAAAGCTGAAGCCCTCCAGTGTAGGTACAACAGCTTATTTAATGAAGAGTCATTAATAAGTATATTTTATTTAGATAAAGTTTATGGGGCTGACAGCAACAACTCATACAGCCAGCATCCCGCTGATCTGAAAAAAATGCCCCAGGGTTTAGTAAACTGTAGTTATATCTACTTTTGTTTTAAAATATTTCCAAAATAAAATTAGTACGTATGAATCAAGAAATCAAGGGTTCATGTGAATTCTAGAAAAAACAACTTTCAGATAAGTTAAAAATAAATGATCTTCACTAAACCCTCAGTTAGTAGTTGCAGCTCAAATATAAGAAAACATTTTTTGTTTTTAGAGTTAAACTTCTTCATGAAAGTGTTCAGCACCACATGCATTAAAACAACAATTATTATTTTTTCAGTGGGATTGAAAATAACTTTAGCTCTTTAAATAACATATCTACATTTCAATTCTTTTTTACCTGAAGCTGTGGTGATTAAGAGAGAGCAAGAAGAAGAGGTCATTATAATAAAATAAAGGGATGAAACTGAAATAGGACATTGTCTCTCATCTCACAGCAGTCATTCTGTAATTAACCAATAAACTAATCAGCCACTCAACTTTAAAGTTTTATCTATGTATAAGCTTTGGGGACCACATCCTGTGTTCTATGTCTTTGTCTCTGTTTTATGGCATTATTCTTGAGACTCTCACTAAGTCCAGACTTAACAAACTGTTCCAGTTTAAATACAGATGTTCTATAGAGTCTCTTCAATTGTCTCCTAGAGATGCATGCTGTGAGAGTGTTTGTCGCAGAGGAGAGAGAGGATGATCCCACATGGCTTTAATAAGCAATTATTTGTCTTTCTGCCCTTTAAAAATAACCAAATCGGAACCAAAATAACATGGGCACCTTTCTGTTAGGTGCTATTCAACATACATCTGTTGACTGAGTGAGAGATTACATCTCATCTGACCCGATCTTATTTAATTAACAAAAATCTGTAACTTAATGAATTATGACTTTGTTTTATGTACACATTTGTATGTAGGAATCTTTTTAGGTGTCAGGGGTTGGTTTTATGATGAAACAATCTTGTTCATAAATCGATTTTTGTTGCCTCTTTGTTGAAACTGGTATTGATTTTGTTTTTTTGCAGTTATTTTATCAAAGTTCAAAATTCTGAAAATGTGCCAACCCTATTCCAGATCTCATGGCTGTTATTTATAACTAAATTCACATTTATGCTCTGTCTCTCCTTTTTAGATACATTCAGAAGGGTAAAGATGTTGCCAGAGAGGGGGACCTGCACAAAGCGCTGGAGTTCTTCAAAAAGGCGTATAAAATTCACCAGAGTCAAAAACTTGAAAGCAGGATAAAGAAAATAGAAGAACTTGTTTCTCAGGAGGATTCAGAAGAGGAAAATGAAGAGTTTGTCAATGTCAACAACAGTGGTTTAATGCTGTTCAAAGACTTACATGACAAGCTGTATGACTACCAGAAAAGTGGAGTGGCTTTTTTGTACAGTCTGCACAGAGATGGTTGTAAAGGTGGGATCCTGGCTGATGACATGGGCCTTGGTAAAACCATCCAGGTAATATCATTCCTTTCTGGTATGTATGACAACGAGCTGGTCAAACACACTTTGTTGATCATGCCAACCTCGCTCATTACAAACTGGACCAAAGAGTTTGCCAAATGGACTCCTGGCATGAGGGTCAAAGAGTTTCATGGGATCAGCAAAGGCGAGAGGACTAGGAATTTGGAGAAAGTTCAGAGGAGAGGTGGCGTTATCATCACCACATACACCATGCTGCTAAACAACTGGCAACAACTATCTTCATATCAAGGAAGAGAGTTTACGTGGGACTACATGATCCTGGACGAGGCACACAAGATCAAAGCAACAACCACCAAAACAGCCAAAAGTGCATACGCCATTTCTTCAAAAAACCGAGTTCTCCTCACTGGAACTCCAGTCCAGAACAACCTGAAAGAAATGTGGGCACTCTTTGACTTTGCTTGTCAGGGCACTCTCCTTGGCACAGCTAAGACTTTCAAAACTGAGTATGAGAATCCAATCACCCGCGCCAGAGAGAAAGATGCCACTCCAGGGGAAAAAGTTCTAGGATGTCGTATGTCAGAGGTTCTAATGACCACAATCAGACCATACTTCCTACGCAGAACAAAAGCAGAGGTGCAAAGCAAAATGAACGGCAAGCATCCATGCAAAGAGGAAAATCTGGACAACAAGGACAGTCAAAACCAGCACTCTGCAAATGAATCTGGAGCAGTTATGCCTACACTGATGAGAAAGAATGACCTGGTTGTCTGGACTTACCTGAGCTCTGTTCAGGAAGACATTTACAGGCAATTCTTATCTCTGGATCACATCAAGGAGCTTCTCATGACCACCAGATCTCCTCTAGCTGAATTAAACATTCTGAAGAAACTCTGTGACCACCCCAGACTGCTCTCTGCTGCAGCCATAGCCAACCTGGGCTTGGATGAAAACACATCTGAGAGTCAACAGAACGGCGAGACGGAGACAGCCGCAAACAGCATTGCAAACATCCCAGACGACACCTTGATATCCGAGTCTGGGAAACTCATCTTCCTGTTTTCTCTTCTTGAACAGCTCAGAGAGGAGGGCCACCGCACCCTTGTCTTTGCTCATTACAGAAAAGTTCTTGACATTATTGAACGTATCCTGGGAAACAGAGGCTTCAAAGTGATGAGATTGGATGGCACAATAACGCAGATGGCAGAAAGACAGAGACGCATCACTCTGTTCCAAACAGACAAATCCTACTCTGTCTTCCTCCTCACCACGCAGGTCGGAGGAGTCGGCATCACCTTGACTGCAGCAAACAGAGTCGTGATCTACGACCCAAGCTGGAACCCTGCAACAGACGCCCAGGCTGTCGACAGAGCATACCGCATTGGCCAGACTGAGAACGTAGTCATCTACAGGCTGATCACCTGCGGCACAGTAGAGGAGAAGATCTATAGAAGGCAAGTTTTCAAAGACTCCCTCATTAGACAGAATACCGGGGACAAAAAGAACCCATTCCGATACTTCAGCAAGCAGGAGCTAAAGGAGCTTTTCACACTAGAGGACACCCACTCTTCCTCCACCCAGCTGCAGCTTCAGGCCCTGCACTCCAGACACAGACGCACAGACCCTGAGCTGGACAAGCACATCGCCCACCTTCACTCCTTGGAGATGTTCGGGATATCTGACCATGACCTTATGTTCTCCCTTGACGTAAACCATGACAATGAAACCCCAGAAGGGGAAGAGGCTCACTACATCGAAGGGAGGGTGCAGAAGGCCCAGGAACTGATTAAGGCTGAGTCACAGCTTCAGATGCAGCTGACAGAAAACATGGCATCAAGCACAGAGCCTGCCTGGCTCCGGAAAACAGTGGAGAACAGCAACAGAGAGTCATCTCATGAGAAGAAACAGAGTTCACCCTTTCCACGGAACAACACAGACTTTAACAGGTCGCCTGTTGTGGTGGAGTTGGACCAGTCCAGTTCTGGCATGGAGGACTCACCAAAAAACCTAAGTGAGCAAGTTATTGATCTGACTGCAGATGATGAGAGTATGTCTGAGGAAAACCCTGCTGCAGATGTTAGACATGACAATGTGTTCAAGCAGTACCAAAGTTCCCCGATCCAGCAGCCAGTCAAGCAGGAGAGGAGCTACTTGGAATTAGAAGATGACTCTCCTGAAGAAGTGGTTGAAGAATTATTGGTGATGCCGGAGGCCACCAAGGCTGCAGCAGGTGACTCAGTAAATGTTTTGAATCACGAACCAATGCACCAGTCGGCTTTGTCTGAGGCTGCAGCTCTGTCAGGAGGTGAGGACAATCCAGCATTTGTCACAGCAGTTGAAGATGATCAGCTAAATGGAACTACAGACTCCAAACACAACTTAAAGAGGGATTCAGGGCTTCCTCATGTCACACCCTTGCAAAACAAAAGACTTTCTGTCCTGCAAGGATTAAATGCAAGTTTCAAAACAGACACATCATCCAGAGTCAGCACAGGACTGGAATCTTTTGAAGGCAACTTCAATCTGCAGCTTGAGGACAGCGACATGTTCTCTGACCAGGAAGTCGTTGATCATCAGGAGACTGAAGCTGAGGAGAGGGAGCTGCTCTCACAGCTGAAAATGGAGGAAAGTTTTGACGTGAATAAATCCCTCTCTGAGAGACAAGATAAAGAATCACTTGAGCAAAGCCTCAACGACGTCCAGGCCTCAGAAACGGAGGAGTTGATGGACGATTCTATTGTGGTAACCAAGAAGAAAAGGGCAGCAGTGATTTATGATAGTGAAGAAGAGGAAGATGATCATGATTATCATGATGACGATGGTGGTGGTCATGAAGAGCAGGAGCTGAAGAGTCAACTTGAAACTTCTTTCCAGGTTCTTGGAGCATCCACACCTAAATTAGTACCCAATGGGTCCACCCCTGTCCGATCAAGGAAGAGTGTGGGGGGAAACACCTCTGTGGCCTCACGCCGGTCCCTCATTCAGTCCATCATTGAGGACATAGAGAATCCAAACCAAAGCAAAGAGGACGAGGATGATGTTTATCATCTGACGAATCACTCTGATGAAGCTGAAGAGGAGAAAATCATTGATCCATCTTGGGATGAGCTTCAGCTGGAGGAGACTGTTGGTGAGACTTTAAACACAGAGGGAGAGGAGGAAGTGGAAGAAGAAGAGATGGAGGAAGAAGAAGTAGGAGAGGAGGAGGAGGAGGAGGATTACTCTCAGTCAAGGGAGTCTGTGGATGAATCAGAAGAGGGACTCCACAGTAGCATGGAGGAATCAACTGGTGATCCTGAGCTAGCATCCTCTGAAAGGTTCGATCAGTGCACCACAGATCCAGGAGTCAACAACAACATCTTAGAGCTTGAGGAGGAGAACTACGACTCCCTAGTCAGCAGAGGCAAAGAGAACTACAGCAAAGGGAAGCTGGACGACGCCTTGAGCTTCTTCCTAAGAGCTATCGACATCAAACCTGGAGATCCTGAGATTCAGTTCATGACCATCCAGCTGTACCGGCAGCTGAGTAATAGGAGTTAACACCTGCTCATAACAATCCACAGAAGTCAGAAGAGACTTCTGAGCACCTGCCAACTGCAAGAAACGTTGAAATGGATTGTCAAAGTCTAACTGGCTGCTTAACCAATCCCATGTGCACAACAGAATTAACACTTTGTGAAGCTGTCTTTTAAAGTTTTCTTTTTTCTGCCTGTGTTTAAAGTTGTAACATGCTTCAAGGATTATTAAGATATGTGGGGTTTAACTTTAGGATATTGATTCTGAGTACCAAATTTAGAGCTGCAGCCAGACATTATTTCATGTGTATTTTAGGGATAGTAATAAGAAATTTAACTCTGCCAAACTAACAAATTTAAAGGTGAGAAAACACTCAAAAACAGTCCAAATCTGGCACAATTTAGTCTGAGTCTGAGGCTCAACTACGCCAACTTGATTAATCAAGTGTGACTGACACTAGCCTTTGGTTCTCCTAGCAGGTTGATGGCCACATGCCTGTTCTCGTTATACATTGCTCCAGTAGAGTGGTTATATGCCAGTTAAACTTGACACAGCCTACTCACAACTTAAAAACTGCACCATGTTTTGAGATACCAGAATAATTTTCTCTGTCTTTTTTTTTTTTTTCATTTTGTGTAACACTGCTGCTAAAAGTTTGGACTAGATTTCTATGTTGTGAATTCACAAAAATTACAGGTATGAACCTTCTTTGGCAGATTGTTCTGTTTAAGTGGTCAGCTCAATGGTAAGGGTGACTCTTTGGAAAAAAAAAAAAAAAAGACTATCTTGGGGAATGTTTTATTTAACCATTATGGCAAGTCAGATTTTATTTTTTGACATCTGTTTGCTAAAAAAAACTATCTTTTGGGACTTGCTCTTGTATATAACGTTGTCATTAAAAATGAGAATTATACCAGTAAAATAGTTCTGGAATTACATTGTGAGAGACCTTTTTTGAGTGGGGACTTGTGCAGAATGAAGGCAGAGTGCAGAATAGTTTTAAAACTTATTTGTTTATCTGCTTTTATTTACCTTCATCATCATCAATGACTTTATTTTCATTCTCCTCATCTGTAAACTATCGAAAAATAGTTGCTTATTTCATAATATGATCCCAGGGTCCAAGGTCACATCTTTAGATATGTTATTTTTAGGGCTGCACAGTAGTTAATAGCAGATTTATTGTTTCAACAATATGAGCATTTACAATTACATTGCATTTGTATAGATATATTATGCAAAGCTTTTTCTTATTTTTCTCTGTCCTGTACATCTGGTGTGTACCTAAAAGGATATCTACTTGTTTTTGTGTGGTACACATTTTTTACTTAGATTTGGCACAACATTCCCTATTCCAAACATAAGGCAAATTGCAGAAAATTGAACAGAGACCCTCCAACACACCACAGATCCTTTGGTTGGTACTAAATTTCAGTCAATTAGAGCTGTTTTTGACAATTTTATCCATTTTGCTTCCTTGAAAAGAAATCCTTTTACAAAGGCACATAAGATCTGGTACACCCATAAAGTTCTTGTAAAATGGCAAGAATTTGTGCTGGATCGTCCCTCTCTTGCCTGGATCGGTACTTAATTTCTTCTCTAGCTTCTTCTAAATGGTCAAAAATAAGGAGTGCTTGCTGAGCAGAGGACATGTGTCTGGAATGGACACAAGCCTGGATTTGTCAGGAGGTATACAAGTCTCTCAGTTATGAAAATGTTGTTTGAAGAGTGTCTCATGACAGAGGAGCTGGTTGAAGTGGAATGGATCCCCGGAAGGTTCATGTCCAATTTCCCAGTGCATCTGTCAAGTCTCAGCTTGAAGCTGTGTGACCAAGTCCTTTAAGCAGGCAAGTTCCTCGTCTATGAGAAAGCAGAGCCAAAGTTAACAAAGAACCAGTATGTTATCCAAGGAGCTGTCCAGGAACTGCTGCTGTTTTGCCCCCAAAACAAGATGACCAAAAAAAAAAAACCTGAACCAACTCGAATGTGAAAAATAAAAAGTACACATCTCTGCCCAAACAGTGTCCTGCCGACAATGCCAAGAATGTAACAGAGTGTTGATCACTAAATGCGGACTTGCACCTCAGGACACAGACTACACCAGAGTCTGAACAACTCTCAAAATATAAGGTACACAGTATGAACACTGAAGAGGCAGAGATGCAAAAAAATATGCTGAGGATTTTGTTTAATAAATCCAAAAAAAGAAATAATAATAATTGAAATAACCTAAAACGCAGGGGAAGAGAGGATTAAGCAAGAAATCATACTGGAAAAGTTAAGTTAAAATTATATTTCTATTGCGACAGTTGCTAAAAAAAAAAAAAAAACAACCAAACAAAAACCTTCATAAAAGCTAAAACAACAAAATTTTCAATGCACCAAATAACCAACACAAGACAAAAACTTTTTAAACAAAGTTAAACTAAGACCACTGGTCAAGAGGCAGACTACACCAGGAAAATGTGAAGCACAGCAATTCCACTACAGTCCTTCAATACTATGGTGCAGCCTACTTGTGACCCAGTACACTAAACTCAGATGCAAAGTGGAGGGCCTTGGCCTCTCTACAGAGCCACCAAAGCCTCAACTAACAAGACAACTACACAATAAAACCCGATGGTTAAGGAAAAAACTAAAATTAATCAAACAATTGAACCTACCGGAATTAAACTACTGCATGAGCAGCACTATCTGAAAGTGCCGTCTGTCACACTGTTTTTCAAGTACAGTCACCAAATTAGCTTACATTTAACAGTGCAGGTCCCTTAGTTTGGGATTACATTTTAGCCAATCAGAGTTTACTTTTTAAAACTCTCCTCTTTCATTGGCTGAAAGCTCAAACCTCTGAAGGAACGTTGAATTAATATAGCCGGATCTCCTGGTGGTGTCTCACTGAAGGTCGAACTTTGAAAAGAGCAGTTTAACCTTCGTCCAGATCAAATTATAATAAAGTTATGATAGAAAACAGGGAGCGCTCGTTTTGCTCCCTTGTGCAGCCCAGATAGGAGCGCGTGCGCAGCTGGGGCGTTTTTTTTCTCCACCAGCTGGAGATTAGTTTTGTGTCGCCACCAGCAACTAACAACCAATGCCTTCTGGTTTAACTGGTTTGATTTCAAAATAAAAGGTGGATTTGGACAATACTCTGTATAAGTTATTTGCAGTCATCTAACAACAACAACAAAAATAAAATAAGTCATATCCACTATGGTAGAAAGATTAATACAACAAGTATGTCTGAGAAAACACCATTGTGAGTTTTGAATGAGGAAGTACCTGGGGTGAAAAGTTAAAACGAGATAGAAAATCAGTGAAATGATCCACAACTCTGTTAAAGGTGAGACTTAAAGGACATGTCTTGAGTTTACTCAAGGATACTACACTCTATGCTGCCCTTGGGTCTTCAATTGTTCACCTGCTGACATGGGTTTTATTTATAGCATCTGCACATTGATTAATAGTACGAGATGATGTTATATTACTCAGGAGTCATATAAATTAAAACAGAGTTAAAAGGTCTGAATAGATAGATAGATAGTTATACTTTATTGATCCCAAACTGGGAAATTCTCATGTTACAGCAGCAAAAAAATACAAAATAAGATTAAATATAAGAAGAAGTATATACAACGCAGACTAAAAAATACTAAATATATACAATAAATACAGACTAAATACACTAAACATCCTAAGAGAAAAGAGTGAGATATAAAGAATGTGGGCTATTGAAATGAGCAATTAATATGAAATGAGTGATAAATATGAAATGCGAAATATACAGATGGGATGATGCTGCGATGGTGCTCAGTAATGTGATGTGGTAGGAGTTTTAAAAATGGACTATACAGCAGACAGATGTGAGTCCCTGTCTGACAGATTTGAGTTATTAAATGGTGCAATAGCTTGTGGCAGGAAAGATTTCCTGTATCTGTCCCTTCGACAGCGGAGCTGCAACAGTCTGTTGGAGAAGGAGCTCCGCTGTCTGTCCAGAGTGAGGTGGAGAGGGTGGTCAGGGTTATCCATGATGGATAACAGTTTGGTCAGTGTCTTCCTCTCCACCACAGCCTCCACAGTGTTCTGTTTGCAGCCAGTCACGGAGCCAGCCTTCCTGATCAGTTTGTGGAGTCTATTGGTGTCACTGGCTCCGATGCTGCTAATCACACCTTGTCTCTTTCTTTTTTGTCTAGTTTTGATTTTTAAAAACATTTTTTGGGTAGCTTCTGAACGTTATGATATATCCAAAATCGTTTTTGTCAACCAAATCAACATTTCCCGTGTTTATACATTTCCAGATTATTCTTTAGCCAAATTCCAGAGTACTATAATAATTATAGAAACAACAGATTAGTTTAGTTTATTCATTTGCACACAATGAAACAGATGAGAACAATGACAAGGTAGTTTTTGTTTTTTTAAAAAAAGCATTGTGCAGGGTTGTTAGAAGCCAAAAGTTTTTGCCAAGATAAATACCCCTGATATAACAAGAGTTTATGCAGCAATGCAGGTTAGCTAAAAAACATACAATAAAAACCAAAACAAAGAAGTATACAAGTACATGAGGTTAAACAAATTAAATAATTAATTGAATTTAAGTAGCACCTTTGAAAGAACCTAAGGTCACCATACAAAGTGGAGTCATAAACTAAAAATAAAAATAAATACTAAATACTATATACAACTAAAAACTACAGACTGTGATAGGCGACTTTGGATGCCGGGTGCAACGTAATAACCATTTTTAAAGGTTTGCAAATCAATTTACATTAAATTGTAAACAGTGCATAGGCATTGTACCAAAGTTCAAAGTTGAAAAAAAAAAACATTCCCTGATGTAATTGGGTCAATTTGCACTTTTTAGTAAAGGTAGGAGGAGGTTCACCAATCTGTGGGACTGCGTAAGCAAATAGTTCACAGTTCAACAATTTCGGGTTGATATAACCAGAGTCTACTCATGAGCAAGAGTCTTCATTTTGTATCAGAATAAGGAGAAGATAAAGAAGTAAAATCTTCAAGATATATTTGATAAAAACAAAAATATATTCAAGGTCACAGTTATGTGAGAATGGGTGGGGTTGGTCCTCGGAAAAAAAAGAAAGAAACTCTTATTTTGAAGTGCGTAACCGGAAGTAGTGGTTATATTCGAAAGCTTGGTTCTGGTTGAGATTCCTGTCGAGTTTACAAGGAGAGGAATATCTGAGGACACACTTTACTGAAACGGGACCGCCGGGTCAAATCCTAGGAACGACCAGACCCTTTGTCAGTCTCTTAAACTACGTATTTACTCGCCAATAACATCAGGGAGAGACCTTTTGGATTCAACCGTTAGCTAACGGCTGGAATAAAAGCCCGCCGCTGTTCCTGTGGACCATCAGCTGGGACGGGAATGGCTCGGCCGAGGAAGAAAACCTCTCCGGGGTGTTTAGCATGAGGCTCTGCGGAGGGAAACGGCTGGAAGACAACACTGAACATTACATTAATAACAGAAAAGAGACTAAGAAACAGAGGAGCGGAAGTAAGGACGTGAGTGTAAGAGCTGCCCGGTGACATTTGATTTCTCCAGCAGAGGAAAAAAGGAAAACGATGGGAGGAAGAGAGAAGCTGCTGGAGATCTGCTGTCTGCTGCTGCTGCTGAGCGAGAACTCATACTGCAGAGGTGAGGAGGGTATTCTGAGGGGGAGGAAGGGTACACCGAGGGTAAGGAAGGGTATACCGAGGGTGAGGATGAGTATACTAATGGGGAGGAAGGGTATGCTGAGAGGGAGGAAGGTATACTTAAGTCCAGGAAGGGTTTATTGAGGGTGAGGAACGATACTCTGAGGGGAGGAACGATACTCTGAAGGGAAAGAAAGGGTACACTGAGGATGAAAAAGAGTATACTTAGCATAAGGAAGGGTACATTCAGGTAGAGAAAGGGTACACTTTGAGGGAAAGGACACTTGGGGTACGAAGGATACACGAAAAATTGATTAAGGGTACACTTATGTTAAGTAAGGATACACTTAGGATGAAAAAGTGTACGCTAAAGTTAAGAATGAGTACACTAAGGGTAAGGAAGGGTACTTTTTTAGTATCGAAGGGTTCACTGAGGTTGAGGTAGGTGAAAAGGGGTACACCCAGGGTATGAAAGGGGACACTTCAGGTATGTGAGGGTGCAGCAAGGTTAAAGAAGTTTAAAGAAAGGCTTAAGTTGGCAGGTATAGTGGGAGTAAGGGAGGGTATGCTGAGAGTATGGGATAGTGAGGAAGGGTTCACTTGGAGTGATGAGGAGAGCAGAGGTACACTGAGGTGAGGAGGCTGAGGTTGGGGGACAGTGGTCCCCCAGTGTTTGTGTAGTTGACGCTGGGATTCTCAACACTGTCTCGGCAGTCTCTCTAACTGTCTGCCAAGTACACTGTGTATGCACTGTACTGCAGGCTACCATAATATACTGGTGTTTGGATGAGGTAATACACTTTTACACAAGTAGCCCTAGGACTAACATTGAATTGTTTTCTTTTACTATGGTTTCTAACACCCTCCTAAAGTAAACTACACTTTTTATTTCTCTGCACTGTACTGTTCTATACTCTATGCAGTAATTACACTGTACTGCACTACTTCTATCTTCTTGCGTGATATAGGATTTCTGCTGTCTAACAGTTGGTGGTTGCTTTTGTAGCAGTTACGTTTTCACAGGCCAATTTATCAGCAGGACCTTTTCTACCACAGGTCCATGCTGTTGTAATCCCTGTTGTCAGAATGTGGTTTGTCATTGTCCCCCTGAAAAATGAAGGTCTTCCCTAAAGAAGTCTTTGTCTGGATTTCAGCAGATGTTGCTGCTAAACCTATAGATATTGTTTAGCATTAAAAGAGCCTTTGCAGATGTGGAAGATACCCATGACGTGGACTCTGATGATCCCCAAACCGTCAGGGATTCTGGTTTTTATCTCGATTATCTGAATCTTTTAATGTAATTCTGTAATAGTTTAACTATTTGCTCATACAGTTTCTCACAGAGTGGTGAACCTCTGCCCAGCTTTCCCTCTGAGAGACTCAGCCCTTCTTGGACATCTTTCTATAGCCAGTCATGGCACTAACCTGTTGATGTGATCAGTTGGGCTAACATTCAAAATGTTACTTCTTTGAACCACATGGTGTAGCTCTGTGTGCTGTACTGAATGTTATTTAGTGTTGCTGTACCTGTTCTGCTGTGTTAGTGTTATACATGTTGCTAACTAAATGAGCAGGAGGTGTCAGAAGACCTGAGACGTCAGGCCTCTCAAAGAGGTCAACAGCTAATCCAGAGGGGTTGTGTGCTGATTAATGGTAAACACTTCTGACCCTGTATCAGCCTGTAGCTTCAGGGGTCTGTAATGCTCTGTTACACAAGCTTCACAGTATCATCACCCACCATCTGCAGCTTGTAGACATCCACCACATGGTCTCTAAAATCCTAACATTACAACCTCAAAGATCCTCCTGCCGTTGCTCAATCAAGATCAGGCTTCAGTTTATTGTCCCTTCTATAATACACTCTCATCTGAGATGGGAGCTGAGTGCAGTTTCCCTCCGATCAGGATCACATTAAAAACATGGACAGACTTAGAACAGCAGGAGGAATGGCAGCACAAAAGCAGAGCTGTTTAAGCCAGGAGCATGTTCAAGGAGTGCTGGTGCGTTGTGAAGTGCATTAGTACAATATGAGGTGCATTAGTATTAGAGGAATTGCAGGTGTATTTGTGCATTAATGTTTGTGCCAGGCTGTAGGTCTTTTTTATCTAGTTGCTCACGACCCTTGACTTCCACGGAAGCCTGTATGTGTCTTTTGTTTCACCTGGGGACTTCATCTATGATGTGATCTCTTTAGATTTCAACAGAAGAAGTATCTAGCATGGTGTTAGTTAAAAAGTAAAGTGCACTAAGCATCTCTCCTGCTGAGCTGCTGACAGTGCTGTCACTTAAGAGCCGATCACAGTGAAGCAGCAGAGCTGGCTGTACAATGAAAAAATGAAGAGATCAGCGTCTGCTTCAAAAGTGCTTTTTTCCACAGTCATCACCTGAGCAGAGTTTGGAGCAGCCTCATATTTAAAATCATTAACCTATCGGTCACAGTCGGTTATTTTGTTTTTGGTTGGGCTAATTTGGGACAAGGTTTTTGCATACACTTTACCACGCACAGATCAGTCTGTTGTGCTGCATCAATTGAATTCTATCAAGCTTGTATACCTAACTGCTTGTTTGGAGAGGAGGTTTTTTTGGGGGGTAGTGAAAGAAGTCACCTGTGGTTTTTACCATCAAATGTGATAGACCATGTTGACATGTGGGAGTATTGAGCAGTCGCTAGGAAAGATCTATGACATGCACTTTGTCAGACATGTCAGTTATCACTAAAGGAGGAGAGACTACATCCAACCCGTGTTGTTTCGGCCCTGAGGTTAATCTTTAGTAGCTGACATAAACATACAGATAAGGGATGCATCGAAATGAAGATTTTTGTCTGAAAACCGAAACACCAAAGGAACCATTATGCCAGTTATTAGTATCATTGCATTTATGGCCATGACTGTTAACTAACCTCACTAAAATCAAGGCATTGCAATTACATACATTAATTTTAATTTATATGACATAATAAATTTACTATTAATTTATGCAATTGCAATGTGAGTTTAAAATTTTTGAGTCTTGCTGCATGTTCTGTGTTGTTTACACCTTAAGATGGTGCCCGCGAGTTAGGCAAAGAAAACTCAAAAGTTCTAAGAGAAGAAATGTTGTGAGCGATAGAGACCATAGACTGTATTTACTATGGACAACCTGGCTCTGCCCTCTGTCATAGTACAAATTTGAACTTTCAACTTGTGCAGTAGCATTGTATGCATTCGCCAGGAAGGTCGCTGTGATGACGCTCAGCTCAAACAGCGTATCCCCCGGTTGAGCTACGCAATCTTCATACGCCCATAGGCTGTATCAAGTGTCAATCATAGAAAAACATGAACCCCCTAATTACTTTTTAAAATGGAGCTGCACAGAAAAAAGAGGACTTGAGCACAAAACAGTCTTACTGTAACTACATGTCAACATTGCAAGCATGGGAGAGAAAAATTTATATTCTGTGTAATAAATTTCTAAAGTTTGTCTACAGCTCTATAGGGATTGCTGGAGGAGGCGGGATTTATGACATATACTGCAGCCCATCACCAGAGTGGACAGTCCACTCGTGTTTTTGGCTGCAACATCCGTGGGCATGCTGGGAGGGATTTTCCTTTTCTGTGCCCCGTTCTTCTCATACTCCGATATTTCAGGTGATGAGTTAAGCCTGACGTGAAGAAACTCTTTGTAGGCACAACTTCTCTTGAAATTTTCGCATTATACGCTATTCAAATCGCATTTCGTGGTTCTCGTATATATTGAAATAAACCCACACCTGAGACATGTTGGCTCTTTTCAGCTGTGGTTTTTGGTTGCGTCAATTTTGGTGCATCCCTAATACAGATTTGATACCTTAGCACTGCAGCAGACTGGGGTTGTCAGAATTTTGAACTTCAATGCAAACAAATATAAAATCACCAAAAATATATTAAGTGTCACGAACTGAACTCTTGGGTCCTTTGTACTTTGATCAGCCAGCGTAGTGCTCTGATGCTTTAACTTGCAGCAGCTTTATAACTGTTCGCTGTTTTTTATGTGAGGCGCCGTGCTTTTCTTACACTGTTAAATATAGAAATAAAGGATGTTGTATTATTATGAGGGACTTGCTCTTGAAAAGTATCAACTATTGAACATTTTTGTCCTTCTTTCTTCACTCTGGACATCTTTATGCACAATCCAGCAGACAACATCTGCTTTGACTTTCAGCGTTTAAGTGAACACTCTCACTGGATACAGACACTGCTGACTCTCACTCTGCTGTGTGTGCAAACCACTGTTAAACACTTAAATTTGTGATTCAGGACAGTTGTTGTGTCAGACAGCAGCCCTCTGTGTTCCATTTTCACTGTCTTAGCGAAGCCTGTTGTTAACAAGTGGATCTGTATGTATTTCAGGCATGTAAGTATGAACAGAGACGAGCTCTAGAAGTCTTGTTTGGGTGTTTACTGTGAATGTGTCCTGAGTGAACTCTAGTCTTTCAGATAGTGTCTTCCGTGGCTCTGTTGAAGCTGGGTGGTATTTTGCACAGCTTTTAAGACTGACAGGATTTTTCAAAGCATACTGACTCCCACACATCATCTCACAGTCTGCACTGAGTTTGTGAACTGAGTTTCAAAGGTGCTGCAATGATTCATAGTGTTTCTTTAACGACTCAAAGCAAACAGATCCAAGCAGCAGTGGCAGAGATATTCTGTCTTTTAATGCAGAAACACACATCCAATAACACACATCCACCTCCCATAATGCAACTGTGTAGAAGCTTTCATTCAGTCCTTGCAGGACTTTTAAATCTGTATGTTGCACAAGCCAGCAGTCAACAGCACATTGTGTCTGTATCTTAAGAGGTTTAACCTCTGACTGTTTGAATGAGAGTTTGCACACTCTCCTCACTGAGGAGGGAAAGTTTGTGCGTCAAATTCCACCTGAGAACTTTTGTGACACATATTTCTGTTATCACAGGAATAATCCCTTTTCAGTGCAAGTCAGAGCAAAAGACGGCAGTTAAACCTCTTAACCCAGAGACAGTGTGTGCTACTGGCTGCAGGTTTGTGCAACAGACTTTCAGACTTCCTGCTGAGGTGGACCACAACAGTTTCAGAGGAACATTAACCCCAATTTACAGGCAGCTTCCAGTAAACTGTGTCAGTGGTTACTGTGGTGGTTGGCTCAGTTATCTGTTAAAATGTCAAAGCATGCTCACTGGGAATTTCTTTAACTGAAAAAGGTGAGAGATGCATCCTGTTGAAAATAAGCACCAAAATTTACACCAAAACTGCAGTGTCTGATACTACAAGCTGTTGAAGGTTTTTAAATTCATCTTTAACAGCAAAAAAAGAAAAAAAACAGTAGCTTCTGCTGAAATTCTGAACCAGCTCATCTCAGTGGGTAGTCAATTAGTCAGCTTTAAGCTGAGTTGATACTATTACAGATACAAGACCATTACAACCCTTTTTTACTGGATTGATTTCTTTTTTTTTTTCATCAATCAGTGTTTCATTATTAAACACTCAAGACATGAAACCTTCATTGTATACATTTACAGAACTTAAAAATTCAAGATCCAAGATCTTTAAAAACAAAATTTTAGTGAAAATGGACAGATTGGATAATGTTAGTCTTCAGAACATGTAATAGTGTTAAAAGGGAACATGCTTTAATTCTTCTCTTCATTTTAAACCTTCATCTTCATCATGCCAGAAGTTCGGATTATACAGAATTATGATATGGATCAATGTCACTATTTAGTCTGGCTAATGTTTGCATTTTAAAGGGATATGTTGGCGTAAATTTGAGTTAGAGTCAAACACACCATAACACCGAGTTAGACACCCCCTTGAGAGATGAATGTTGCCGACTGCTTGCCTCTCTAGTTATACCAATTTTAGTAATGACCGCACAATAGTAATACACAGTGGTCTATGTCTCCATGTGCAAACCTCAACCAAAAAGCCACTCTATAGCCACAAATAATGCTCAGAACAGCATCTAACTTCATCAACAGTACATATAGGGTCCCAGCCATAGTATTAGCCATCAAACATGTTTTTGGCTTAGTCTGGTTTCTTTAGGAAAGAGACCAAACACAACTCACCTACTCTCTTTCAGCAGCCGCTTGTTTGTGGGTGAGCCCTGACAAGTCGATCACAGAGTGCAGCAGAGTTTCACAGCTCAAAGCAGCTCAAAGAAGAACATTTATGATCATTTCTTCATGGAAGTGCCATCAGACCTAGACGCTAAGGCAGAAGAACTACCGTGTCTGCAGTGTAAAATGATTATTATGATGATTATTACTTCATGGAAATGATCTGCTACACCCGTTGATCGACTTATCAGGGCTCCACCACCAACAAGCTGCAGCTGGAGGAGAGTGGGTGAGCCCTCCTCTCTCCATCACCTGCTTCTCTCCCTGCTCTCCTCTCTTGCTCCTCCTGCTCCTCTACCTGTTTCTTTTTGCATTTGATGACATACAGCTACATGTTTGAATTGATTTTAATGTCATTCATGAAAAAGTCATACACCGGGTTATGCTATAGATGTCAAAACATGACTGACAGAAGCAATAACAAACTGATATGTAACAAAATGAATGGAACATTTTATTAAATTAAAAAAGAATTATAAAAGGTTGCCTGCCATGTGACCAGCCATACTCTAATATATAATAAATAAAGACTGATAATCACCTGAATGTGTGATTCTGCATTACATAGTGTTCACAAATGCCTCATCTTTTAATCAACTTCAAAAATCCTGTAGTAATGACGAGACCGGTGCTGAGTACAGCAACAGTACCCCACAATGTCCTCTCAGACAGAATTTCAACAGAAATTCATCAGCTTCTAGCACTGACGGGAAGTAATGGGAAGTGAATGAATCTGTGATAACATTAACAGGAACCAGCAACTACTGTACCGTACCACACACACACACACACACAGTTTCCCTGAATGATGACTCACTCTGTTTTTTTTGTCTCCCTGCTCTGAACAAGAACAAATCTGGAGCTCTGAGTCGTTCACACATTCAGCTCCAGTTAAAGGATCAGTCTGCAGTTTTTGCTTCTATCAGCACAAACCCCAGAATGCACTCTATTCTGTGTTTACTCTGCCAAATGTCAAACTACAGATCAATCCTCTTGTGTTTGTGGTTGTATCTAAACTTTCCTCAGGATGTTGTAAGAGAAGGTGTAGACTAAACTCTTCGTCAAATGATTTACTGAGACCCCACATAAGTCTACGTAAGTCAGCATAACTAAGACCTGGTCTAAGCCTGAGACAGTCCTAACTGTAAGCTTCATTGAGATGAGGTCTGCCTCCCAGATCCTGACCGGTATATGATTCCTAAGGAGAGGAGCTGAAAGCACTACCTCCTATACTAGTTTTGGATTATGGATTGGATTGGATGTGTTCTGTTCTAGAGGGCTGATGGGGACACATGATGACAGGGAGGTTTTCAGATGATTGTCTCCTTGCTGGTTGTCGGGTCAGGTCTGTAAAAGAGGTCTGGTGTGATTCAATTACCATATGTGGAAGTCAGGTCAAGTTTCTGCAGTTCAGAATATCCTAACCCACATGAGAGATCCACATTCAGAGCTGGTACTGAACTCACTGAAAGAGTCTCACCAGGTTTGGTTGATGAAGACTGAACTTAGTGTTTTCTGAAGTGTGGGGCTCCTGTGGATTGATTAGATTGGTTTCTCTGAATCATCATTTCACAGATTGAGCTTGACTTTTCTGAAAAAAATCAGTAGATTATTGAAAGATGTTTTTTTTTTAAATTTTGTTTTATTCAAGATATTTCATCCATTTCCTCAAATAGTCTCCCAGTCCTCTTTGGCATCCCTGTAGACTTTCGCAAAGGTATTTATAGATCCTCTTGAAGATCCAAAGGGTACCTGCTTTGTTAATGGGAGTGAAAGTCGACAGATGAAGCAACAGTAAATAAGATTAGATTAGATGAGATAAACCCTTAGTGGTCCACGGGGGGTTAATTTGGGTGTCACATCAGCGAACAGCCAGATTAGGACAGGTCTGGAGGACAAACAAAGTCCTCAGGAGAGGGATGTCAGATCTGCTGGTCTTAATAAAGTTATGTTTTGGTGTCTGACTGTGTAACAGGCCAACCTGGAACATTGTTCTCTATGTATTCAGGTCACGTTTGGAGTCATCAAAGTAGCTTTGAAAGAGTATTTTGGTAAAGCTGGAGTTCAACTAATGATGACCTGGAACGTTTTTATTAGATACGGATCAGAAAGCACATCAATCAATCAATCACTTAATTTATAAAGCACTTTTCATATATAAACTGTATCACAATATGCTGTACCTTAAAGAACACAAGAAGGAGAGGATTAGGGGTTACAAAATAAAATACAAAATGAAACTGCAAACACTACAAACTGCAAAACCCCACCCATCCACCCTCCAAGCCCGCATTTATCAGAGACCCCACCCACCCACCCACACACACACACACACACACACACACACACACACACACACACACACACACACACACACACACACACACACACACCGGGACACCAAGTCAGGGCTCAACAGGAAGCCACAGAGGACCAAAGAAACGCTATCTTAAACTAAAATGGGGAAACACTGGAGCTGAAACTAAACTGATAAAGCATGACAAGATGTAGGAAACTCATAAAATGATTTGAAAAAAATAATAATTAAAAAAAACAGCCCACCAGCAGTTTTTGACATTTCACTGTAGTCAATCTTTATGTGGATAGTTAACATGCCTGTTCAAGTCACACTTTGCACCAATTGATGGGATGCCTACATGTGACTTGTTGCCCATTTTCAAGATCCAAACACAGACAAACTACATCATGTTTTGAGATGTTACCTGTCATCTGTGCATGTTTACATCCAGATAGTAGAGCATACTATAACCAGAGCTACAGCGCTGCAGCTTAGGCAGGACAGGCATTTCAGAACTGCTGGGATCAAAATATGAAAAATTAGTGAATCAAACTAGCAGGTCTGGAGATTGAAAAATGTATGTCTGAAATCACTTTAATGCAGCATCCTTTTGAACACATAAATAGAGGCATGAACTGACCTTTGTGCATGCAGAGTCTGTATCTGAGGGTTACATGACTGTGGAATGTAAACATGCACTAGAGCTGTGGTACTCCAAAAAGGACTGATTGAGCAAGATGGATTTTAAGACAGTGTTGTCCTGCTTTACTCAGTCTTTGTTAATGTTGAGTTGCACAGGTATAGTCTGCTAAACAAACAGGATCAGAGAGTGTAATCATCCGCACTTACAGTGCATGTGCATCTGAGTGACGTAGAAATCGTATGCAGAAGAAAACATTGCCTTATTGTTTAATCAGAAGTCACCATCAAGGGCTTGTGATGCCAATGAAACTTAATTTTGAACATTAACAGAAATGATTATTAGGTTAAAGTCTGCAGTGGTAAGTTGATCAAAACAACATGTCCACCTGCTCCCTCTGTTCCTGGGTCCCAGAACTGCTGTCAGGAGGCTGGACAAAGTGTGGTAGAAGTAGTTTTTCCTGTTGCAGTACTTGGAAAAAAAATGCAAAGTTATTTGTTTCAGTACTGTACAACCCTAATCTGAACTATGAATGGACCCGAAGACAAGACAGGATGTTATAAGGACTCTTGACTTGACAGACACAGTAGTTTATAAAGAATCCCTTCAGTTTCAAAGAGGATGAGACCTTCAGAAATAATCTGGCTCTAGTTTTAAATGAGTTTAAAGACTTAAATACGCTGAGCCCCCCTGAAACAAACTTCCCCACGGTGAGCAGCAGTTGACTCACAGCCTCTCCTGATCTTTGTCTGTTGAACAACATGGAGGAAACAATGCTTTGAAAATATCAGATAGACTGTGATTTCACTCTCTCTGATTTCTAGTGTAAGTTTGAGTTCATGAGGCCTCCGGGTTACCTGAGGTGACCTGTGTGTGAGGAAGTGACTCTTCAGGGAGTGAGGGTCAAGCAGGAATAGGGAGTTTGAGGAGGATGTGACTCAGTGTTTCTCAGGATTCTAGATTATTTTGCATCAGGGTTTCTTTCTCTCCAGGATTTTTCCACCTTTACTTTTCACACCCTTGAATCTTACAGTCGGACAAAGGGGCCAACAGAGAGAGACGTACTGGTAGCTGCATGATGATCACATACACAGAAACCCTTCCAAATAATAGATCCCCCCCCCCCCCCCCCACACACACACACACACACACACACACACACACACGCTCATAAATGCTGCATTCATTCCTTGAAATGAGATGAACAAACAGCAGCTAAGCCGGCAGTAATGTGAACACAAAGACTTTATGTAACAGTGAGGGCGAGAGAGAGAGGGAAATGATGGAAAAAAAGAGAGAGAGAGAGAGCTCACAGAGGCCCTCTGTGTTATTAATCCTTCTGTTTTATTTTTAGATGATTACAAAATGATCAAAGTTTTTTTTAGGATAAATGGGTCACTCAGAATACCCCAGAAGTCTCAAAGTTTCCCAATAGTATCTGTAATTCAGTTTCCAAACACCGTCATCGTCATCCTCAGATTTTAAATCTGTGTGAAGAAAAATCAAACATCTGACTGAATTTATGACCACTAGCTTCATGTCATTTAGTTTGTTAGGATTCCTATCAGCTTCAGCATTGTTGCAGCCACTGATACTGTAGTTATGCTAAATTCATAAAGTTTAAAACTCTGTGCTCGCTTAATTAACTACAAAAGGCCATTGTTGCCATTGGCAAAAAAGAAAGAGGACTTAGCCTTATTAACAATATTTTTTAAAAAATATATAAAAATAATTCTGAAAAATTATGAGATAAAAAGTCATCCGTATGAGATGAAAAATCACTTTTACAAGATAAACGCAGAAATAGCTACAAAGTAAGAGAACAAAATTGGGTTAAAAGTCATAGATAGGAGATAAGAAGTCATACTTCTGATATGAAAGTGAAAGTAATTTCAAATGAAGACGAAATGATTGAATTCAAAGTCCTGAATATGAGATTTAAAGTCACACATATGAGATGAATAATCATAATAATGAGAAAGGAGCTCTAAAATTCACACTCAACTATTTTTTTTTTTCATATTGGGTGTCCTCTCTGTCCTCTGGTCTGATTTCAGCGAGCAGGAAAGAGTTCTGGAGCGTACTCGTGGAGTTTTGTGGGTGATGACAGCACACTGAGACACTTAATGAGAGGGAGGCTGAACTAATGAGAGAGCCGACTCAATCTGTGCCTCAGTGTGTGAGCTGACCTGGCCTTCACCCCCCACAGCCTCGTCCTCTGACCCACTCTGTGACTCCGGCTAGGAGCAGCAGGGACTCACACTGACCTGCAGCTGGATGCAGATCCAGCCTCAGGTTCTCTCTGGTTTCATCCTCAGCTCAGCTCAGACTGAGACCAGAACAAGCTGTGAACCTGCTGCAGCTCAGCGGCAGCAAAACAGTGAGCGGATCAGGGGTGTGACTCTTCAGGATTCTGGATGTGTGTGTGTTCTTCCAACTCTGTTAGGACCGAAAAAAATGAAACATTGACATGTGACTGATAAGTGGCTGTTATTACTCAGCTGTTGAATTTGATCAAATGCAATAAGGTGATCAGCTGGTGAGCTCTGTCATCATCAGTATCAGCCATTAAAAACACAGTATTAGCTAACCACTGGTTCAGTGCAGCTATCAAATGTGTTGTTTGGCAGCACCGTGAGTTTTTCAGGACTGATGCTGAGCGGTGCTGTCTGCAGAGAGGTCCCTAGTTTGATTCCCTGGCCAGGCAGCAGCTTTTCTACACCGAGTTTGCATGCTCTCCCCATTTTCCTCTGCTACTCCGGCGTCCTTCAACAGTACAGTGCATCCCCTAAGAGCCACGCTGTGATGAAGTCCTGACTCTGTCATACTGTGTGTGTGCTTCCTCCCTTGCTGGGTCACTTCAGTCAAACTTTCACACCCGACTTTGTTTACGTCATAGGCAGTATAATGTCACGACAACACAGCCGCTCCTGGCAGAGAAGTGGAACTGTATGTGAACTCCAAAATTCACACTAAACTGTCCCCCTAAACTCTTAGGAGGGCTCTGCTGTAGATCAGGTGCTGTTTTAGCTTAATCACTGATGGTCCTCTCCAGCTTGTTTTGGCCTCTGATAATTGTGGAGGACGGTGCTGTCATGCATGTGACTCAGGTGTGAGGTTGGGATGTGTGACTGTGAGTTTGTGTAGGACTTAGGCCTAGGCGATTTTGCAAAAAAAAAAAAAAAGATAATTTTTTATACATTTTATATATACAATATATTTTGTCATATCGTCCGATCTCGATTATTATTACGATTTTTTTTAACTGCCAGTTTTAAAGCATCTGTACTAAAAACTAAAGAAACAAGAGATTAATTCAACATTTTATCAACATACAAAGTAAATGACAAAGCAAACTGAATAATATACACTTAGAAAAATATAAAAACCATTTTAACTCAACAGAACAACAAATGTAGATAACACTTAATAATACAGTGAGTTAGTTTACAGTCCTGGGTGATTTTGCAGATATGCAAGACCCAAAATAAATAATTTGCCACCTCAGAGATAATGAAGACGTCTTAAAATGTAAACATTAGATGATATGATTGGTTGCTGCTTTGGTCTGGTGGCTGCACCGCTAGTTGTAGCTAAATTGCTAATGCTACTCGTGCCGTCAGCAATGGCAGGCTGTGCAGATGCCGCTCACATTTTCATGTTTTCCACATAATCACTCGGGAAGAACTTCCTCAAATGATTAAACAGATTTGTTGTGTAGCCGGTTTTTGAGGGCACCGATTGCCGACATACCTTGCACATCGGCTTATTGCTCGACGTCACTTTTGAGATACCGGAACCACCGCCACACAGCCGACAGTTGAATAACACAATAAGACCTTTGGAGAATAACTCTAAGTCATGGCTGACATCTATTTTGCTGCTCTCAGCTCTGCATTCAGCTCCACATTCGGTCATTCTGTTTACTTCTCCGGCAACTTACAGAAGTGAGCAGGAAAAGCTTGACTCTGATTGGCTGTTGTGACGCACACTTCTGCTAGGTTTGATCGAGTAAATATGCTCACGATTACCTTGATCGAACTGAAATTTATCACAATCATCGATCACGATCATATAATCGCCCAGTCCTAGTGGGATGTTTCAGAATGTGTGTGTTTAACGTGAGTATTTATGTTTGTGAAGTATTGTGCTTTACAAAGACAACAATGACTCACTTGTTTCTTGGTTTATTTATTTATTATTATTATTATTGTAAGTGTTTTGAAAACAGTGAAATCATGATTTAAGATCTCGTCATGCAGGGACCGTTTTCAGCTGCAGAATAATCATCCATAACATCATCTGCACTCATATATTTGGACGCCATGTTCTGTTTTTCTAGAGTAGTTTTGTAGCCTTAATTGCAGTACATCAGTGTGTGTGTGTTGTATTGTGTGTTTCCTTGCTGATAATAGAGGTTTTGTAAATGCAGCCATCACTGACTCATGAGTGATTCAGCTTTCTGCAGATTGCGACAGGACAAGGACCCACAACCACAAACTGCTGATCAGCTGACATAGAAAGTGTGTCCTTGAGTTTAACATGGGTTAGATTGATAAAGCCCGGAGTGTTGTTGTCATGGTAACCTCTGTGTGAGCCTCTGACTGGTGCAGAGGTGTGTGACCTTAAGAAAACATCAAACAACAGAACTGGCAGAATTCCTGAAGTTATGTCTATTTTTGAAGCAATAGAATCACACAGTTGATCCGTGTTTATGGATCATGGATTATGGATCAGTGTTGAAATTATTTGTGATGTCATGCACCTGTTTGGGGGACTGCAGGGGGGCAGGTGAGGATTTAGTTGCAGTTTTTGTGTTTGCTGCTACTGGATCCCGTGGAGAGAGATGAACAGTGGAGGGGTATGTGCTGTTCTAGGTTGGCTGAAAACCAGACTGGCTGCTATGATCTGGATCATCTGCAGTGGTCTGACTGTACATGCAGGAAGGTCTGCCAGTAAAGAGTTGCAGAGGTCAATGTGTGATATTACAAGAGTCTGTACCAGGAATTGTGTCAGATGGGGTCTGAACCTCCTGTTGTTATAGAGCACAAAGGAGCTGACTGGGATGATGAAGAGCTTATTTTTGGACAGGGTGAGCTGTTGGAGGTGTTTCTTCACTCATTTATCACTGATCACCAGCCCTGTTACAGTCACTTCCTCAAAGAAAACTTCTGGTATAATGTAAGCTAAGGAACTGGATGAATAATGGTTAGGAAGTATGAATGTTCAAGTGATTAGTGAACTGAAGAGGCAGAGGTGTATACATTTTTTTTTTTTTTTAATTCACATGAATAAATATTCAAATTTGGGGTTTTAAAAGTGCTGACTCGTCTCTTTGAGCTTGCCTGGTAGCTGCTGCTGCTTATTCTTCATCTAGTGATCTGGACTTCAGAAAACCTGGGAAATATTCTTGATTTTCTCAGTGGTCAGTTTGTTTCCTTCAGCTCTGTTAACCGTCTGTCTGTTTCCTCCAACAGACTCCAAGCAGACAGAACACCTCTCCTCCTATCAGCTGACTGTCCCTCGACCAATAGGAGGCAGGCTGAGGCGAGATGTGGACGGACAACTCCCCAATCAGGTACTGAAGATTTACTGTCCTGTAATGTTGAAAGCAGGTTTTCTTTACTCCCTGTATGACCTCTGACCTTCAGGAACCACAAACTCAGCAGGTCATCTTCCTGTCTGTGTGTCCCTGCTCTGCCCTTCCTTAGCTGGCAGCTCATAATCACTCCTCACTTTAACAAAAACATACCATGAAGTCTTTAAACCAGTGTGGAGACCAACCATCTGAGAGAAGTTTCAGGATGGCTTTTATCTGTAACTTCATGTTCTAGTGCATACATCCTTTCAAAATAAAAACACATTTGTTATCAAAACATGGAAAACCATATAATGAAACCAGCATCATGAATTGCCATCTATCCTGAGTTGAGTTCATCATTTCATCCTTACTCTTTCCCAGCTTTGTTATTAGGTAGCCTGTATACAGGGAAGCTGCAGGGTTGACTCTGCTGTATGACAGGCCTCCTCTGTGGAAAAATATGAGATTTCAAAGGAAGACAGAAACCTAGAGCTGTGGGGTGCTGAGTGAAAAGTGTCCCCAGTAGAAACAGAGTGGTGAAATAAAGGTTCCACAGGAGAAACACCCGGTTTTATTAGTTTGGCTCCTCCATGGCACACAAGGAGGAGTTTAGTGAAATCACACTTTGTCAAACTGAAATGAGTCAGAGAGAAAGGTGGACCTGAAACTCCTCTACCCTGAGGTCTAATATGAGACTGCTAATGTGGCCGGACCACCTTAAAACATGCAGACACACACACACACTGAGCAGAGCCTGTTGTTAGAGGGGGATTTAATCTGCTAAGTGTGTGTGTGTTGTGTGTGTGTGTGTGTGTGTGTGTGTGTGTGTGTGTGTGTGTGTGTGTGTGTGTGTGTCTCCTCTGCTGTCATCTTCTTTTCCACCCTGCATTCTGGAACAGGTTTGGTACACACACACACACACACACACACACACACACACACACACACACACACACACACACACACACACACACACACACACACACACACATGCATGCACTACAGTGAAATGTGAGCATGCTCAGAGGGTGTGACATTGTGTGAAAGAATGATTGTGTGTATGTGTGTGTCAGCCTGCAGCCATGTTTTCTTCCCCCGCTCTGTCAGATGTGTTTTACTCTCTGCAGGCAACAAATCACAGCAGATGGCTGAACAAACTCTTTATGTTTTCATCTTGAACTCGCCCCTTTGACCTCTTTCTTTACCTTTTATTGACACTTTATCAACACAGAGGACTTTTCTGAACACATACTCGACCCCAATCCCATAGGAGCATGTTTAGTTACATTATTTTATTTGGATTTTTTTCTCTTTTTTTCTCTTTTTCTTTTGTTTGTTTGTAATCTGTATTGTCTGTTGGTACTCTAATTCTGCTTATGTTATTAATGTTTTATCTGTATTTTTTGGACCCTCTTGAAAATAAGATGCTACATCTCAAGGTGCTATCCTTACATAAATTCAAATACATTCAAATTCACAGGTGTCACTGCATTAAAAACAGACAGGACTCTAGAGTGGAACTTACTGCATGGGCTTAAAATCACTTTCAAAATCCACTGTTTGTGAACATGGTTCATCACTGCATCTACAAATGAGGTTAAAGCTGAACCGTATAGAGGAAATCGGAGAAAAGTGTTTCTTAGAGGAGTAAAAATTGAAAATTGGGGGGGAAAATTAGACAAAAATGTACATGAGTAGGGGTACTGACTGCCCAGCACTCCAGGTGGGTTCAGTTCCACCCTATGGCCCCTTTCCTGCAGGTCATTCCCTACTCTCCCCTGTTTCCTGCTCTATCTACTGTCCTCTACCTGCCAATAAAGGACAAAAAAAAGAGATCTTAAACAATAAATAAATCAACGTACAAATTCCCAAAAGTAGGAGTGCCAATGGCCTTGGGCTTAAGTGTGCCACATATACAGAGGCTGTAGCCCCTGTCGTAGCAGTCGCTGGTTCAGCTCCCTGCCACAGCTCTTTGTTGCATGTCTTCCTCAGTTCTCTGCTCTCCACAATTCCTGTCCCTGTCTTCAACTTTCCTGTCAAATAGAATAAAAAATTCCCCAAAAACACAACTCTAAGTCAAACCATAGGAGTGGGTTTAAGTTTACAGATCAGTATGATGTTCTTAGGGCTATGTGATAAAACGATAACGATATACACTACAGGCCAAAAGCTTGGAAGCAAGATCAGATTTGTACAAAAGAGATCATAGTTTCATATACATAATTTGCAACACAATAAATATGACTATTGTGTAAAGAGTAACTTATCAGGTATCAGGTATTTGAGTTATTGTTGCTTAGACTTTGCTTTCTTTAAAGTAACCTCCTCTGGCTTTAACAACAGCTTGGCATATACCAGGCATTTGTTCCACAAGTTTTCTAAGGTATGTTCCAGGGATTGCATTCCAAGCTTTCTTAAGTTCATTAAAAAGAGATTGTTGATTCGTGGGACGCATTTTTCTGACCGATAGATCCAATTATCCCGCACAAGCTCAATTGGAGAAAGGTCTGGAGACCGAGGGGGCCAAACCATCTTTTGAAGAGCACCTTCCTCTCCTTTTTTGTCAAGGTAACCCTGACAGAGCTTGGCAGAGTGCTTAGGGTCATTGTCTTGCTGCAAAACAAACTTATGAGCCACAAGTCTGAGTCCAGATGGAACAGCATGGTGCTGGAGGATGGAGTGGTACTGTTCCTTCTTCATGATACCCTTTACTTCAAACAAATCTCCTACTCCATCACCTGCAAAACATCCCCATACCATGGAACTACCACCTCCATGCTGAATTGTGTGTGTAACACATGGTGCTTTCAGATGTTCACCAGTTCGTCTGAGGACATGGACTCTGTGTTTTTAACCAAACAGTGCAAACTTGTTTCTAGTCATCATAAGTCCAATTTTTGTGAGCTTTTGCCCACTCATATCTCTTTTTCTTGTTCTGTGGACGAAGTAGTGTTTTTTTGCAGATACACAACCCTTCAGACCAGTCTTTCTCAAATATATATCTCAGAGATATGGGTTTCGACCTTGTCATGTTGATTTCCTCCCTTATTTGTGATGCTGTCTTTTGCCGATCTCTCTAACTGGTGACAATGCTATGTTTATCCTCTGCTTTCATCCTTTTGTCTTTTGTCCAGGTCTTTTTCTATGACAATGCTATGTTTATCCTCTGCTTTTGCTGTAACTCTCTTTCGTCTAGGGCTTTTCCTATTATCATAACTTCCAGGTTCTTCTAGTCTCTTCAGAGTGTAGTGGACTCTCAAAAGCCAAAAAGTTGAAGTGAATAATCCAACTATGATTTGTTTTTTGCTTTTGCACTGAAGTTGTGACTCTTGCAAATGTTTTCAACCCTAAAACTACGCCCTTATTATCTTTTGCTGACATATATTTAGCAATGGTCTGTTAACATCAATGTATATCTAAAGGTAAATGGAGTAAAATGGTGCATTTCCATGAAAGCAACATCTGATCATGGAGTAAATACATCCCAAAATACATAAAACTCATGCTGGATTTTAAAAACAGCATTGTGAACAAAAACTTGGGAGGTACTCCCAACTGTTCGGCCTGTAATGGCCTTGCTTCCAAACTTTTGGCCTGTAGTGTATATTGAAAATTAATTTCCCTCAATATCAATATAAAACATGGTCAATATGCTTTTCGATAGACAGCATTCTGCCATGTTTTGGTAGACTATATGAATAGCCAATGAAAAGGGGAGTTGCTCAAGGTCTGCTTCACGCCGAACCAATCATGTGCTGAATTAGAACCAAGTAGCAAAAAACTGCGTAGTAGCAGGCTGCAGCTACACGCAACCATAACACTTCAACGTGAAGCTGACTGCACTGTCGGTGCAAATGATGACATCGTCAACAACACTGGCATGAAAATGTTGGTGGTGTGGAGGTATTTTGTTTTTTTGAGGTTGGACATGAAGCAGAGTGATGTGCACTGCAGTTTATGTCAAGTACATGTTCACGCAAAGTCGTGGAATACCTCAAATCTTTTTCACCACCTGAAGCAGTGCCATGCGGCAGAGCACGCACAATGCAAAAGGTTACAAGCCGAGCAAGGAGCCCATGGCGCCTGTGCAGCCAAGACAGCTGACCATTCAGTCCGCTTTCTCTAGCGCAACACTTAACGACAAAATGTTGAAGAGACACAAACACCTCACAGATGCAGGTTATTGTATTGCAAAAGACAAGCTACTAATAAGCACTGTTAAATTTCATTTTTTACATCGTGACATATATCGATATTGACTGATATGAAAAAAATATATTGTGATAAACTTTTTCCCATATCGCCCAGCCCTAGTTGTTATAAATGTGCCCATTAGACTGGAAGGCCAGTACAATCTTATCTCTGTCTGTCTCAGTCTGTACACTTGTTCCCTCCTGACCTTATAGTAATGATGATAAATATTAGACAGTTTGATTGACATGATTTCCCTCTCAGCTGTGTCCATCCAGCACAGTATCTCATGTTCGTCGCTGTATGATGTCAGCACAGTGGTATCTGAAACACGTCACCTCCCACTGATCTGTCTGCAGGACACCACGCTCTGCGGGAGAGATAGGCTGCTGCTGCTGCTGACAGTGAAACCTGATAATGAGTGGTAATCATAAACATGTTCGATAAGAGATTTTTATGTGTGGTTGTTTACAAAGAAGAAAGATAAAACTACTTCAAAACCTGCTGTTGAAAGAATATGACTCATGACTGCTCTCGCTAAAAAAGCTGTGTTTAAGTGGGAAAGAGTCACAGGAGCCTCTTCACTTTCTGTTTTTGTCCTTTTTCCTTTCACCAAAAACTCATCAGCTTTCTCAGCTGTTTGTTTGGCTCCTTCTCAAGCAGATGATGGATTCAGAGCCAGTTCACTCTGTGAGTCCAGGTGTGTTTGTTTAATGGTGTCCACTCCAGCTGACAGAGGAAGCAAGTCCAACTTAACCGATCCTAAAAAAAAAAGGAATGAACACTGAAACTACCACTACTAAAGGAGCAGAATGATAGGCTGCTTTTAGAGCCCACTCTTAGGACCTAAACCAGGGACTGAGTCTGTGACATAACTGTATCAGGAAGGTTTGGTAGTGAAATGAAAATAACGGCTGATGTTCATTGGACAGGTTTGTTCTTAATAAAGACAAAATGACGTGTAGTCACATCACAGGAGCAAACCTAACCTGCAGAAACAGATCCATTTAAAGAGAACATTAGAAACTAAAAATATGAATTCAGAAGTTTTGGTCGAGATCAAACTCCGGGCAGAGTTTGGTTACTGCTATGTGTTTGATTCAGCCTCCCACGCTCTCCCTGTTGACCTTTGACCCCTGCTGTGTTAGAGGATAAAGAAGCTGCTGTTGGCAGCTGGTAGATGTAGTCCACCGCTGATTTCCTCTCCTTTAATCACCTCAGACACACACACACACACACACACACACACACACACACACACACACGCAGAGAGGTGTTGTGTGTGTGCGTGTGTGTGCTCACCTCTGCAGTACTTGCATACCTGCTGGTAGATGTAGCTCACACACACACACAAACACACACCAGGGTAACTGTGTGCCAGGTGAGTCAGAGGCTCAGGTGACCTTGAAGTTTAGTTTTCTGTTTGAGTTTTTGAAGCTTTTCTCACCTGTTCCTGCTCTGGGCCAACAGATTCATGCCAGACTGGACTTAGGTTTGGGAAGTGTTCTGGTTTCTGAAGTACATTCATAGTCTTGATGGTACCAACTGATCCTGTGTCAGCAAGCTTTGGTGTGTGTAGAAAACACAGTCTGTATGGAGAAAGCAAAAGCAGGTCGGTCCACTGGCACTTGAAGGTGCCAGCTGAAGAGGGTTCAGGTTTCTGAACAGTGAGGTGCCCCCACTGTAGTGATTTCCAGATACACCCAACCATAACATAGACTTGAACTCGCTCTAGGGATCCCACATCTGGTCTGGCCTGGGAATGCCTCAGAATTCCCAAAGCATTCCTGGGAAATGTTGCTGAAGGGTGGGAGGTCTGGGTTGACTTGCTCAGCCTGCTGCCTCTGTAGCCTATCCCTGGAGGAAATGAACGAATTCAGGAGAAATTCTCAATCATTTTGAAGGAGTTTCAGCAAACTTAAGACCTGTGAGATACTCTAAATAAATCCGTTTTTTTTAGGTTCATGCTGCTGAAGAAAGCCAGTGTGAGGCCACTGAGTAATCGAGTACTGACTGTGAAACTGAGACTCGGTAGAAACAGATAAACAAGATCAAATGATAGCGCTTAAAAAAAGAGTCCCCTGTTTGTATTCCTGGATTTTCACTCATGTATACTCCTGTCTTCGTGATTCATATGCTTACACTTATCAAGCATTGTCGTATTTAACACACTAACATATTATGGGATCTGATTACTCAGTATCTGTTGGACTTCAGATTTTGAACGGTCATTATCCTCTGATTTACTGTCAGTCATTAAGCCACAGATCATTATAACATTAGCTTTTATTAGTTTAATTTATTTTAAACCTCTTTGTCTGTTGCAAAAATCAAGAATACACAACAGCAATAACAGCAGGGTCGTTATAACTAAAAAGAGGTCATGAAATAGCACAGGGTTTCACCACAACATGACAAACAATCACTAATCAAATACCACAAACCCTCTCATTACAGAAGACTTGACCTCATCTCACCCGGTCATTCCGCCTTTTACTGACGCACTGCTGTTGTTACTGTCCAATTGAATAAAAATCTAATGATAGTTTAATTTATCTTACTGCAAATAAGTACAGACTTGTCCACTTTTAACACTTTAAATTCATAAAGTAGAAGCTTTTCAGTTGTTCCACTCACCTTTGCTGGAGAGAAAACAGAAAACTAAAGAGAGTAAATACTAATACTAATAAAACCCCGTTTTTTATTTTAAATGGAAGATAAAAATGAGAATGACAGAAACATGAATAGGACCTGGAGTGGGTGATTGATGATCAGGTTGGCCATGAAGTTTATTTCTATCCCAGGGTGTTTCCAATAAATGTTTTAGAGGAGTGGGTATTTCAGTTGATGCTGTAAAATGTGTATATTACTACGTTTGTAGAAATGACTCGCTCATCGTGTCTCTCTTCAGGTCTCTTACAGCATCACTGTGGATGGAAAAGATCACGTTGTTCATTTGGAGAGAAATGAGTGAGTTCTGGTTTTATCTTCTATATCTGTGTTTGTTCATGTGATGTTTGTTCAGCAACATAGTTTAAGGTGTTTAAATTGAGAGGGATAGGGTGTGAGAAAAAACACAAGGGAAGAGGATGCAAAATAGACTTACATGACTGTTAGTTTCAGAGTTCCCGAACATTTTTGTAATTTTGTCAAACCATGTTTTTAAATTGACAGATCTCTGAAGGGAAAACGTCCAAAAGATGCTGTAACTTTTCGCAAGAAACCATTATAATTGTCTCATTAGCAAACAAAACACATACAAATATTTCAGATACTCCTCAGATATCATTGATGTGAAGAATGAAAAGTTTTCAGGTCCCAACACTGAGCCCTGGGGGACCCCACATCAATAACTGTGATGTCATGTTTTCTCATTTCAGCCTGCTGCTCCCCACAGACTTCACTATGTACACCTACAGTCAGAACGGATCACTGATCACATCCAGACCACCTGTACAGGTAACACACACACAGACACACACAGAGCTGAGCCCAGCTTTTCTTCCAATCATAGAGCAATCTGGTTAACCAGGAAGTGGGTGACAAAACACTTTGATCATGTGACTGCGAATGAAGTCAAACAGGAAGCTGGGATCATAGGAGGAGGATGAGTCGGTGGAGTCATGAAGTGAAACAGACAAAAGCAGAAATGACAGCAGAGATGACAAAATAACAAACAATAAGTTAAATCCTGGGCAGACGGTTCACATGACCAAAACCTAACGACATCAGGAATTAAAGCCACGTTTTGACACAGGGTCCTTTCACTAATAAAGCAGAACCTTCTGTGTTTGATTATCTGTTTTCAGCTCATGATTTCCAAATTAGATCTCAACATAAACAGTTGATTTGAAGGAGATTATAAAATCTGATCTGATCAGCTGTTCTCAGTGACTGAGATGACGTTCATTGTTTGTACTGGTCGGAGCAACATTGAGGCTCAACTGAAACTGTAGTGTTTATTGAAAGAAGAAAGGCATGATGGGAGTTTTGTCTGGCTGTGTGTGTGTGTGTGTTGAGGGAATGCATTGATATTTCCTGTCTGCTGACCGACTGCACTCTTTATCCCAGTTTTCCTCTCCTCCACTCGTCTGTTTGCAGAGTTAGAGATCTGATGTTTGATCACATAGTAATGGCTGACTCTGACTGGACTCAGGTTTAAACTCCTGTCCATGAGTTCGACTCAAATACACTTGATTTGGTTTACATTTATTTAAAAATTACCAGAGACTGTTGAAGTCTCTCTTATCCTCCTTTACTCCTCCTCTTTGATGTAGAACCTTTTTCAAACCAGAGCTTTCCCTCTTTTTCTGTCTCCTCCAGTTTCTAGAACAGTTACAGTTAGTTTTCCTTTTAATAAGATAAAGGACTCCTACCTGCAGATGTGAAGCTGAAGTCTGCCCTCTGCTGGTTTCTTTGTGGTGCTGCAGTTTGAATCTGAACGTCAGTGTTCAGTAACTTCTCCTTGTCTGCTGCTGTGTTGTAGAAACACTGTCACTATCAGGGGTACATTCAAGACATGGAGGGTTCTGCTGTTGCTATGAGCATCTGCAACGGCCTCAGGTAACACATGCACACACACACACACACACACACACACACACACACTTTTCCAACACCTCAGAGTAAGGACAATGCTTTTGCTCATCCTGCTTTCAAAACAGTCAAACAAATGTTGGAAACATTTCAGGTGTTTCATCACAAGGGTTGTATTTGTTCATGTAATACACTGTTGACTAACTATTTATGTTTCTTATTTACATATAATGTAGTCCAGATTAATAATACAAAGTTTTTTGTTAAACCCCTTGAGTCCCAAACTTGCTGGTCCAACTTTGTGACCTGTGATAGTAAACGTGACGTCTCACTCTGACTGAAAAAGAAAAAAAAGTTTTCATCTCTTTTTCTCTTTTAGAGGAATGTTGCATCTTGCTGATGACAGCTACGGTATTGAACCTTTAGACTCTGACCCCCACCAGCACCTGGTGTATCGCCTGCAGGATGTGACATCACAGCCACGTGGATGTGGGACACTGCATGAAGATGAGAACCACCGCAACGACACAACAGAGCAGGCTCAGTACAAACCAGAGGAAATCCACCACAGACAGTACAGCAGGGTGTGTGAACTCCCTGATAAGAACACAAAACAACTACTCACACACACACACAAACAGACACTCTTTATTTAAGTAAATGAAATTTAATCTTGAGTTTTTGGTTTTGGTTTTGTGTGTAGATGAAGCGAGCTATTCTTCACACCACTCACTATGTGGAGCTGCTGCTGGTGGTAGACTATGACAGGGTAACACACACACACACACACACACACACTCCACTTTTAAAGAGTGTTTATATTTTATGGATAACCAAAACAATAAAAGCTTTATTGATGCTAAAATCAAAACTAAGAAAATATGAAACATCCAAGGACAGACAAACAGAGGACTCAATAAAACAGGAAGTGAGGAAACAAGGAAACAAGGAAACACTAACATGAGTTTATAATGAGGAAACACTGTTGGCTGAAATCAATGATGAGGACTCAAGAAAGAAAATTCATCAAATAAGTTTGAACATGAAGGAATAATAAAAATAATAAAATAACTGCTAAATGAATGAGTTAAAGTTGAGCGAGATAATAAAATACTAAAATATAAAACACTAAGAAATCATTAAGAAAATAAACAGAAGCATTAAAACATTAACATAACCCACAGTAATCAAATTATGTTTATATAATTATTTGGAATTTTCCCCTGTGGGACTATTAGGGGTAGGAACGTCTTATCTTATCTCATCTTATCTTATATATGTATAAGACATAATGTAATAAAACAGATTCAAATTAAGTTAAAATAATAGATAATAAATAAGTTAAAAAATAAAATACCTAAACTAGCTAAGTCAAACTCAGCTTAAAGTTTGAGAGTAAAACAGTTGGTTTGAGTTTACCATTAAAAATGTTAACACTCTGTGCTGCTCTCTGGTCAGCTGATTCACAGATGTGAGGCTCCATCAAAAGACCACAATCTGAAGACCTGAGGGCCTCCACAGGATCACATGATAGAAGCAGATCCAATAAATAAGTCGAAGGGAGACCATCAGAGCTTTAGGAACCAGTAAAAGAAGCTGAAATCTTATCTAAAAGATACTGGCAGCAGGTACAGAGACTTGAATCTTTATTTAGCCAGGTTAGTTTAACTGAGATCAGAGGGAGACCTGGCCAAGAGTGGCAACAACACAAAGGTTCAGCAACAAAACATCAGACTCATACAGCAGAACTAACAAAATCCTTGAAAGCTGTCAGAGTACAGATTTGCAAACAGAGAGGCTGGCTTCCAGACTTTTCGGCAGGGATTTAAAAACAGTCATTGGTCTGTATTTGCTCCAGGAAAAAGGTGCCAAAGAACTCAAAGCTTTGTGTCCCAGCTCAATTTAGACTTAAACAAAATACTGCACACTGACCGGAAGTTGCGAACTGATAAAATGGAGAAAAGGTATTTTGTTTAAAATGACTTCATAAGTGAAGCCATACCAGTGACTGAGTGTTTAAACTAGTCCCTCTGACTCTTGAATATAATGTTTGAATATTATCTCCTCCAAAGGCACATTTCTCTGGTTCAACAGGAAATGCAGAACTAAAACTGGTCCATCTGTAACACCTGACATCATGTTTGAACTTTTCCTTTAATGACAGTGTTTTAAGATCCTGAAGTTGTGTTTTCTTTCTCCAGTACAACTACAAGAACAGGAACGAGACAGCAGTCAGAGAGGAGATGGTTCATCTTGCAAACTTCATCGACAGTGTGAGTAAAAAAGGACACACTTGAGTTTTGACCCATTTCAGGGTCTGCAGCCTTCAGAGGGACGGTACACCACACAGACACCTGACCCTTTTTTAAGGCTTTCTCAAATTCACCTGAGATATTCAGAGAAACCTCTTCAGCCCAGGAGAGACTTGAACCTAGAAACATTTTCAAAGTGAAATGTCCACATAGATTTTCTGATCCTTTTCAGGTGCTTCAAATCATTGTCATTTGTTTGTGTTCAGATCTACATTCAGCTGAATGTAAGGGTGGTCCTGGTGGGACTAGAGATCTGGACCCAGCAGAACCTGATCAGCACAGATGGAGCAGCTGGAGAGGTGCTGAGTCGCTTCACCCAATGGAGGGAGAAAGAGCTGGTGACCCGCCGCCGCCACGACTCAGCACAACTCATCCTGTCAGTGTACACACGCACACACAGAAACAAACTCTGATCACACACACACACAGAAACACACTCTGATCACTCACTGAACACACTCCTGTTGTGTATAATAACAGTGCTTATTTCCCTGATGAAGACTCTGATTAAGATGATGATGATGTTGCAGGAAGAAGAGTTTTGGAGGGACAGCAGGGATGGCTTTTGTCTCCACGGTCTGCTCCAGAAGCCACGGGGGCGGGATCAACGCAGTATGCTGCTTTTGACTCTCTTCTCTTATTGGCCGATTCACCTGTCCATCTCTTCTACAATTAGCTAATAAGCATTTCAGTCTTTACCGCCTGTGTTCTGTAGAAATCTACAAAAGTTATTCAAAAACTTGTCGTGCCTATTTTTACGAATCAAATGTAACACCTCTGATCTCTGAGAATCCAGAGTTTTGAATAACCTTTATTAACAAACATCTCCCTCTCATTCTCTCAGTTTACCAACAACAACATCCCCTCCTTTGCGTCAATCGTGGCTCATGAACTAGGACACAACCTAGGGATGAACCACGACGACGGACGCTCCTGCACGTGCCCAGTGTCTGCCTGCATCATGAATTCTGGGGCCACGTAAGGCTAAGACACACACACACACACACACACACACACTTCTATCTTTTCCTGTTCCTCAGCTCCTCTCTCCTCCTCTCAGACCTACCCTTGCACCTCCCTCTGTCACCTCTCGCCACCTTCTCATCTCCTCTTCCCCACTCCTCTTCTCTCTCTCCTCTTTTCATGTCTTTCTTTTCCAGCTCCTGTCCTCCTTTTCTTTTCTGCCTGTCCCCTCTCCACCTCTTCATCTCCCACTTTCCTCTTCCTCCCATCCTTCCTCTCTTCCTCTCCTCTCCTCTAACTTCTCCTTTGTCTCATGCTTGACTCCTCTCCTTGCCTCTACCATCTAAGATCCTCATTTCTCCTTCCTCTCTTCTTGATTTTTTAATTCAGTTTTAAAGATTCTATTTGCAGAGAAGTGTAGAAAAATCGTTTTGTCAAAGTGCAGTTTGGTCAAAAATTGGACATACAGTAAAAAATTACAACACTTGGAGGTAGATTTGAAACAATTAGTAAATTGTTGTAAAGTTTGTTGTAAAGTAAAGTTTCAGCATCATTGTCATATTTTTCCTCTTCTTTCTCTGCAGAGGATCTAGAAATTTCAGCAGCTGCAGTGCAGACGACTTTGAGAAGATGATTTTGTTGACAGGGGGAACGTGTCTCCTGAACGTCCCTCGACCTGACGAGGCCTACAGCGCCCCCTTCTGTGGAAACAGACTGGTGGACATGGGGGAGGAGTGTGACTGTGGATCTGAGAAGGTCTGTAGACGAAACGTAAATTTGTCAGATCTGACTTTGTCTTCCGAGCGTATTTGTAAGCAGCCAAACTTCAAACAGAACTAGTTTCTCTGCTGGAGTAAAGCCACCTCAGAAACAGATGAAGAGCGTGTGTGTGTGTGTGTGTGTGTGTGTGTGTGTGTGTGTGTGTCTGTGTGTGTGTGTGTGTGTGTGTGTCTGTGTCTGTGTGTGTTTGTGTGTGTCACAGGAGTGTGAGAAGGACCCCTGCTGTGAGTTTCAGACCTGTAAGCTGAAGCCTGGAGCTCAGTGTGCGTATGGAGAGTGCTGCTCCAAGTGTCAGGTGAACAAACAACATTCATTCATCAGTTAGCACATAGGCCATCTCAGTTAAAGGGAGATTACTGTGTTTTTCTTCACTTATTTAATGGTGTAAAGCACTGACAGGTTCAGAAACTTTAAGATTTGCCCCGTTTGATCACTTCAGACCACAGCCTCATAGAGAATCAGATCATTCTTCTACACTTTGGATCACTTTACAGAGAAGATTTACCTTTTCATGTTTTTTTTCTTCTACAAACAACTCGACTGCGTTCTTCAAATTGATCAAAGCACTAGCTTAACCCTCAAAATACCTGGGGTCACTTTTGCACTGCGGCCTCCTTCTTAGTGCATCACAGACCCCGCTAGTTTGTGCCCTGGTGTTCATTGTTTTATAGTAATTTGATTAACTAAACAGTGAGTCAGCCTTTAAAAAAAAACATCTAACGTAAATCTCAGTCAGCTGGACAGAGACCAGCACTGTTTGACTCATTTGTCCTTTTTGTGTTTTCAGTACCTGCCTGGTGGAACAGTGTGTCGGTCCACAATAGATGATGAGTGTGATCTACCTGAGTACTGTAATGGCTCCTCGTCTCTCTGTCAGAGTGATGTCTTCAAACAGGTACACTGAGCTGCCACAGAGGGGCACTATATTCCCAGCTCACAGGTTTATGTTTGCCTCAGTGTTGTTGAGCCCTTGTGTGTGTGTGTCTGTCTGTGTGTGTGTTTCAGAACGGGCAGCCCTGCAGGAACCAGCAGGCCTACTGTTACAACGGGAAGTGTCAGCACTATGACGGACAGTGTCAGGCCATTTTTGGACCCAGTATGTCCTCCTGCATGTTTACAACCAAAACTCTCCTTCTGATGTCAAATGACGCAAAAGTTTCAGCTGCTGTTTACTGTAAACAAAGACATTTCTCCATGTAACAAGGATAATTATAACAGAGAGAAACATAACATGGTTTCAGAAACAGTTTGAAAGCACACCTTTTGTCTGCACCTTCTCCCTCTGGTGTGAAATTCACTGTGAGGTTAAACAGCTAAAAAAAAAAAAAAGGGGTTTTACTTGCAGCACTGGACAGATAGATGAACAGGAAATTGTTTGTGCTGTAACTGCTCTTCTGTCTTACTTTCTGCATGCATGCAGATGGATATTTATGGAGATATGAAGCAGCATTTTGAGATTGTGTTTTGCTGCTAAAGTGACCCACAGTTCTCAGTTGACCGCATCCCTAAAGTCCTCTAGAAATTAACTTGAATATCTCTTTATCACTCCCCTTCTCCTCTTCCTCAGAGGCAAAGGCTGCCCCTGAAGTCTGCTTCAAAGATGTCAACAGTAAAGGAGATCGCTTCGGCAACTGTGGCTACCACAACTATGGCTACAAGAAGTGTGAGAGCAGGTAACACACACAAATTTTTAAATGTGGTGTCAGCATCCTTGATGGTATGGGGGTCCTCAGAGTCCATGTCATGGGTATCTTCCACATCTGTGAAGGCTTCATTAATGCTGAACAATATCTACAGATTTAGGAGCAATATCTGCTGACATCCAGACAAAGACTTTTTCAGAGAAGACCTTCATTTTTTCAGGAGGACAATGACAAACCACAATCTGACAACAGGGATTACAACAGCATGGCTCTGTAGGAGAAGAGTTCTGACTTGTCCCCAATTTTAAAGACTCGGCACATGACGAAACAGAAATCAAAAGGAGACCCTGAACATTTAACCTCCCAAACTCCAGAAACTGGTCACCTTGAGACGAGCTGGTGCAACATGATGCTAAACATGCCCCTGTTAGTTACACTATCTTACAGTGTGGATGTAGTACTGAGATGAACTGGTTTGGATTTCAAGCTGATCTGCAGCTCACACCTGTTTTTGCCGGACTGGTTTCCTGTTAGTTGGATATCTCTGCAGAGCCAGGACCGTATAACTTAAAAATTCAGCAAAAGTCAAGAGGGACTCTGAGGCTCTGATGCTCTGTTAGTGAAATGATGTCTGTCTCCGTAGAAACGCTTTGTGTGGGAAGCTGCAGTGCTCCAACGTCCAGGCAGTGACCGTGTTTGGAATCGAACCGTCCATCATCAGCACACCAATTGCCGGAGGCAAATGTTACGGCGTGGACTTCATGTTGGGTTCAGACGTCCCTGACCCAGGCATGGTGAATGAAGGGACCAAGTGTGGAGACAACAAGGTGAGGAGGACTGAAAAGAGGTAAAGATAAGGAGGAGAGGAAAGAGATAAGAGGTAGATAATGATGGCTGTTCCTTCTTCTGCGGCGTTCAGGTGTGTATGAACTTTGAGTGCCGTAGTGCCGACATCCTAAACTACGACTGTGACGTGGAGAAGAAGTGTAACGGACACGGGGTAAGATGCATCCACCGCTCTATCTACCCGTGACTTTCTGTGAGGAGTATCAGACCATCACACACTCACCTGTCTGTCTCTCTGTTTGTCTGCCAGGTGTGTAACAGCAACAAAAACTGTCACTGTGATGAAGGCTGGGCTGCACCTTTCTGTGAGGTCAAAGGTTACGGGGGCAGCGTGGACAGTGGACCCACCTGGAACGGTAACTTAACATTACAGCTCACCTTCACAGCTCACATCTTCACTGACTGTCCTGCACATAAACTTGACAGTAAAATGGAAACTTTTGAATGTGCCTGTTTTGATTGGTCCAGCAGTCGTGAAACTCACTTTGAATGTCCGTCTGTCCCATTCAGATAAGGACACATCTCTCAGGGACGGTCTGCTGGTCTTCTTCTTCTTTGTTCTTCCTCTCCTCGCCCTGGGTGTGTTTGTTTTCCTGCGCAGGAACGAGCTTCTGCGGCGACTAGGGCTGAGCCGGAGGAAAAGATCGCAGGGATACCAGTGAGTCTTAAACTGGGAATGCATGATTCCTACAACACAAAGGTCACTCACATGTGGTCTAAACACCACGAATATTGACTTTTCTATGAGTGTTCAAACCCTGATCAAAAACTTAACAGTCGTAAGAGTAAAGCTGCTCAGATGTGGAGATCAAATCTGTTCAGGTTCATTTACTGAATCTAAAGTTCTCGACATTACTGTCTTTCTTGATGACTGCATTTCCTGAACTCAAACAGTTAGCAGCAGCTGACAGCAGAGGCCGAGTCAGCAGTTTTTTTTTCTATAAATAATCAGTCCAAACTGACAGACAGCACATCTGACTTCTGTTCCTGGTGCTGCATTCAAGGACACTCAGCCCACTGTTCTGGAAATGTCCTCTGTGCTGCATTCAATGACATTTTAACCCTGCTCCAGGACTGACCCTTGTTCACTTCATCAGCTGCTCTCAATCTGTCCGTTGTGCTGCATTCAAAGACAGTCCAAAAGCTGCAATGAAATGTTCCTCTATATGTTTATGGACACTCTAATGTCCTCTGTCCAAATGTTCTCTGTGATTCAGTCAAGAACTTTCCAAAGGTTTGCTTCTGCACTGCATGACGGGACTTTCATACTACTGCTCCCAAACTGCCCACTGCGTGGAATTCAGGGATGTTTTTTTTAAAAAACTGATCAAATTATTCCACCAGGCTGCTTTCCAATACACCAAAAAACTGATATTAAACTGTCCTTTGGATTTCATTCAAGTTGCATTTGTTCATGTCACAATGTGGCGAACCCCCCACACATGCGTGCAATGGTAATACAAGTGTGCAGGGGGTCTGTTTTGGAAAAGCTTTAACACTCACACGTGCCGCATTCAAGGACATTCCAAAACTTAAGTTAACTAATCTTGAATGCTGCGTGCATTTCTTTCTTGCTGTCCTCTTTGCTTCATCCAGAGGTACATCTACAACAACTCTAGAACTGACCTCTTCTGCTGCATTCAAGGACACTGACAGTTTCTTCAAATTCAGCTCTGTGCTGCCTTCATGATCATTCCTAAAAAACTGCTCTGGAAGTTTACCGGTGCAGCTTTCAAATGCTCCCTGTCTACATATTATATGCATTTGACGACTCACTCAGCAGCTCTAAAACTCTCCTCTAAGCTACACAAATATAGTTTCTCAGTGTTTTACATGTGCAAAGATTAACACTGTGGAAAATTGTACCTTCATGCAAAAAAATAATGAACAACTCAAAAACTTTCTTGCAGATCCACAAAACTTTTTAACGTTCTCACAGGTTAAAAATAGCTTATATGACTATTAATTGACCCCAGACATCCAGGAATACAGACATTCAGTCCAGATGACCTTGTGTCTGACTGATATTTTTCTGCTAGAGCTTTGAAACTTCACTCATTGAACTTTTGTAAAATCTTGTCTGCAGGGCTGACGGTGCAGCTTCAGCCAATCCCAGCAGAGGACCGCCCCCTAGAGCACCGCCACCATCTGTAGCACGGGGCAACACCAACAACATTGTTAGAGACGGGGTGAGTTTACAGCAACCAGTTCGGCAACATTGAGGCAGAGTTTTCAGTGTTTGCCAGTGTTTGTGATAGTTTGAACTACTAACACTTTCAGTTTGATCAGCTGTTTTACAACACTGTGTATGAATTAGACCGTCTGTTTGTGAATTAATCCAGTTCATTTTGCTTTTAAATAATTTTTTCTACTTGTGGACCGTTAGTTATAAAGTAGGCAGCAAATGTAATAACCTAAACATACAAACTCTTATAAAACTGCACATGACACCGCTGATCAGGAGGCTGCTGCTGAGGATGTCACTGTGCTGCCGGTAAGCCTCTTTCTCAGATTAGTTTGTTCGGTCTTTGGCATCTGACATGGTCCATGCAGCCCATCCAGCCGTCTTTCCTCAGCTGAGACTAAAACTAAAAAGTTAATCTGTTCTCCTTTATTAGAGACAACTAAATTTTTTGAAGATGTCAGAAAATGCACAAAAATTCCCTGACTGTTAATATTTTTAGTCACTGCACTCACAAAGCTCTCCGGTAAATATAGTTCAGCTTTTTGAACTATCCCCAGGATGAGCTACACTCTCACTCTCCTGCTCATGAGTGGCAAAATTAGCTAATGTCCTCATTTGCACATGTTCAAGCAAAAAAAGTATCCACAGGGCTGGTCCTGGCTCCTGACCCACAAGAAAAGGGCTGGGCCTCACCTTTTTCAATGTCAGTGGGGTGAAGAAACTGTGCACAGTTCATCTCATACACACAGTTTCTTTGAGGGAATGACCTCCAGGTCTGAGCTGCTGCTGACGCCAGGTCAGGATTTTTTTCCATTGTTTCCTTGCACAAAAGTCAATTCTAAACACAGACAGCGCTATAAAACAGACTTCATGGTTACAACTAAGGGGAGCAAAAGTGCAACTTGTGTTACCTAGCAACAGCACTAGTAAGAGGCGCTCTAAAAATTGAGGTCGATAGCCCTACCAGCACAAAGAAAGTCATTAGTTGACACAGACTCGCATGTAGGTATTTAGGAATGGATTTGAGTTCAAACATCTCTCATGCAACACAGGACAGGGGAAACAGCTTAACACAGCCTGACACAGATTTCATGCTTCAGTCAAAACAAAGATGCATGGAGTTAAAATTCACGTCTATATGTAGCACTCAGTGCAGATCTGGACCATCTCTGCAAAATACTTGTTTTCTACTGCATAACACAACTTTGAATGTAATCAAGCACTAAACTGAGCATGTGCAGCACAATGCATCTGCTTTACTGTGCATGCATGGACCATATTTCAGACTTTGGCTTTCTTTGTTTCTATGACAACCATATGTTTTTTAGCATATATTACCCAGAAAAGTTATTCAGTGAGTTTGTACTTAGACCTGACAGTTTGTTTTCCGCCCTCAGTGTTTTTATGCATGTTTAGTCTTATTGGTTTTCAAGCTTGTTATTTATCAACCCACTTAAAGAGAAGTTTGTTAACTGATAGATCAGCTGTGTATACTCATGTGTTAATGAATTCACCAGTGAGAGGCTGTTGACTGATGATTATTAATTGATTACTGTCTGACCAGAAGAGTCAGTCAAAAGCAGATGGTGGTTTGACTGGTGATTGATTAACACATCAGCTAGTTAGCAGATTAGTATGTGTGTGTGTGTGTGTGTGTGTGTGTGTGTGTGTGTGTGTGTGTGTGTGTGTGTGTGCGTGCGTGCGTGCGTGCGTGCGGGTGTGTTACTGACAGAACTAACTCATATTAACAAGTTATTACCTCCTCTGCTCTCTCTCCATGTCAAGAACCACGCTCAGCTCCTGCCACCACAGGAGGTAAAGCACTGCAGTTATAATCACACTGTTAGAATACTAATATCATCTGTAATATCTCTACCATAATACTGCTAATATCACCTCAAATGCCACTACAGTAACACTCCTAATATCACTTCTAATACTGCACCTGTAGTGCTACTGTGCTTCTGATTAGTTTTCTTGACATTTCTCTTTTCTTCAATAAAAAAAATCTCTTCAACATTTTTGTATCTAACATTAAAATTAAACCTGTCTAAAGTTGTAGTAATAAAGGGTAAGACAAACCTCAACTTTTTATGTTTTTTGTGTTTTTTTATGTTTGTGTGTGATCAGGTGGTGGAGACCAGCAGGACAGCTCCATCCTACTCTCTGAGGCCTCCTCCTCCTCCTCTGTAAGATAAACACAACCACATACAACTCCAGTAAAGACACTTTTCACTCACACACACGGAGCTCTTTTATTTCCAGGATTCACATTCAGCTGTAAAAGCATTGTGCACAGACTGTTGGAGTTATTGTTGTGAAATCCAAATATCACCCTGACAGCTCTGTTCTCGGGTCTGTCAAAGTGAATCGGTTTTTATTTCTCTCTTAGGAAACCCAAACCTTCTGCTGCGTCACAGCCTCTGGTGCCTCAAAGATCCGCCCCTCCTCCACCTGTTTAACCCAGAGGCCTCACCACACCCAGACCACACCCCTCCTCCGCCTCTTCTTCTTCGCCTTCTCCTTCGTCTTTTTTTCTCCCTCTTCACCCTCAGTACCCACCCACTCAGTGCTGGTGAACTGGCAGCAGCTGAGGAATCAATTTCTGGAGCCAAACAGCAGCTGGCCCAGAAGTTTGTGGGAACTGGTCTGAGAACAAGACCAGGCCTCTGGACTGGGATTTAACCAGAACAAACAGGAATGCAGTGGGACTGAACTGAAGCGGCAACTGATCTCTACAGACTGTCCTTTTTCTGTCTTTCTTTTCAAGTGCAAATCCGCACTTTATCAGGTGACGAACAGCCTGATCTGTCGCAAACCAGCCAATCAAACTCATCAAAGCAGTCACCAAGTCGAGCTCTAGATTAGCTAATCACTGTCCTTAAAAATACAAATGCATCACATCACATCCCAGCTGTTAAAAAATAGGTTTTACTTCTTTCTTAAAAATGATCCACTGTGATGTTTATCTTAAACGCCAGCTAACAAATATCTGCAGCCAGGATCAAAGCGTTAGCTTCTATGATTCTTAAGTCACATCATGCTGCTAACATTACAATACGTCCACCACTTCATTTGAGAGCCACTTAGTTTGCTTCTGAATACTTAATAGCCTAGCTATGCAAGCCTCCACATTCACTGTCCCTTATACCATATATGCAGTTAGCTTTGTTTGTGCTGAGTCATGGTACAGGTAAATATTTAATCATCATCAGTGAAAAGTCAAAGCAATTTTGATTGGCTCCCTGGTGGATATACAGATTTGAAAGAGCGCTGTTTTCAATTGCTGCCCTCCATGAGCACATATTACCCTAGGCTGCAGATCTAACAAACTATTCAGTCTGTTAACGCCCTTTACGGCGTCAGGCTCCTTATTATGATGTAGAGCGATTCCTCTCACTTTAAGCCCAGCCGCTGTTAGCTTGTTAGTGCATGTTAGCTCATGATCCCTACAGCCTCTCTGCTCCTCTCCCTGCTCTTCTCTCTTCACCTCCTGCATTAACTTCCTCATGCTCCCAAGCTTTGTTTCACGTTGATCTAAGCTGCTTATTGAAATCTTCAACTTTGCTGCTGACTGCTCAGAATCTGTCTGTCACAGTAAATGAATAAACTGAACAAAGACTCATCAAAAACAAAATCTCTTTTTTTCACCAAGAATCCTGTTAAAGTGTTATTACTAAAATTATGGCCACACATGTGATCTCAGCGCTGTAATGAACCAATGTTTCTACTGAGAGGTGCTTCATTCTGATTGGCTGGTTTGTAGGCAGAGGTCACTGGAGGTGGCACTTGCACACCTGTTTCTCTCTCTTTCTCTCTGTCTCTGTCTGAATGAAAGCACTGGTGCCGTCTGATTGCACTTTCTTCTGCTCAGCACTGTCATAGGAATGTAACGCACCCCGGCTGCTGTGTTCAGGTGCGCTCGATCTCTCCCCCCTCCTGCTCGCCTGGCACTCTCTGCAAAATTGTAAAAACAAAGTATGCAACAACAACACCACCTGAGTGTGAGTGAGTGCAGAGTCTTCTCTGGACTTAGATCTGTGGTACTGTGATGTTGTGACTGCTGGCTGACATCTCTGCAGGGAATGTATGTGCTTGTCGCCGTTATTATTACTTTACCACAAAGAAACTCGCCCTGAAAGACTTCAATGCTGTTCAACCTGATATCTGTAAAGTTCAGCATCCCATGTCACCAAATACTCAGGAGGATTTATGTCAGTATCAGTGATTTAACTTAGTCACACTCGTTCATTCAAGGTTGATCAGAGGCCTCCTAGGAAATGTAGGTTTGGACATCTAAACTGCAGGTTAATAGTTGACCACTATGCTCAGAGTACATCCTCTGAGCACTGAGAGGAGTTGAGTGTGACAGAAGTACAAATTGCTTTTTCCAAAATATGTTACATATTCTGCAGAAAGCAGACTGAGCATAGTGTTGAAGTAACTAAAGGTGGAATCCTACATCCATTAATCCTACAGCTCACTGGATGCCCCCCCGCTCTAAGGTCCTGAGAGCATCCGGATTCCCTGCTGTCTTTACCACCAACATCACCTGAATGTTAAAACTGATCAGTATCAGAGAGATGTGAACATTTCAAACATTCAGGACATTTGAGCTTCACTCCTCGCTTGGCAACTAGCATCAAAATCCAGAGATCCAGGGATTTTTACACCACAAGTAAACCAAATGTTTCTGGGTGGGTTGCAGTCAACTGACTTTAAGCATTGTTAGCATTTCCACCAGTAAACTGCAGCCTGCAGTAAATGAACCTGGATGCACCATGTGAGAGAGGAGAGCTTCATGTTTTTGTTTCATCTCCTTTAGTATATTTTAAATTGGAGGTCTTGGTTGTTTTTGCACAGAAATCTTTATGAATATGAGGAATTGACAGAGGGTATAGTGAGTAAATCATAGGGCTAACTTTGCCATTTGATCATTTTCATGCCAAAAATAATTAATCAATGTTTTCTTAAGATCTTTATTCTGTAAGAAAGCCCACTATGAACAGACTGTTCAGTCTGAGGTTATTTAGAGACGCAGAGCAGCTGGAGCTTAAGCCCACAAGAGTATCAAGTAACAGTCAGTGAATTTCTGCTGCCGCTGACTCTAAAGGTTGAAAGATTCAGTTATTTTCCACGTTTTCATTTAAATCAACAAATCTGGTGTGCAGATCAGACCAACGCTGAATGTATTGAATGTTTGGAAGCTGAGGGCCAAAGACAGAAAGTGAGAAAACATTGAGTGACATTTTAACACAGTTAGTTTGGATTTCCATCTAAGATTTGATGCTTTTAAGAAAATAAAAATACAATAAAACCAAATCGTTTTTTTTTGACTGAAGATTTGGATGCAGGTGTCTCAACCTGTAGTTTTAATATGGGTAGCATCTTTTAAGCTAACAGAGATGGCATCAGAGAAGCCCTGAGTTTGGTCTTTCAGGCAGGAGACAGGTTACTGGCCCTTCAGGTGGTTGGGGGTTGCAGCACGGATGTATTATTGTTACCTGGATATAATTGTACTGATATGATTGGCTTTAGATGTAGCCAAGTGGTCACTAAGGAGATGGGAGCTTAGTCATCAAAACAATTCATGTCTCCACCCTGGTTATCCGGCACCAAAATAACTGGTTGGTTTAGCAAATGATTGATTTGTTAACTGTAAACATTTACCTTCAAGGAGGACTGATGGCTGGTGGTGCTAGCTCTTATTCTGGTAGCCACACTAAGCAATGCAGTTGTGACTGTTTTTTGAGTGTTTTTACAGCTTTAGGCCAGTCTGTGAGCTAAAATTAAAATTTACATTTACATAACCAGGGAATCTCTTATTTTCAAACATCTCTAATGGCCACTTATAGTACTGCAACAAAAAAATCATGCAGAAGAAAAAATTAATCACCCAACAAAACCACTACCGTAACAAAAGTCATCTGTGTGACTTGAGAGAGACATATGGAGTCTTGAATCAGGATCAAGACTCCACCTTCATGATGACGTGAAAGCCTGAGAGGTAAAACTCAGGGCAGAATAAACCTGTAAAGTGGAGTGAAATGCTCCTGGTTGCAGTCATATTTATGCTTCACCTGTGTGAACTGTATGTGTGTACTACAGCAGGTGGGATTGATAGATAGTCACCATGGTAACAGAGAGAATCTCATCACCTTTTCTATTTGAATAAATGATTTTATATAGTATTTTGTTTTTCTTTCCTTTTTTTTTTGCAAATGTAAACATGTTATCTGTGGTAAAACATAAACTTTTGACTGAATTTAATTATTAAATATTGCTGTGTCATGTGAAAACCAGTCAAGGCTTGCTGATTATTTATGTTGAAAAGTGTCAAATACTCCTGCTTTTTACTGCACAACATATGTCTGACAGCTATAGATCTAAAAAGATTAGACTTGTACAGAAATAATATGAAGAGATGATAATGAAATTAAGTTCTTAGACGGATGAGGCTACAAAATAGGTCATATGTGAAGAATAAACACAAGGTACAACAGTGACTTATTTAAGACAAAGATAATCAAATTATCTACTGAACTACAATTTTTCGCCAAATTAAAGGAGCTTTCTTTGTTCGATATATCATTTTTGATCAAATTAAAGGCTCATGTAAAAAAAATCTATCACATAAGAGGCCAAAGTTCCACTATTTGCTGTATCAGCAAGGACTATTTCTAATTAAACATACGAGTTTATGGCTATGCTGACATCTTTACTTTTTTTTTTTGTGATTTATACATCAGAGATACAAAAATTAACATAATCCCTAGTCCGAAAAGTTGGGGAGCCATTTAAAATGTTGACTGAAGCTAATTATTGACAGTTTGGAAGTCACTTGCTGTTATTTGAATGGCTTAAAAAACAAATGGAAATGTGACAAAAATGCGCTAATTTATTGAAAAAACGTCTGGCGGTACATGTACTAGATTGATTTGCAACAGGTTAGAAACATGACTAGATGTAAAAAGGACAGTCAGAGAGGCTGAGTCTCTCAGAGGGAAAGATAGGAAGGGGTTCAACAGTATGTGAGAGACTGCCTGAGCTAACAGTTCAATAGCTACAGAAAAATTTCGTATATTTCTGAGACTTTTTAAGAAAAACAGACAAAGATTGTGTTTTCGGGGGTGGGGGTCGAGCTACATTTTTTTAATTAAAGAAGCGTATTTTTTTCTGTTCACTGACGGCAGTACGCTTACATAAATAATCTGTCTGAAACATCTAAAACACAAAAATTGTTAAAATAAAACAGAACGCGAGAACCCCTCCACCGTTACGTCATGACGCCACTGCTTCGTCACTTCCACGCAGGCCTCCCTTTCATCCTCCGCGCCCCGAGCTGTCATCATTTTACCGGGAGAGGCGAAGGGCATCCTGGATACCGGCCGAGAGGGGAGCCGCTGAAAGTCGTTTCTCGAGGTCAGTGAGCGGGACTTAAGACTTTTTAACCATGTGAGCCTCAGTATTGGGCATTTTTGTTTTGCTGTTTTACACATACACATATCTTTGCATCTGTTTGAAAAAAATTGAAATCCGTCTGGAGGAATTTGGGACCGTACCTGTTAGCACGTTAGCTGCGAGCTAGCTGACACAGCGAGGGGTCTCAAAGAGCCGGGGCATCTGTCAAAGTACTTAATTAACCTGTTAATCAAACATCTGAGTCTCTGACCAAATGAAAGAAGGTCAGAGTGCTTCCCGTTTCTTATATCAGCGAACGACATCAGTACCATTTAGCCGCTAGCCAAAGGCGCTAATGGTAATTACTACTGAAGCGTTTCAACGATGCTAACCGGCTAATTACATAACGGAACAGAACAGCGCTTTAAATACCGACTATGCACTTAATGTCGGGTATTCACCAGCACTCTATTACCCCTGTGCGTCTGTTTATGCACTTTTTAACCTCCCAGGGGACATGGTTTTACTGTGTTTTGAAAATCAGGTAGTAATTTTCGGGAACTCATGACTAGCGAAAGGACAAAGAGACTGACTGTTAACCTAACCAATCATTAAGCGTTAGTGTCCTATTTCCGGGCGGGATTCCCTCAGTCAGCCAATCGCAAAACAGATCAGGCAGTTGTGGGCGCGTCCAAGTCGGAGTGTGGGAAGGAGTATGGCAGGCAGGGAGTGGGGGGACCCAGCAAGGTCAAAACACAGAAGCAGAAGCTCCAGCTGAGGCTGCACCAAGAGACGAAACCCACTGTAAAGAAAAACAGCTTTATATTCCCACCTTTACTTTAAAGTCTGACTGTGTGACTGTGTTTCTTAAGTCAGCCTGTTATGGGATTCAAAGCAGGAGTATAAATCTGGTCGCACAATTCAGAAGGAGTTACTTTTGGCATGTTACAGGCTGCAGGCAAACACTCATATCCGCTCTGTGACCTCAGGTGTGCTTGTAATTCAACAGTATCTAACAATAACACACTCAAGGCCAAAGGGGTGTGCTTGTTCCAGCTGGGTTCTTAATGCTTCAGGCCACCTATTCTAGATAAACTGTTTGTTCTATTGTATGAGACGTTTTGTCATAAGTTAAAATATTTAATATATATCTATTGATTAGACAAAGTGTAAACCAAAAGCACAGGACAACTACAAACAGCTTTGTTGGCTTTTATAAACAAGATTTTTGCCAGTATTAAATTTTGGCAGCTGTTGTTTTAGTCTAGTTCTAGTCATTTTTGCCCCAAATAGTTTTTGTGAAGTTTGATATATAGATATAGATATAAAGAGAGAAATAGGTTTACTTGAAGTCAGGCAGTCTTTCTGTGGCCATTATGGATATATTCTGACATTCTTTGACTCCTCCTTTTTGTGGGTTTGGGGTTAAATGTTTGGTATCTCATCCTAAACAGTTTAGTCTCATCATCATCTCATTAATGAAAACAAAACCAGAGCTTATGTCAGTCATGGTATATTTGAGCTCATCATCGTCTTGTCTTCGTCATAGAAAAAGAGTTGTTGATCAACATTTATCATTAGAATTTACATGAATGATCACAGCCTCAGTACTGTCCCCATCTCTCTGTCTGAGTTTTGTTACATTACATAAAAATATACTTATAAAAACACCAGTTGCCTGTTGGCATGATCAGACCAAATGGAAAGGGATTTTTTCATGCTCATCACATGTCAGGTTTTCTGTGCAACAAGATAATTTCCAGCTTAAGAGAAAAACATTGCATAACTCTTTTTGTGGTTGTGGAGCAGCATTGGGATTTTCCTAACCACGGTACATGACATCAGTCATGTCAGATTTAAACTCCCCTGAAAAAAGAATACAAAGACTTTGTTGTCAGATTGTCTTGTTTTGCACGAGAACCTTTGCAAGATTTGTGTTTTTTGTAGATAAAATGTCATTGTGCTATTTAACAAAAGTGAAACTGTCCACAGAGCACAGGGAGAGTGAATCTTGCACAGGATGAAACAATTTCAGTGTCAAAGCCAAAAAATACAGTTTCTTTGATGTTTCATTGAACTGAAAAGTCTCTTTTCAAAAAAGTGGTGGCATCCTCGGGCCCAAGTGTCTCCTGATGAAAAACCATCTAATTTCCAGAGTCCACCCATTCTGTGTTACCTGCTTATGAGCATGCCACCAGATTCGTTATTTTATTACAGAGTTATTGCAGTTGAAATGCAGAAAAATGGTGCAGCGGAAAAAAGGCAGATTGCAGCCCACATGTGACTAACTTAATCAGTTAAACTGCCGCTCTTAGGGGAAAGAGGGACAGGTGTCCTACAACTAGGCATGTGCAGATATGGAAAATTTGATATCATGATATTGGTGACCCAAAATATCACGATTCATGATATTATCATGATATTAGTGCATTGCTTTTAACGTTATTAAAAATGGCAAAAAACTGCAAAATCACGTCTCTGTGTACAGCATGACACGCAGCCGTTTAATATTGCATATCACAATGAAATCGTGTATTGGCACATCCCTACCTACAGCTGACACAGAATAATGTTAGTTGTGGTACGATTCAAGTCCTGAAATCAGCTAAGAGGACACAAAGCTGGGCTGTGGCCTGTAACGATGAACCCAGACAGGTCAGGCTCTAGTTTTCTTGATTTCTCTGAAGGGCAAATGTTTCAGGGTTTATAGAAAAATGTTTCTGCTCAGGGTCAGATTCATGACAGAATTTGAAAAACTGGTCCAAAAGTATTAGTCAGGCATAATGGCTGAAAGTGTATCTCTGCTTATCTTGTTTTTCTCTCTAAAACGTCTTTTTTTGGCAGCTTTTTAGTACACACTTTGTTTCTTGTACCAGCACTTGTCTTGGTTTGTCTCTGTAAAGGAATGAAGTGATTAGAGCAAAAAGTTCACATTGGCGTTAAGCTTGTGAAGGTTCAAGGTTCCAGGTGTTGAAATATGAACACAAGAACCCTCATTCACTCTAACACTGTGTCTCTCCCCCTCCCCCTCTGTCTTTCTCTCAGTGGACAAACAAACCAGTGGACAGTGGATGTTTGATTCCCCCCTCTCTGTTCTGGGACCGACCCTGCTGGACTAATTTTATCGCCTTTTTTTGTTCTGGGGTTGAGGATATCTGGCCCGTTGGCCTGATCACCACCACCGCGTGTGTGTGACACTTTAAGGACTGCTTATGCATCGTTTAAGGACTTGTGCGGCGCGTTTGCGTCCGCTTACCGCCTCACAGGCGGCTCAGACTGTCTGCCAGCAACGGCCAATCACAGCTGCCTCCACAGGTGGCACAAGGACGTTTCAGCCAATCAGGTGCTATTCAGCTCCTGTGGCCTCTGAGCCGTTCCTAAACGGGACGAGCTCGAACTATGTGGAGGAGATGTACTACGCCTGGCTGGAGGACCCCAAGAGTGTTCACAAGGTAAGGAGATGGGGCGCCCCCTGCTGGTCTGGAGGGGCAGTTCAAGACTGGACTACATTGATAGGATTTCTTTATTTTTAACTGAAAAATCAACATTGAAATATATTGCACCTGCATTTTTTGTCTAATTGACTTCAAAATGAGACTCCACTGGTGGCAAAAGTGTAAGAAGTCTTCCAGGTAGACAAGCGTGGAGAAGAGGTGAGCACAACCTACTAGCAAGCTTACTTAGTGTTATCCCTAAATTTAAGGTTATTACACCTTAAAAGTTAAAAACAAAGGTATTTTTTTTAATCACAGCTGTAATATTTCTCATGGTGATGGATGGCTGGAAGGTTTGCCATAAATGACGGTGATTGCAAGTATTCACTGGACATGGGTGAACAAGCTGTAGACACAAACACCCACTGCAGCAGGAGAGGAACTGTTGTCTTTGCTTTGAAGCACATATTTACATTAAAATGTAGGAAGACCTGGAGCCGGGTTTTAATGTAGTTATTTTGATTTTAAACGGAAGTCACCAAAGTAAGAAAAATACCCTCTAAATTTTATGTTATTATTCCTTCATCATGAATGTGAGGAGCGCAGATATCATGATTAGCTTTGTTGACCTGCAGCCCTAATGAGATAGTTAGTCTCTGTAGCCTCAGATAGAGAGCTTTTAATCATCTTGACACCCTGGTCTGCTCTCAGGAAAGGACATAATTCAAGGCCATTAAGGCAGGAGTCAGGTCAGCTGTAGTTTCAGTCTCTGCACTCACAGCCTGTGTCAGCTATTAGTTTGCTGAGGTCAAGAGTGTCATGCAATGGTCAGGTAACGATAAGAGCACCCTCTGCTGGATACTTCAGACTGCTTGAGACTGTGATGAGGATATCGCTTGTGGTGAAATTGACCATGTCTTATGAAAACTGATCAGGTGCGACAAAATCTGTGAGCCGTCATATCAAAAGCACTTCAAAAAAGGCCTTTGCACTGTCTCAAAGGCAGGTGCAGTTATCTCAGCGCTATTGTTAATGACATTAGGCCTCATACTGTCACAGCACCAAGCTGAAAAAGTGCCAATATGAAGGTGACATTCTGCACAGCTGGTGCGAGATGGCGCCCCCTCAGAGGCCGTTTCAGTGACCTGTCTACAGGGACACTAATAACACATTTTAACTGAGGGGTAAAGGACAGCCACCTAATAATAGCCGCAGGAAGCTCAGTCACATGATGGAGCAGTTTAAGGAGTCAAGTAAAAGGCCAAGTCTTTGGTAGGCAGAAGCCAACTCTTAAACATAAGACCAGGTGAATACTGGGATTGATTATGATGTTAGTAATTCATTTCTGATTGATTAAAGTTTAAAAGAGAGGAAACTCTTTGTAGAAGAAAGTCTTGAGGGTGCAAGAGGGCATACCAAAGTTTGAGGAAGAAGCAGCTTCTTTTCTGATCATTTGTTGTACAAAGAGCTTCTCATAGATTTGCTGTGAGTTTAGTTTTTTGTGAAGAGTCTGTGAACTTACTTTATAACTTAAAAAAGAGGACATATGCCACAGTGAATGGAGAAAGTGTTGGTGTTTACTTCCTTGAATTTTCATCATCATCATCATCATCATCATCATCATCATCATCATCATCATCATATGTTGGCTTAAACCCCGCTGGAGTGTAGATACAATTTTGAATGTGTTGCTCATTTTTTGCTTTAACTGAGCTGTAAACATGGAGGGTAACACACACAGTACATCCCGTGTTCCTGTGTGTGTATTTCTGTGTGCCTGTGTGAGTCATGTTACATGTCACAGTCGTTATGTAAACTTCGGGCCATGTGACCTTACTGCTATCAACTGAGCAAACTAGCTAGATGCTACATGGACATTCTCATGGACACAAGATGTACATTTTAATGTTGGTGACTGTTTAATATAAAACTGAGAAAATATCAACATAAAATCACTTTATTGAGTTTGAGCAGGAACCAAAAATAGAGTTGAACTGATTAGTTTAACAGGAACATTAGTTTTTCAATATATGTACCGAGTGCTAAAATACACAGGTGTTTGTTTACATCATGAGAGGAACAACATTGTGGGTTCACATGGCAACCACAGAAACAACAGGATACGGGAGCTTAATGTAGTGTTTTCTCTCAGTGAGTCACTTCTTCACCAGTATATGTGTAAAAGAGCAACCTTCATTGTCAGCCTGATGTTGAATTTTAGTGTGGAGGTGGTTTACTTATTGTTACAGATGACCATAATCCTTTAAATTCAGGCTGATAGAGAAATGAACAGATAGAATGGAAAATATGTTTCAGCAGTAATGTCTTCTGTGAAACTGGATGATGAATAAACCCAAAAACTGGAAGACAGAAAGACATCCAGAAACTGTACCAAGCTCTAATGTAACACTCATACAAAATAAAGCTGCAGTTACTCCCACACAGACAACACCAGGGCAGGTTGCCTGAGAGTAACAAAGACTATTTTTACTTTTTTTTCTTTTTCGTACTTTTTGTGTAAGATTACTATCTGCTTTGAATGACTGAGACCATCTTGTCACTCTCTGTCCCTCATGTCTGGTCTTCTGCAGTGCCTGTTAAATGCCCTGCAGGTGATCCGTCTTAATTTAAAAATGGACTCTGTTTTAACTTTGTAGTTTTAGGTGGCTGCACAGATCATCTGCACAGCACCAAATTAAAACATTTCAAAGTGCAAGCTGGTATTTGGATGTCTTAATCAGATGTGCTGCTGATGAATGTTGGCCAAAGATCTGACACTTAATGAAAGGACAAACTTCAGGGAGGCTGTGGGTGTGAAGAGTATGTGATGCAAAGCTGCGTAATTCTCATCAGTATTTTCAATAGAGAGAAGTTTTGTGTTTGATAATGAACCATGCTTGTCAGATATGATCCTGCAAAGCTTACCTTGAAATATTTGAGTCTCTGAGCTTGTTTTTGACTCACTGGAGAGTTCAAGTGAGTTTTCTTGAGGTATGTTGTAGTTCTCTTTCTTGAACCAGTCTGACTCGTCAAGCAGTTGTAGTTTTACTCTTTACAGAACAGTGCTCAGAAACTTTTGGGCTAGAGCTGCCAAAGTTAAAAATAAGACTCTAAAAAGGTTCTTATTTGTTTCTGTTTTTTTTTTTCAGAGAAGTATCTTCATCTTATATTTATGACGTTATACCAGAATAGTACTTACAAACTCAGAGCTGGTTTATAAGGTCAGACATAGACCTGCTGTAAAGGCACTAATCATACATGAATGCATGATGGCTGCTACACGTCCCCAGTGTTGGTTTGTTGTGTTGACTGTGTAGTGAAGAGGCAGACCAACATGGAAACAAGTTGAGTGTTTTGGTGTAAAGAGCAACTCTGTTAACTGTCGACTTTCAGCTGAACGTGTCAGTGATTATTACAACACTAGGGATACCCTGTTCAAGGATTTTTTTTATCATCATTATTATGATGTCAAACTGTACTCATCAGAAACTAAAGGCATTTGTGAGGGACTACAACCAGGGGACAGGGTCTCTCTTTGTTACAAACAAACATAAAGTAAAATGTTTGATAAACTCTGAGGGAACAGCACTGATGGTTTGTTCTGTCCACTGATTGTGAGTCACCTGAGCTGACTGGGGATGTGGTCACTCACCAGGCCACTGAGACCCAGAAATAACAAAACACTTGCCTCCACTCGCATAAAACCTGAGCTCTCAGTCTCGGGTGTTTCATCTGGAGGTTTTATTTAAAGTCATGCAGAGCAAAGTCATATATGTGTGGCATTATGCTTGTGATGCAGCTGAATGTGTACACAGCAAGTGTGTCTTCAGTCCAACTGTGAATTCAAAAGTAACTTAAGCTTTCAAGGAAAAATGAATTGTTGTAAATGAAGCAATGAAAGTTGTAGATGATTTTTTTTTTCACTCCAGGAACGAGACAGTCACACCAAAGTAAATATTATGATGAGTTCAAGTGATGTCTGTTTTTATGACATCTGTAAAGAATTCCTCATGTAACATCTTGTCTTTGACTCCTGTTTGTGGTTGCAACTCAATCAGAAAGTGTGTGTGTGTGTGTGTGTGTGTGTGTGTGTGTGTGTGTGTGTGTGTGTGTGTGTGTGTGTGTGTGTGTGTGTGTGTGTGTGTGTGTGTGTGTGTGTGTGTGTGTGTGTGCGTGTGGATTAAGGGTTTGCTAACATTTGACAGGACCCTGACTGAGGTCAGTACTCAGAGATGAGATGATTCAGGCTGTAAGGTGACCTGCAGATGAAGTAGTTTAGTTCAAGGTTGCAGCTCGGTTTTATTTTGGACATAAATTTGCTCCATGACCTGCTGGATCATAAACATTTTACAACACCATAACTCTAACCTGTCAGATGGTGAAGAAATTGAGGCAAATGTCAGGGCTACACCATTAACGTCTGACAGTGTCGTTGTTATTGCAGTGTGAACAAAGAATCACATCACAAAAACATGAATTCATCACAAGTAAGAGGAACAATTACAAAAACTGTTATTTCTTACTGAGCATGGAGACCCTAATCAGGTTTTATCCTGCAGACTGAAATGCAGCCAAAGGGCCTGATAGCCTTAATATAAGTAGGATAGGTCGAGTTTTAAAAGCAGGAGTTGAGTTTTATTGTAATAGATATGTAAGGTTACTTAAGTGAGGAATCTCGTGACTAATTCTGCCTCCTCTGTTCTCTGGAGGCTTCAGAGGATAAGTGTGGTGAAAAGTGTCCAGTTATAAGAGGCTGCACTGCAGACTTTCTGCTGACGCTCGTGTTTTAGAAACAGCTGAAGCCTCAGATTGCTGGCTGTTGAAAGAGCAGCTGCTTTTTCAAAGGGACAGTTTTCACGTGTAGTGGGCTGTATGAAGTACTTGTCAATATTAAATGAGTGACCCAGAGGAAACCCCCGACAGCACAGGGGCTGAGCTGATGGGGGTTTGTAGAACAGTAGGAGACTTGGCGTAGATGCATGATTACTACCCCTGCAGACGAGGTTGATTTTCACACAAGTACCTCATCCAACCACAGCCTGAGCTGTTTGTTGCACAGTATACATACTCAGATTCTTAAAGGGATATTTCACTATTTTTGAAGTGAGGTGTGTGAGTTATGTGTCAGTAGAAGGTGTATGAGCCACAGTAGATGCAGTCAGCTCGGCCTCTACACTGAGAAACTGCCAGTAATAATAGGACACTTGGACACTTATATTTTTGACTCATTTTGTCTTGAGAACACCAGTTGGAGTAGTCAAATAAGATACTAACCACAAGTTTAAGTGGTAGGTTATGGAGAAAACTAAGGACATCAAACAAGTCTGAAATTTGAAAACACATTCAACATTTATTAAAAACTCTTATTGCACAGAGTGAACAGCAGCAGCAAATCCTCTGTCCACTGTCAGGCATACCTGATTGCACTCATCTAAACCTTAATCTTGAAAGAAATCCCTCATGTGGAGCCTGGTTTAGCAGCGTACATCATCAACTTGCATTTATGTCAAAGAAGGAAGACCTGTCGTGTAACGGAGCACCTCATTCTCCAAACTGTCCCACATTGAGCTGTTGGTATTCAGCTCAATAATCCACAGAAGAGAGATGGAGAGGGGGCCAAAAGTCACCAACAGACAGAAGGTGTGGCGGACGTCAGAGATGGAGATCCTGGAGGATTTTTGTGACGATAAATAGTGAACGATAACTTATAGCCCATCCCTAACCCCTACTTTGCCATCAGAAAGATGCAGAACACGCAGACACGTTCTCCTGTATGCAGTCAGCGAACTGGGTCTTCCTGTACAGCAGCTAACAGTGGATTGTGATAAGTTTGATCTGTTGTTCTGTCACTGCATTAAAAAAAAAGTTTCTGTACAGTTTTTCTTGTTTTCTGTTTCTGATTAAATTCCTGAATGTTAAAGGAAGTCGGGAACAAACAGTGTTTAGTGTTCAGTACAGCAGTGGACTCTGTAAGTGAATGATGTACCTGCAGACTGAGGGGCTGTTGTTATCAAGTCTCACTTGTGACTTGGTCTGTGGGAATTAGCTCTCACCACTAGGCAGCTTGGTATCTCTAGTTCTCCAGTTCGATGAGTGTTCGGGTCAGAGTTGTTAAAATTAGCTTAATTATGTGGCAGAGCTGGTCCGGTCTGCCGCAAACAACGGCATACCTGACCTCTTGTCTCTGCCGACAGTAAAGGGGCAGAGCAGACCAGCTAAAAATTGTGACAAATACACTTAGGAGTTATAGATACATGAACTACTCCTTTATGGTTTGCTGATACTCCACACAGCACTTATTTTACTTCGTGTCCTATTCTGATTTTTAAGTTAAGTTTATAGATGTTGGAAGACGATTTAGGCTCCATTTTAAAAGCCTTTTCTACTTGTCTACATAACAAATGAGCTTTGTTGGACTTTTAGTCTTGAAAGTTGAGTGAAATGTTTGAATAAAGTGGAGCTTTCAGGTCTGTGTGTTTTTGAGGAGTTAGTGGTGATTAAAACCAATGAATGTATCTGACACAGAGGGCGTAGACTGACAGGCAGGGGCCACAAATGGTTGAGTGGAAAACACACACATTTTTGAAGAACATAGTTGGAACCACACCCTCTTGAACTCCTTCATGCAGCATTGACTTGCTGTATGTACTCAGGTTATGTGCTTTGTCGGCACATCTGAAGACAGCCGTCTATTAAATGTTGACTTATACTTACAGAGAGGAAAAGGCTTATCCGCGCTGAGGCTGTAAAGACTGAAACAATAAACTGTTTGACGTGTGTTTGGTTTGGGAATATCTTCGTGTTATAAGGGCGCTCTGAGCTCATCCTGGGAATAAGATGTTTGTGGGTTTTTTTCAGCTCATTCTGGACTCATGAGTCACAGAGTGGAAACTCAATGCTGCAGCAGTAAAAACAGGCTGTCTAGATTTGCGTAGATCCCTGTTTGCTTCTTAGTCAAGCACTATTCAGCCTTCTTTGTGGAGACATTGTTCATCCTCTTCAAGTAGGGGTTATTTTTGGAAGCATACCGAGCAGTTAATGATGGTTTCTCTTCCAATTAGGTGAAAGCCTAAAAAAACAAGGATTTACATTTCAGATGCACAGTCTAACGGCTCTTGTTGACAGAATGCACAGATTGACATGCACATACACAGGGGCAGTTTTCTTTCCATCACGACTCAATGTTTATAATTTTAAGGTAATTTCTCAAACAGCAAAAGAGGAAAAAAAATGAGAAAAAGCTTCACTCATTCACTGAGCCTTACTGAAGAAACACTCAAGTGAAACCATCTTTTTGGCAAGATGTGCTACTCTGTTTTCCAATAACAGCAAAAAAAGCTTTGAACCAGGAGCTTTGATCAGTGTGTCCATCAGGTTCTGACTAATCCAGACTATAAGTCTTACTGTTATTTGAGACACAGTCTGTTTTTTGGGGTCTTTTAGAGGTTTGAAACGGTTCATATCGCATAAATCAGAAAAGTCCACAATGTGCCATTTCTGTGCAGCCGTGTAGCTGCTGTAGAGTTTGAAATCCTCTTTGTTTCTCAGCTTTTCATTGCATGACTGTGAATCTTTACAGATTACATTGTGGATGTGATGTTGCAAACTCCTTTCATCTGTTAAAAAACCTTATATGTTTTCTCCCTGTCTCTTGTCTTTCTCATCCCACACTCATCTCCTCCTCTACTCTCTTTCTCTCCTCCTTCTCTTGTCCAGTCGTGGGATGTATTTTTCAGGAATGCTAACGCAGGTGCTCCTCCCGGTGCAGCCTACCAGTCTCCTCTGGGCCTGTCTGCAGCTCCTCAACTCTCCTCTCTGGTTGGAGCTCAGCCCAATGTGGAGAAGCTGGTGGAGGATCACTTGGCTGTGCAGTCCCTCATCAGAGCCTATCAGGTACACTAACACACATGCACACACAGGCAGGTGCCTTATAACACTGCATGTTGCTTTATAGTGAAACCAGTGAGATGAAGCTCCAGAATCCAAGTTTCAAAGTCTGAAGTTTGGCTGCTATGACACAGATTATATTCACTCAATCGGCCAATATTAAGATTTTATGTAGATGTGGTAATTTTGTAGTACTGACCCTTTAACGGAGTAGCATAGCAGTACTATAATGATGTCTATTTTTTTTGTTTGTTTTAACCCTTTAACTGCTTATCATAAAGAACTTATAAGTGATTCCCAATACAGAAGACGAAACAAGAATAAATGAAGAGGAAAAACAGAAATTTCTGCATGACTAACTTATCTCTTTTACTTTATAATGTTTAGTTCTCTGAAGACATTTGAATTCATGGACAGACAAAATATTTTATGGTTAAACTGAACACAACCAGCAACGAGAAGTAATAAGGAAGTATCTCCTTCTTTATGGAAAAACTTGAAATCCAATTAAGTCCAAAATTTTATTTAGATTCTGGGTTTTGCATCTCGAGAGAGATAATGATTTTCCTAGAGAAGTTTACTTGTTATCAGAAAAACTCCTTCATAATGAACTTTCTGCATGTTTTCTCTCATGCTGTGATGTTTAACTTTTCTTTTCCCCCCAGAAGCTTGATTCTTATGAAGCTCGGTAGAACAAACACGTCATGAGTGATCGTTCTTTCTTAATATATCATCTTTAACTAAAGACTCGTTCCTCAAGATGAGATCTGAAAATGATCAGTAAATTAAGATATCATTTCAAAGGTGTGTTGATGCCAAACATAAGGTTATTTTAACTACGGTTCAACATTATTCCAGTAAGTGTCAGAAATTAATCACTCTGAGAAAGTGTTAAATTTTGTTCACAGTTTTTTCATCCTGGAAGAAAAAGCTATTTTCAGAGAGATTTTTTAAAACCGCTTTTGGCTAGTATCCAGTGCAGCATTAACAGGTTTTTACTTTAGAGCTTGAACTTCTGCTAAATGAACAATAAAATATTAAAATTCAAAAGTGAAAGCCATGTTCAGACTAGATGTCCAGATACATGTGTAGCTTTCCGGAGAGGTGGTGAAAACCTTAATACAGATTTGGTTACCAGAGGTCTTCACAGGTCCCAAATCTTTGAGTATAACAAAAAGATGATCAGGTGTTGAAATAGGCTGAAAGTCTGAGAGCTTAAATGTCTGGTCTAAATTAAAGTCTTTAAAGAGGGAGTGTTCGTTTTCAGGATTTATATTTTCCTTCTGATAGCTTTGTAGTAACTTAAGATTTACAGCTTGAAAACTCCTTAACTTCCTCTTTAATTTGAGCCTCTGTCGCTTTAAGATCCAAAACATTCTAGAACCCAGCATTCTGGAAGCCTCCTTCACTGTTGCTGTGTCTTTTGAGGAGATGACAAAACTTGAGCAAATCACACGTAAATCTGGCTGAGCACTCATGCGACTGCAGTCTCATCCAGCGATGACTCCAACACACATTTACCTTGTTGTTCGAAACACTGCTGACATTTCGTATGCCCCGCCAACACTTCGAATTACAACCCCTTCAAACAGAGGACAGAACTATTGAACCAGGTTAACAGAGTTGATGACACTGTTTAACTGATGCAGAAGAACAAGAGGGTCTGCAGGATGAGCGAGCTAATTATTTTTTTTTTGGTTTTGTAAAGCACCACGTAAATATGAGTGAGCTCAGAGTTTGTCAGGGTCAGGAGTCCCTCTCAGAGTCTGTCCTGTACAGCTGAGTTTGTCAAAGAAGCATCCGAACCTTTAAACAAAAATAACCTGCTACTGATTAAAGCATTTCCATGTACAAAAGTCGCATTTCTCTGGCAACCCATCTGGAAAAAACCTTAATAATACTTTTAAAAAAGAGTTGAGAATAATAAGATTAACCTAAAATCGCCGAGAGACACACTGTTTGGAAATTAATGCGCATATGTAAGAGCAACACTGCGGGATTTTCAATGGCAGCCATGTGATCTGAAACACATCATCAACGATTTGAGGAAATCAGTACCAGAAGTCTTGCACTGATGCATCATGGTTCCAGATACTGATGTATCATGGTTAGAGACAGATGTAACCCTTATTGTTCAAAGTTCATGTGCAGCAATAATGAATCCATCAAACGAATAATTGATTATCTGGACCAGACCAGACTGAATAAGCTCTCAGCCGTGAGGACCTTCTGTAACCAGGTGTGCCTGTCAGTGCAGGTTGTGTTGTGATAACCAGGTGTGTGTGTGTGTGTTTAGGTGATGGGGCATCACAATGCTCAGTTGGATCCTCTGGGAATCAGCTGTGTGAATTTTGATGATGCTCCGGTCAATACCGGCTTCCAGGACGTCGGTGAGACAACAGAGCTAAAAAAAACAAACTGCTTCAGTCTGTGGTGTTAATGTTGCCTTTCCCTCCCACCCTCCCTCTCTTCTCTCTCTCTTCTCTCTATCTCTCTCTTGCCTCCTTTTCCTCTCTCTGCTCCTCTTTTATACTTTTCCCTGCTGTGATTCAACCTCTGCTTTCTCTTCTCTGTCCCTGTTTTTGTGTGAAATCCTGTTTGGATATGGACCCTCGGTGCTTTTCCTCTTTTCTGAATCTTTCCTGAATCCTTCACTCCATCTTGCTTCTCATCCGCTCACCTCTCCACATCCTACCGCCTCCCTTTCTGGCCATTTTGTTGCGTCTTGTTTCTCCGTTGTCATTTCTGCTCCTTTGTTACGTTCTGTCTTGTCCTCCTCACTTCTCCACCTCCATCATCTCCTCCTCTTCCTCCTCCTCTTCCTCTTCTTTCTGTCCCGGGTGGGCTCTGTGCTGTTGTCACTCCCTGTAGATCCGTGGGCACCATGTGGCCCAGTTGGACCCCCTCGGCATCATGGACGCTGATCTGGACTCGTGTGTCCCCACTGACATTATCACCTCCTCCGACAAGCTGGGTGAGGAGTTACACCCCTCTCTCCCTGTCCTCCTGTTCCTCCCAGTCTGCCTGGCAGTCTGGCTCTTTTCAGGAACTTTGCTTTAGTCTGGGAGCTTTTCAGGGTTTGGGAATGTTTCTGTGACCTGTCTTCAACTGAAACCGTGTTGTACATGGGGACATTTCTTCACAGTCAAGGTTTCTTCGGGTTTTTGGTGTGCTGTGAATGTTTCAGAAACTTTCAACTGAACCGGAAATTCTCCTCTGTCACTCAATACTCCTGGAGGGTCAGGTGCTGAACAATCCTAACTCGGATATCATCTTATTCCCTTTATAAGCTAGCGGGCCTGGTTGATCAAAAGGTTTGATCTGGATCAGAATAATCTTATCTGGAAATATAGTTTTTCGCCGTCCAGGATCAGTTTATCCGGCTCAGATCCATCAGTGAATCTGTGGGTCAATAACTGGTATATAAAACAATCTGAATCACATCAACAATCACACTCTTCCTCTTAAGGACCTTTTGGTTACGAAATCCTGACCTCTTCAAGTATGGCAAATGTGAATTCATTTTTATAATTTTAACCCTTTCAATGCCAGTTCATTTACTTAATGCCACTTTTTTACACAAATATTCCCCATTAGATTAATGCAAAGTGGAATTTTTTTGTGTGCAGGAATTACCAGTGTGGGATATGTCAATAATTAGCATTAAAACTGACTTTGATAGATTATAACTTTTTGTGCAATTGCACAAAAATACAAAAACTCACACTCTCCCTCCTGCGGCCCTAAAATTGATCCCCTAAATAGCTATCATGAATAATAAAAACAGAATACTTGAATATGTAATTTTAACTGCTGTATTAACTTCTTGATCACTGAAAGGAAGTTGATTTTGAACATGTAAATATACATATTTTTGAGTAAGAACAAACAAACAAAACAAACTGGTTTTATGTATTGACACCAACCTGCTAATGGGACTGGGGATGGATATTAACCGCTTGGTTATAATTCCATGCATTTACATGTAAATGTTCATTAATGCATATCGTTCCATTAAAAAAATAAAAAAAATAATAATAATATTAAATCCTAAATTAACAATGTGAAGGTGGTGAACTGAAATATTATGAAGTTCGAGTATCTAGGGGAGCAGTCTTAGCAGAGAATGGAGGTGTGGGCTCTGCAAATGTGTTGTCCACATCTGCAACAGATGTTGCTGATTTTCCTAGAGCAGAAACTGCAGTGTTGCCTCGGTGAAGCCACTGCTGGCTGGCTGTCATTCTGCATTCACCACAGCAGCAGTGCTCGGATTCTAGGGGAGCCTTTACCACTGCTGCATCAGTGGACTCTCCATGGTTTTTCCCAGCCCCATCCAAAAACAGCCCATGCTTGTGGGAGGCCCCCTCCTTCCACTGTGGATCAACACACATCCACTGGGTCAAGGCATTGTATGCAGAAACATCCAGGATGTTATAAAATAGGGTAAACGACCACCTCTGTGTCTTGCGTCGGCTGCTGATGACTCGGTAGAGTGAAGAGGAAAAAAAGAAAACATATTTCAACATACTCAGCACTAGGGAAAGGACTAGGGTCTTTCCTGCCATGGTGCCTGGTTTTTCTTCCAACAAAGCAGCAGCACACCATTCATTTCATCAGCTGATCTTAGTCTTCAGACAGCTGATTGGTCAGACCGTGTGTTTGAAAAACCTGCAGCCACACTGGCCCTTTGTGGAATAGTTGGGAGATGCCTGCTCCAGACATTCAGACAGCTCCAGCACGATCCTTTTGCCCTGGTTCACATCTGGGCCGGCTCTTTCTTGTTTCTCTGTGCAGAAAGCCATCTTCCAGGCAGAGCAGGTCTAAATGTTTTTGAACAACCAGGCCCTGAACTCAATTTTGTACAACTGATATAATATTTTTGTCAGACTCTGTCTTTTTTAACTCTTAACCTTTAATGAACCACCAACAAAACAAACTTCAAACCTTGATTTTGTTGTTTAATGGGTTTGTGAACAAAGATCTTAATTGGATTCACTTTGCAGGAATAGATTCAGCTCTCAGGTGTGCAGATTAAATCCTTTTAAAACCAGGGGAAGAAAAACGGCTTAGAGATTACACTCAGAGAAACATGATGAGATTGATTTACAGAGAACGCAGAGGGAAAATCAAGATCAGGTATTGCGTTGGTTCAGAAAGATCTTTTTCAGGTGTCTCTCAGCACTTTATCCTCTATCCTGTTGTTTATGCTATTATGCAAAGATCAAGTTGATTATAGGTGTCTTTTTTTTTTCTAAGTGTTTCAAAAGTAAAACAATGAGCCAACATGAATTTAAGACTTTTGAGAAACAAAATTATAAGAAGTAGGGGGAAATTTATCATTATGAGTCTGAGAACAGACCACAAGTCCAGACTTAGACTTTTGAGGAGGATCTGGACTCCAGAAAGATAAAACTGTTTGAGGTAATTCTGGATCAGTTGGTGCTGAGACAATGGACTGTATATAAAGATGGATGAGGCGTCTCCACCTCCTCTTTGTATGCATTAGTGAAGCCACATTACCCCTGCAACAATAGTCTGATGATGATATTGAGAGCTGGAGTATTTACAGTGAAGATGAGCAACAGCGTTCGCACTCCTTCCCTTTGTTTGCAGAAGACTGTGGTGGTTATGGGAAGTTCAGGGACTTGTGTTAATTTTGGTCACATTGTCCTTTTGTAGTTTTTCTCCTACTCTGATCATCTGGCTGAGAAGAGCCTCATCTGTCACCATACCCTTTTTATAGCATCAAACCACCAGTTAGGACTTAACATCTGAAAAAAATGAACAAATGGATAAAGTGAGAATTATCAGAACCAAATAAAACCACAAACCCTGATTGAGAAACACTCATTTGGTTTTATTGTTTCTCTCATTGGGGGAGTTAGTCTTTATGGCCATTGCATCAGCCCATCAGTAGAACTAGAGCTGTTGTGACTTCCATCTTTTTATACAGTCTGTGTTTGAGGTGTTGGTGTTGTTGTTTGCTCTTGAATTTGCAATAGAGATCTGTGGCTGTGGTTTGACACGTTTTTAGCTATCGCTTTGTGACGTATGGCTTCTGCTTTGACATGTTAGCTCTCAGCTGCGGCCTTTGTAAGCTTGTTGCATTTGTAGCTTTGGCCTTTTTATTGCTAGCTGATTATAGTGTTTAGAGGTGCAGGGATCGTGGACTACCTCTGCACTCTGCCTGAATGAGGATCTTGATGGTAAAGCAGCCAAATGGTGTCATATGTCCAGACTCCAATACAGGATGTCTTAACAGCTGATCTGATCGAACTTTTGGATCGCAAGACTGATTCAAAGTCCTGTTCAAGTTTCAGCCTAATTAAGAGATATTTGGTCATTTGCTGTGCAGTGTACAGATGTAAAAGAGCCAATCACAGCCAGCTGAACCGACATTTCTTGCACAGTGAAACAGCTGATTTTAGGATCTCTGAGTATTTTTCCCCCTTTGTGCAAAATCTGAAAGCACCATGGTAACAGGCTGCATGATGTGGACATCTGAACTAATCATAGATAAACACTGATGAGCTGTTACATGATGAGCACCTGTGCAATCAAATAACAACAGCTCTGCCGTAAATCAGCTTCAGTATTTTCAGGATCAGGCTGTGATGTCATGTTTGAATTCATCATCAGGAAACTTCACTGGAGAAAATTCACAAAGCTCAGCACACCAGGAGCCTCTGAGAAAGGATTTATTAAACAGAGGTGACACCTGGAGCTAATGTCAACACTCCATCCCAAACTTGCATGGACAGTGTGAGCACAGACACTGCAGTTATAAAAAAATATATACATATACTGTAGATATCTACAGTGTACTATACACTGTAGATATACTGTAGGCTACTGTTCTCCATGCCGACAGGAAGACCGACTGATCAAACCCGGACCAGAAAAGCGTTTTCAACTCTCCCGCCCTCTGCCGCCGATCTGTTCCTCCACGTCTTAACTCACATTACACATTTCCGGTCCAGTCTCATCTGAAGACATGCAGCTGCCTCAGTAAGAGAAGTAGCTCGATCACGTAATTTGTACTGTTGTTTATTCTACCGTTACTGGCACGGCTAAAAGTGTAGCAAGGCTAATAGCAGATGGCTAACTCTAACTTTAGCAAGCATATTACATGGTGCTTCACCGTTAACTGGGCGTGACTGAGACAAGCATAGCGGGGAACAACGTGAAGTGAGTTGAACTGGAACTTGTTGACGTATTGTCGACTTCACAAGCTGGTTTATGTACTGTTGAGGCGGACCACTCTCCTCCATGCGTCCCTGAGCTGCCTGCTTCAGATCCGTCACTCTGCTGTGCTGTGAGGTAGTTAGTCATGAAGATTGTCATGAGGTTCGCTGCGCCATCTACAGGATAAGTCGGGGAACTTTTCAAATGGCGGAACATCTTCAAAGTGAAACTGAATCTTATTCTCTGCATTTTATTTACGAAAATATCGTCGAAAATCTGCAAGTTTTGGCTGATTACCGATTAGTCTCAAACGGGCTAAAATTGGCTGATTTAATCGGCTCGCCGATAAATCGGTCGGGCCCTAATTCAAACAGACAAACAGGATTTTATATCTCTGTTAAGATATAAACTCAAAGGTTGGTAACTTTTGTCTCCAAAATAAAAAAGTGAGTCTGTGTCTGAAACCTTTGCTGTGTTACAGTTCGGTCATAGTAACAAATCTATTCCAACATACTTTGAGGTAATGTCCTTTTGTTGTATTGCTTGTCTGTTTATTTGCATCAAACAGAGGAGACATTTGTGCAGCCCTTCAAATGTCTAAAACTGGTCCCCTTAGATTCAAGGTTACAGTGTTATGTCTTCAGTTCCCTTTGAATTAACTCAGTTTTCCTGGTAGCATTGTGTGGAAGGAGGCGCCTTAATTCTGTGTATAAAAACATATTTGTTTGGGTCTGTTTTGTGTTATATTGGATGACTGTATTACTATTAGAGCTTGTTTGGTCTGTCTTAAATCTGTTTAGTGCACCTGAACCTCATCTGTCTCCATCCCTTAGTTTGAGCTCTCTTGCTTGATCGTCACTAACCGCTCTCAGCTTCAGCACTGCCTGTTTGTTTGCCTTACTGCAGTGAAAATGGTGTCAGCGCTGTTGGTCTCGGTAAGCTCTTTCAGGGACAGACGGTGAATCAGAAAGTCTGGATTATGAAAACACTGAAGTTTGGTCTACAAAGGGAGGACGTCAGTGTTGAGTTCAGGGTCTGTACAGCTCGAGGAGTATTTGCTTCCCTGCTTCAGTGAAGGTGACCTGCGCCCAGTGGCTTCTGTTTCTGTTTGTGAAACCCTCTGTGTGGGTTGGTTGATGTGTGGCTTCTGTATTCAGGACCTTTGAACCTCAGCATGGTGTTTGGCATCCTACTTTCTCCACCACTCATCTCTGAATTTATCTTTTAACATGAAACTGCTTGAGGTTGAAAGCAAATAAAGAAGGTGGTGGAGAGGTTGAGATGCAGGGGCTGGTGTTGTGCTCTGTATTAGCTGTAAAAGGTTGTGGCATTGGTTTAAAAATGGCTGTGGGTATCGGGTTGTAGTGGGTGTTGGGTCACTAATGGTCTCTCCCTTTACTGCCCCCTGCTGGTGACCCTCCAGATGTGGCTGTGTTCAAGGAGAGGCTGAAAATCCTAACGGTAGGAGGTATGAGAAACAAAAACATTGGTGTGTCCCCATGAGGTGCTGTAAAGCTAGCTGTGTGTCATTAGTAACTTAAGTTTTTTAACTGCAGTAGTAAGCACATAGAAATCTGTAGAAACTTGAGTTTGACAGAAAGCAAACCGGCTGTCTGCTGGACCATCCATGGGTGGTGTAGATGCTGCTTCCTGCAGAACTGGTTGAACAGTAACCACAGCAGACAGCGGGTTTATTTTCTGACATTCTGCAGAGGTTCTTACTCTACAGGAGCGGCTAAAGAAAGGGGTACTTTGTTTGGTTCACTGTCTTTGCATCCATTAGTTTGATAAAGGTGTTCATAAAAGTCATTTTTCCGATGTTAGTGACTTTTGGGATCCAAAAACATCAAGTATACATTTGATAATAGACAGAATAACTTAAAGATTTAACCCAGACTCCAAAAAAGTTGACAGCCGCTCGCTAACTTTAAGTGTGATGCAAACAACATGTTTGAAAAAAGTTTGGACGATGGTATGTTGACCACTGAGATGCATCACCTCTTCATTTACAACACCTTGTAAACATTTGGGAACCAACGAGAGCATTTTCATGCTTTTAAAGAGGAAAACATGCCCAATTCTTGCTGCCTTAACAGTTTGAGGTCTCCTTCCATGATTCCCAACAAGATTGTCAGACTTTGATCTGCTGATCTCAGAGCAGTTTTCCACTCTGAAGAGATCACTCTGAAGTGTGGAAGTTATTTTGTGCCAATGCAGCAACTTCCACTACAGAGTCATGCCCGTTTTTAAGGCTGTGTTGCCCATTCTTGTTTTTTGACCTGATTTGTTCAGATTCTCTTAATATTTAAATAAAAGTTTGCAATGTGAGACAGTCTGGATTTTTTAAACTATTTGCTCACACAGCCTCTCACAAAGTGATGAACCCTATTCTCAGTTTTCCCTCAGATAGAATCAGCCTCTCTGGAGTGAAAAATGATCAAATATAGATAAATGTTTTCACATATTTGAAACCACCACACTCTTATTTTGTCAACATGTTGTAGAGAGTCCTCATTTTTTATTATTTTTAATTTGGGTTGAACAAAATCTAGAAAGGAATTCATCTCTAAAATTGAACAGCATTGACTCCCTGAAGTTTAACGTCTATATTGTTCAGTCAAACTAGCAGGGTACAAAACCACATAAGCTGCTGGGTTCATCACATCAAACCCAGAGCCTGGTTTGCTGTTTCCTCAGGATTACCACAGATTCAAACCTGCAGGCAGTGAACCAGAGTGAAGTATCTCTTTCAGCACAGAGGGAACATCCTGAATTTTTACTTCGAAGGTCATTCTGCAGCGAAATATACCAACAGTGCTGCCGCTGTCCAGCTGTCCTCTGACCTCTAAATATCTCCTGCCTGTTGTAGTCGGTGTAGTTACCTTTGTTAGCTTGTAGCGCTGCTCTGTCCAGTAGACAGTAGAAAAGTCTGATAGAGTTTTCTCTCATGAAGAGTTGACATGAAAGCTGCAAAGTGACATTGGAGGATTATGAAACTGTGTCCAGAAAATGATAAAAGTGTAACTCTGAAGTATTTAGTATTTGATTACTACAAAGAGCTCTAATTAATGCAGAAGTAACAAAATAACACTGTGGCTTCATTTCTTCATGTAAGAATGACTGTGCAATATTCGCTCAGTTTACTAAAAGGAGAGGTGAGTTTTTTTTTCACATTTTAACGCACAGTCACAGTTTTTTAGGTTTAATCAAGAACAAAAGCACCAGGGTATATTTCCCCTGATTCTCCTTTGAGCGTCAATCAAAAGTTTTTCTCAAGTATTTTGTGAGAATCGGACTCTGTCTAAGACTTTATTTAAGCAGGATAAGTGTATCTAAAACCTCTGACTTTACAGTTTGAGCCTCTACACGGGTTTAGTTAATACTTTCTTGTCAGTTTGTGGCCATATGTTGAACATAATTTCCTCGAGTCACTCTGTAGCTCTATCAGCTGAAGTTTCTCTGTCAGTGATGATTTGTTTTTGTGTTATTGAAAAGAACGGTTATTTTCTTTCTGTCCAAAATTGTGCTTTTTTTCTCACCAGATTTTGTGGTTTTGATGGACTCTGTTAAAAGCTCATTTGGCGTCTAAATTCATAAAACTTGGTTAAGAAACAAGTGAAGGAAACATCACTGATAGAAACTGTTCAGCCTGTTTTAGTCAGCACTGTTGATCAGATCTGCTCTGAGTTGGAGCTCTTTTTGTCTGTCCTCTCTCTCTGTTTTAATCCCTCCTCAGCTTTTTCTTTGTTTTTTTTCTGCTTTGCTCTGACTTTTTGGGGCTTTTCTACAGGTTTAGAGCTTAACCATGTTTTAAACAAAGAGAAATCAATAAGAAGATAAACACATGTTAAAGTGCTGTAGTTCAGATGTAACGTGACAAAGTGTTCAGACCTGAAGGGAAGATCATTTTATGTTGTTTTCATACATGCAACTAACTCCTGAGGGGTTTAATTCACATACAATTCATAAATCTTAATTCTTATGATTTGAAGTTGATTTTTTTTTCTCCCTGCAGTGTCAGTCTCTTTGTGCACAGCGAACATAGCAAGTTTCTCTCATGAGTTTGACGTAAGAAACTACATTCAGCTTTATTAAAACAGCACCCACAAAAATGTATCCCTTGAGATCGGTTAAATTAAAAAGGCTGTTGTCTCTGGGACTATGATGACAAAAACAGTGTATACAGCTGGATATGTTCCATCAGTGTTTCTGCTGAAACTTTTTCAATGCAGCTGCATGAACTCATAGGTAACAGATTTGTGTTGGAGTACAAATGAACTGAAATAGTCCAAAAGATGCCCAAACAATGGATCATGATTAAGATTTGTACAAAGTTTAGAAGCAGGTCCAACTGTGAGGAAAAAACAACCTTAAAATGCTCATCCAGTTGGACCAGGTCTTTATGAAAGTGCTGAAGAATCTTCATCCTGATGGACCTCAGGTCCCGTTTTCACACAAATGTTTTTAGAATTCTTCGACTTTTGGTCTCATTCATAGATTGCCCGTGTAGAAATTACCAAACCCTTTTGGTCTGAACACTCACTCAAACGTTTTGCACGGATTTGAATGAAGTCAGCAGTGAAAGTATCAAACTTTGTCGTTACATCTGACATTCAAACACCATTCAAGCCAAAAAACAGAGTCTGTGCCGAGCATGTGTGCAGGGAAAGTCTTCTTTTCTTTCTTTTTGTGAAAACTAAAGTTTTGTGACTGTGTGTTGCAGAGTCAGACTTCCAGTCACAGTTTAGTTTGGACTGCAGACAGAGCGGTAAAGATCCCAAACCTGTCGCTATGTGTCTGTGGGACTTTGTGAAAACGTTTTGGCTGCAGTCTTTTGTAAGCAGAGAAGAAGAGTGCCGTCTTGTTTTGTGTCTCCTCTCCTCCCTCTCTACTCCAACACTCTGAAAATGAGGAGGAGGAGAAGGGCAGTGAAGATGCTGAACAGTGAACTGTCTGCCTGCTGTCTCAAGAGAGGCTCGGCGTCTTGATTGGCCAGCTTGGCTGTCAGTTGTCATTTGGTTTGTGGCTGTTATGCCTCATCCTTGCTGCTTAGATCATCAGAGGAGGTATATAACCCGTGTGAGCACTCTGATTGGCTGAATAAGCTGTCCGTCTGCCAGCAGCCCTCTGATTGGCAGGTTGAATGTGTTGTGCTCGCTGAGAGTAACGGGAAGCATTGAAAGCACTTTTGCAGATTTAAGGAAACTGTTTTGTCAAACACACATGCACACACAGACATCTTTCTTTTGTCTCTCTCAGTCTTTCTTTCCTCTCAGTTTCATAACACACGTCCCTTAACTGTCCCATAATCCGTTTAAGTTTGCAGAATAATCATTTCATCCTCATAAACCCTTCTAACATGTCTCTCATGCTCTCATTAACACATTGCTGCTCACATCGCAGTGACCTCCAGCTTTGATTGTTTGTTCATAATTGACCTGGAGACTCGCTGTCACCTTCTCCCCTCAGGTTTTGGACATTTTACCTTCTGTCTTGTCTTCCAGGAGACTCCTGCTGATTTACAGGTGTCAGCAGAGGTCAAACAGTCAGAAAGGGGGTCCTAAATGTAGGCTGAAGATGAGTGACGTCAGTGCAGAGAAAATGAAGTGCACAGTTAGAAACATAGTACCACCTGTATAGCCACTGTGCATAATGTTGTCCAATCTGCGACACAGAGAAGTCCGACACTGAGCCAACTGAGCAAATCCGGCAGCTTGTAGGACAGAAACAAAGTGAACTTGTTTGGACATTAAAAGAATTAAACATCAACACTGAAGAAAAAGTGACACAACCTACCAGACTGTCTCCTTAATATCCTAAATGTATGTTTTTGGTTTGAACTTGAGGGGTTAGGAGTCAAAGTTTACAGCTTAACAATCAAGTTATCTGAAGTAACTTGCTGTTTGATCCAGCAGGTGGCACTCTCATTGATATCTGACCATTGAATGACACTGTTGACCCGGTAAATTAATACAGTGATTATTTCCTACAAAAATAGAGGACATGCGCATCATTAAAGCCGTCTTGAGCGCTCAGTCACGACACTAAAACATCAGGAGTTTTTTAAATTCTACACCACAGATAGAAAAATCAAAGACACGGACAGAGCTGTGTGACAGGTTTGTTCAAAGGAGCTATGTTAGTCTTTAATGACAGTGAATCTGCAGAGGAGGTATGGTGCTGCTGAGCATGCAGTGACAACAGGGGATAAAAAAGGAAAAGCTGAACTCAATCCTGATAAAGTCGTAGACCTGAAATTAGCCGACAGACTCTTCAGATTGGTGTAATATAAATGTTCTTACACTTTTAGTGAAGGTTCTTTCATTTCGCTCCTGTTGTCTAATTTGAGTTTTTTAGTGTGCAGTTTTAGTGTCCACGTAGTCGTTGCAGGGGGATCCTAATATACTGAACCAAGAGCGCATCATGTTCAATTTTCATTCAAGCTTGATTCTTTGAAAAAGTGACAGCTCTAACCCCCAACCTGTTTGTAATCATTCAGAGCACAGTGTCTGCCTTGATCTTGATCCTGAGTTTCTGATTCCACTGAAAGCTTCATTGATTGGCTGTTTTGGTAGCAGCTCGAAAGCATAATGCATCTAATCTCACTGGTTATGATACAGCAGGATTCAGAAGCTGTTCTTTGCTGTGTACCGTTAAAAATACCAGTCTGGATTGTGAGGATGATAGGCTTCATCAATGAAATGGTCGAGTTAATTCTGAACCTTTGGAAAGCATAAAGTTTAATTGAAATGATCTCATTAACAGAACAAAATGCTCCCAGTTTTCAGAAGTTTAACTCAGGACACTCAGAGTGATGCCTGTGAACTGTCCTGTCTGCTGCTGCTGTTCTGTGTTTTCCCTCCTCTCAACAAAGATCATGTTCAGTCTTCAGTCTGCATCTTGTGTTCCTGCTGAGCACCTCTCTAGAATATAATTGCACATTAAGAAAAGGCTCAGGATTCCCCTAAAAAGGCGTCGGTGAATTATAGGAACTATTTTCTGCAGCGGAGGGATACTGATAAACAGTGCTTGCTTGGAGAGGCATTAACTGCAGTGTGACAAAGAAGGTTATTATCAGCAGACTGAGCATTGCTGTGTATATTTTTTAATGTGTGAAGCTGCTGATTGGCTCAGGTTGATGATACTAACGTTGTCTCTTTTCACTTTTATTTTCTTTTTGACTCAACTGAACCCCCAAACTCCTCCTCACTGCTGCTGCAACACAATCAAACTAAAACTGTCTCTGCTGCTGTCGCCTCTCACTCCTCTCTCTCTCCTATTCATCTGTGTGCACATTTTTCCCTGTTTGTGCTTTAAAATGTGTCTGGCTGTTACTAAATGTTCCTCTTTTGCTAAAATAATATTCATTCATTCATTCATGCGTTCATTACTAACCTGTGTTTGCATGTTTTCGTTTGTCCTCGGTTTGTTTGTGCGTCTGTCCATCTCTCTGTCATCCACTCTCTCTGCCCTGCAACCTTTCTCACTTCCTACCCTCTTTTCTCCCTCCTACTCCCTCCCCTGCTCCTCTGTGCTGTGGTGCATCATGGGATGTGTAGGCTTCTATGGTCTGGATGAGTCCGACCTGGATAAGGTGTTTCGGCTGCCCACCACCACCTTCATTGGAGGCTCAGAGAGCGCCCTGCCGCTGAAGGAGATCATACGCCGACTGGAGGTAAACCTCAGGAATACCAGTTTTTATGGGTGGAGCAGGAATTTTGACCACAGGGGGTGCCAAAACTGATACACACCACAAGTTCCTCACAGAAGCTGAAAGTTATATTCATCAATTATGAGGGAGCATCAAGAAAAGAAATATTAAGATTTCAAGAATAAAATGTTCATGTTACGAGATTAAACTCATCATTTAGCCAATTAGGGGGCACCTGTTCAGATTATTCTACTGTTTTCTACTTCACCTGACACCCCCACCCCCCCGTGTCCTCTTGCTCCTGCTGTCAGATGGCCTACTGTCAGCACATCGGTGTGGAGTTCATGTTCATCAATGACCTGGAGCAGTGTCAGTGGATCAGACAGAAGTTTGAGACACCTGGAGTGATGCAGTTCACTCTGGAGGAGAAGAGGACGCTGCTGGCCCGCATGGTGCGGTCCACCAGGTAACAGACACACAGCAACACACCTGAATCAACACTGAAACACACCTTTAGTCCCCCACTGAACACCACCACAAACCTGCATCCAGGCTCGGTGCTCATCCACCAGTCAGCCTGAAAGAGAGTTTTGCAGGGATGAGAGGACAGAACCTCCTTTAAGACCGTCTGACAGTGAAGTTTTGTTCCTCTAATGTGTGTGTGTGTGTGTGCAGGTTTGAGGAGTTCCTCCAGAAGAAGTGGTCCGCAGAGAAACGCTTTGGTCTCGAGGGCTGCGAGTCTCTGATCCCGGCTCTGAAAACCATCATCGATAAATCCTCTGAGAACGGTGTGGAGAACGTCATCATGGGCATGCCTCACAGGTTATACACACACACACACACGCACACACACTGGTATATGTGTATATGGTAGTCAAAGCATTGTAGTGTCTTTCTGCTACCCCTGTGATGAAATAAAAACACCACAACACTTTATAGTGGCACGTTAAACTTTAAACTTCACAGTAAAAATTTAAGACAGCTGAAATGAAAATCAAGAATAATAACGACTTTTTGTCTGCAAGACTCAAAGAAAAAGAATTTATTCTGTTTTTATTTAGTTAGTTTTTATTGGGGGAGAACAGGGTAATGGACAGAGCAGGAAAATAGGGTTAGAGAGTGGAGAACGACACACAGGAAGGGAGGTAAACCAGGGAAGTTTAAACAAAACCGTGATGATTCAACAACTTGAGAGAAATGAGAAATAAACAGACAGACAGAAGTAACAGAAGTATTCATGACAGACATGAAGATGTAATAAGGATACATGTGAAGCAGGTCAAGTAAGCTTACTGAAACTCCTGAAAAGTGCAAATGCTGTCACACTAACCTGGGAGTATCTACATGTAGTAATGACTCAGATTTAGTGACATGAATATTCTTATCGTCTGTGCAGCATGTGTAAACCTCTCTATGACAAACAAGGGTTTCTCTGTCGGGGTCGTCCTTGCACCAGTTTCCTGTGATCAGTAACTGGCTGAAAAGTCTCTTTGCTTTGTGTCTTTTCCTGTGTTTAGGTCCTTACACACCAGGCGCGAATTCGCCAAGCAAATTATTCGCCTTTTTTCAAAACAACATAAAGTCAATGCAAGCTTCCACACCGGCGGCGATTTTTCCGCGGGGCAAAAAGCGTCTTTTATTTTTTCGCTCTTGTGTCAAATTTTTCGGATATTCGCAGGCGAATATCTGGACCTGCTAGACCTCTGGCCAATCAAAAGTCATGTTGTTGATGACGTCACAGACCCATACGGCTGGAGGAGAGGGAGAAGTTTGAGATTATGAAAACGCAGAGAAAGACAGCTGAGGTGCATCCAAAACTCTTTCGAATTACTAATGAAGTAGTTTCCTCACAAGATGACACTCTCTTGTCTTCCTTAGGAGACAGATGTCATGCACACTTCACAGGGTGACCGCCTCATCATGCCTGATTCTCCCTCTTAGCTGTTTGACAAACCGATGATCTGTAGCTACAGGGCCAACAGAATGACCAGACAACTTGAAGGATCACTGCTCAGCCCTCGCCTCTCCTGGCTGCTGCGGCGTCTCTCACAGCTTTTCCTCCTCTTTCTCCCTCACTCATAATGCTAGACATGTCAATCAGCAGCCATTCACACGACACACACCACCACTGGCACCAAGAGCAACGATGGGAGAGAGGCTGGTAATTGCGGTACAGGACCACCCCGCATCTTCTCTCCTCCGTGCCGCAGAGCGACTTTATTAATTCGCTTTGCGAAATTTATACGCATATTCGCTTCGCGCCCGGTGTGTATAGGCGAAACTGATTTTTCGGACCGGCGAATATTCGCATTTTCGTCTCGCTTTTTCGCTTCGCTCCGCAAATTCACCGGTGTGTAAGGACCTTTTGATATCCCAGACAGAACACCTCACTGTTCTCATCTCTTCCCCTCATTTTCAACCCTCCTCTTTTCTCCTTTAGGGGTCGTCTGAATGTTTTGGCCAATGTGATCCGTAAAGAGCTGGAGCAGATTTTCTGTCAGTTTGACTCCAAACTGGAAGCTGCTGATGAGGTATTTAACCTGTTTGAAGAATCATTCCTGCTGTAATTACACCTGAGCCTACAGGACGGCGATGGAGATCCAATCACGTCATTTGATGTGACACTGGAGTTTCTAGTTATTCTCTGACCTTGGTGTTACTCCTCTGTCTCCTAAGGGATCTGGTGATGTGAAGTACCATCTGGGAATGTACCATCGTCGTATCAACCGGGTGACTGACAGGAACATCACTCTGTCTCTGGTGGCCAACCCGTCTCACCTTGAGGCTGTAGACCCTGTGGTGCAGGGGAAGACCAAGGCTGAGCAGTTCTACTGCGGAGACAACGACGGCAACCGGGTGAGTCTCAGGAGAACGATCTGGGACAGACTGGAGCCAGATATGTACTGTTTTTCATGCTTGTATGTCGCTCCATATGAAGACAGCAGTTTGTTTCTACATGACTGAAATTTACACTTTCAATCGTGAAATTTTTTCACCCGATTTGTGCTTCAGTTTCTCCTCACTAAACCAGGTGTGTTTCTGTGTGTGCATGTGCGTGCATGTGTGTTCAGGTGATGTCCATCCTGCTCCACGGAGACGCAGCGTTTGCAGGTCAGGGCATCGTCTATGAGACCTTCCATCTCTCCGACCTGCCGTCCTACACCACGCACGGCACTGTGCACGTCGTGGTCAACAACCAGGTAACGGACACCACTGTTTGTGTCTTTGGATGATGTGTGTGTTTAAAAGATTACTGTAGATGTAGAGCACCTGGATCGTCTTTTTTGACTGTTTTTATTTGTTTAGGAGACCGGCTAAGATGATGATCGTGTGTTTAGAGTTTTTCTCTTTGGTTGGGAGTGATTAGATTTTGTTAAGCTAATTCTTGTTTATTTTAGGTGCCTCTCATTTTGTAAGTCCACCAGCCTTAAACTTAAATGTGCTGCCAGCCTGTCTTGAGAGTTGGAAAAGTTGGAGTGTGAAACATTTTCCCCTAAACCAGGAACTTGAAGGGGCCAAGTATCAGAGTGCTGAGCTATGATGTTCTTCCCCCAGATTGGTTTCACCACAGATCCTCGTATGGCTCGCTCATCTCCATATCCCACTGACGTCGCTCGTGTCGTCAACGCTCCCATCTTCCATGTCAACGCAGATGACCCAGAGGCCGTCATCTACGTCTGCAAGGTGGCCGCTGAGTGGAGGGCCACGTTCCACAAAGACGTGGTGGTCGACCTGGTCAGTTTGTTTCATCTCTGACATTTCTAGTAAAACTTGTGAAGTGTGAGTGAACCCTTGAATGATGCAGCAGGATCTTTATCATCCTGAATATGTCTATGTGTGTTTGTCTACAGGTGTGTTACCGTCGGATGGGTCACAACGAGATGGATGAGCCGATGTTCACTCAGCCGCTGATGTACAAACAGATCAAGAAGCAGAAGCCGGTGCTGCAAAAATACGCAGAGAAGCTTATCGCAGAGGGAGCCGTCAGCAGGCAGGAGTACGAGGTAAAAAACACACAAACACACCACATGATGTCTTCAGTCCCTCACTAAAGTCTTCTTAGAGCTCTGTGAGGTCCAACAGTTTTCAGCCTTCTCTCTGTTGATGAGTTTTCTGCATCAGCTGAGAGACTTCTCCGAATCTCTTCTGGTCTCTGTTTGTAGGAGGAGATCGCCAAGTACGATAAGATCTGTGAGGAGGCGTATGCTCGCTCCAAAGACGAGAAGATCCTCCACATCAAGCACTGGCTGGACTCCCCATGGCCCGGTGAGACAGCTCACTCAGTGTGATTAGAATCACAAACAGTTTAGATTTTTACAGATTGGGGGGTCTGTTGGACCAAGTCTGAAGCAGGTTGTGATTTCTTGTCTTGTCAGGTCTTCGAAGTCAAAATGATGCAGATCTGGTTTCATGATCTGGTCTCTGATGAATATTACACACGTTTTGTCATCTTTGTCAGGTTTTTTCACTCTGGATGGACAGCCAAAGTCCATGAGCTGCCCCTCCACTGGTCTGACTGAAGAGAGCCTGAACCACATTGGACAGGTGGCCTCGTCTGTCCCTGTGGAGGACTTCACCATCCACGGAGGTCTGACACGTTAACCAGAGAAAGAATTGTAGAATTAAACTCAGACAGAAGCTGAAAACATGAAAATCTCTCCAGTCCCGACTCTGGTCTGGTGTCTGTGTCAGTTTTTTTGTTGGACCTGTTTTTGATTTCTTGCCTTTTTGTTGTTATTTCTCAGTTTTTAACTGCTGGTCCAGTGTCTCTACCCCAACATAACTTGCCGCTTCTCTGTTGAGAGACTGTGTGTAAAAACTGTGGCTGCTGTTTCAGGTCTGAGTCGTATCCTAAAGGGCCGAGGTGAGATGGTTCGTAACAGGACAGTGGACTGGGCTCTGGGAGAGTACATGGCCTTTGGATCTCTGTTGAAAGAGGGAATCCACATCAGACTGTCAGGACAGGACGTGGAGCGAGGAACCTTCAGGTGAATCCCTCACACAGACCAGACCCTATCCAGCTGTTTCCTCAGTTCCTGACCTCTTTTGAAAGTGAATCCCTGAACTTTAAGAGTCTCTTTTCAAGGACCTCTTTTTCTCCTCCTCAGTTTATCTGCAGACTTTCTGACAGAATATTTCTTCTCTGGAACTCAAAACTTGATCCTAACATGTCTGCTTTGTCAAACTCTGTTGTGAGCTAAAAAAAACATCAGTTTTCAGGTTCATGATAGCGGCTGCACACAAATGGTGCCAGGTTTAGGTCCAGGTTGAGTCCATGTTGTTGGGGGAGAAAAGGGTCAAAGGAAGTGAACTGAGCTCTTCATGCACCATCCCTTTACTTTTTCTAAGACTGGTGTATAACTCCCAAAGAGCAAAGATCCTACCTGGAGTAAATTTTTGGTCATTTCACTTACATGTGATGATAAGATTGTATTTAGATCATCAAGAGACTCTTGATAGAATGACTTCTGAAAAACAGCAAATGCCAAAGGAACCAGTGAGATCATCTGAGTTTTGTTTACACTCTCTTTAGACCTTTGGGATGATCTCACACTGAGGGAAACAGTTCAGAAAATGAACTCTTTTTGTCCCCTTTCAGCCACCGTCATCATGTCCTCCATGATCAAAATGTCGATAAGAGGATCTGCATCCCCATGAACCATGTCTCTCCTGACCAGGCGCCGTATACAGTCTGCAACAGCTCTCTGTCTGAGTACGGAGTCCTGGGTGAGTCTGAGCGCTCTGCTGATGCTCATTCATCAACACTCAAAAATGTTCATTAAAAACTCTAACTTAACTCTGTGTCCAGGCTTTGAGTTGGGTTTTGCCATGGCGAGTCCGAATGCTCTGATCCTGTGGGAGGCCCAGTTTGGAGACTTCCACAACACGGCTCAGTGCATTATCGACCAGTTCATCTGTCCCGGTCAGGCCAAGTGGGTTCGACAGAACGGCATCGTGCTGCTGCTGCCACACGGCATGGAGGGCATGGTTAGGACCACACACACACACACACACACACACACACACACAGAGTTAGATGTCAGGAAACCTTCAGGCGTGCACTGAAAGTGTGAACAAGGTTTTATTAGTCTGTTTCTGTTTGTGTCTCCAGGGTCCAGAACACTCTTCAGCTCGTCCAGAGAGATTCCTCCAGATGTGCAACGACGACCCTGATGTTATGCCGGTAAACTCACACTCAAAAACACCAAATGAGAAACATCTCTCTGTTTAAAATGTGAAAGCTGTCATGAATTTTACGATGCAAGATGAGAGTCTGCTCTAAGCAGATGTATGTCTCAGAGAAGCTGGGCTCTTATTCCAATGTATTTCCCAGTCTAAATCACTGTTTTGCAGAGTTTTAGTGTATTTACGTTTAAATATTGTGTCTGATCACTAACTCCAGGAGTTTTGGAATCAAAAATCAGATCAGCAAGACTCCAGATGAACTTGCTGTTAACTATACATATGTAAACACACGATTGCTGTCATGGCGTTGGTTTACTGCGTCTGCTGTGCATTTACATAAATTTAATGTGATGCACAACTTAGAAGTGTAGAGGACTAAAGCAGCAAAGCTGGGAGAGGGACTGCTTCATTTATCCACCAGGAGGCCAAAATCAACACCAACAGAAAGTCCCTCAAATAAAGGTTTAAAAACCATCATCATCATCATCTCTCTCTCTCTGTTTCTCTCTGTTTCTCTTTTAGACCATCACCGATGACTTTGCTGTGCGTCAGCTCTACGACTGTAACTGGATCGTGGTGAACTGCTCTAATCCCGGAAACTACTTTCATGTCTTGAGACGACAGATCCTCCTGCCGTTCAGGAAGCCTGTGAGAGACACACAAACACACTCTTACACTAACACACACACATGCACACGCACAGTGATACATGTTTTGAGCTTTACTTAAATGGGAATTTGCTGTGATATTTGCTGTCAGTGTGAAAACTAGGATACAATATTGACGCCACAGAGACCTCCGCAGTGTTCGGACCCTGCTGCTGATGTTTATTAATTTTCTGTCTCTGTGGCAGAAATGTAGGTATGGTTCTCTGGTGATCACAGAAATCTGAAACAATACAAGAACTTTGTTTATCCCCAAAGGAAAATTCATTTGTCCAAAATCTCATGAAAAGTTTTCTCTGGTAGGACAGTTAATAAACTGTGTGAATCCAGTCAGGTGAGAGGAGAGGGTGACGTGGTTGAAGTCTCCTGATGTTATTACAAGTGCCAGTATCGCAGAGAATAAATGTCAACAAGTATTGTTATGATATGACTGAACTCCCTTGGAACATATTATGGTCAACAGTTCAATATCTGGACAACACAACTTCTCCTTGACAGTTATGTGTGAAGAGTTACACCATCTCTGGTTGACAAATAAAGCCAGACCTCCTTTCTTCTTGCCACTAGCTTGAGCGTCTCTGTCTGACATTATAAGAGTGAAGCCAGGTAGATCCACACTGGAGTCTGAGTTGTTTTGATTCAACGAGGTTTCAGTAAAACACAGGAGACTGCACTCACAGTATGCTTTCTCAGTCTTCACCAATATCTCCAACTCATTGCTTTTGTTGGACAGAGACTTGATGTTTCCCGTGATGACTGATGGAAGAAACGGTTTATATCGCCACCTCCTAGCATTCAGCTTTGCCTTCACCTTTGCACCAGCACGGCAACCATGATAATACCTCCTGATGTCCTCTGGAATTGTATGTTGTTATCCAGATTTTTGCAGTTTGCTTTTTCCTCAATGGAAGGATCTCTTCTCTTGAGTAAACTCTTTGCCCAGCAGAAGTATCCATCAGCAGCCAACAAAATGACAACAAAAATATGAAAAAATTGAGCAAAAATTGCAGATAATACAGAGAGACCAGATTTTGCTGCTCCTTGGTTAAGGGCAGGTTCTGGAATGAATGACCTGAAAAATCTCTGACTTTTTACCTCCCAAATATTACAGTTTGACTGTTGAAGCGCACGCGGTTTCCTCTTTGTGGGGTTTGTGTATGGGAGCTGCAGGAGACATCAAGCAGAAATAGACTTGTGTTGTTATTTGACTTTGAAATCATCTAAAATGATCAACCTCCTTTTTTTTCTCCAGTTGATCGTCTTCACTCCCAAATCTCTGCTGCGTCACCCGGAGGCCAGATCCAGCTTTGATGAGATGCTTCCTGGTATGACAACTCTTAGTCTCCTTACACTTATCAGGAGTCCTCTGAAAAGAAAATCATTAGTGTCATCTTCCTCCTCCTCCTCCTCCTCCTCCTCCTCCTCCTCTCTGCAGGAACTCACTTCCAGAGGTTGATCCAAGAAGATGGAGCAGCTGGGGAGCGTCCAGAGGGGGTGAAAAGGCTGATCTTCTGCACGGGGAAGGTTTACTATGAGCTGACCAAAGAGAGGAAGAACAGAGGCATGGAGGACACTGTGGCCATTGCGCGCATGGAGCAGGTATGTATGTGTGTGCACACACACATGCACTGACACCATCGTTAGCTCTATATGTTTGTGCATTTGAGTAGATCAAGTGGGTTTGTAACCCAGTGGGGTGACTGTGTCAACCACAGATCAAATGTGAGTTTTTGTAGACGTGCCACTGGCCGAGCGGTCTGAGCATTTCCCCCCATGTACACAGGTTCAGCCTCAAGTATGTTTGCAGTAAAGACGTTTTAAGAAGTAACTGTATACTCCCCTCCACCCCTTCTTCTTTCTCCAGCTGTCTCCGTTCCCGTTCGACCAGGTGAAGGCAGAGTCAGAGCGTTTCCCCAACGCTGACCTGGTCTGGTGTCAGGAGGAGCACAAGAACCAGGGTTACTATGACTACGTGAAGCCTCGCATCAGGACCACCACCCAGAGAGCCAAACCTGTGTGGTAAGAACCCGCCCAGTCACAAGATTCCACAAACTGCAGTGTGTTCCAGCTTATGTGAAGGGTTTGACCTTTGACCTCTGTGTTTGTGTGTCAGGTATGCTGGCAGAGGACCGGCAGCAGCTCCAGCCACAGGAAACAAAAACACTCACCTGGTGGAGCTGAGGCGCCTCCTTGACGCTGCTTTTGACCTGGACGGGTTCAAAGATCAGCAGTAGAGCAGTGACCTCTGACCCCTGACCTGCAACATCTGGATCATAGCCTCACCTGTCTGGCCTGTGACCTCCCCTGAACCCTTCTGGATTTCATTGTGACACACAAACCACATCAACATACACAAACACACAAAAACAAACACACTCAGTCAAACTTCAGTGAAGCTGCTCTGCTGCAGACAAACAACTTCAACATGATCTGATTCTGTTCAGGACTCGGTTTACTCCAGCTGCAAACCCAGTTTCACTCCCGGATGACTTAATTTCAGCCTCAAAATGAGACATTTTCTGATCACTGAAACCAACCTGATGAATTAAAGTCAATATTTTAAGCTTGGTTATCTTTTTTTCTGTCATTAACAAAGAAAAGTTCTGCTCTCCTTGAAAAACTGATCCTGAAACAGTCCAAAGCTGTCCTAAATCTGAAGAAAATGCATTTTTCTGCAGCACATAGTCCGATCTCTGAATCAGACATGGCTGTGATAGAAAAATGAGTAAACAGGGCACTGAACACATTTCATGCTCCATTCAGTCCGATCAAAAGATGCACATGTGCACAATGTGTAGATGTAGTATGATCTGAAGTTGATTGAACAGATAGTTAGGTTACAGCTGATCGACTAGTCTAAAGGTCAGAAAACACTCAGATACAGCCCAGAGTTTACAGGTTAACAGTGCTGAATGCTTTGCAGATTGTGGCTCACTTTGGCAGAGCTTTGGGTTCACACTGACACGGTTTTATGCCAGTTAAAACTGACACACTCCTCATGCAACTTTATCTCTATTTTCCAGATAAAAACACTGACAATGTGTCTGGGAGCATTACAGAACCAAAACAGCAGCCATTAGAGCCCCAGATAGTGATGTGACAGCTTCGACACGACATATAACTATGTTTCTTATAACCCTCTTACATAATCTGTGGTGAATATTTGCTGGTCAGTCAAGCACTATAGTGTCATGTCAGCAAACTGTGTAGTCATTTTGGCGTTGTGGGCAGGTGCATCATCCCAGTACAGCTTGGTGCCAGAATATTGAGAGTTCACTCTTTCTGCAGCAGCTGATCTCTCCTCTTAAATAGATTACCTTGGCAGTTGTTTATGATGGGAAAATTATGGAAGGTGTGTGGGAAACTGGACGCATTTTGTGCAGTGAACAGCCTGGTGGTACTTGGAGGTGTCATTGCATTATGTTGATGTAGAACGTGCAATAAATGCAGCGCACACTTTGCACAACATGTGCACACTTCTTTGTTTGCAGTTGGAGTTTACTGAGTACAAAGTAATAACAGGAATATTTCACTGAAGTGCAGGTACTGTGTGTTTCCTGCTCAGTAGAACAGCATCAGGCTCTGCTCCATCACAGCAACTTTCTGAGCAACAACTTTTCTCAACAGATTTATAACGTTTAAGAATGAGAAGGTGTAGGCATGAGAGGAAAGACGGTTCCGTTGAAAGAAGATCAGATGTGATGTTAGAGACTTTGATTCACTGGATTTCACAGTCAGAACTTGCATTAGAGATTTGTGTATTTTAAGTTTTAAGACTTGAGTTGTTAAAGCTGTGTTTAAAGTAATTTGTTGATTAAAAAATACATCAAATTTGGATGCTTTCTGTTTGATGGTTGCAGAGTTATTGCATGATCATAAAGGTTTGACAACTGTGGCTGAACAAGAACTTTACCTGACTATCTCTCCGTCTAAAATCAGTGAATTTTTGAGTGAAGTTTGGAGCTTCCTGACACACAAATATTTTGTTTAGAGTAAATAACGGTCATTGAAGCTTGGTGCTGCAGACAAATCTCACTAAGAACCACAGAAAGCAGGTTAGACTCACGGTGTTTCTTTAGGCCACAATAAACAAGCTGCAGAGTTTTAAGAGGGATGCTTTGCTCCAAAGACGCTCAGATCTGTGATGGAGAAGAGCCTGACACTGAAGGGTGAAAACACACATTCCTCCGTCCTCACACACATACGCGCGCACACACACACACACACACACACACTCAGACACAGATTGTATAATGTAACAGCAGGTTGGCAGTTCATCCCACACACAGGCAGACACACGCAGGATCATTACTCAATATTCTTCTTCACCTGAATCGTTGCAGGAAACTTTTTACTTTAGTTTTTAATCAATGGCTCGTTAGCATTGTTAGTGCTCTTCATTCTGTTGGAAGCCAATGGGAGCCGAGCCAGTTGAGGAAAAGTGAGAGTGATGCTTTGAGGATCAGATTCAGTTCAGCAGGTGGAGGGTTCCTGCCTTTCAGCAGGTGTGTGAGCTTGTTCAGGTAAAGTCTGTCATTAGTCACCACAGCGAGGCTTCACTACCACACTGAGATTTTCTTGTTTTTCTTTATTTTGAAGGGATATTTTGGGAGTTCAATGGCTGCGTTCTGCGCTATCAGGCATCCCTACATGAACCAAATGCACTGCTGATTATAATTTAACCCCTTGGCTTCTGTCCCTCTTCTCTTCTCTCTCTTAATCTCTCTGGAGCATTTATCCCGTGCCAAAATGGATCAGAGCGTCTCATGTTTTTATTATTTTACTCACAGCTGAATGAACTCTGTCAGCAGGAAACTAAATCTCCTGGTTTGAAAATAGAAAATGTAAACGACAACAGAAGATGAAATCAGCTGCAGGTGGTATTCTGGGCTTCTGTGAGACAAAGAAAATGATTTATTTATTTTCATAATAGGGGATTGAATTTCTCTTCATTATTTTGCTTCATTCAATAAAGAATCCTGTATGTACTGAAGAGCCTCCACACCTGTGTCTTTATTGTCTGACTCTGAATCTTTATGATGTATTTTTTCAAAATGGGTGCACTGCTGTTTTTTATCCTAAAGAGGAAACTGGGAAAATTAAAACATAAAGTCTTTTACATATTTCAAAAAGGTCCACTTTGATTTATTTTATTTTGACAGTCCTCAGCTCTCTCTCATCCCAGTTTCTTGGTCCCGACCCCCCCCCCCCCCACCCCACTTTTCCATCAGTCATCTCCATTAATCTGCTTAATCAGACTCTGTTTCAGCAGAGACCTGTTGGATGAGTCAGCAGCAGTCTCTCTCATGATGTGATTGTGTGAACTGACCCAGACCAAGAGCCATACTGTGTTTGTACTGTTTGAATGATCAATTACTCAAACTTATTATATTGGATTTTTTTTTTAGGTTTGGGTCATAACTATCTACATTAAAATAGAAAAATGTTCAAAACATTCTATTCTATAATAATTGAATATGTTCAAAAGATTTTTGTTTACATGTAATAATGAAATATGTCAATCTTTCACTGTCTTAAGCAACTGATAAAAAATAATGAACATCATAAATCTGTAGTGATTAAATCTCTCTTTTCATATCAACCTAAAAGCTTAGTAATTTACTGAATCAACTAATTAGGAGGTTTTGACAAATGTACATTTCTGTATGTTTTATTTAACAGGAAAATCTGATTTAAATTTCTACCAGAAAGGAATGGAAGCACCGAAACAAATAAGATTTGAATTTTTAACGGTTTTCTTTTTTTATTATTATTATGACTGTTTTCACAAGAGTTCTGAGTTTAAAGATTAGATATTAGAATTCTGACTTTTCTATCAGAATTTTGAAGCCGAAGTCATATTTCTGACTTTAACCTTAGAACTTGAGGGGAGGGGGGGGGGCAGAATTCAGTCTTTTTTTCCAGAACTCTAAGATTAAAATCAGACTTCTTAGAACTAATCTTAGAACTTATTTTATTAGTTTAGAATTCAAGGGGTGGGGGGTGGGCTGACATATTAATATATTTATGTCAACATATAGTTGGAATATGTTATCTGTCAAATATCATTTTACCTGAATCATGAATATAAAAAATGTTTTTTTTGTTTGTTTTTTTTGCTTAAGGTTGAATGTTATGTTACATCACAGACTTCACTATGAGACCCAGGTTAGTCCTAAACATATTTTTACACATATTTACTGATACTGTTCTTTCTCCTAATCCTGCCTTTTCCCTTCCTTTCTCATCTCCTTCCTTCCTCATCAATCTCCTGCTTGATCCCTTGTTTTCTTCCTCTCCTCCTTGTCTCTCTCATCCCTCCCTCCATCTTTTTCTTCCCTTTATGCTGAATTCCTTTGTTCTCATCCTTGCACCTTGATGTCTCCTCCCCCCTTCCTCTCTTGTTTCCTCTCCTCCCTCTCTCGTCCTCTCCTTGCCCCTTCTCTCTAACCTCACACATTCACGAGGTCTGTTAGATGTCAATACTCGTCGTTATTTCTGGTGTGTATGAGGGACTAAGTACGAGTGTGTGTGTGTGTGTGTGTGTGTGTGTGTGTGTGTGTGTGTGTGTGTGTGTGTGTGTGTGTGTGTGTGTAGGTGTGGGTGGGGGGGTGGGGAATCTGTTGCCATGGAAACAGAAGTTGCAGATCACAGCAGCAGACTGTCTACGCATTCAAACGCACTCAGATCGACGTGTGTGATGCCGCGAGCTGAAATGGTGATGACGCCAAGGTGATGTCATCGTCAGACTAAAAATGTCTCACTCGCGGGTGTCCGCCTCTCACTCCGTAAGATGACTCCAGGTACATCGTGGGATAGTAGGGAAGTCTAGATAGTATTTTTATTCCAAAGTGGTTGATACAAACATTAATTAATCATCTGTTTGTTTGTTTGTTTGTTTGTTTGTTTGTTTGTTTGTTTGTTTGTTTGTTTGTTTTGACTGTTATTTTCATTCTCTTTTCCTTGAGTGTTGTGGCTTTAGTCTGTCCACCAACAACAAACAAAATTAAACTGATCTGGTTTAATTCTAAGCATATAATGCGAAGATTTAAATACTGTCATTTAAAACAGTATTTGGATTTGGTGCCCCCTGTTGAGAAAGTGTTTTTCACCAATCAGAATCAAGTATTTAAAGAGGAGGTATATTTCCAATTCTCGGTTTATATGGTTTTTTTACTAACTCTGTAGAAGTTCTTAAGGGTTCACAAAACAACAACAAAAACAACAATAACGACAACAAAAGGACCTTTCCATTCGGTGAATATTGTATTTATTATGGTATGTAAATAAGACGTCACGATTCAGTCAAATCTCATGTCCCTTCTGCACAATACTTTGAACAAGCCATTTCAAACAGCCCACAATCTCATCCTCCAAAAAAATGACCCCATAGTTCAAAACTTTTGCTGCATTTAGTTTCAAATCCAACATTCAAACCCAATACTTACTTGCAAAACATGAAAAAGCATAAATCCACCTCTTTAAAAAAAAAGTTTGGTCATGTTAAACAGCCACTATCTTTCACTGTTATCTGGTCAGGGCAGATGGCCCTACACTAAAGAATCTGGCTCTGCTGGAGGTTTGGAGGTCTCTGTCTGTCAAAGGAAGGGTTTCCCTCCTCCTTGGAGCCAAGTGGTTGTCCATGATATACTGCTGGGTGGATGTAAGTATCATAACAGAGAATACGGTTCAAACCTGCGCTGTATGTACATTTTGAATTTTACTATTGCCTTTTGAAAACTGATTGACTGATAACCTGCCTTAACCTGTTTTTTCTCAATAATCTGGTCTCTCTCTCTCTCTCTCTCTCTCTCTCTCTCTCTCTCTCTCTCTCTCTCTCTCTCTCTCTCTCTCTCTCTCTCTCTCTCTCTCTCTCTCTCGTGTAACCTGCTGGTATCACCAGAGGCAGCAGAGATGCAGACAAACACACTGAAGTAGCCCCCACATCAAACTCCAAACAACTCTATCTCGCAGTCTTTAATGTTGGACGTTATATCCATTTGGTTTAATCGTCCCGGAGCAGCGGGGGATGGTGTCGCCCACTGAAGGCGGATAGTGAGACGCAGAGGCCGGCTGCAGGGAGAGCTAACAGGCAGGAGGTATAGCCAAGGCTCCTGCGTAAATCTCGGCCTCAGTGTGGGGATTTCATCCGGACATATACCGGGGTTTTGGGTCCACTTTGAGACGGTTCTCCAAGCCGTGGGGGTGAACCGGCCTGGCTTTGGGTGTGCTCAGTCCTTGATGCCCCGGAGGCCCAGAGAAGCTCAGACTGCGAAGCCCCGGAGCAGGGCTCGGACACCGGGGAAGTAGGGGAGGTAGGTCGGCTACGGGAGAACCAGCACTTCTACTCTGTCTGTGTGCGTGTGTTTTATGTAGTTTCAGGTCAGAACCATTGGGAGTTTAAATGATACTTTAAACACGGTCTGGTTTAAAGGGGACCCTAATGTGAGTCCACTTCAGTGTTTTTGTGTTGGAGTAAGAGGCTAGCTGGAGGCTAACTGTTAGCCCGGGAGCAGTCCATTGTCACAGCCGGGTGGACTAGCTAGGCTAACAGGCTAGCTTTTTAACAGCAGTTAAAGGATAGACAATTTCGACACACGCGGGAAATTTAGCACAGCAGTTGACGTTTTCAATTCTTTTAAGTTTGTCTTTGATTCACTGTGTTTTTTATTTATTTATTGCTGTTTAAACTCAGTGGACGGTTGTCGTCTCGTAAGCATGCTAACGCTAACCTCTTAGCCTGGTAGTATCTCAAAATGTCTCCTGTGACTCTGTCATTTTGTGTTTTTCATTCACTCGATTCAGTGAAGCCGTGAAGACGACGTTTTTGGGCTTAAACCTCTCAGTCAGATTAAAGTTTGATCATCGGTAGTTCAGGTAGTAAACATAACTAATTATTAGACCCGCGCGTGTGTGTGACGTGCACGGCAGCCCCGGAGAGGAGGGGTTGGTAGTTTGATGGCCATATAGAAACCAGAGTTTAATAGTAAGGTTTTTACACTCGAAACACTGTTTAAAACTAACAATATTATTCCTAATCATTACGTTTATTACCTTTAATTTAATCATTACTGACTGGTCATTTAAAGTTTTAAAAACGCATGATGGTAGTAGCTCAGGAGGTAGAGCAGTGGAGTAGTCATTTAACAACTGGAAGGTTGGTGGTTCGATCCCCTCCTATCCCTAGTCTGTCCGTTGTATCCTTGGGCAAGACACTTAGCCCTCCTTGCTCTTAGTGTATGTCCTCCACTGATGTGTGATTCGTATGTACATCGCTTTGGATTAAAGTGTCTTCTAAATGACATTGTAATCATAATACCGCGATACGAATTCCGATATATATCGTGGGGTCAAAAGATGAAGAGTTGAAAAAATGTTTATATGTGTAGACAGCTCCTTATTTTTACTTCAACAGGAGCTGCCAACCAGGTTCACTTTTCAGTGACTGATGCCGAGAGAACAGGTTGGCCAAATATAATGCTAAGAGCGCACCGTTTTTTATTGCATGTGACAAAATTCAGCAATTTTAATCATATTAACTAATGAAAAACAAGATTACTGAACTTGAGCAAACATTTAATCAAATAAGGGTTTTAGAGGGCTGGGCTAACGATTATTGGTGGTACTGCCACCAACATGTAGGGGGGGCTTATCCATTTATGCAGTCATAACTCCCATTTGCACTCATGTTTTCAGAGAGGGGAAACTAAGAGAGGGAGAGAATGGGGTGGGGGGGTCAGCTATGAGAGAATGCATATTATTGGTAGAAAACCACCCAAAAGTGGACTCTTCATAATAGGTGACCTTTAAGACACTTTTGGTGTGATTACTTATGACACCGGGAAGAAACCGTACATCTGAGGCCTGAAATAATTCACTGTCACATGCCAAATATAGGTAGATTTTCTGTGTGGTGAGAAATTTTCAGACATTTATGCCCCCCGTTGCAGGTAAATGTTTGTACCACAATAGTGGTGTGATAAAAAGAAACATCCATGCACAGTTTCTACTGGGTGAACCTAAAACTTCTGTCCGCTCTGCAGTCTGCACGTCAGAACTTTGCAGGGACAGGCTGTTGAATGCAAATATAAAGGGGGTTTTGTGAGAAAAATTGAATTCAGATTGATGCCGATTATATTGTGGGATTTTTGTTCAGAAACGGAAACTACCTTTGTTAAACAGAGTTGTAGAATCTTACAAATATTTTGTGTATATGACAAATCACAATAATTACCGTGCCAGCCATCTACCTGCCACCTTCTCAGTCTTACCTCTGTCCATCTTTTTCACCCATGTGGTTAAAGATGGGAGTGGGTCTGATCCTACAGGATGGGGATCCGTCTGATCCCATCTTTACATTGGGTCTTTGTGAACAGTGTCTGGTCTTAACCAGCTTTTTTTGTGAACCGTCAGATAAAACTTGTTGTGAATTGGCGCTATATGAACAAAGTTCGTTTAACCGATGAGTCAGATAGTTAATATCAGACCCTGCTTAAATCCCTGTTATAGATGTTACTAGGATCATTAAAGTAACAGTTATAGAGATTACAGAATTTTGGGACCATGTGCAGTGTAAACAGACAGACTTCAGTATCGGTATGTAGTAATGTAACTTCTAAAGCTGGGTTTAAAGGTTTGACGTTAATGTAATGTCACATGACCACCAGGCTTTTCAATCATTTGTACAGTTGCTAATGGAACAAATATATTAGTTAAATGTATAAAATAATTTGTAGTTTGGAAAACTAGCTCAGAGCACTTTCAGTCTGTGTTTCCACCACCAAAACAAAGTCCATTCGTAAATCTGCCTGACTGTTAAAAGTGACTTTTATCATTAAAGCTACACGCCCGGAGAAAGTGAGTCCAGGCGTGTTTTTGTTTTCTGTCCTTCTCTGGACTCTCCAGGGAAAAATCAAACTTCCCAGGTTATCGGCTGTAGATCATTAATACTGTAACATGCTCAGGTGTCAGCAGCTGCCTGTGCATTCAGACAAAGCTGTGTTATTAGAAGGAGAGGCATCACTCTGAGCTGTTTCTGCACAATTTTAACAACTTAGTGGAGAGTTTTTTTTTTTTTTTAAACTTTGATGAAAATATTGAAAAACCTCTGTCTTAAGGATCAGACTGAAAGCCGCAGATTTGAAATCTTCCTGCTATGAGGGAAAACTGTTTTGTTTGTGACTCAGGTTTCATTCAGAGGAAATCCAAATATTGGTGTGATGATGAAGGGGATGATGCATTCAGTGACACAGTTATGTCCAGGAAAGTTGAATCATTCAGCAGATTGAGTCACTGCGCTCTGATGCTGTTATCGGACTGAGTGAATTAGTTAATCAATTCAAGTGATATTTTATTTGAAATCATTTATCAGGTCTGTCAGAAGATTATCTGATGGATTCAACGCCTTTTCATTCATACAGCTGTTTGGTTTAGTCACGGATGAAGAGTGTTTTCACAACTTCACTTTACTTACTTTCCTGATTTCAAACACCTATCTGTTTCTGATTCTACAGAAACTATCAAGCAGCAACTTGTGGAGAGAGGAGAGCAGGAAGAGGAGCAGGTGTGTGTTTCTGTGTGAGATACAGATGGAGTGGCTTGCATGTGCCTGTTGCCACCCAGCTGGGTTTTCCAGGTCTGATGATCTTTATCCCACACAGAGGTCGAGGAACACCTGTAGATTTCTAGGCTATCAATGTCAAATTAGGAGGTAATTTGGAGGAATTACAGGTCAGGAGTAAAGCATGAGAACGGGTTAAAATAAGGGGGAGAGTCCCACCTGAAACAGAAGTCTTACATCAAAGATTGTTTCGGATTTCTGACTCATCAGAATCAAGTGTGAATCACAGCCAGGTAACTAATGACAACAGGATCAATGACTTGGAGCTGATGTAAGCCATTTTTCAGGTGATTTGGCACACTTTAGTAGGTGCAGTTTTGATTTGGGGAATGTAAAAATTTCTGTTGATGCGGCTTAAAAATGTTTTATTTTGGTCGTTAAAAGGTGTGTTTGTACCGTGGATATAAAGTCATATTTCTATTCCCTCTTCTGTGTTTTGTTTCTGTCTTGAGCTCCTTATTCATCTCAGTGTGAAAAATATAAAGTTAAAATGCAGGAAAGGCTCAAATACATAACTGAGTAATAATTGTAAGTACAGTGGATTAGAAGGAAACTGATTTGTTGATCCTAAATAAGTTTCTGTTGATGGGTTCAGATACATTTATCAGCCCTGAATGTGTTTCCATGCTGGTGCTTCTACACGGTTGCTGAGATCAAACCGGCCTCCTGTGAAACAAACACAGCAGTCTACAGTTTTAATCTGGTTTCGCACATTAATCCGGTTTTAATTTGGCGTGTCCACTCAGACTCTGACCTCTGTGTCTGACTGATTCTTCTGTTCGTGAGTCAGCTGATCTGCAGCTGCCATGCTGATGTGTTGAAGCTTTTTCACGCTTCATTTGTGTGAGTTTGTCAAACAGCAGAGTGTCCAGACAAACATGTGCTCTCTCATGTTGTTGTTGGAAAGTTCATCAAACAATTCCAAGAAAATCAACTCCCTAAGAATGTTCTCCCATTAGTCATTGCTGCTTTTCTTATGTATTGGGGGGAAATGAACTCATAGAAATGTTTGAAGGTGTGGCTTTGCAGTAATGAGACAGTCTGACAGGTTTTTATGTTCAATCATTTCATCAATGAATCAAAGAAATCGAGTGTGAATTAAGCGAATCACTGCAGTCTGATCACAGTGATGTGTGTGTATGTGAGCATGTGATACTGTGTGTGTGTGTGTGTGACCTGATAATACTGTCCTGTTGCCTCTCAGATGACTGACCTCAGAACACACAGACTCAGAACACAGAGGGACGAAGACCACAGACAGATTTTAGTTAAAAATTGTGATTTTTGACAAGTGTATGAGGCAAAAAGACCCAAACCTGTTTGTATTTTGGACAGTTTGAGAAGCAAACAAGTTTGTTCTTTGACATCAGATTGGGCCATCTCAACATGTGGTCTTTGATACAGGTCTGATCTTCTACAGTAGGACTTTAGTCTGAACAGCCAGGGCGTAGGGCATGTCACTCTGACGTCAGGTCTTAAAGATTTTTCGTTAGACATCATAATTGCGTACAAAGCACGTGTGTGTAATAGTCATATTACAGGGCGTCTTATGTCAGTCATACGACCTGCTTTCACCACCTCCTCATTGTCCTGTCCTACATGAATGAATACAAACCAGCTTTCAATTACTGTCACTTTCATATTTCTATCGTAAAAACACATTTTACTGGTGAGTTTGTCACACCAGCCACAAACTGTACTGTCATGACAGCATTTAATCTCTTTGCAGTTTGCTGCTGTTTTCTGTTTTAGTGTGACTTAGATAAACTGTCAGCATCTCCACTCTCTGCTGCTCAGAGCTGCGCTGCGAGCTCTATTCCTGACGGTGCAAAACTCTATCAGCTTGCGGTAAATGAAGAGCTGCTCAGAAAGTTCATTGCAGAATCGATCTGTGACAGATGTGAAAGGTTCCTAGTTTATAACCAGTTTGAGAAAGCTAGCAAAGAGCCACACGAAAAACGTTATGTATCGCGGTATACTAGCCCGACAAAGACAAAGACAGCCTCAGACTGATCACTTAAAAAAAGCAATGCTAATCAAACATGAATAGACCTTTTGTATGGTAATATTACTTTTTGGTCAACATGGGAGGACTTACTGTATTGATCACTAAAAAGCTGTGTATGTGATGCTTGTAAATACTCACTCTTAACTGCATGCGGATTTTAGCTCTGGTTTTGGTGAATTAGGTGCCGTTTGCACAGACAAAGGTGTATTTTGCTCTAAATTATGCAAATTAGATCACTTAAATGTATGCAAATAGCACCGGCACATAGTGAGATTATTTGCTCTGCAGTGCAGTTTGTGAAGCATTTTACCCTTTGTCAGTGTTTAGTGTCTCATTAGCACAGATTTAAGTGAGCACACAAACAATATATGATATTCTTATTGTTTCTGAGCTCTCAAAATGTAATTCATTCCTTCTGATATATATTCCTGCATTTAATGATATAACTGCAGAAAGGAAAATATTGGGACATGAGTTCTTCTTCAGTATCTAGCAGCTGTATTTGATGCCAGCCCGGAGCAACATTTATGGCAGTCCTGAACAGGACAGGACGGGGAGTCGCACACACACACACACACTGGTTTGAGTGGTCGAACTGGTCCTAACTGCTGGTAATAAATGAGTCCCCAGAGTAGCTGATCAACTATTACAGTCTTGTAGGAGCGCATTGCAACAGGGAGCAGGGTTTGACAGAACACTGATGTGAACCCACGAGAGTGACACTGAACCAGGTGAAGATAAAATATCAACATCTGACTAATCCACACCTCACCTTTCTATCTCCTCAGGAGTTTGTCTGTCAGGTTAGACCCTCCCATCATGAACCCTCTGAACCAGATGAAGGCTGGACTGGCCAACAACCCACACAGGTAACCACACCTCACAGTGTGACAATGTGCACACACAACCTGGAGTTCCTTTCTACACCTGTATGATAGGAGTGCACTGTAAAAGGACAGACCAGCAGGAATGAACCTTTTTTGCTTTTTCATCCTTTGTAAACCACAAACACATAAATACATTACTCTTACTCTTTACACTGTCTCACCTCCTGTTTGTGGCTTTGAGAACCATACCACGGACTGTAAAACCAGTATAGTTTCATTTTAACAACAGCAGGAGCTGAAAGAGTTTGTGATAAGAGCTGTTTGAATTCTTGTAATGACAAGGAAAGGAGCTTCATTCCTTCCTTTTTAACTCCCTTCAGCAAAGGATACACATGAGTGTTTTCCATGCTCCGTATCTGATGTTTTCTGTTGGACAGGAAATGACCTAAGAGGAAACTTTTTTTACTGATTCTGGTCTGTGTGTTTGCAGTGATGGTTCATACCCCTACGACCCCTCCAGCTGGCAGCAGCCAACCAATCAGCCCACAGGATCCCTCTCTGTGGTGACCACCGTCTGGGGAGTGACCAATCCCTCAGCCAGCCAGGTATGACACCACCAAGCAGGAAGTACAGTGGAGGATTATTCAGTCCTTCTGTTTTTGTTGATCTGTTTTCTTCAGCGTTTTAATCAGTCATCCATCTTCTATCAACCCTGATCTCTTTATTGGTTTCTGTGCTGAAGAAGTACAAGTGGGATGTATTAATGTGTGTCCGCCTGTGTCAGGGTCTGGGTGGAGGTGTGATGGGACCAGGTGCTAACCCCGGAGGTGGACCCATGATGCAGGGCCCTGGAGGTCCAGGTATGGCTGGAGGGCCTGGAGGCTACATGGGCCAGCAGGGTTACGGAGAGCCCAGCAAAGGCTATATGAATCAGGGCATGTATGGCCGGACGAGTGGGGGCTACGCCGGAGGACCAGGAGGGTACGCGGGAAGGTACGTGTTTAGTTTAGTCAAACTTATTTTAGTGTAGTTTAGTTAGTTTTAGTTTAGTCAAGTTTAGTTTAGTGTAGTTTAGTTACATTTACTTTAGTTTACTGTAGTTTAGTTTACTTTATTTTAGTTTACTGTAGTTTAGTTTACTTTATTTTAGTTTACTGTAGTTTAGTGTAGTGTAGTTTATTTTAGTTTAGTTTAGTTTAGTTTACTGTAGTTTAGTTAACTTTAGTGTAGTTTGGTTAAGTTCAGTGTAGTGTATTCAGATCCCCATTAGCTTTTGCAGCAGCAGCTTTTCTTCCTGCAGTCCATTTTCAATGTGACAATACATAAGTACAAGCAAATAAACAGAAACATCCAAAAACATGCAATTATATGTAAACATCGAGATGTCTGTAACACAGTCTAGAGATTGGATTCGGAGTTTTTATATTTTTGTTGCTTTGCTTCAGTTTGAACTAAAAAACCTTCCAAAGACAAAGAAAGAAAGGAAATTCACAGCAACACCAACACGTCTCTCTTTACTCAGTTACCCGTCGAACCCTGGAGGCTCTAGAGGCTCGGCTGACTTCACTCAGGCTGCTGCTGCTGCTGTTGCTGCTGCTGCTGCCACGGCAACCGCCACCGCCACGGCAACTGTGGCTGCCATCCAGGAGAAACAAAACCAGGAAATAAACTACGGGCAGGTGAGGAAAGGAGAGGGGAGCACAGGTAACCCTCCTGCGCTGATTGGTTAGTTAGAGTGCTCTCTGCTGGAGACTTTAGGTGAAACCATGAGGCCATGAACTCTCACTGATCATTTCTTCATGTTACTGTGTTATAATGGGGGCTCATGATACAATGTGTGTGTGTGTGTGTGTGTGTGTCAGATGGGAGGTCCAGCCTATAACAATCAATTCATGGCTCACTCGGGCCCCCGTGGACCCCCTAGCATGGCTCCTGGAGGGATGGGCCCTGGGCCTGGACCTAACAGAGGCCCTGCTTCAATGGGCCCTATGTACCAAGGAGGTGGCCCCCAGAGAGTCGCTCAGCATCCAAACTATGGCCCTGGACCACAACAGGGCCACCTGAGGCCCCCACAGGGACTTAAACGGCCCTACAGCTCTGAGGTTAGTTAACTGTGATTCTCTAATTAACTCTACTTCTGTAGTTTTATAATTTGGAGGGTTTAAAAAAGTTTTTTTAAGTTATAATTGAAGTACTTAAACATGTTCAGTTCTGGTTATGACTCTGAAAAACTCTGAGATTGTGGAGTGTGACTCTCTCTCTGGTCTTCAGTCTTTTCCAGGAATGTCTCAGCAGTACGGCATCCCTGTTGGCTCTAATGTAAACATGATGCCAGGTTCTGGTGGTGCTGGTGGTTCGATGCCAGGTTCAATGCAAGGTTCAGGTGGAGGGGGTCATGGTGGACCTGGTCCATACTCTGGCCCTGGCATGCAGTACCATCCAGGTGAGATATCTGGAGCAGGTTTAAAAAAACACCTGAAGAAGAGCGCTGAGGATCAAAGTCTTCTGGTTTTAGTTGAATCTCTGTAAATGTGCTTGAAATAATCTTATATTTGGATTCAACTTGAAAGAAGGGACCATTTTTTTTTCTGTCTGCAGGTCCTGGTGGTCCAGGCCCTGCCCCTCAGCGTTCTGGCTCATCCCCATCCTATCAGAGTCATAAGATGCCCCTGCAACAGTACCCCCCATCTGGACCCCCCAACTCGCAGTACTACAAGGTGAGGACTCTCAATCAGAGCTGATTGATCAGAAATGATCAGATCAGTTTACATGCACGCCAAACATGAGGACACCCAAAGGCCTTCACATGCAGCCAATAGATTTCCTGGATAAAGCACCTGAGTGTAAGATACAGACTAGGATACAGACCAAGGACTAAAACACGGAAATCATCTGGAAGTGAAATATTCAGGGCATCAGTCACGTTATTCTCAAACCTGTTGTGAATTTGTTGTCAGTATTTAGAGCCATAAAATGAACCTATGTGGAGATTGATTTGTTGTGTTTTTTGTGTTTGTGTTGCAGGACCAGTTTAATGGTCAGGGTGGAGGTTTAAACACTCTGTCAGCAGGGGGCGCTGGTGGTGTTTACAACTCCTTCAACCAGCCATCCGGGGTGAGATAAAGTTCCTGAGTAAAGATGTTGTTCTTTATATGTCTTTGTCTTCATCTAAGAGCTGGATATTCATGTTTTGTATATTATCTGTATTTTTAATCATTCAACAAAATGTTTATGCTGGAGAAAAGGAAATCTCAGGATTTCTCTTTTTTTTTTACAGCCAACAGTGATGAATAATAAACATGGAGAATTCAATTAGCTTTAATCTGGACTGTCAACACTGTAAAGATCCATCTGTGTGTTTATCAGTGAGTCACTTTGTTGTTAGTGTGAAACCAAGATGACAGACTTAAACTGAGCGAGAGCAGCTCCATCACACAGTGTAGCATCTAAAAGTGTAGCCTTGAGCAGCTTTTGAGCTATGAACATACACAAAACTGAGCTGCACCACTCACACTCTTCTTTAGGCAGGTAGTCGGGTTGATCTGATGAAAAAAAAAACTTTGTGACTCCAGCTTCTTCTTCATGCCTACTGTAATATATGGAGCATCAACTTTCCAAAACTTTCCAAAACCACCAGACCCCATTTGGAGAAGCTTGTAATATCACCTTTAAAAGCAGCTGCAGTTCCTCTGCATTGTGTCTTTATCTTCTAAAGGAGTAGTGGTTTTGAAAAAGAGAATCAAACAGCTCTCCATCTTTCTCTGAGACTTTGGTCAGATCTCTCTGTTTGATCTTTTACCACTGAAACAAAGATTCTCATGCTGTCTCCGTCTCTCTCTCTCCACCTCAGCCGGGTCGAAGTTTGCCGGGTTACCCTTCCTCTCCTGTTCCCGGAAACCCGACCCCTCCCATTACTCCCAGCAGCTCCATGGCCCCGCCCTACATGTCGCCTGGCAACAGTGACGTCAAACCGACGCCAGCTTCCTTCCCTCCTGACATCAAACCTAACATGGCCGGTCTGCCCCCTCCTCCTCCTACAGGTAGTGACCCAGACTCACACACACACATATAAAGTTAGTTATCTATAGAATTATCAGTTTTTAAGCCCTGTAATCATCAGATTATGCTGAGTGGGAAAATAAGTTTAAGATGTGAATTTGATCGATTTCTATTGATTAATTCAATGAAATCTTTCAGACATTAAGAGTTTGATAATCTGATGGAGTCATAGAGACTATAATCAGATTATGATCAACTAAATACTCTGTTTTAACGAGTGACATAACCAGATAGTAATCAGTGAAAATATCAGATGACTGCAGTAAAAAAACAAAAACAAAAACACATAATGGTTGTTTTAATACTTGAGTGAAATCATGTGGTTTTTATCAGATAATTGTCAGAAAAAGGGGTCGTGTCAGTAAAATAATCAGATTATTTCAGCAAGGAAATTACATTCATTCAAAAAGTAAAATTGCAATCATGGACATTAGTTATAATCAGATAACTTCACTGAGAACAATATGACAGTTACCATGACATCACTGTTAGAAAAATAAACAGCCTGATTAAAGGCCGTGAAATGAGAAGATGATCCCCTGCTGAATGTGCAGTACCCTGTTCTTTTATCAGTGAATATTCTCAGGAAAATACTCTGTAAAATATATTTAGATTATTTTTGTGATTTTAACAGGTTATCCTCACTAAGAAAGATATCAGTGACAAAAAAAAAATGAAATTTGGGGCACTGATAGCCTCGCAATCCAAGCACTTCACAGATAGAGGCTTTGGTCCTCGCTGCAGTTGTCACCAGTTCGTTTCTATCCATGACATTTTGCTGCATGTCCTCCTCTGCTCTCCTCTCCTTGCATTTCCTGTCTCTCTTCAACCTCAGTTAGTTACTCGAAGAAGTGATAAAGTCATTCTACACTTGTCTCTGTCTGACTGTGCTGACTTCCTGTCTACAGGTAACCCTAGTGACGACCTGCGGCTGACTTTCCCAGTGCGTGACGGCGTTGTTTTAGAGCCATTCAGATTAGAGCACAACCTCGCGGTCAGCAACCACGTCTTCCAGCTGAGAGACTCCGTCTACAAAACACTCATCATGAGGTCAGACACACACACACACACACACACACACACACACACACTTCTTCTTCTCACTCATTTTTAACTGATTTCTCAGACTTTCCTGTTCCTGAGTTTCTCCTGGTTATGATTGGCTCTTGTGATCTTCCTGACCTTCTTCAGGCTCCTCGCAGGTTAATTCACTGATCATTTTTAAAGTTTTTGTTTTACTGTCACTTTCAGGCCGGACCTGGAGCTCCAGTTTAAATGTTACCACCATGAGGATCGACAGATGAACACCAACTGGCCGGCCTCTGTTCAGGTCTGACCTCCATCCTTCTTTTTTTCTTTATGTTCTCTGTTTTTCTCTGTTACATTTTGTGTTTGTTATGTTTTTTTCTATACCCATTTCTTTTCCTCCCGTTTAGGTGAGCGTAAACGCCACTCCTCTCACCATCGAGCGAGGCGACAACAAAACTTCCCACAAGCCTTTGTACCTGAAGCAGGTGTGTCAGCCAGGCAGGAACACGATCCAGATCACCGTCACCGCCTGCTGCTGCGTAAGAGCTCCTCACGTTTCCCACAGATGAAGTTAAATGTCTCATCCTGCTGATTTATTCACCTATCTCTGTGTCTCTGTCTGCAGTCTCACCTGTTTGTGCTCCAGCTGGTTCACCGTCCGTCAGTCCGCTCGGTGTTGCAGGGTCTCATGAAGAAGAGGCTGCTGCCTGCAGAGCACTGTGTCACTAAGAGTGAGTCACCCGCCTGTAATACTCATGATATCCGATCAAAAAAATCACTTTGCTTCATTTTAGGTCTGTCTTTTTTTTTCCCCCATTCATCGAAGAGTTTATATTTTTACTTCCTGTGTGTTTCAGTAAAGAGGAACTTTAGCAGCGGCTCCATCCCTGGGACCCCGGGGTTAAACGGAGAGGATGGCGTGGAGCAGACCGCCATCAGAGTCTCGTTAAAATGTCCAATCACGTTCCGCCGTATCCAGCTGCCTGCCAGAGGTCATGACTGCAGACACATACAGGTCAGGGTCACAGCACGTTCAGAGGTTGATTTCATGTCACTGTTTCTGTGCATTTACAGAATGAAATCTACAAGGTTTCTTTATATCAGGCCTCCAAAGTTTCAGTTTATGTCCAATTCTTTTCAAATTTGTGAAAAGATCAGCATTTGTTTTGTCTCATCTTGGTTGGTTTAGATTTCTGCTTTTTTCATTGGTTTGAATAGATAAACAAATGTTTGTCTTAAACTGACTTCTGTTTGTCGGTCTGTCCTCAGTGTTTTGATCTGGAGTCGTACCTGCAGCTGAACTGTGAGAGAGGAACGTGGAGATGTCCTGTGTGCAAGTACGTGTGCACACTCTCATTCAAACACAGTTTACACACAAATTTTCACCCACAGGCTAACTCTCTGAACCCTTGTGTGTGTGTGTGTGTGTGTGTGTGTGTGTGTGTGTGTGTGTGTGTGTGTGTGTGTGTGTGTGTGTGTGTGTGTGTGTGTGTGTGTGTGTGTGCGTGTGTGTGCGTGTGCAGTAAAACAGCTCTGTTGGAGGGTCTGGAGGTGGATCAGTACATGCTGGGGATCCTCATCTATGTTCAGAAGTAAGAGAGTTTAAATATGCCATTCTTTTTATCTCAGTTTTGTTCAGTGTTTTTCCAATGAGCAGAGGCCGGTTAGTGTTGGCCAAAAAGCAGAACGCAGGTTCATTCTCAGTAACAACAGAATAAAGCTGATTTTGTTGGCATGCTTGTTTCAGGATTTATTTATGAACATTTAAAGATACTGCCCGGGATATTACCTTTCAGCCTGGTGTTTTTGATCATCAGCCTTCAGATTTAACTGCTACTCCTCTCTTTTTGCTCCTCAGCTCGGAGTACGAGGAGATCACCATCGACCCTGTGTGCAGCTGGAAGCCGGTCCCTGTGAAGCCGGACATCCACGTGAAGGAGGAGTCGGACGGCCCTGTGTTGAAGCGCTGTCGAACACTCAGCCCGAGTCACATGGTCCTGCCCAGCGTCATGGAGATGATTGCATCGCTTGGGCCCTCCTCTTCCTCCACCCCCACATCCGCCTCTGCTGCCTCTGCCTCCTCCCCGATGCCCTACCCCTCTTTGCCTGCAGGGGGCGGCAATAACAGCAGCAACACACCAGACTATCCTGGACCAGGTACACAGCAGCTCAGCTTGAAGATGTTTTGAAAGCAGCTGATAGCTGTATATAAATAAAAACAACAGCATCCGTTACTCTCCTCACTTTAATTGAATCTGTACAGGAAACATCCGATAATCAATGACATAAAGACACTTATGACATCCTCCTGTAATGTAGGTGTTGCATTTTTTATGCAAATGGAAGGTCTGCAGTACATTAATGTAAGATAACAGAGGATCTCTGATCAGCATAAAGATGAAGGTTAAGTTTTGATGTAAACAGGAGTCTCTCTGTGGTCTGACTCAGACCTTATACATGAGGTCTTTGCTCTGTGGGTGTGGGCTGATGTTTTTAAGACGAATTTTGTGGGTTTTGCTGCCACCATGTTGCTTTTTTGGAGGCAAATGAACCATTCAAATGATAGGTACTCCAGAAAGCTCTCAGGGATGTGATTCTCCCAGGTTAATTTGAATTATGGGAATTTCCAGTACTAGCACACATGCCCTCACCAGCTCTGCTGCCTTTGCCTGGATTGCAGGACATGACCTGATGTTAAAACATCCATAATGTTTCCAGTGTAGCATGCTAACGTCAGCTAATGTCTTTTCTTTTTTGCATCAACAAGCAGAAGTAAAACCTGTCGGAGGTACTCTCCATGGATTGATATGATACTTGTGATCTGCTAACCTGAAGGGGTCTAGACCTATCTTAATCAGGTATTTAACACAGTTGGGTGGTAAGCAAGGAAACTGGGTATTAAAGGGACTTAAACAGATGAGAAGACACTTTGCAGATAGCCAGTAGTGCTCACCCATTACTAAGCCTGTAGCCTGTTGTATGCTTGCTTCTTTTTTCTGCCTTGGATGTTACTATTTGCTCTGAACTTAGTGCTCATCGATACACACAGTGCAAAGGTGAAACCAGCAGCTGCCTGGAGGGAAGGAGATCAATAGTTTATGAAACACTGATGGATCTGTTGTAAAATATGGATTTGAAGTTGCTATATTTCCATCTGTTTACATGAAGGCTTATTACCTTTACTGCAGCCAGTCAGCAGGGGCAGCTGTGGATGTTGTGGTTTTACGCTTTGAGATTTGTCATGTTGTCCTTGTTGCCAGGCGACAAAACAGTCTGTGTTTATAAAGGTGTAAAATAACAGCAGCAGGTTGAAGACGTCATCATTCAGAGTTAATAAGTTCATTATCTTCGATTATTGATTGGTTTGTCTCACTGTCCTCCTCAGCTCCGTCCTATCCCGGTCAGTCTGCTGGTTTCTCAGACTTCAGTGGTCCTGGGACTCCAGGAGTCGGAGGGGACTTCTCCTCCCCTGGTCCTCCCCCTCTCTCCTACCAGTCTGAGCTCTCCAGTGCCCTCCTAACCCCTGACAAACCCCCTCCTCACCCTCTGGCTGGCCAGGTACAGTAGCTTCATCGTCATTCTCATCAGCATCATCATCAGTATGCTGTATTTTACAAACAGAAACAAGAATTACCTCCCATCTTTCTCTCTCTTTCCTTTATCTCCTGCCTTACTTTCTTATCTTCCCTTCTTATCACTTTCCTTACTTCCACTTTACCTGTCCTAAAATCTTTTACTCCCATCCATTTCAACCTCCTCCAATCTTTCCTATTTCTTTTTACTCTACCTTCCGCCTTTCTTTTTTTCACTTTTGTTGACATCCCTCTCCTCCTTTCCTTCTCCTTGCCTTCTTCCTGTACTCCCCCTTCCCCTCCCCTCCTTCCCTCTTTTCTCTCTCCTTTCCTCACTATCCATCCTTCTTTTCATGTTTCCTTCTTCTTCAATCCATCCTTCCTTCCTCTCTTCCTTCCCTTTCTCCATCTTTTATTTTCCTCCGGTCCCTCCTTTCCTTCCATACTTCCTTCCTTGCACTCCTCTCTTAGATGTCCGTCTCAGGCCGTCTGGACTCCACTTCCCATGGTGCTTCTCTCTCCCAGCAGCAGTCGCAGGGTCTCCACGGCAACTCCCAACTTGGGGCTGGTAACCAGATGATGCAGCGTAGCAACCAGAATGCCCGTCTCCAAGACGACAGCTCCTTTGGTCTGGGTGGTTCTTCGGATGTTCCAGAACCGTCTCTGGATGTGAGTATTCATCAGAGGGATGGTCTGAAAAGATCTTTTCACACTTTAAACATCTGAATATGTAGATAAAAATAATGGGTATGAGGGTGCTCTGGTTTCTATTTTTAGAACGTTTGCAGTCTAAGTGGTATCGACCAATCAGGTATCAGCAGGCCTTAGTCTCTGTGGGTAAAACAGTCTGTATGGAGAGCAAAATCAGGCTCAACAGACCCAAGGTTGTGATAGTTTTGAAGTTTTCATTAGTTTTTATTGAGTTTTGGCTTTCTGATTTTGTTTTCAGTTTAGTTTTTATTTGTTTTTAGTTTACTCTCTATTTGGTACTTTTTTAAACTGCTTAGTTTTACCTCATTCTTTTCAAGTTTTTCATAGCATGGGATAGACCCCCTTAAATTTGAAACATTATGTAAAAAATTCTCAAAACATCATCTTCTTTGGCTAGTTGCCTTTTCAAAGTTTATTGTAAATTTACTCATACTAAATTCAACTATGTGGCTGATGTTACAACACAGTCACAAGAATAGATGTTATTTATTGGTGTGTGGGCCACCCCACCAGTATCAGTGCCTAGGTTGGGCCACCCCAGTCAAAACAGTCTAAAGACAACCAGTCAGGGGTGTGTCCGTCTATGTAGCGTGCAGCTCTCTCTCTCTCTGAGTAAGCTAATGTGGATCCTCTGACACTGATCGTCTCCCGCCACAACATCATATAATCCTCCCAGATAATCAAAAGGAGGTTTCTCTTTAACACAGTTAGAATAACTGTATCCCAGACATGTTTTCTTTCATCACCGTCTGCAGCAAAGATAATATTTGATGAGCAGCAGCTGCTTTACATATGTGTATCAATAAGAATATTTACAGTCAGGGTGTGAACAAAAAGTTGTCTTAGTGTCATAAATGTTTAAGGGAAAGACCGTGAACAGCTCCATGAAAGTGTCCTGATGATAAAATAAAGTTCAAATGTTTCTGTGTGTCAAGGACAAAAAAACATTGTTTTCTCTGCAAGTTGAGTCCATTTATTGAGGTTTAAGGTAGTTTGTCGTTTTTTGTAAAGCCTTGACATAAATCTGACTTTAGGTGATGGAGATGTTTTTGACATTTTAGTTTTTGTGATTTTGTACGTTTTTGTTATCGATGAAGACTTTGGAACACAGTCTGTAATTACCTTAGCAGAAACCTGATGGCCATTTACTTCTCTGTATAAAGAGATCTTTACAGTCAAGTGCAGCTAATAACACGCCTAATTTTCAACTTGAGCCAATAAATAACCTGCTGGATCACAAAAGCTAATCAGCATTTACATATCCTGACTCCCTGAAATGCATCAGAAATGATCAGAAACCGTTGAAGGTGTCTCAGAGATGAGGCAGCAGGTCTTTCAGTCAGCTATTTGAGATCAGAGGTTAGCTGTTTATGCTTGTTAGTCATCACAAAAGAAAACAAGAAATGAAAAATGACTGTTTGTTCATCTCTGCAGCTGCTTCCTGAGTTGACCAATCCTGATGAGTTGCTGTCATACCTGGGACCTCCAGACCTCCCAAATAACAACAATGACGACCTGCTATCGCTGTTTGAAAACAACTGAACACACTCAGACACACACCTACATACACACGCACACACACCTTCAGAATGAGACTTTACTGTAAAATATGAACTCTCCTCTCCTCGCCCGCCAACATGACGGACTGACTAACATGGCCGCCGTCTGCACAGGACGGAGCGGACGATCAGAAGGAAAATTTTCAAACTCTTTAATGTGTGACTATGAACTTGATGGTAACTTTATTTTATTGATTTTTATCCTCTGAAACTGTATTTTGATGCTTCATCCTTCATTCCCTGTTGATGAAATATATAAAGTGATGGCCATGCTGCTGCTTTAACTACACACACACACACATACACACACACATGTGAACACACACTGTCTTTTCTGACCCTCTTCAGATCATCCACCTGTTGGTTTTCAGAGATCAGCAGAGAGATTAATGATCAGTCTGTGTTTGAAGGGCTCAGCAGTGACTGTGTCTGTATTTAAAGAGCAGTATGGTCCTATAAAAGCAGAATATTTCTGCTTTGTTTGAGTTTCAAATGTGTCTGTATGAACTAAAGAAGGTGAGCTTTAAAGGAGCGAAAGTGATGAGACGATAGAAAGTAGTGTCTGTAAAAGTAGAGAAATGAGGCTTAGACTCAGCCACAGTGAGATGCTTTCGCTGAGATGTTTCTTACAATCATTTGCCAAACAAATCTGGATTTTATCAGAGACTAAAACACAAACCTGCAGAGAAGCCATCAGAAAATCCCACTCCCTCTTATGTCATTATGTTGTTTCCTGAGTGTGTGAGATTAGGGGTCATATTTTTTAGCAGAAAAAAAAATTCACCTTAAAAAGAGACTTCTTGTGATAAAGGTTCCAGATACTCTGTTTTTAATCGGCTTAATCTGTCTGTGCACTTAAGTGTGGGAGTGTATTTGAGGATTGGGATTAAACGCTTGGTTGATCAGCATAAATGTTTAACTCTTCGGATAAATGATCAAGATTCTGGTCAAATGGTGCATCATTTCTATCCTCAGAGAGATAGAAAAGACTGGTTTAAAGAGCTGAAGACTGAGATTTTTTACCCTTTTTTTTTACATTTTTTTTTTTTTTTAAAGAAAGGTGCCTAAAATAAGAAGAGCGAGGGTAAAGGCAAGTGATGTAGAATATGGATTTAAAAAAGGGCACTAAAAGCGAAAAAATACAGAGAATTCACCCAGGACAAAGAGTTTGAGTCCCATGTGAGACTATAAATAAGCTCCGACCTCTTTTAAGGGACAAGAAGTATGTGGAGTCAGTTATGTACACAGTTTGATCCACTGTCTGATCTGTTGGCTGCTTTTTATGCTTTAAACTGGCCAAGCAGTTCTTTAGTAATCTGATCATCTTAAAATCGGGTTGTTCAAATGGACCAAAGATCCTGAATTTCAGTAACAACAGGTCAGCCAATCTTCAGGGTTTATTGTTGAAGTTTTAAAGTGGGGTTGATGTTCAGCTCAATGCTGGCTGTGTTCCTGGTTGAAGCTGGCTGGATCCCCAGTCACGACCCTCTATGTGCTCCCCTGTCAGTAACTGTCTCTCACACTTTCCTATCTACCTAAAACAAGGCCAATGGGATCAAACTTTAAAGCGAGTCCAACAAGAAACATTTTACTGTTGTGTTTGTACTGCATTGATTTGTTGCCCTTATACTGCCGAGTTGCTGCAGGACGTGGTTCATAAAGTTTTTTTTTTTAAATCAGAAAATGATCTCAAAACAGCCTTCAGTATCAGACATGAAATATTCGCTTTAAATCCCCTGTGAGAAACTTTTTGTTGGTGTTGATTTTTGCACCTCCTTGTGGACAAAGTAATACCTCTAACCTCTTAGCTTATCTTCCCTCTGTAAGGTTTTCTGACCGAGAAATCTCCCCCAGCTGTCTTTCAAAGGTCAAACAGCGTGAACATTTGCTATGGAAAGAGTAAAGAGGCTTTTTCAGGCTCTACAGAAGCGGAATCCATGGTTCATCCTCTTGCTGATGGTCTTGTTTGATTTTGTAGCTCAATAAGAGACAGCACTTATAATTTGAGCTCATTTTCATAATCGTCGATGATCTTTAAGTCTGTGCGGTCTTTGGCACCCCCTGTGGACTTAGTATGTCGTGTGTTGTCCCGATGTAAGACTGTTGAACTGAATATGGTGTAAAAGTCTATTTTTGGATCTGGGTGATCCAGTCAGACTTATCTTTTGGAAAATCTTGAAAAAAGTACAATTTATTCACTGAATATGAAATAACAAAAGTGGATTTTAAATGCATATCAGTCTAATACTGGTAAAACTTTATGAACAAGCGGGATGGGATTTCAGTGTTTACCTCTGATGGCAACATGTTTTAGTGATGAAGGAATGACCAAAAAAAAGAACAAGACTCGCAGTAAAGATTAAATGTTTGAAAGTCAACAAGGAAGTAGAGACAAAATGGAAAAATAATTATAGGGTGGAAGAGAGATTGGACTCATACAAGAATTTAACAAAGGGAGGCATATTTTGCCTTTTGTAAGATCAAAACTTTTGTTTGGTTTTTGGTTCATAAAACAAAAAAATACACGATCAAAGGAATAATGAAAATAAGAAACCAGCTGCAAAAAACAAAAGTTAAGTGCATTTCCACTTTCTGAGAACAGGAAAGACCACAAATCTAAAATAAAAACAAAAGCACCAGCCAGATCCTTAATTTGGATTCAGATTTCCATCAGTCATTTTTATCAGGTACAAGCACTCTTAAAGGTGGATTTCATCAATATTTGGATCTGCAGGAAACATCTCTCTAAAGCAAACCTATGACAGTAGACACAAACCAGGATTAAGATCAAGATAAAGAAAACTGAATATTTCAAGAAAACAAAAAAGCAGAGTAAAAGGGGGAACAAAGTGACACACTGCATTTTGGTTTTGTGACTGTGGCTGAGTGTAAATAAAGTTTTATCACAGTATGAAAATGTAAACGAGGCCAAAGGTGGCTTTTTTGGCCTCGCTTTAATCAGAAATCAGTTTTTGCTGACTGCACTCTTTCAGTTAAGTTAACAAAGATTTACAATCAACTTTTCAAGGCAACTTTTGAGACAAATTTTTCAGCAACCAAAAAATGAAATAAAATAAAAAGTCAGTTGCAGGGGAACTTGCCCTCATTGCCTGGAATAGTTTCCCTGAGGTCACCATGCTCCAGACCAGTTTGTATATGTGATAATAACCGATGGTTCACCTTCATCCTCCTCCTCCTCCTCCTCTTCGTTCTTCTGTATGTTGTAAAGTGACTCGAGTCCAGACAGTCGTGGTGTCTCCATGTTCCAGTGAGTCCGCCGGCTTCTAGAACAAATAAAACTGTACATGATCACGCTGTATGATTCAGTAATGATGCTAATAACGACAGTAATAACAATAACAATGATAATAACCTTTGTAATTTAATAAACACACACTGGAAAGACAAATAGAATGAATGTGCTGCTTTTGACGTGTGACTGATTGCTGTCAAAATAAGGGGAAAATTCTGACTTACTGTATTCCTTTAGCAGCTAGTCCACCCACTAAAAAACAATCAGCAACTTTTTTAACATTTATGCCCTGAAGTCTTTCTGGGGTCATCTTAATGAGGTGTAGTCCTGTTTCTCAAATGTTAGTTATTACTTTCAGTTCATCGCTAAATCAAGGTCTAAGACTTTGAAAATTAAGATATTTCCATGCAAACATTGCCAAATTAATAATTTGGAGCTTAAAAAATAACAGTTGTCCTCAAGTTTTAGATCAACATTAACCTTAGATTAACTGCTCAGTCTGCACATATTGAAACCAGAACTTAAAGTGGGCTGCTTCACTCTATTTTGCAGCTGCCGTCTTATTTGTACTTTCAAACAAGGAGGTTTCCAGTGTTGAAGGGTTAAGACATAATACTTATTCTGCTTACATGCCAAGTACAGGTGAGCAAGACCTCATCATGGAACTGACTAACTGAAACTTTAGCCACAGTGTTTACTAATTTAAGAGGCCAACAGAAACTAATGTTTTTGCCACAGTGTCAACAAGTAGAGGTGGAATGTGTCAAACTCTTCTCTGTGGGTTGATCCTGTGTGTTAATTTGAACTCTGTTGAAATGAAGACACAATTGTGATCGCAATAAGTACAATCACATCAAGTACATTACCGAGCCAGGACATAAACTTCAGAGTAATGATGACCCTCTGATAAACTTCTGTCTGGTGCTGTCTGAGGTTTTATTTGTGAGCTGACAGATCCTCTTTTTTGCCTGAAAAGCTGACACATTTTCAGAACAGATGCTTGTTTTTATTCTAGGTGGTGGTGCAGGAATTGAACTGCCCTTTACAGAGTTGGTGTGCACCACCTCCTCTCTGTAAGCACCAAGAACAGGCTTTTGGGCGTCCTCAAAGGTCACTGATCAATACCAGAACCCCCCCAAACGAACGAACAAACACACACACACACACACACACACACACACACACACACACACACACACACACACACACACACACACACACACACACACAAACACCACTATCATCCTCCAGCCCCCTCTCAGTCATGGCTCAAAGACTTACCTCCACCACGACAGTAATATATAGAAGACGATCGAATAAAAACTTAAATAAAAAAAAGTGTCTTCTATAAATAAGCTCTTCCAATGTTTTATAAAGAGGTAAACAAATAAATCATGTATATAAAGAAACACAGTCACCAAAGCAGGATGTAAATGGGGTACCTGTTTGCAGGGAAACGCTAAAGAGCTGTTTTGAACTGGAACCTTGTCTTAAAAGATGAACAAATGAGCTGTGATTTGGTGTACATTCAAAACCTTTTGAATAAATAATGGCAGTTTTATAAGTATCAGCCCTCAAACTTTTGAACTGGCTTTATTGACCTGTGCCGAGACAGGGCATTGATCAAGATAAGGCACAGGACTACAAAAGTGTGGGGCCCACAGAAGAACTTTGCTTATAATCAATAAATTTATTTTATAAGGCTGTTAGCTTGAAATTCACAAATCGAAACTTTAATAATCTATTCTGTTCATTGGTGACTGACCTAGCTAATCTAACGTTACCTTTCTGCCCATTAGCAAGTAGGTAAAAAGATGATGCTCCCATTTTATGAATTGAATTACGTGAGCTCTGTTCTCTGTTAGTGTTGTAGCTGAGTTAAATAAAATGGAACAGTTGAATTATATTTTCTGTATGTTAGCCATGGTTAGGTTAGCATCTTTCTCAGCTGGCTTTGAGGCTGTCGCTAAAACCACAATTTAAAAAACATTAACAAAACCTTGACGATTTCCTGTTTGTTGAGGGTACCTACTGTAGTTACAAATGGATTTTTGTATGTTTGTGCCTCAACTTAAGCAGAGAGGACAGCCAAACCCATGCAAATTTAGGTATGGGTTCTGCTGTTTATAACGTTATTTGTTTTGATCAGGTTTTAATTTTCCATGCCCTGCTGATGAATATTTTTAACTCATAAATCACAGTTACCTTCGGAAAACATTTTTAATACACTTTTACACAGGAACACCTTCTGAAACATTTTGTTCTTTTTTACTCCATTAGAGATAAAACTTTTAAATTGTTGTTGGGCTCATCTCTGTGTGGGTCAGTGTGGTCTGAAACTAACTGTACCGTGATTTGATTCGGTATTATCTGCTAAATACGAACTTTAAACGTTAACTTCCTTTTCCTAAATGTGGATAACGGGACAGACCGCGCCCAACCCGCGTGACCGCGGACTTACATTTTCCCTCGCCGACGAGAACGCGCTCTGACTGCAGAACTACATGTTCCCCAACCTCGTGCGCGGCACGTATTGGACGCCAAAGCTGTCAATGATGTATGGCGCGCGCCTCTGCAAAAGCCCTGTATTTTAATATTTTACCGGGCCAACGGAAAGGGGCGGTGTAACCAAGCTTGATCCCGGTGTCTGGGCTGACAGCCTGCAACCCCCGCCGAAGCAGTGCCGTGATATAAGAATCAAACATACCATGACATGTGTCTGTCCATTGAGCGTACAGCGCAGATGAGTTCAGCTGTCTTAGCTGCTGATTCGCTAAAATAAACGCCAATCACTTTCTTAAGCGTCGCCAATTGGCTCGTTGGTACTTAACGCCGCCCACCGGCGTCTTATATAAAATTAATCCACACCGCTCCATCTTTTTCGGATCTTTGTGGCCTCCCGTGTACTCTCGCCGGAAAACCGTTAAGTCCATCCACTTCACTTCAGCCTGCTGAAATGTCCAAGCCAAGAGTCTTCTTCGACATCACCTCTGATGGCTCTCCCATCGGCCGGGTTGTGATGGAGGTAAACCGGTCTCCTTAATTCATTGTGCTCGGAGTGTTCATTGTGAACTGGCTAAATAAAGGTACCCTGCGGGCAGTTAAGACACTGATGGTTCTTAGCCAACAACCTTCGCTTTATTCCAGCATGGGTGCAGAGAGTTGTTTACAGCGCACCACGATGAGCGTAGTTTGTACCTGTAGAGCGTGGAAATGTTGTATCCTGCTAACATGTGCTAACATTGGCCGAGCTGTCACGAACATGGTGGTCTTGGAGACCATGTGCACGTGTTTGTGGCTGGTATCCAGCGACACTAAGAGCGGATTAACTTGACTGCATAGATGAGTTTTAAGATAGTCAAAGCTTATTTTGTGAAAACATGGGTGACTTGCAATTTAATACAAATGTGTGTCTTCTTAATTTATTTCCTGTCCGTTAAATGAGGAATCTCACTCCGTCACTACCGCGGCACAAATCAATGTACCAAACTGTTCTAGCTGTATTTCGTATAAATATGGGTTCGTCCACGTATTTAAACGTTACCGTTTAAATACGTGCACAAACCCATATTTATTCCTCTCAGTCAGTGAAAGGCCCGCGGCCCGTGGTGCACTCATTTTGAGAAACGCTGGCCTTTGTTGCAGCGACCCGCGGCCCTCTGAGCCCGGGAAACCCCGCAGCTTCACCTGGCGGTACACTCCTATTCAAAAGTTTCAAATATTTCTTCAAAGTGGAGTCTGAAATTGATTTTTGTATATTGTTTCGGTGTTCAGTTTAGGTATTGTCGGAGTTTACTGCACCGGTTCCTGTATACACGGACGGGGGAGCAGTTCTGGAAAGTTCCACTGTGATGGCGCGGTCGGAGGGGGAGGGGTGGGCTCTGCATGACTAAAAAATGCGGATGTAAGGAGATGGCTGCTACTTTCTGCCCTTTGTGTCCACCATGAAATAGCGTTATATTACATAACAGTAAGGATTACAATGGGCGTACTGTCACAAAGGCCTTTTTATAACGACTCACTGTGGCCAACTGCAAGCTAATGGCTGCTAGCAGGCTAGCTTACTCCCCCAGCCATTTTGTGCACACAGCCGCAGCAGAGCCCCTGAATGGGCGTTACCGATATGTGGCATCAGCCCCATGCTAAATCTGTACTGAAGACCCCTGCTCAAATCCTGCGCAGCTGCAAACTTAAAGCCTCACGAGAAGAGCAGCCAACCCGCCAGTGTTAATATATGGCCACACTTCAGTGTCCGTGAGGCGTTGATTGATCTTAATATAGCTACATGTCTTTGCTGTCAAGTTGTGCACATAACGCTCTTATTTCCATTAGTTACCCGAGTCCTTGCGTTGCTCAACAAGCCCGCATTTGTATAGCGTTTAACCTCATTCGTGTTTATTTAGGGCCTTAGACGTCCCAGACGAGGGTCTGTTTGAAGCTGCTTTTCGTTGCTGTGTAGTTGTGCATCTTAAAGTCCTGGTATTCCTGTGCTTTACCCATAAAGATGTCTTCAATTGCCAAGTAGCCAGCTCTTTATTATTTAAATTTGGTCTCTGTTATTACTGAGCAGGTGGCTGGCTGTAACTTCACGTGCTGTTCTGAGACCAGCTGCAGTGCTTGCTGCACACCAGCCTGTCTGCTGCAGCACCTCTGCACCCCCTCCCTCCCTCTGAACATACTTGCATGGTAACGTCACTGGTGTGCAGGGCATGCAGATATTTCTGTGTGGTGCAATGCTGCATTCCTGTATCACCTTGACATCGCACTATTACCTCACCCCAACCACAGAACCTGATCTGGCACAGAAGGCTGGAACTGCTACATGCAGGTTATGGCATGTTTGTTGGCCATCCCACTTGTGATGGTGCACCTACTGTTGTTTCTGATTCATTCACAGATCTTGCAGGTTAAATGAAGGCCTAAAACACTGAGGTGCTTGCAGTTTTTTTGTATGGTAGACTGTAACTGATTAATGTCAGTTACAGATAACACTTGGAGGACTGAGTATTAATTTGCTGTATTTACTGACAGTGGATGATTGTGTAACCAGATCTAAATGACATGGAGGGAACAAAGTGCAGCAAGTCTGATAAACCTCTGAATCTGGCTCCATGCCTGGATTCACACAAGTCAAATGTCAGCTGTGTTTCTTAAGAGTTGTGAAATCTCATCCTTCACTGATGCTGAACTTTTTGTGCCTGCAGCTCCGTGACGATGTGGTGCCCAAGACTGCTGAGAACTTCCGTGCCCTCTGCACTGGCGAGAAGGGCTTTGGCTACAAGGGCTCCACCTTCCATCGTGTCATCCCTCAGTTCATGTGCCAGGTAAAACAGCCTGGCGTCCGTCCCAGTTTAATCATGTTTATTTTATGTTGCCTTTTGTCTGTTTATGAAGTTGCAGGGTTTGACCATGTACTTTAGACTTGGATAATTTGCACATATAATATAACACTGGAAATGCTTGAACCTCAAGACTTTTTGATTTTTACAAAGAGCTTGAATGGCGTCATATGATTGCCATCACATACTTAAAATTGTGTGTATGAATAGCTGTCTAAAATTCTTTGGATAAACAACTAAAGATAAGAATGATCAGAGTTTTGGATAAGTAAATCAAAAACAACTCTGATTTGACTATAATCTGTTGAGCTGGAAATAATGTCAGCTGCAGACTAACACAAGCGTGTCAAAGTTGTATGGACAAATAAATCTGACAGCTTAGTGGCAGCACAGCCTGACTTATCCTCCTATTGTCCAGTTAAACCGGCTGCCTAAACAGCTAGCTTTGGAACAGACCCTGAAAAGTTTGCCTTAGCCTGTATGCCATGTCAGAGGCATGCCTGATTCCCCTACCTGCCGATTGGTCCAGTTTTGTATTTTAAGCGTAATGCTAAATGTTGTCGCAGTATCACACTCACAGTAAGGGCAGTCAAATTAAGCAATTTAAGCCAAGTGGAGCTTTAAACTTTCTCACACCAGCTCTGTGACTGTAGAAGTTCTTACTTTGTATAGTTAACAGAAGGGTTTTATGATGCCATACTCAGGAAGTTTTCAGCTTCAGCTCCACGGGCTACCAAACATTTCTGGTAGCTTGTCTGCGGGTGCATCACCGGCAGCTGACCAAAGGATCAATAATTTTGAAACAAAGGATTTATCAGAATTTAAATAATTTCAAATAGAGATTCAAAGTGGATCTTTTTAGGTGTATGGCTTTTGAACTATTTATTTGTACCAAAGATAAAATGATTTGTAGTGAGTTACTGCCTCCTGTAGCAGACTCTGTTCAAGAGCTGTTTTATTCACGTTGGAGCAGTTAAAGCAGTTGTCCACTTAAGCTAATGCTAAGCACCTGAAAGTTTCTGAGACTGTGTCCAAAATGGATCCCTGACCCCTATATAGGCGACTATATGGGAGTTGGCGCCATTTTGAGGGGTGTCCGAAACCTAAGTGATCAATTCCAATGCCCCATATAGGCGACTCAGAATTTCCCATGAAGCACTGCAAAATGTAGTGACCATCCGATGGTCACTCACCAGTAGTGGGCATCCCGTCATGCATTGCTTCATGTGCAGTGTCGAAACCTCCGGTGATTGAGCTCACTACATAGTCAGCTGTATAGTGAAACCCCATATAAGGGTTAGGAATTGAGTGATTCATTTCAGACACAGCCTGAATGTGGTCATTGAGGTTGTAATGATGACCTCTATGTCTCCCCTTTTAGGTTTTAAAGCAGCTACAGGTCATTCAAAGTTGCTCTGCTGTTGAGGTTTTGGTTGTTAAAATTGCTTGTTTGAACACACAGGGCGGTGACTTCACCAACCACAACGGAACTGGTGGAAAGTCCATCTATGGCAACAAGTTCGCAGATGAGAACTTCACCCTGAAGCACACCGGTTCAGGTATCCTGTCCATGGCCAACGCTGGACCAAACACAAATGGATCCCAGTTCTTCATCTGCACTGCTGCAACAACATGGTAAGAGCAGAGTGTCTGACAGTTGGCCTTATGGGTTGTGAATGAATTTCCTGTCTTCCTTACCTGTTGTTTTTTTTGTTTGTTTTATAAGCATGTGTAGCTGTATGCTGCAGATTTTGTATTTCTGCTAATCGAAGTGTCTCCTGCAGGCTGGATGGGAAGCACGTGGTGTTCGGTTCTGTGGTGGAGGGTATGGATGTTGTCAGAATGATGGAGAGCAAAGGCGCATCGAGCGGCAAAACCTCTGCTAAGCTCGTCATCGCTGACTGTGGGCAGCTCTGAGCTCCAGCACTTAACCTTTTCTGCTCGTCCTGTAGCCGCACCCCTGTAGGCTCCAACCCCCTGCCTCCCCATCCAATTCAACATTCCTATTGATGGAGATACAGCTGAATCCCCCCTCCCCGTCCCTCTTTTTATATTCTGTTGTTAAAATCATGTTGTTGCATTTGTGACTTTGCCTTTAAAGTTTCTTTTGCATTAACGTTTTTCCACAAAGTCCCAACGGTTTTTTGTTAAGTCAAAAAATGAAATGAGAGAAAATAAAAAGAAGTTGCCTTGACAATTGAGAAAATGTGTGCTGTTTTTGTTGCTGGATAGTGTCTGTCTGATCCAGAAGGAGTCAAAGTTTGAGGAGCTGAGTTCAGACATTTTTAACAAGCCCAGAAAACTGGTAGCATCAAGAACCTGCACCTCATCTAAACAATTTTGTGCTCCAACACCAAATGAGTACACATCAGACTTTAATTTTATTTTTTGAGGGGGGAAGGGGTAGATGCCAGTATTTTCTCTTTTGGGCTGGGCTAGGCTGTTGCTTCAGTTTCCAGCAGGTTAAGCTCTCAAGCTGCAGTATCCATTTAGAGCAGGGTCAGTTTCATTCCCCATGACCTTTCACAGGTAAAGTCGGCACAAGTGCAAGTAGGGTTCGTGAAGATCATGTGCTGAAAAATGGGCGAGTGTGAGGATGCAAATGACACTTGACTGGGCCAGAGTCCCCTTAAACTGAGACCTTCCTGGTCTGTACTTGCTGAAAGTGGTCCAAGGAAGGAAACCAGCAACTGTCACAGCTGGCCTGCCTGATTTAATTTGACAAAATACCTGCTGTGTACTAAAGTATGATTGAAGTAAAGTCTCCACGGTCCTCATTTTGAAAGTTTTAATGTGGCGCTAATATTTGTAGCCTTCTCCTTAGTTTTTAATACAGTACACACAGCTTCAGCTTCATTTAAATCTTTGTGTGCTTAAATGACTATAAATACTGTATTTGTGTGTGTGCACACCAGAGAGGTTCATTTTTGTGTGAAAATAAACAAGGATTACAGCAGTCAGAGTAAACTCAAGTTTATTTTAATGAACAAAAGTGCTATCATTACATTTCTCGAATGAATATGGTAGAAACACGCAGAACACAGAATTTGACACTGTGAAGTACCTTTATTTCAAGAGAGGTTGGGATTTAAGGTTCCAGTGGGGAATTTTTGCCTCTTCTGAAATAAGAAACTGATATACCTGACACCAAAGCAGGGTGGGATGCTGTGGAAAACAGCTTTTTTTCACATTTCCCACATAAATATTCACAAAGAGGGACTGTCAGTGGTCGTCACTTTGTCAGAAGACCTTTCTTAAGCATGTTGAGGTTAGTGAGGACTTCTGTCTCAAAGAGGACATGAAAACTCACTCAGACTGAAAGCTCGCTGATAAGCTTTTGTTACCATTTAGTATGGACCATATGAGGGGTCCTTGTGCCTCATCTTGGCAATAAACACTTTAAAATGCTTAAAATCAGAATAAAGTGGAGTGACATTTGAGAAACCTGGCTTTTTTAATCTGAATGAGGCTTTCCAGATTCAATCAAATATAGATAAAATAGAAGTAAAGTAAGATTGTTAATGTTTTAACATTTTGATTGAGGTTGAATTAAACAAACTTGCTGTTTTGGTTTATTCATATTCGTGGGCCATGTCCTCTTTATTACAGTCTGTAGGCTACAGTTAAGGTTCAAGTGTGCTAAATTAGAACAGCAGGTTTACTAACACCCACTTAGGTCAGCATTAACTTGTGTCAAGAAAGGCGCAAACTTCTGGTCCCTTTGGCTGTAAAAACATCACCTGACTTGTGCTTTTGACCTGTAGTAACCCTTTCATCCAGTAGGAGCCGCCACCTGACTATTCACACTATTACAGATGCAACGAGCTACTGCAGTTCTTGCACAGTTATGATTCCTAACCATAGACTGTATATAGAATGTACAGAGTCTGCCTCCTTGCTGGGTGAAGCCACTCTGAGAACTGCACCCTCTGTTGAGCAGCAAAGCTTATGGAGCTGTGGACAAATTGAGAAATTTATTACACAGAATATAAATTTTTCTCTCCCCTGCTTGTGATGTTGACATGCAGTTACAGTAAGACTGGTTTGTGCTCAAGTCCTCTTTTTTTCTGTGAAGCTCCGTTTTTAAAAGTTACTAGGGGGTTCATGTTTTCTTTGATTGACACCTGATACAGCCTATTGGCGTTCAGGGATTGCGTAGCTCACGCTGTTTGAGCCGAGCGTCATCTTGGCGACTCCCCCTCCGAAGGCGCACAACGCTACTGCGCAGCGCTGGTTTCAGGAAAAGAAAAATACCGGAAATACCAAGAGCTTTTTGGCTTCAAATCCGTGTACAGACGGGATGTGGAACCAAGTTGTCCATAGTATATACAGTCTATGTTCCTAACCTTCTGCCCTCCATCTGAACATCAAACCTCATCACAGATAATTACAAACAAGCTACTTCCTAAGCAGGTCAGATCCAGCGTGGCGCTCGTGGTGATTTTAACCTCCACTAAGAGAGACTTGTACCACTACTTAAAAAAAAATCAACATTCTCCTACAAAGTTAAATTAAATATTTTCAAACTACAGAGTTTATAGTAAATCTGTCAGCAGCTCAACTCCGCCGTCCTCCTCTTCTTCCCAGAATTCCTCATGTTCCTCTGGCTCTGACTGGGCAGACACACCCCCTGACCCTTCGCTTTCCCCGACTCTGCCCGGTTGACGGCAGTGCAGGACAGCCCCACGTCACAGTCGCAGCGGCCCAGCTTCCTCCTCAGTTTGGTGGACCCTCGCAGCAGACAGGCCTCGCCCTCCACCGGGATCCTCTGACACCGTTTACCAGTCAGATACCGTACGCAGCACAGACCATCTGCACAGTCACCGGACCGCACACAGCTGGACATCTCTGGAGCTGGAAGACATATGGACACACATAAGTGTGGGGCTAATACAGATGTGCAGTTCCTCAAATGTCCACAAGAGGCCAGCCCAAAAAGTGAGTCAACCCCTGTTTGGCTCCATAATAATGCTCTTCATTGAAGAGCTGGAACAAAATGTTGACAGCTTAGTACAAAAACTGTTTAAGGTTTCAAGCTGCTCTCTGTTTTCCTGACAGATATAAAATATTAGTTTTTAACAAGATTAACATCTGAACTTCAGTAAACCTCTAAGTTTCGAGGCGGGGTGACTCAAATTGACGAGTTTATCCTATGAGCTGCCTGCTATACCAACAGACAAGTTGTCTGCTGGACTGGACTTCTCAGCTGAGTTTTTTTTTTTTTTTTGTCACTGTGATTTTTTAATATCATGGCTGTATGTGGCTTACTCTCTCTCTTGGGGTGGTAACATTCTCCAAATAGAAGCATAACAAACAAAAGTTTTATATTTTATGAGGCAGTGTCTCCTCCAAAGAAGTTTTCAGGGCTGGTAATGCAGATGATTCATAAATTTGAACACCGTTACACATAGATGGTGAAAATTAATTGTATTTATTAGTAAAATGGTGAGGTGATGTGTCGTTGACCTCTGTACTCTCACCTTTAGTCCTGTTGAAGCCGTCATTGCTCTGTGTCTCTGCATCTGCGTGTCTGTCCACCTGCCTGTCCACCTGTCTGTCCTGGGCCGAGAGTCTCCTCTGAGCTCTGTTACTGCACTGTCCCCTCTGATACAGGAACACAATAAAAACCTCTTAATCTAAAATGTGCTCCATGTGTTTTATGTATTCTCAGGTGCAGTCACTCACCTGAGGTGCATCACAGTCAGGTGTTGAGCATGGAGGTGTGGATCGGTTGGAGTTGGACGTTATGTCTGTCCGGCGCCGTACAGGGCGGTCTGCCTGGTCGCCATTGGAACCATCCTGAATGACAGGTGAGAGTGATGTCACCGTGAAGACCAGAAAACAACATGTGTCAGGATTCAGAGCCAAATTTGGTAGGCATGGCGCTGGTTCTGTTCCTTGGCTTTCTTTGTCTGATTTAAAATAATATGATTTTTTTATTCTGTTTTAAAAATGAAGCTCTTGTAACATCAGGAGTTTAAGGTTCAGGGTGTTTCCTCTGTTCAGCAGGTGTTCACTCTCTTTTTATATTGAACAAGCATTAATGCTACTACCATAAATTTCAAACAATAATGATAATTATTTATTTTATGATCCAGAACCATTATAATACCACCACTTTGGTGAACTGTGCACTGTGTTCCACAGAAATACAGTAATACCATAATGATCCAGCAGCCTTCTCAAGCCACAGTAAACCCAGAGCTCTTTCTAACAGCTTTGCAGAAAAAGTAGAATCAAATGATTGTGAGATAAAATGGTCAATAAATGATGAAAGCACAGACGCTGTTTCTGTTTAGGAAGTATTACCGTAATTACAGGCCTGTGCTTCCCAATGAATAAAACAGATTGAGTTCCCATGGATGTTTTACACGGTAGAGTGTAATTAATTCACCGTATCATCACATCAACAGATCAAGTTTTAATAGCAGAGGAGATTTCAAAACAGAAACTACAACTCTGCTTTAAAGCCGCTGTTAACTTTTCAGGAAACTCTGCAGCTCACAGAGCTGAATGTTTTCACTCTCCAGAATATGAAAAACAAACAAAAAAAAAAAACCAGAATGGACATTTTTCCAGCTGATTTTCTATGTGTCCACCTGATTTATTTGACCTGATGTTTTGAATAAACACCTAACCAAACATGACACCACGTATTAACCTGACAGGCTGAATTACTATGATTAAATTGAACTCTTTCACATTCCCTGGATCTTTTCTACTACAGCTTGTTTTACATCATTTTATATCGTAAACTAATGTAGCGCAGAGTAACCCACTGAGCTGTGACGCTCACATGCTGTAGACAGTGCTGAGAGGATCATTAGACCACACTGTGGAGTCAGGAGACTGTGCTGATCAAACTACATCATTATCAGTTAACTAAACCCCCCTGATTATCCTCCTCTGAGTTAAAAGGCCTGTGAATGAATCTGTCTGTGTTAACAGTCATATTTATAGACAGATTCTTCACAGGTTAACGAAACTCACAGACACAAAAAATGTCTCATGAGTTCCAAAAAGTAAAATATTTGAACTTGTGTGCAGAATATCATTATTTCATGTGCACAGAAATAATGATGATGTGCACACAGTATAACTATCTAATGCAGACAACTGATGCACAAGATCATTACTTCTATGCACAAGATAATAATCAAGTTTTATGTACGAGATAACGTGTGTGCAGAGATATCAACGTGTGCAAACAGTAATACCGAAACACAAGATTATTTTCTTGTGTGCACACAATAATATCTTAAGCGCATTTTGTGTACAACATAATAATTTGTGCTCCAAATGTTGAATATGTAAAAAATAAATGTATTTCCATAAATATTGTCTACAAGGATAATATTTGACAATAATACTTTGCACAAAACTTCCACCTGCAGCTTGAAGCGCAAACAAAACAAAAACAAAAAAATGTGAGTTCACCTCTGTTAGATCAAACTCTTCAACAAGACGAAGTTGTAAAAGCCACTGTGGCACTAGCTTTTATGTTCATTTATTAATTTATGCAAAGAAAAAAGATTCTAGAAGTTCACAAAAATCTGAAAAAATCCAAAGAGAGAACATTAAAAAACGAACCAGAAGAAAACTGCACCATCTCTATGTCTTATATTACTGTACTATAGAAGAATTCTTTGAAGAGCTTTTATTAAGATGTTATGTTAAATTAAAGGTGTATTTCACTCTCTTAAAAGTGAGTAATTATTATCAAACATAAGTCACATGGAGACTTACAATACAGGACCAACAGCGTGAATTTACTGCAATGGAGTATCAAGGGTGAATTCAAGAGAAAAATAAAGATTTGGAGAATAAAGTTGTTATATTATGAGTAGTAAGTCATAAGAAATCCAAGCCTTTATGTTGAGACGGAAAACAGAAACAGAAACAGAAACACTCACTAACTTCACCAAGGTCTTTAATTCCCATAACATATTTTTCCTCCTCAGTATGACCCTAATAAAATAATGTTGCTGTAGTTATTGGCCAGAGTAATTACCTCATTTTACTATCGTATTCTTCAAAATCTTAATATTGGAGTTGTAATGATTTTTAGGCTGCTTGTTAATCTGATTTTAATACTCTGTTGAAATCTGCAGCATTGTCATTCAATAGGACATTAAATACATAACCCAACACTAAATACAGTTCTATTAAATAAAATCTTTAAGAATAGCACAATTAAACTTCTTTTCATTAACTAGAAATACACTTTTTCAAAAAACTTTTTCTACTTTTCTTCTTTTAATCATTAAATTAACAGTTTTCAGTCTGACGTGAGCTGTTTAATGAAGCCTGCTTAATCTTTATTATTTTTTATTCTCTGTTTTCCAGAGCGACACAAACACCACTGGTGGTAAAAGTTCAGCTTTCTGAAACAGTTTGAGGGATAAATTTTAGGACAAACTCTGCAGCTGAAGTAGAAATTAGAAGTAGACAGACATTAAGGTTAAAATTTGACTTACTGTCAGCTCAGAGCTCTGCTGCGTTGACTCTTTGGACGATCGGATGGTGTTGGAGTCCAGAGCCAGACCACAGACCAGAGACACGCACAGGAAGCTGCGCCACATCCACATCCTCAAAACAACCAATTTATCAATTGCTCTAAAAAAACAAACAAACAAACAAAAAAACCCCCAAAACTCTGAATTCTTTTTTTCTTCGGCAGAAACTTTGGATAAAATGTTGAGTCTGATCTTTATAAGTTTCTGCCCTCAGACTTTTTTTAAACTGTTTTTTACAGTTTCTGTCTGCTCTTCTGTGCTGGTTTTATTAATCCTGTTTTCAGAGAAAGTATTTGAATCCTCACAAAGTTTTGAAGAGTTGTCTCCCTCCTTCTTTAAAGTAGTTTGGGAGAGTAATAGCAGATATGTGTTGAGTTTTTAAAGAAATCAAACCTGTCACTCTCTGTTCTGACTCTGTCTGCTGCCTTCAGGTGCGTTTGTTTTTTATACCCTCCCCTCTGCTCTGATCCATCCTCTGTCAGCTCCCCATCTCTCAGAAGTCTTGGAGGAACGTTTGAAGCTCGACCGCATCAGTCGGCGGAGACAGCGCCTCCTTCCCTTGCTTCCTTCCTGGAAGCCCCGAGGCCTCAGGTGAGGCGGGCTGTTTGATACCTGACACCGCAGAGACCACAGAGATTAAACACACCTGGAGACACGAGACAGGTAGAGGAGCCGTCTGTGTGAGTGTGAGTGTGTGTGGTTTTACTTTATGTGGTCTGAAATATTACCATAAAAACTCATTAGAGCAGAGCGGGTCTGTGCCAGGCGGGCGGATGTATGAGTGTTTACAGGTGATTAAAGCCGATTAACAGAGCCAGTGAATCCGCTTCATGACAACACCAGACAGGTGAACTCTAATCTCTGATCAGTGTCTCTGAACACACAAATCCAACACATTAAAGACACATTAAGAACATTTCAGGGTGAATTCATTCATTTGACAGGTGTCCCAGCCAATCACACAGCTGCCTGTGGCTGGATGAGGAGATAAAAACAAACCTGTTCAGTGTTTTTATGTTTCAGGGAAGCGTCGATATGGCAGCAAATGGAGCGAGTTATTCGCACATATACAGACAGTTAACACAAAACATTCAGTTATTAAAACACAAGCACATTAGGCAAGTAAAAATGTGTTTATATACAGTATGAACACAACAGCAGATGCAAATTAAGTTATTTGCAGGAGTAAGTTGTATTAGTAAGACTAATACAATCTATTCATCCCATAGCCCGTATATACTATGGACAACTTGGTTCTGCCTTCCATCATTATACAAATCTGAAGCCAAATTGCTCCCGGTATTTCCAGGATTTTCTCTGCTTCCTGGAACCACCTCTTGTGCAGTAGCGTTGTACGCATTCGTCAGGAGAGTTGCTGTGATAACACTCGGCTCAAACAGCGACTCTCACAGGTGAGCTATGCAATCTTTGTATGCCCATGGGCTGTATCAAGTGTCAATCATAGAAAACATGAACCCCCTAATAACTTACAGCACAGAAAAAAGAGGACTTGAGCACAAACCAGTCTTACAATAACTACATGTCAACATCACAAGCAGCGGGGAGAAAAATGTATATTCTGTGTAATAAATTTCTAAAGTTTGTCCACAGCTCCATAAGGATTGCTGGAGGGGGCGGGATTTAGGACCTATACTGCAGCCCATCACCAGAGGGTGCTGTTCTCACGGTGGCTTTACCCAGTGAGGAGGCAGATGGCGTCCATTCTATATACAGTCTATGGTTTTTTCCTTGGATCAGGAATTAGAAGGAGCTTACGTGGAGGAAGTGAAAGAGGTCAGGTAATCTGCAAGTTGTGCACACACAACAGATCAGTTTGGTAAAAAAAATGGACTGAAACAGCACAAAGGAAACTCCTCCTCTTTTGCAGAAGTTTGTGCAAATGGAGGCGTTAAATGGAGCTATCACACAAAACATTCAGGCGAGAATGAAGCAAGTAGATATTTACATTTGTGTCTGGTGTGAAAACATGACTGTGAAACTGAAGCCAGCACAGAGGTGCCTCTAACCATAATTCCTACGCCCCCTGCTAACAGCCACCTGGGGGCGACTCTGATGTCTGCAAGAAGTCTGACTGTAGAGCAGACTTGAGAAGAAAAGTTATACCCCTCACTCAATTTATCTGCGAAATGAACACTTTTCTAATGATTCGAGTCTTTAATGAAGCAATGTCTTTTTGACTCATGACGCAAATGATGGTTGTGCAGATGGTTCTAAATCCCTAAATGAAGACCAGAACTCTGATCCCTTATTACAGCTTACATCATGTCCCTCATGAGTGAATACAGGCTTTTAATCATTGACCACTAACACTTATAAATACTCAACTTATAAATGAAACTTAATCAGATGTTCCTTTGATTCCTGGTCCAGATACAATTCCTGGACTACATTTGAGGGTTTAGGATATTTAGGGTCAAACGTCTGCAGCAATAACCCAGAGGAATTCAGCGTCCATTTCAGTTCATCTGAAACAGGCTCAGACCCTGAGAGGTCTCCAGCATGTCTCAATCATGTTCATATCTGGTCTCCTCATTGCATGGCTCAGTTTTATCCTGGATTTGTGACAAACTGGGTGCAGATACGAAGGTTTTTGAAAGTGTTTTTTTAGCCCATGCGGTAGTTTCCACTACAGAGTCATGTCTGTTTTTAATGCAGTGTTGTCTGGAGCTCCAAAGCACTTTTTTTTCAGGGTTTGTTCTTCCTGTGCAAACTTTTTTTTCGTGACTTTTCGTAAGCATCAAATTTAATTTCGAGCATCAAGTATTCATAAACACTAAAATTGTTCAGTTTCATTAACCAGTAGGGTGTTCAGGCACTATTTCTAATCAATATAGGTTAAAGAGGCCGTACTCTGCTTGTAATTTGTCTTGATATCGGCTCCCTAACAGCTTCTTAGCAGCCTTACATGATAATATGAGATGTATTACTCTGTGCAATGAGACTTTTGGGACTTAACATCAGTGATGACTTTAACTTTGTTACCTCAGAACTTTTTTTCAAAGTGACAATAACTTCTTTGCTCTGTAAGAGTCAGTGAGTATTTGTAGACTGCAGTGTTAAATAACAGTGTTGAATGGCGGTTAAATGACATGTGTTTGACTACATGTGAGAGGACAAACATACGTGAAACACGTCACACAGACAGAACAGTAGTGTACACAGATCTGCTGTAACTGTGTGTGTGTGTGTGTGTGTGTGTGTGTGTGTGTGTGTGTGTCTCAGTAATTGTGAGCATCTGTTGTCCTTTATTGAAGCTCTGGAACAACCTGCAGGCTGAAGACCTTATCACACACACACATCTACATCTACACACACACACACACACACACACACACACACACACACACACACACACACACACACACACACACACACACACACACACACACACACAGGTCAGAGGGTGTATCATTTGGTGTGTGTGTGTGTGTCTCCATATTGTCTGTTTTTATAAGAATAAAAAAGAGGAAATGTCCACCTCCACCTCCTCCTCCTCCACCTCCTCCTTTCTTCCTTTTACTCTTTCCTTCTCTCGTTGTCTTCCTATCTCCTCTTCTCCTCTCTGTCCTCGTCCTCCTCCTGCCTTCAGGTCAGATATAGTCGGTCCATCAGCAGCTGGGAGACCAGATCAGGAGCCCCTCTCGTTCAGGTAGGACCACCTGTTTTTCCGATTGTGTGTGTCTGAAACAGCTGCATGTCCATCCATTTATTTTATTTTATTTTATTTTGACTCATTTGTTTAATTTTGTTTTGATATAAATTCTGCTGAATTTTAAAGTCAGTGCTTAAACTGATTTTTTTATCAGAGTTTGGACAAACTTTATACGCATAGGTTATTTTTCTTTTCTTTGTGATTTATTTAGATAAGATATTTTATCATAAGTTAATGCAGCTTTTGAAATGATTTTAAGATCTAAGGAATTAGTTATTCTTATATTTCACCATAGGTTTCATTTTAAAACAATAAAGAACATTTTTATTTTTGAATTTTATTATATTTAAATCCAATAAAATAAGATTAAATTCATTTTGTAATTTTTGTTGTAATGTTAAATATTAAACCAGTAATGTTAAATCAGAGCTATGAATACCTGTGTAAATGTATATAGGACTAGAGATTCATATTGAGTTTAAATAACTACCAAAAAATATTTTATTTTCATTTTTTTAGAGTTATATATAAATACATTTCCTCTCAATTTAAGACTATATGTGTCTATGAACACTTTATTAGTGTATTTTCTTTTTTTATTTCAATAAACCTTTAATTTTACTTTTTACCTTTCTTAATTCATTGATTTTTATTTTCTGTTTTCTTCTTTATTTCTTGATGACAGGATTGTTAAAAAACGCAAACATCTATCTCTCTAAATATGGCAGTATTTCTTTCTTTCTTTCATTTTATTGCTGTTTCCATTTTAAATATCCTAATTCTGCTTTTACTGTCAGTGAGATTTCAGTGAGTCTGCAGCTCCTTTTACACTCCTGGATTTGAATTTTATCCCTTCACTTTGTGTATTGATCGCTGATTATCTCTTCTTGTTCAAAAAGCAGCTGCTCCTGTTTATTCCTGTTTACCTCTCCAGTTTTAGTTTCAGTTATTTTTGTAATCTCTTAGATTTTATGTTTGAATGTTTTTGAAGCGTTTAAAAAACTGTCTGTTTTCTGCAGGTTTGTTTCTGCTGCGTCAAACTAAAGATTCAAAATTACATTTCAGGTCATTTTCCATCAAACAGGAGATAGAAAGAGAGGGATAGAGAGACAGAGAGAGAGAGAGGGGGGAGGGGACAGAGACAGAAAGGTGGGGGCAGAGAGAGAAAGAGAGAGAGAGAAATGGAGGCGAGAGGGTGAAGTAAACGAGATGGACAGAGATAAGGGAAGAAAGGGAGTGTGTGTGTGTGTGTGTGTTTGTGTGTGTGTGTGTGTGTGTGTGTGTGTGTGTGTGTGTGTGTGTGTTTGTGTGTGTGTGATGTAACCATGTTAGTGAGGGGAAGGAGCCTCTAAAACAATCAGCAATCAGAGCAAACAGAACGTCAGCGCTCAGGTTCACTGTAAAAATGTCAAAATCAAAATAACTGATGACACTGAAAATGTTTAATTCAGAATTTTTTCTAGAGTTTTTTGTCTCTAAACCGGCTCCTTCTGATTTTTGTTGTCTTTAACACAAATAAACCTGATATTTTAAAATAATTAAAACACACTTTGTGATTAAAATAAAAATTACTGTCAGATATTTAAAAACTGGACTGTGAGTTTGCTGCTCACAGTCCAGTTTTTAAATATTTGTAATTGTATTTGTACAATAATTTTGCCCTCTGTACAATGTATGATCAATAACCCCCCCCCAAAAAGGGTAAATCTTCGTGTGAGGACAAGTTGATTTTTGTGTATAAAATTAATTTCACTTAGTGAAGTCAGATTACTCTTTTCTTCCTTCCCAGTTATCATGAATAGTGTTTCAAAAAGTAGGTGGCCTTAAGGTTTCATGATTTGGCTCCTTAGTTCCCACCTGTCATTTGTTTAGAGGGGATGCATTTGAGTTAAACAGATGAGTTAGAGCTGCTGATCATACCTTGCTGATGTGAGGCGGGGTGGTGAATGACCACAAAACTGTAGCCACAAAATCTTGAGTGCCTGTAGAATGCTAAACAGAGTGACTATATGTGACTATCATGGAACAGTAAGATTGTTATTTTGATTATGACGGGGGTACGATAATCCCCCCCCCCAAAAAAAAAAAAACTAAAAAAAAAAAAGATAATTTTGAGTCTGGTATGATAACTCTATGTTTACCATCTGGCAACACTGCTGCTGGGACAAATGCTGATGGATTTTCCAGATCTGACCGACTGATTCACCAACAACTGGAGTCCAGACTCTGAAAACCTCTTAGGCCTGTCTCGGTCAAATGAAACTTCAGAGTCAACAAACCTGAAGATAAAGATCGTTTTGTTTTTGTTAACTCAGAACAAGACTTTTTTATCCACAGAGGATATGGTTATGGAGGCCGCCATCTTACCCTGTCATGTTTCTACTGTAGCACAAAGTAAATATATTGGGGACTTATGTGGGTCTGTAGTTAGTTCATTTTTGTCCAAACCACACTTTTTGAATGATGATGAAGAAGAAAAGAAAGTTGTTTTAAGGCATGAAAGAGTCAGTACTGATACTTTTATTGATGGTAAGATCCCAACAAATCGAGGATCAAACTCATCATCATTACAAGAGCTTCTTGTCCTCAGCAGGCCACTGTCCCTGCATCAATGGGAGGGGTGAACAAGGGAGCGTCTATTACCGATTGTTGATCTAAAACTCATGATTTGGGCTCTCAACATCTCTTGAATCATGTGTTTTAGACTGTTCAATCATCTAAACCCTCAGAATTCCTATTTTTGACGTCTGTCTGCCCCCGTCCACAGCTTTGTTTGTCCTCCTTTCTTCACTCAGCTTTCATTCCTGATTGGATATACCCATGCATCATGTGACAATCCATACACTGGATTCCCCAGAGTTGAATTTTAAAGATTTTAGGGACTTTGTTCTTTACAGTACATCATATCATTGGAAGATTCAGAGAATTTGCAGAAAGGCCAAAAAACCTAAACCCCATGGCTGCGACTCTGTAGTGGAAACCACTGCATGGGTTCAAAGATGCTTCTGGAAACCTTTGTCTGTAACCACATCCTCCAAACAGCCTCCAGATCTGACAGCAGGGCCCGTGTTGCAGCAGACTAATATGTTCGATAATAACAGAGGGTCCTTTAGTGTTATTAAAGATCAGCTGTGATATGAAGGAGCTCTCAGCTGCGACTCACTCCTAGTCATCACAACACAGACACTTTATGAAGCCAAACAAAGGGGGACAGGGGATGATTCAGACCTGCTCACGTCAGCAGTCATTCACATTCACTCATTAATGCCGTGATAACTGCTGATGTATTCATGCGTCTCACGACTCATTTAACACAGGATAAATTGTTGTTGAGTTAACTGTAAGAAACTCTGATATAGCTCAGCAGATGTCAGCTTTTATTACAAGATGTATTTGGCTTGGTTTTGGTTCAGGGCTCTTCTGGATAACTCGCTGTGTTTGTTTTGGTGTTTTTTCACCTCTGCACCCTTCGCCCTTAGACAACAACAGTTAGGCAGTCATCAGTTTGGCAACAGTAGTAAATCCTTGCTTGAAAAACAACCAGGACACAGCTAAGAATACCACTTTATGAGATCTTTTCATTTAAGTGCTAGTTTTGACCAGAATCAGAACTGTTTATAGTTGCTAATCCTGACATAAAGGATGGGACATAACTCAAATGAAGCCTAAACGTCTCCATAGAATCAAAAACAGAAACTGTGAGATCTGTGCTCTGTGTGTAGATATGGCGTGGCTCCATCAGAGTCGAGGTTCTCCCAGACTTGTCCTGGTGGTGGTTTGTGTCGCACTGCTGCTCGACAACATGCTGTTCACTGTGGTCGGTGAGTAGATTCACACAAACACTAACAAAATCACTTAGAGTGGATAATATCTCGTAATAAAAAAATCATGGACCAGAACCAGACAGATTTCCTTACATTTTTAGATTTAGGTTAGTTATTTTTATCTGGACCACAGAGGAACCAGACCAGAAGCTTGTCCAACCAACTCTACAACCAGATTACACAAGTTCACCTTCAATATGACAGCACAACCAATTTTTGGACTGTAAAGGGATTCATTGGGAATGACACAAACACGTATGTGAGAAATTTGCTTTGCTCCAACAGAGAGGGTCACTGGACCCAAGTTCATTAAACAATTTAAACCCGACACATCAAATCTATAAAATCTGTAAATAACCTCAAATGTATAAAGGTTGTACCCCCCTGCTCAAGTTGTCTGTGATTCATTGCATTGTGCAAATGCAACATTTCAGCCTGTCTTTCCAGAATGAGCTGCCTTCTATGTTTAAATACATGAATAAAGAAGCTGTATGAAAAGTTTTATGTTAAAAACATGATTTGAAAAAGTGAAAAAGGAAGATTATTTCATTATTTGTATTTTTTGAGGTGTTCTGATGCCATTTATGGGCCATTGTCAGGGATCTTCTCAGTCAGTCATACTGCTGTTAGTCAGTGAAGAAGTTTGCAGGATTCATGATTAAAATTTATGTTTCTCCTGATTATTTTTCAGTTTGTCTGCATCTGTGTTCTTACAAATGAAGAAACTTCAGGACAGATTAAGAAAAGTGGAGCCTTGTAGGTTTCTTGGAGGACTTTTGAATGTTGACTGGCTGTCTCACTGCACAAACGTGAATATGCAGAAAGAGCAGCACACGGGGTAAAGTCACTGACTTTAGGCAAACAAATGGGTGACACAAAAACGACCACGTTCATGATAACCAAAGTAATGGTTTTGATAATTGTTGGGTCAAATCAATGTCTGAGTTTCAAATTTATATGAAAAGATAACCAATGACTAAGAGATTAATGGACCTGCTCGGCTCTGAAAACTCCAAATGAACAACTCCAAACTCAATTTACAGGAAACAGCTTGTGAAGACATTAATAACTTTTCTGATCTTTAGACAGACTGTTTTTACACCTCAGATGACAAGGATATCAACCAAAGTGTTCTTGGTGTTTCATAGTAGCAGGGTTAAGTGAAAACTCTGGATGATTTCTGAAAAAACTATTAATCATCAGGTGAAAACTTTTTACATTAAAGAGACGGAAAAAAAAAAATCTAAAACCCTTTTGGCTCAAAACCTGCATGTTTTCTGTCGAGGATGAGTTCAAGGGTTCAAAGAGCGGCAACAAAAAGTTCTAGTATCTGAAAAAGCCATGTTATATCTGACATAATGATGCATTCATGTGATGTCAGACAGGAGCAAAGCAAGTATCCATATTGGAAACAGCACAAGTCGAGACAACAACCTGGAAACGTGACTTTTAAACTTGACGTCGTATTTATTAGTAGCATGGAACTTTTTATAAACTTGTGTACTGCATATCAACTTTTCACTCTAACCTCATTTCTATTTTTTTTTTTTTTTTATCCAGAGTGACCTGGACCGGTTAAAATTGTTATTAACATTAGTACAATATTTAAGAAAGTCAGGTCTATATTAAAGTAATATTTTAATATTTATTTGATATTATTGACGTTTGGTTATGTTGGGGTGCTATTGGCCTTGTAGTCTATATGCAGGTGGTTTGGGTTCAATTCTCATTATCACCCCTAGGTCCCTCTACAGGTTTCCCGCTTTATCCACTGTCCTAGCCTGCCAGAATAATAAAACCAAAAGTCCTTAACTGTCATTGGCTCTTACCTAATCAAAGGCGGGACTTAATTTCAGAATTACTCTTTTTTTATTTGGTGCAACAGCTTATAACTTTTGTGGCATTTTATTGTTGCATGTTTCCTGTTATGTTGCATCAGTGTTGGTAGTTATACTCAACTAATACTAACTAATTACGGATTAATTAAATTACTAATTTAACCAATACTATGATTAAATTAAATAAAAATCTTGGTTGAGTGCTTGTCAAATGCGTGCATGTATATAAAAACCTTACGCACCCACCACCCCACCCCCATGCAAACGTCAGTGTCCCCCCAGTCCAGAAGTCTGGACCTGGCCCTGTAAATGAGGCTGTGTGGTTTCCTCTGATGTGCTTCAGACACAGATCGCCCTCAGATATTCTTCCATGATGAAGTCTCGGCTGCAGGAAACAGATCAGTGACGCATCTAAAAACCTGCAGGTCACATCTGTCATCAGCAATTAGAGCCAGGGCTGGATGTAAAGGTCAGAGGTCACACACACACGCACATGTGTGACCTCCTGGCCTTGAACTTTAAAGTCTGTGGTCTGGGTTCAACACTGTCTCTTTGAGTTTCCTCTCAGGTCCCATCTTTTCCCTCCTCTCTGCTCTTTTCTTATCTCTGAAGCTTTTTTACGGTTTTACAAGCTGATTTACAAAAACAGATGAATTAATGATCAAACGTCAAAGTTTAGCTCATTGAACAGAAGTTATGAACTTTGTGAGTTATTGAAGAATCATTTAGATGTTCTCCTCCAGTGCCAATCATCCCGACCTTTCTCTACGCCATGGAGCATCCCAGTCCAGAGCCCCAGACCCTTCAGCCGTCCCTGCTCCCTCTACAGAGCCTCAGTGATCCCCAGCTGCCCTCTCAACCCCCCCAGCCCAGCCACAGTGCACTGGTCCTGGGTAAATCCTCAGAGGAGATCCCCCGGTCAACTCCCCCCACCTTCCCCCATCTGGTGTCGCTGTTTGACAACACGACCTTTAGTCTTCAGGAGATCCAGACTGAACCTACCCTGGACACCGGGCTGACAGACCAGAGCAGCCTGATGACCACAGAGCTGCAGATCAACCAGACCGCTAACACTACAGTAGGTGGATGTTGACCTGACTGTGATGGACCAGTGTTTACAGGTGAGGACTTATCTCCTCTCCTCTCCTCTCCTGCAGGAGTCCTCCTGTCTTCAGGACAGTGTGTTTCTGGAGGAGGAAAATGTACGTGTTGGTTTGTTGTTCGCCTCTAAAGCTCTCACCCAGCTGCTGGTCAATCCCTTCGTCGGCCCGCTTACCAACAGGTATTTCAGCCATTAATTTTGCAGAGAAATAAAGTAGCTTCATTCTTGTTGTCAGCATTTTGGATAATTTTATCCTGGTATTTTTAGTATCTGTCAGCTTTAGCTCTCAAGTTACACTAGTCATTTTTGTTGGGTCCAGCTCCTTCAGGATTGTGTGAGGTAAAATTACTCTTTTACTCTTAATTACAAAAAGGCCTTTCTTTGTAAATAACGTTGAATAAAGTAATCAAAGCCTTTTCTCTGTAAAAACAAGGCCTCTTAGTAGAAGACGTCACAAACATGAAAAATAAAGTGTTGAGTTAATTTACTGTTTTTTTTCTGCAGGGTTGGATATCACATCCCCATGTTTGCTGGTTTCATCATCATGTTTGCATCAACCATCAGTAAGTCACACACAAGCAAATACACACGGATGATAGTGTGTTTTCAGGCTGAAAAGTCTAATTTTGTGTCTGTTCCAGTGTTTGCATTCTCAGGGACCTACGCTCTGCTCTTCTTCGCTCGCTCTCTGCAGGGAATTGGCTCGTCCTTCTCCTCTGTGGCAGGTCAGTGTTCTCATGTCCCAAATGTGCTATACCAAAGCAAAGTAGATATGTCCTCATATCCTTTTCTCTACGTGTGTAAAGGACTGGGTATGTTGGCCAGTGTGTACACTGACGATGAAGAGAGAGGCATTGCCATGGGCATCGCACTGGGAGGACTGGCACTGGGAGTCCTGAGTGAGACACACTGACACACTCAGACTTATCCCTTGACCATCAAGGGACTGTTAGGCTTTAGAAAAACACTAATTTGTTCTTACAATCAGGGAACTACAGGGCTACGGACAAATACATTTAAGAGGGGACTGCTACAAAGAGACACACTCTTCCTTTCCTACATTTTTAACAGAGGACTGTAGGGGTTCAAATAAACACACTTCTACTTTTCTTTATGACATCAATGGATGTTCATGCTATAGAAAAAACACCCATACCTTTTTATGTGACAAACAGGGGACTGTATGGCGATAGACAAACACACTCATACTTTCCTATCAACTAACAAGGGACTATAGGCCTTCAAACAAGTGCACTGACACATTTACTTTCCTACACAACCAACAAGGGACTATATGGATATTGACAAACACAGTTATACTTTCTTATATAAAGTATGTGGACCGTAGGGCTTCTGACAAACACACTTGTTATTGTTGACATGTTTGTGTTTGTTGTGTTTCAGTTGGGGCTCCATTTGGCAGTGTAATGTACGAATTTGTCGGGAAGAGTGCCCCCTTTCTGATCCTGGCCTTCCTGGCTGTGTTTGATGGAGGTAAAGAGAACTGACTATACCTGTTAATTAGGTTCTGAATTTTAACTTCCTGTCTTTTTCTTGTCTTCTTATTCAGGCCTTTGTTTGTATTCTTTTTGAAGATGGAAATCAAGTTTGGAAATAGAAAGTTGGACATATTCATAAAATGTTTTCTTTGGAGATAAATCAAAGGAGAAGTTAGCTTGTTTTGTCATTTTGTCTTCTTCACAGTCAGACTTATTTCTGCAGCTAGTGTAGTCTCCCCCTGGTGGCCACTGGGAGAAAATATAGGAGAAAGACACTGGCTGTATTTTTAGATCCAAGAACAAACTCATGTGTTAAGTGAATGACTTCAGCGTCAGAAATTTAGAGGATTTTAATCATTCCCCTAATATTAAATAATTGTCACAAAGACTCATGGGCGTTGAAGTTCTGAGCTTAAACAGAGAGATTATTCATTCATCCTGACAGATGACATTTGTGTATTGTAGTGTTACAGCTGTTCATCCTACAGCCTTCGAAGATCTCTCCTGGGGTAAGTTCTCTCCAAAGGGACTCCTGATCTGATCCAATTCTTCCTGATCCAGTATTATGTGATGCTCTGGAGTCTGTCAGTCTGGTCTGTTTTGGATCTGGATAACCAGCTTTAGTTTCTGTGTTGCAGAGTGTGGAGGGGACGCCATTACTGACTCTGTTAAAAGATCCGTACATCCTCATCAGTGCAGGTGGGAGGATACTGAGATTTCTGCCATGTTGGAGTTTAACATTAACTTTATTTTTATGCTGAATGAAAATTTCTCACTTATTGAGCCAAAATACCCACAGAAAAAAACAGTTATTTCACTCTTGGTCTTGCTTGCTTTTGTATTTCATAAAGAGGGATAAATAATGAAATCAGTTTGTCTTATAACTAGGGCTGCCACAAATGATAAAATCTGATTATCAACATGACTACGGTTATTTTAGCGATTAATCAGGTTGTATATTTTAAATTTTTGCATTAGTTTTTTTAATCTTAATGGGACCAACCTGGTTGAATAAAGGTTAAATATATATATATATATATATATATATATATATATATATATATATATATATACATTGCAGATTATCGCACCTGCATGCAGCTGCCGTTTTACCACCATTAAATAACCTCCATCTGAAAATGTTTAATGTGCTTACCAAAAAAAAAAAAAAGACAATTAAGTTCATTTCAACCTTTTATAAAAGTTTGCTTTATAAAATATTATTAAAACAAAATACAAAATAGAAAAGGGTATCAAAAATAAATAATTGTAAACACACAAACTTCACTCTGGCAGTGGCATTTGACAGAGAAAAATGTAGAACTATCAACAACAAAAGAAAAATCAGTCAAATCAAATGCTTGATCATTTCTTTAATGGCTTCATCTTTTACCATTGACAGGGGTCTCATGCCCATCATCAGCATGTTTAAGATGGATTCAGTGAGGGAATGGGCTTGGAGAGGTGCAGATCTTGCATTTCCTCTCTATATTTTTTGTCAAATGCTCCCTAAAACTGGAGCTATGCGTCCTGCTCGCTGAGTTGTAGGGACGTCAGACGCCGACTTCTATGAGCTCTACTGCACTTGTGCGTTCAGGACAAGGCACACACAGTGGAGGCTATGAGCAGAGGGTACCAAAGTGCAAAAAACAAAGTGGGAAAAAAAAAAAAGATTATGTCAATTACTAAAATAGTTGTCAACAATTTTGATTGCCAAATTTTAACCGATTAATCGAATAATCGTGACAGCCCTACTTTTAACCATCGAAAAACTTCTTACAGGGGCTTTAACTGTGCATGGAAACTGATTCTTTACATGCCCCTGTGCTCTGATAACCCAGTGCACACAAGAGGAAGGCTCGTTCTTAACACAGCTGTCAATAATGTTGTTACTCCCTCTTTCTAGCATTGACTAACTCATTAAAATTTAACTTCTCAGGAAAGTAAGAATCAACAGAACAGAAAAACTTATTTGACCTTTAGTTTTGAACTTTTAAACTTTTTATGGTCTTTACAGCATATAGTCAGCAGGGGAGATCCATATGTTTTGGCTTCACTTTAGAGGAGTTACTGCCTTTTCTTTCTTTTATTTGAGGTTTCAGCGGACTGACACAGTGGTCTTTTCTGTTTATCTCTCTGCAGGTTCTTTGTGTTTCGCAAACATGGGCGTTGCCATCCTGGAGCCGACTCTGCCCATTTGGATGATGCAGACCATGTGCTCCCCAAAATGGCAGCTTGGTATGACTCCACTTCCTCTTTTCACACTTCCTGTCTGCCACGTTTATTTCTGGTTTCTTCTATTCATACTACAGCTTTAACCTGCATTTATGGATACAGTATAAACTTCATTTACAATCAGCAGTTTATGGCTGTGATATGAGCCCATGCAGTGACTTCCACTTCAGAGTCATGCTGATTTATAATGCACTATAAAATCCTTCAAAAGCCCATTTTTTTCACTGGTGGAAACAGGCTTTCATAGTTTTGAGTTTGTGTAGTGTGTACTTTTTCTTCGCATCACAGACCATTGTATTTACCATACATGTTCAATGGTTCATGTGGAAACACACTCTGAGACGCCAAACCCTGGGACGTGTATTCATTCATTATAAAACAGCGCAGCACATCAGTGCTCTCTGCTACTCGGCTCCTGAGTTAGAAGCATGTAAAAAACACTCGACCCACCCAACCCAGAAAACCCTCAAAACTTTGTGTGTGCGCACATACAACTCTACCCAGCGTAGCAGTGTCCTCTTTTTGGGGTTTCAGAATATGGTCACCCTAATATACACTGTGTGTGTGTGTGTGTGTGTGTGTGTGTGTGTGTGTGTGTTTGTTGCAGGTATGGCCTTCCTCCCTGCCAGTATCTCCTACCTGATAGGAACCAACCTGTTTGGTGTTCTTGCCAACAAGATGGGACGGTCAGTGTTTGTGTGTCTGTGTTTCTTTAGTGCCAAAGAGGAAGAAGTTAAATCAGCAGATTAACAGATTAACTTTGGTTGAAAGTCTGAGTCCTGTTCAGACCTGATCCTGGAGAGTTCTGGTAAACCTGCAGGTGTGAGACGGACAGGTAGGCACAGACAGAGGGATGATGGGCAATTTTTGTCTTCCTTAGGTGGCTCTGCTCAATGTTGGGGATGTTTATCGTTGGCGTCAGTCTGTTGTGTGTAAGTATTATGTCCATACATCCAAATATTCCTTAAACAATATATCACAATATCCCTATTGTGTATAGACTATGATTTTTTTTTTTAAAACAGAGCAAACTTATAAAAATGTTTTCTATTTGCAGCAAAACACGACCAGGCTTGAACTATGTAAAGCGCCAAAACCACTTCAGCAGCAGGAAACCTAATCTCACACGCTTGTATTCATGTGTGTGTGTTTCAGGTTCCTTTTGCAACCAGTATCTACGGTCTTATTGGACCAAATGGAGGGCTGGGTTTTGCCATCGGTGAATATCAACACAATACCTCTCAAATACCGTAACTGTCTGCATGTAAACAAAGTTTGGATCTTATTAAACAGATATAAAAGCACATCATCCGAAACTTCCACTGTTTTAAAGACACTTCGACATTCTCACATTCCATATTTTATGTCTTATTTTTATACTTGAATCTTGACTTGAGTATAATAGTGTTTCCACTGACCAAATGTCGGCAATTTTCATCGTCTCCCAGTGCAATAAGTATCCATCTCCCCCTTTCCTGCTTGTGCCGTCCTCCTCCAGGTATGGTCGACTCCTCTATGATGGCCATCATGGGCTACCTGGTTGACATCCGTCACGCATCCGTCTATGGCAGCGTTTACGCCATCGCTGATGTGGCGCTGTGTATGGGGTTTGCCATCGGTAACACACAAACACACTCACACAGTTACATTCTGTGTTTGGGTTAGAAAATCAGCATCATGATGGGGTTAAATAAGGGGTAGTTTGCACAGACAAGTAGAAGGCTCCACACCACATCTCTTCCTCTTTCTCCCTCTCTGCAATTATCACTTCCCCAGAAGGAGGATCAGAGGCTGGACGACATGGCCCTTTGTATTTACTGCCCTCTTTAATTCATTCATCTTCTTGTTTTTTTTATTGACCTGATGCATGTGTGCTGAACAAAGAACTGCCCTCCAAAACAAACTTTGACTATTCAGTTTGAGTCCCAGCATGTTTATAATCTAAAAACACATTTGAAAAATTCCATGTTGTTCTAGGACCATCCACAGGGGGCGCTCTGGTCCAGGCGGTGGGATTTCCCTGTCTCATGGTGTTCATCGGGGTGATCAACATTCTTTATGCTCCACTCTGCTTCCTGTTACGTAACCCAGCTGTGAAAGAGGAGAAAATGGTAAACATGAGTCTGAAACTGTGTGTGTGTTAGTAAAATGACTAATACTGCAACCAGTCAGTAGAGGGAGCACTAAAAATTTTGGCTTCTTAGTCAGCAAACACTCACTGCATCCCTGTTAACATCAACCAACTCTTCCAGTCTTGAAAAGTGAAACCAAAATAACCCTGTAGTTTATAGCAGAACTCCTAATTATGGAAAGTTCTGTAACTGTTGAGTTTGTGTTTTCTTCTCTCGCACACTTCCTTGACCTGACACTTTTAAAACTTTTGTAAAATTTTTCTTTTTATGTAGTTTCAGTTAAATGCTTTGGGAGAGATTATTATAGCGATTTAGAATAAGTTATATCAAAATAAGGCTACACAGCCAGTCTTTTTGTGGCAAATAAAAGCATAAATGTCATAATGAAATGTCAGAAAGTTGTCGTAAGTTTCAGTGCTTCAGTGGAGATACCCACTCAAAATATATTGAAGTACAATAACAGTGACTTGATACTTTGTACCTTCCTCCTTTGTGCATCAGTCTATCGTCCCAGGGTCACATTTGTTTTTGGAAATTTTGACAAGCTGTATAAAAAAAAGAAAACAGATGAGGTCACATGGATTTCTCCCGAACCTTTGAACCTGGACTTTAAGAAACTTTTGATGGAGCTGGAATAGTTGCGGGTTTGATGTTACTGCATCCTGAATGGATCCCTGAAAATACTCTGTGTCAACAGCGAGAACCCCTGTTCACACAGGCGGCTGTACACTGGTTATTAAAACCTGTTCACACACACTGAGTGTGTCTGCAAGTCCCGACACATCAGCAGGAAGTGTGTGTGTGTGTGTGTGTGTGTCTGTGATGTTGAAGCCAAAGTGTTTGTGTGAAGTCATTACACAGTGATTAGACTGATCACAGATCAGAGGCTGCTGCTTCAAAGCTGCAGAGGAAACATTTCCTCCTAATAAACTCCCAATTACACACAGATTACACAGACATAGAGACTGCTTTATTGATCTACTCTGTGCTTGTGTGTGCGTGTGTGTGTGTGTGTGTCTGTCTGTGTGTGTGTGTCTGTGTGTTTGTTTTGCAGGCCATTATCGATCAGGAGTGTGTGATGCACAGGAAAAGCTATAACACTCAGAGGGAGAGCCGAGAGTTTCCTCTGAGCGACTACAGTGAAGAAGAGGAGACGGAAGAGTGACACACACACACACACACACACACACACACACACACACACACACACACACACACACACACACACACACACACACACACACACACACTCAAAGCTGAGGATATTATGTTGTGATGTCTCCAAACATGCTTCACCCTCATCATCAGTCTTCTTGTTACAATCAGACCAGAGCAGACTCTTTTCAAAAAGGTGGTTTTGCTTTTTCTTATTTTCTATACTTTTACAAAAATTGTAATGTCAAAAATAAACAAGGCCAAGGGTTTGAAATTGTGAGGTAAATGTGGGAAGAAGAACGAGACTGCAGACTTGTCTGAAAAGTTTGACAAGTCATGACCTCACTAATTGGTGAATCAACAAGCTACAGCAGCACAAACTATAAGGCAGATGGAGCAGGAGGAGAAAGGAGAGCAGGGAGAGCAGGGAGAGGAGCAGGAGAGAGAAGAGCAGGGAGAGAAGCAGGATGAGAGAGGAGGAGCAGAAGGACGCAGACAGATTAGTCTAACAGGCCAAAGCACAGAATGAGCAGTAGGAAAGGCTATAGCAATCAGATCGTTCATTAACACGCCCCTGACTCTCTGGGTAAAGAGAGTGGCCTGGTTCCAAATCTTTAGAAAATAAAGGTTAAATCTTAAATGTTTTAAAGGACGTCACATGAAAGCTCGAAATGACTGTACACAGTAAAAAAGATTCAATCCAACAGTTTTGCCCACTTATTGTGTTATTCAAAGAATGACGTCTTAAGATTTAAAAAGTTGCGTAAATGCATGTGAAGCAGGTGCCTGAACACAAGTTATTATGTGTAATAACTGTGATCTTAATATTAATCAAAATAATCATGATGATAATTTTTAAAACAGTTTAGCAGCAAGTGTTCAATGACACCTGAAAATGAGAAAAGTACCTGCTCTTTAACATCCTCCTTCTTTACCACATGTCCTTCACCCCTAAAATATCCCAGCACTGCTCATTTGGAATCCATTTTTTCTAAAGGGCTGACATTAAGTATTTATATCTTATAAAAAAGGTTGTCTAAGGTGAAAAGTACAAAGAAAACTGGTTTCCACCTCTGATTGTAGACCCCTTTCATGTATGGACCCCTTTGAATAAGAAAGAAATGTTCTTGTAAATGTGAGTTTATTTTTCAAAACGTGTGACTTCACTCCTCTTTGCTTCTCTCTTTTTTCTCTCTTGTTAGCAAGGAAAATGTTTGAGTCTGTATCTGACCTCTGACCTTTATCGCCATTAAATCCTGCTGTTCACCTGCGTGTTCACGTCCTCTGTCTTCACCTGGACTCAATGTTCACATGATAAACTGACTGTGAGCCTGGCAGAAACATCCGGATGGAAATCAGCTGCTGTGTGTTTTTATGTGTGTGTCCACATGCTTCTTATCTACTCTTTAATTTCCTGTGACGGTGCCTTCGTCAGAGAAAATGACGCCGGGCAGAGAGGAGCCTCATCAGGTGGAAGAGTAAACAGGAAGTGGATGAACAGTTCACAGGGAGGTTTTCATCAAGGTTCCTTTCACAGAAACCACAAACACACAGAACAAAAACAGTGTTAGCTCTGATACTGTCAGAATACAAAGGAAACCCTGTTACATCATTGTGGATCAATCATATTAACTTAAACTAATTCAGCTGGTGATTTTAAGCAAGAGAGGAAGAGCTCTATTTATGTTTTTATGGACTGACTCACAGGATGTTGACTGTGTATTAGCCCGTCGTCAGCTGACTGTTCCACACACAGTTTTTCTCCCTTTCACCTTTTAAAGTCCCTGTCATTACATGAACATCCCTTCATCCATCCATTTTCATTCACTAACCAGATGTCCCTCTCCTAAACAACATTTTCTGACCTGTCCTGGGAGATTCTGAGGTGTTCCCGGGCCTGTCTTTGAGGCTAACTTGCACTAGTTCAAACTAGAGTGAACGTGGGGGCTAACCTAATGGTGCATGAGTAACAAAAAACCTTGAAAAGTACAACTAACCAACCGTTGATGCAAGGAGAAATCATCTGAGTTTATGGTTTCTGAAGTTCCTCATGTCTTCTGAGAAGGAATTCTGACTTTAGGGGGACATCCAGGGTGATTAATCTAACATCTTTGAATTTCTTATCTCTGAGCTTAAATGAAACAAGCTGCAATCTTTCATTTAAAAACATACTCAATCCTGAAATATTGGTACACTCAGGACACAAATAACTTTTTAGCAGTTTTATTGTAATGGTAATCACTTATAGCTAGTGTGTAAAGCTTGAACTAATGTCATAATAGAGTTTGAGGCTTTCTTTTATTCTATAAATCATCTTTTGTTTATGCTCCCTAATATCTGTTAAAACTGTTAGAAACACCAAACTGACACTAAATCTAAGATAATCTTGTAGCATTCCCGTAATCTGAGTTTGTTTAACTGTTAAATTAACCAAAACCTGCTGTCTAACAGATTGTCATCTATTAGGCTAAAACATTCCATTTTAGGACAGATCTGCCACAGCTTTAACGTCCTTTTACACGGTAGCTTGTGTGTGTGTGGGTGTGTGTGTGAATGCGTATGTGTGCGAGTGTATAAATCAGTGTTAATTACATCCCCTGACAAAGGATTACAGCTTTAGCCCACACACACAAACAGCTTCAAAACATTTCCTCCTGCTTTGAAATATGAATAAACTCAAATCCAAGCGTGCGCGTGTGTGTGTGTGTGTGTTTGTGTGTTCATCAAAGGTGTTTAACCCTTTGTGTTACCCCTCTGATGTGGTCTTGTCTCTATAAACAGGTAGGAAATGGTTCAGTCTTTCACTTTGATTCTCTGATGCTGACTTAAGTGAAACAGGAGGTTAAAAAAATCAGAGATATGATGTAAAGATTGTTTTTAATCTGCTGCTAATCTCACTGCAGTCACTGTTAAGGTGCGTCTCTATTGGTCACATTTAGTCTCTTTGAATTCACTCAGACCTCTGATCTGTTCAACAGGTGGGAACATGCAGGCTGAGCTGTTTTCAGGAGACTTCATGAAGTTTTAATTTAATCATGTTATTAAGGCATGGGCATAATTCAGTAGTATTTCTGTACTTTTATTTTTATACAGTATATATACTGTCTAGTTCAGTTTGCTGCTGTATTTCGTCAGTAAGAAGTCAAACTTAGGACCATTTAATTATTTCAAGATTTAAAGTTTTTAACCACTTAAAACGGTTTTAGCTGAATAATTTCATCAAATAATTATGTGTTGGATTTATAAGGTGACTGTCTCTATATAGATATAAATATAACCCTATAAATAAGAGTTAGTTTTATAGACATTGTTTTGCAAAGTAAATATGATCAATATTTGAAAGCGAGGCTCACAGGACATGCACAAAAAGATGTATTGCTTCTTACTTAAACCGTTTTCTGGCAAAAGAGACCCAAACCTAAAGTTAATATGAAATAAAATTATGATTTGTGTAATTTCATGATTAGTCAAGTGACTAGCTGAATAGAATTGGAAAATATAAATTTATCCTCACTTTTTAGTTATAAACTAGACAGAAACATGATAAGAAAATGGGTAACACAATAAGTTTGTGGCTGTGTGTGCCCATCACGCCGTGTTTACATATGACATTACTGTGTTTAAGGGGTAAGTGTATCAGTTCTTTCTTATTAAATAGATATAATATGGTTTGCACTGACTTGTCTTCAAAACACTACATAAGTGTGTTAACCTAAACCATAAAATTTATTAAAAACTTCTACCAAGTTATGAAATTATCAAAAAACAAACAAACAAACAAACAAAAAAACCCCAACAACAACAAAAAACAAAACAAAGAGAAATAGTTTCACAGTAACACAACAGTGAAGTCTCAGGGACACAAGTCTATATTATTTCCAATATAACTAAACTTGTGGGTGTTGAGACCATATGGTTGAGACCGAAGATGGGTTGAAAAGTTGGACTATAAAGTAAAGAAAAAAAATAAAGTCAAAAAAGAAATCAGACCTCTGAAGGATTATAGTCCTGTTTTATGGTAAACTGTAGTGTCAGAAAGCAGGGACAGATCGCATATTTATGTTTTGTGTTCCTCTGTGTATTAACCATAGGCTACTTTGCTCAACAACATAATACTAACTGGCATGCGTTTTTAGATTTATAACAGGCGGGATACGAATAAGGCACTCATTTTGGGAAGCAGTCCCACTTCATCTTTAAAATATGAGCATGTACGTGTTTGTTCATTGTTCATTGTTCATTAACGAAAAAACGATCTCGGGATTTTTTTCCGGGTAGGAACCTTTGCGCGGTTTGCATAGCCTATCGGATACATTTTGCGAACGCGCGGTACGTCTTGGTGAAAGTTCCGTAGTTTTAGATTACATGCCTGGATTCTAGGACTTCAAAACATACAATAAATGAAGACTTTCACATCTGTGGAGAATATGATCTTCTGATTGAAGGGGGGCTGAAGGAGCTGATTACAGGTCAGTTTAAAAAAGCGCTGAAACGAGAAAAAACTGACTTTATTAAATGAACATATTTACAGAGTCTTAATCCACAGCATCATCTCTCACATATTTACACAAGCTTAAGGGTAACAGTGAAATTTACCGCAGCAGCACATGTGACTGAACACCATTCAAATAAGATTTTACGGGGTGTTATATTCACTTGGAATTGTTTGTAGATTATTTACCTTCTGTGGAAATGTTACCCCATATTTTTAGAGAAAATCTGAACCAAAGTTTCTCATGGTCTTTTCTTAATCTACGAGTTTAGCTCCTTGATCCTCGACAATTAAAGCATTTATATAATTTGTCAAGAAAACACTAATAATGTCCTTTCATGACTCGTTTAGTCTCAACCCAAAAGTCCAGTTCGGTTCTAAATTTGGTTTCAGATTTTCACCCTCACCCTTAAAAAAATCCTGATCCAAACGTATTAAACTTGGAATTATCAAAAACGGCTTCAAAATACAGTTTAAGATTTTTGAAACTTTGAATCAAACGAAAGCAAAATTTCACTGCCTTTCTTTGGGCCACATTAGACCAGGTCCTGATTTAGAATCACAGTACTTGGCCTTATCAAATCTAAAATAGATAATTGAAGAGAGTCCTAAGACTTTTTCCAAAATCAATTTTTTTGATTCATACAAATTTTATTGTACTTTGAAAGTTCAACACAAGACAATTTCGATGTGTAATGCTCTTCACTCACAGCTCCAGTAAGTGACTCTTGGTTTGACTCAGTTTTGGTGCCCCCAGGTGGACAAAGATGTCTCTGCCTTGTCCTCTAAATGCTTAAACAGTGGCCGTGTCTCATTTCAGAGACCGCACCGTCCAACGGCGCATTTGAAGTGAGCGTGAGGTCATCACGTGGTGCGAACAGTGACCCATTTGGCACGAAATGCTAAGCGCGCTTCGAATTCGGTCTCAAAACCACACTACCCCCGCCCCTTTTTCAAGCATGCATTTATGCACGCTTTCGTGCCGTTGGTATCCCAGAATTCTTTGCGTGCTCAGACTGTATGAGCGCATGATCTTTTAACTTACTAAAAATTGCGATACGCTGTTTGAGCTGAGCGTCATCACAGTAACTCTCGGCGACTGGGCGGCCGAATGTGCGCATTGCTACTGCGCAGCGCTGGTTTCAGGAAATGAAGAAAAATCCTGGAAATATCGAGAGCTATTTGTCATCAAATCTGTACACAGGCGGCAAGCGGAACCAAGTTGTCCATAGTATATACAGTCTATGGTTTTCTCACACAAAATGTCACCCTGCTGGCCTCTGACTTAGATTTATGATTGCTGTAAATATGTTTAGGAAATAGTTACAAGGGACAGACACAGACCCCCTCACATCAGTTCTCGTGTAAAAATTAGCCCATAAAGTCTGTCAGTCTGGTCCTCAATGGTCTTGTTTGGCAATGGGTATCTTGAAAATGCATCAATATAAATTTCAGTCTGTTCTTTAAACCTGAAAAACTCTTTCACAGGAGCTTTTGAATTTGGATTTAGAAAATGGAGACTTGGTTTTTTCTCGAACAAAAAAAATCAAAGTAATGAATCACCTGAAAGTTATGATAAACTTTAAATGAAGATTCAGCAAAAATGATCCTAATTCCTTCATGAGGTTAGAAATCAAAGGATTTTTACTCATTTTGAAAAAAAAAAAATCAATTTTCCAAAAAATGTCTGCTTTTTATAAATTTATTAAAATCTAGATTTTTTTTTCAAATTCTCATTTTCAGTTGTAAGCATTTTATTACAATTTAATGAATTAAGTATGTGAAAGACCTTAATTATTTGGTCCCTGTTTTATAAGGATTTTTTTTTGTATTTGACTGCTTATTTGTTCTCTTTCAGCTCTAAGAGGTCAAAAAATAAATGATCAATCAAACAAACAAATAAATAAAAAACGGTCGATTCTTTTTTGTTTTGATTTGACAGATATTTTATATCCCCTCTCTTTGTCTTTCTTTTTCTCCTCTGATTACTCCTTTATTTTTCCTCTCTCTCCTTCAGTATGGAGCTCTCCTCGTTACTTAATGAACTTCGTCTCTCCTCCTCCGCCTCAGAAGAGCCCCTCCTCTCACCCGCTCTTCCTCCAATCACAGAGCTTCTGTCTCGGCTGCAGGAGAAGCTGATTGGTTTGTCCTGCGACTCTGAAAAGAGCTCTCTAATTAGCCAAGTTCAGAATCTTTTCCTAACAGCTGATCCTGATTGGCTGTTCTCTGCAAAAGCCAATCAGAATGCTGGGCAGCTGGAGCTTCAGGAGGCGTTTGTCTCTCTCATCTCTACTCTGATTGGCTGTGTAGCTCTGCCGCTATGTGAGGATGACTGCAGCTCCCTGCCAGCCTCAGCCTATCAGAGCATCCCGAGCAGAGCTGAGCTGGTATGCTCCGCCCTCACTGCGCTGTTGAGAACTCTGGGAAACAGACAGGTTGGGAGTGGTCTGCTGCTGGCTATGGCTCCGCCCATCTGTGTGTTCGCTGTCACACATTTCCAGGTGAAAGGAAAGAATTCTCTCTAACATCAGACAAAAACAAACAAATAAGTAAAGGAGATGAGGATGCTGATGGTGAAGATTTGGATCTGTCGCTCTCTGTGCAGGATCAAGTGTGGACCAGCTCTTCCTCCCGAAAGGCGGCTCACAACCTGCAAGAGGCACTGCTGAGGGCTGGGGGCTGGAGGGACCCTCCCCACCTCCTGATGGGTGACAAGGGGGAGGAGGAGGGAAGGAAGAGCAGAGGGATCGTGGGAGGAGTTCTGGACATCCTGCAGCCTCAGCTGACCAAGTGAGACACACCTCACCTGATGAATGGGGGGTGGGGGGTGTAGGAGAACATGAGACAAGAACGATATTGAAAATTAATTTCCCTCAATATCAAAATAAAATATGGTCAATATCATTTTCGATAGTCAGCATTCTGCCATGTTTTGGTAGACAATACGAATAGCCAGTGAAAAGGGGAGTTGCTCCGGGTCCGCTTCGCCCTGAACCAACCATGTGCTGAATTAGAACCAAGTAGCAAACAACTGCGTAGTAGCAGGCTGCAGCTACACTCAAACATAACACTCTAACATGTAAAACCGACAACACTGTTAGTGAGAAAAAAAAAAAAAAGAGTGTTACCCCCCGGCAGAAATGTAGATGAAGGCTTAACAGATGATGACATCGTCAACAACACTGGCACAAAAACATCGGTGGTGTGGAGGTATTTTGGTTTTTTTTGAGGTTGGACTTGAAGCAGCGTAATGTGTACTGCAATTTATTATGTCAAGTACATGTTCTCACAAAGTCGTGGAATACCTCAAATCTTTGTACTACCTGAAGCAGTGCCATGCAGCAGAGCACTTGCAATGCAAAAGGTTACAAACCCTGAGCGGAGCAAGACGCCCATGGCACCTGTGCAGCTGAAACAGCCGAGCATTCAGTGCGCTTTCTCTCGTGCAACCATAGACTGTATATAGAATGGACGCCGTCTGCCTCCTCGCTGGGTGAAGCCACTCTGAGAACAGCACCCTCTGTTGATGGGCTGCAGTATAGGTCATAAATCCCGCCTCCGCTAGCAAAGCTTATGGGGCTGTGGACCAACTTTAGAAATTTATTACACAGAACATAAATTTTTCTCCCCCCTGCTTGTGATGTTGACATGTAGTTACAATAAGACTGGTTTGTGCTCAAGTCCTCTTTTTTCTGTGAAGCTCCGTTTTTAAAAGTTATTTGGGGGTTCATGTTTTCTATGATTGACACCTGATACAGACCTATGGGCGTTCAGGGATTGCGTAGCTCTCCCGGGGGATACGCTGTTTGAGCCGAGCGTCATCACAGGGACTCTCTGCGACTGCGCGGCTGAATGCGCACAACGCTACTGCACAGCGCTGGTTTCAGGAAATGAAGACAAATCCCGGAAATACCGAGAGCTTTTTGGCTTCAAATCCGTAAACAGGCGGTAGGCGGAACCAGGTTGTCCATAGTATATACAGTCTATGCGTGCAACGCCTTACGACAAAACGTCAAAGAGACAAAAAGACCTCACATTGTATTGTAAAAGACATGCTACCAATAAGCACTGTGAAATTTCATTTATGAGTAATAGGGAACATTTAAGATCGACAAGTGTTTTTATTAAATCCTGATATCGATATCGACTGATATGAAACAAATTTTATCCTGATAAAATTTTTCCCAGCCCTAAGTGAGGTCAATGATCTGAAAACAAGCTGTGATTCAGTTGACTGTAAGTTTCCTCTTTTAATGTGTCTGCTGCAGAGAGAAATGGTATCGCTGTGAAGCAGTGAAGCTGGTGTTTGCGTGGACTCTCCTGCAGGTCAGTTTGACATCCATATCTGTTGTGTTTTTATAATGATTTTATTATTTTTAATGGCAAACTGTCTAAAAGATTTTCTGCAGTCAGTCTTCTGAAGTGTTCAGGTGCACTGCTTACTGTTGGTCACCTCAGATTCAACTAGAAGTGGGCTCGGTGAATCAAAGAACTATGAAGATGTGTCTATAAAAGTGTTAAATTCTGTTTAATATTCACTCAAGTTTATAACGAGATTAAGATTAAAACCTGTAGAGAGACCAACTGTAGGAGCAATTTATGAGAAGTACTTGTTTGACCACTAGATGGTGGTGTTGCTTCTTAGTTTGACCTGAAGAGGGTAAGCGCAGTCTGTGTTACAGGTGAAGGCAGCAACATGTACTTGACATTATGAACGTGCAGCTGACTGGACTTTGAAAACAAATCACCTTCACAAGAGGCTGTGAGAAGGCTTTTCAGACAGCCTCTACAATTCAAGTCCAATATAAAATTTATCCAAACATATCCAGATGTTTGAGATTACAGTATAAAGATAGTCAGTCTTATTGCTGATGATCTCATTTGCTTTGGTTTATCTTGAGAAGACACCAGTGTGAACTTCAGTGTATTTCATAAACTTAGAGAAACTCCTCACAGGAGCTTTAAGAGTAAGTAGAAGCTGGAAAAATGTGCTTCAATATAAAAGTAAAAATTCAGATTCTGTGTCTTTGTGTCTCACTGTTTTCTTCGATGTTTTTGGTTTTAGGTCTCAGATAAATTTCCCTGTCTTTGTGCAGCAGTGAGGAGATCACACATTTAGTGGTTTGTTTCTAACTTTGAGTGTGTGTTTGTATTTTGAGCAGGTGACTCGCCCATCTCTCTCACCTCACCTGCCCCGACTCCTCCCACCCTCCCTCCTCTTTAACGACCATGTAAAACCGGAGAACTGCATCCTGGGAGTTTCCTGTCTGCACCACATTGTGCTCAACACGGTGAGAAGATGCACACACAAACATGTACACACCTTTCCCAGCTGTTTTAAACTCCCTTGTATCGAAGAGGTGTTCCTGTAAGATCAAACTTTGGCCCTAAACATGACCTTTTGGATTTCGTTGGCAAACAGGCAGAAAAAGTTTTGAAGTTGCTCTTACAGAAATGAAAGTCCTGCAGAAATTAAGCATGGCGTAGGTTTAAGCAGGACTTTCAATTCATCACGTGCGCTGGATTAAAGGATCACCTTGTCTGTGCAGACTGAAATTTTCACAGAGGAGCAGTTGTTTCAACAGTTATCTTTTTAAGCTGTTATCTGATAATACTGACATTACCACAATAATATACCGACTGTATGTTTGTGTTCATTTACAGCCTGCTGCAGATCTAGGTCTGTTCAACAGAGCAGAGGTGATCTACCAGGCTTTGTTCAAACACATGTACACATCAGAGGCTGCAATCATACAGGTAACACACACACGCACGTATGCACACACACACACACAAACACTTTCATGTAGAATTTATAACTACAGATGAATCCATCTAGAACATGTGACACATTGCATTGTGAGACTTTAAATACGTGTGTGTCTGCAGCCGGTCCTGTTGTGTCTGCTGGACCTGCTGTTGGTTTTAGAGAAGTCTCCTTCCTCCCTCACCTCCTCCTCTTCACCAAGGAAACCCTGTCGCCATGACGATGTGCTGCGTTTATTTCTGACACACATGGAGGCAGAGCACAAGGTGGCGCTGAGACGCGTCTACGCCTCCGCTCTGCCTCTCTACATAGACAGGTGAGTTTGATTTACACAGCTGGAAATCAGGTGGGCGGGTGGGGTCATTTGTGTTGCAGCTGGGCCTCAGGGTGTCTTTGTTGTGTCAGGATGGGCGTGTCCGTGTGCAGACACCTGCGGCGGCTAGAGAGGGTGGTGCTGGGATACCTGGAGATCAGGGATCCACCTGAAGAGACGAGCCGGCTAAAGATCTTGGAGGCGCTGCAGAAAACCATCAGAGCAGCGTGGCCACGGTCTGAACACACACACACACACACACACACACACACACACACACACACACACACACACACACACACACACACACACACACACACACCTGTACCTATTGATCTGATTATCAGGACCCTTATTCGGCATGATGCTTCAGTGAAAAGTAAACTCTGACCTCCCCTGGCCAAATGTAGAAACTGCAGCTTCTGTCTTTTCCTTTCAGGATGGTGTGTCGTGTTTCTGTGTTGCTGCGTTGCCTGTTGAAGTTGCTGCTCGATGTTTCCTCAGACTCTCAGCTTAGTGACTCGATACGACAGGAGCTCATGAACCAAACGACCTTCTGCATCAAACAGCTGGACATGATCTCTAATGGAGATTTACAGGTAAGTCTCTTTGCAAGGAGTGCAGGAGGTGCTATCCTCTTTCTGCTGTCAGATATTGTTGTCATGGTAACGGGCTCTTTGAAATGATATTATTACTTGGAGTAACACAGTTATATACTGTTTACATCATCCCAGGACCTGTTAGGGGTAAGTTGAGCCAAAGAGTAAGTTGAGCCACCCCCTGTTGCTTGGAAATGGTAAAAGAAATTGATCATGTGACCAAATATTTAGGAGATGGGCATCAATTCCTGGAGTCTGTGAAGGTTAGAAGCACATGGGTGAAGGGGTTAGACATTTATTTACAAACAAAAACTTTCTCACGCTTGAAAGTGAATTTAGTCTGCCATAAGTTTTATTAGAATTGTGTTCAGACCAAAAAAGATCATTTTAAATGTGTTTTATACATCAATTGTGGAATCTATAAGCAACAACATGAGGTTAAAAACTTAGCATAAAAGTCCATTTTAGCTTAGAGGACTAATAAAGTCATAGTAGTAGTTCTGGGGTAAATTGAGCCAGTGAGTCAACTGAGAAAGTAAAGGAGTCTGATGAGAGGATCAGAGTTTCAGTTCAGATTGTTGAAATGTGTTACTTTTTCTTTTCAAAAATACAGCTGTGACTGTTCTGAATCACTTTAAGACATTCTCATGTTAAAATGTTTTTTTAACAAAACAGATTTTTAGCAGTTATATGCAATAATAATAAAAATCATTATGGTAGCAGTTGAATAGCGTGTAATAGATAAAAATAACGAATGTGAAGAAGTGACTGTTATTTAGGGAGAGAGAAGGTGAGGGAGGGCTGGGGTGGAGAGTGTGTGTGTGTGTGGGGGGGTAGTAGGGATACGGCTCAACTTACTCCACTCCTATGGTAAACTTACCCCATACACGGGGTAAGTTGAAGTAGGAGCCCTTTTTTTTTTTGCATGCTATATTATCAAGACAATTACGTTTACACTCATTCTGTTGTTGCACAACATTTGAAATATATACAGATACATGAGTTAGAGACAAAACTATGATTGCCTTGCTTTAGTGATCTGAAATATGAAAAATGGCTCATCTTACCCCGCTCTTTCCTATTTATTTTTGTCCTCTGTAGTGGACAAAAATCTCAACTGACAGGAGGAAAAATTAAAGAGAAATTACTAAAAGTTATTTGGTAGTTTGACTTTGCATGTTAAGGACCAGTAAAATAAGGTATTTAGTCACCAAAAGAGTAAAATATATGACAGAAACACTGAAATCATTAAGGACGCTTCTCAAAATCCTGGTCTTCAGATCAGGTCTCAGAGGTGAAACAAACGGCACACACTGAGATCAGATTTGGTCTAACTTTAGATCTGGTTTTGGTCTTACTCTGCATCAGACTCTGACTGACATGTTATTGGACAGTTTGAACTGTGTTGATCACCTTTAATGCCATCTTTGGAGACGCTCACCTGTCTTTGTCTGTCAGCCTCTCCTCCAGCAGGTGGACAGCAGCTGCTGCAGTTCTGAGGTTCTCAGTTACCTAGCAACAATCACTACAACAACATAAAGGCGATGATACAGCACACCTGGAACTCCCTGAAGTGAGACTGAAAGAGACAGAGGGAGAGAGGACAGAGCAGCTGTTTGCCTTACAGGGGAGACTGAAGGTTTATGTGGGAATGAAAGGGAAAGGTTTGATTTCTAAAAGCAGAAAAGAAATCAGCAGAAACTCTGAAGCGCTCTTGAAAATACAGTTTATTTCAAATATAAATATGAATTTCATTTACATAGAAAGATTTAAATATATCAAATATGGCTGTAGAAAGTGTTGTCAGAAAGGACATTTAAGTGTTTCCCACAGAAATATTCAGTCACAGTGATGATCTTTGGTTTCATGAGTTCTTCTAAAGCTGACTGGCATCACCTGAGGTCCTCTCCTGTTAGTCTGAACTGTGGAGGATGTCTGTGCTTTATGACCCCGTGTAAATCAAGTACGTTTGTGATTTGTGAAGAAAGAATTTAAGCTTTTTCCCCACCAGATGTCAGGAGATGTATTGAATTCTCATGAGTTTCAATTCATTGAAATTCTTTTAAGATTGGGAAGTTTTTTTTATATATATCCCTCCTTAAAAGCCATCAGACTCCATGTGTCATATACCCAGTGTGTGTATGTCTGTGTGTGTGTGTGTCTGTTATGGCTAGTGAGTGAGCAGAGAGTCCAGTCGGTCCAGTTTGTGTTTCAGTCCCAGTAAGCTCTCCTCAGTCTCCAGTCGTTTCAGATTCAGGTTGTCCTGCTGATTCCACAAACTGCAGCGCAGACGAGCCTAGAAAAGCGAATTTTCAGCTGTTACTGAATTTCCCTCACCTCAACATTGTTTCACAGAAATCCTGCAGCTCTTTGTTTTGTTCTGTTGGTGTAAGTCAATAAAATCAAACTTTGTGTGGAGTCAAAACCATCAGACAGGATTTTTCCTTTTAACTTAATATCTTCACTGTTTGCTCCTGTTATGGGACTTTTTTTTAAGAGTTGGTTTGCCTGGATTAATTAACATATTTGTTTCTTGTATAAAATGTTTGAATAAAATATTTACTTTCAGATGATCCTCTTGTTGTCTCAGTTGTTCTCTCTGCAGCTCCACCTCCCAGTGCTCCTCCTGAAAACACACAGGGATAAAATACTGTATCTTAGCATGATTTTACATCTAATTTAAAGGGATATTCCGGCGAAAATTAATTTAGGGTCAAACACACCGTAACACCGAGTTAGACACCCCCTCAAGAGATGAATGTTGCCGGCCACTTGCTTCTCTAGTTATACCAACTTTAGTAACGACCGCAGATAGTAATACACAGCGGTCTGAGGAGCCATAAACAAACCTCAACCAAAAAGCCACTCTATAGCCACAGATAATGCTCAGAACAGAACCTAACTTTATGAACAGTACATGTAGGGTCCCAGCCACAGCACTAGCCATCAAACATCTTTTTAGTTTTCCCTGATTTCTTTAGCAAAGAGACCAAACACAATTCACCTACTCTTTTCTGGCCACCGCTTGTTTGTAGCGAGACCTTGGTCTATTGTATCATTGACTACAGCAGGGGGACGCAGCTCAAGGGAGAACATTTATGATCATTACTTTATCATTTCGTTGAAGTAATAATCACTATATTAATCATTTTGCACGGCAGATGTGGTAGTTCTTCTGCCTTAGCGTCTCGGCCTGATTACATTTCCATGAAATGATCAGAAATGTTTTTCCTTGAGCTGCGTCACCCCACTGCAGTTGGGGATGGACTCATCTGAGGTCTCACTACAAATAAGCAGCTGCTGGAAGAGAGTGGGTGAGTTGTGTTTAGTCTCTTTGCTAAAGAAATCAGGCAAAGTTAAAAAGATGTTTGGTGGCTAGTGCTGTGGCTAGGACCCTATATGTACTGTTGATGAAGTTAGGTGCTGTTCTGAGCATTATTTGTGGTTATAGAGTGACTTTTTGGTTAAGGTTTGTTTATGGCTCCTCAGACCGCTGTGTATTGCTATCCTGCGGTCTTTACTAAAGTGGGTATCACTAGAGAAGCAAGCAGTTGGCAACATTCATCCTCAACAGGGTGTCTAACTCAGTGTTAGTGTGTTTGACCCTAAATTAATTTTATGCCGGAATATCCCTTTAAGAACAACCTGAAGGCCCTGGTGGTGTTAGCCCCTCTCTGATGAAGGCGAGCACAATTAATCCTTTTCATTTGGCACCTGGGTGTATCTTTGTTACTGACGTGCATCAGAAAAAGTTTAGGAATGAAAATGAGAAAAAAGCACAGAGGCAGAGACAACAACACACATCTGACTAACGATAAATGAACTCTGTGCCCCTCAGCCTGTTACTGTATTACTCCAATTTTGAGTGACAGATCAGAGACAAAGTGACAGTTCACTCAGAGCAGTTTGGTCCAGTCAAAGTCTCTGTACCAAAAACAATACATATGTATTGGTCAGAGTTTTATTGATCAGTGAGCAGAGTTATAGAAATCATGTAACACTTCTGAAACTAATGATAAGTGATGTATTTAGGCTTGGTTTCTTCTCCTTTATCAAAGTATAAAAAGGCAAGAAGATTAACCGTCAAGAGTTTTGGCACAATCTTTCTTTCCACAATATTTATATGTAGGATGGAGGGTCCCTGTCAGTCTCCTTTCCTCGTTTATCATCTCCAGGATCATGAGAACTAACGGTTGTACCTCCATGATATTATACTTTTCAACTGAACCCTGAAATTTCCTCCATAACTTTATATCCTGTTTGCTGTCCAGGACCCAGGACTCACCTCTGTACTGAAGTCTGATCTGAGTCCAGCTATAGACAGGTAGAATGACTCCTCCTCCTCTTCATCTTCTTCTTCTTTCCTGCTGAAATCCTTATCCCACAAAAACACAGCAAAACGTTTGTTGAGAAGAAATGAGTTTAAAGAAAATCTAAATGATTTGGTTTGTTATTTATTATTTTAATGATTTACCTCAACTTTTTTGTGCAGTTCTTCTTTCTCGAAAAGCCCCTTCCCTTTCCTCTGTAGCTCCTCCTCTTTTCTGATCAGCCATTTCTCCCTCTCACTCAGCTCCTTCTCTGACCAGTAAGAATAAATCAAATATTCAGTATTTACTCTGTAGGCCTCAGTGACCTGAAGAGACCCTTACATGATCCCAGAGTGAGGATGGGCAGATACACTCTGATATGACTGAGCAGAGTGTTGACTAACCGATCTGGTTTAGTTCCTGCAGCTGGGCATTCAGACGCCGCTCTCTCCCCTCCAGCTGACACACTGCAGTTTGAACATCCTCCAATCCAGCACACGATGCCTGAGAGAGACACAGACAGAGAGGAAAGATCGTAAGAAGAGCTGAACAGAGGAACTAGTTCAGTTCATGCTTAATCCAAGTGTTGCTCAGTATGAAAATTACTACCCTATACCTGTTACTTACAAGTCTACTGACAGCAGATCAATTCAAACTTAGCATGTAGCCTGTAATCAGGCCAAACAGTTGACATATTTTACTTGTTTGTGTCGTATCTGTCCGTCCAGCTCCTTCAGCTGTTCTTCTTTCTGCTCCTGCTGCCCGCTGCACACTTTCACCTCCTTCAGAGCAGAAAAACATTCATCATGAAGAAACTTCACCTGGTAAGAGAAAGCAGCCTCTCTGTGTGTTTTTACCTGCTCCAGAGTCTGCAGCTGTTTCTTTCTCTCCTCCACTCGTTCACTCAGCAAAGACAGCAGCTCAGAGTTCTCTGAAACACGAACCAGACATAAGTTTAAGCGCTGATGTTCTGCCCTGTCAGTTGTTGAGACTTGCTTTTTGGTAAACTGCTTCAGCTAAATCGTCCCTTGGCGTGAGTTAAGTTGAATCTGTGTTCTGATACCATTTAGCTGAGTGTGAACGGCTGCTGACTCTCTGTCCACCTTCTGTTTGAGATGACTAAGCTCCTCCCTCTGTTTGATAAGCTCCGCCTCCACTGCTGACAGACTCCTGAGAAACACCAGCAGACACACAATAAAGAAATGCAGATTACAATATAAACACACAATTAGAAGTTCCTTTTTTACCAACACATGTTCACACAGTTTTTATATGTTTATAATGAAACTGATCTATTCATCGTACCTGTCTGCATGTCTGCGTCTGGCCTCCAGGTGTTTACACTGCTCCTGTAAGCTGCTCCTCTCCTCCCTCCTCTTACTCCATTCCTCCTGAACCTCCTGCACAAAAACAAAATATGATAATCAAATATTATTTGATTTTCATAACAAACTATTTAAATGTCCATTTTATTGGACATAATCTCATCAGTTTTTTTTTATCCTTGTATCGATGATCTTCAAAGTCATATTTGAATAGTTTTAAGTGTTTTCTTTGAAATGTTTTTCTGACCTCTGTAAAGATTTTTTTACGTCTTGTCTAAAGCACTTTGAATCGCTCTGGTGCTGAAATGTGCTCTAGAAATAAACTCTATTGAGTTTCTTTTTAATTTAACAGCATATCACAACGCATTTATGATGTTCAGCTTTCAGGTCAAATCTCATCTGTGAACGATGGAGTGTGCAGAAAGAAAATCTATCTCTACCTGCATCTTCAATCATTCCCGCTCACCTGCAGCTCTGTCTGCTGTTGTTTTGTCTCCATCAAAAGTCTCACTGTCTCTTCCCTCTTTGACTCCACCTCTTGCTGCAGCTCAGTCAGCTCTCCTCTTTTCTCCTCCACATCCTCCTGCAGTCTGTCCACTTCATTCTTCTTCCACAGTGCCTCCTCTCTCATCTTTTCCAGCTCATCCTTTTTCTTGTCAGCTTCATCTTTTACCTTGAACAGCTCATCTCTCATCTCGTTCACCTCAGCCTTCTTCCTGTCCAGTTCATCCTTTTTTACGTCTAATTCATCCTTTGTCTTTGCCAGTTCCTCTTTTGTCCTGTCCACCTCTTCTTGTATTCTGCCCAGCTGATCCTGCTTCTTGTGGAGTCGCTCGATACTGTGGGTACGTTTGATTTGCACATCCTCCAGTGCCTGCTGCTCTGCAAGTAACTCCTGGAGTACCTGCTTTAAATCTGGAAACAAATAACTTTAATTAACTTAAATTAGTTTATGTGCAAATGAGCTGCCTCTTGAAGACGGTAACCCCCTAGACCTTAAAACAATTTGCAATACTAGAGCTGTGGTTCATTATTGTGTTTGTGTTGTTACCTGCTCTGTGTGTGCTGAGATCAGACTGCACCGTGATCAGTTTCTGCTCCTCCTCTTTCAAAGCAACGACTGTGGACCTCCGCTCACTCAAAAGCACCTCCTGCTGCGCCAACAGCTCCTGCACAGACACGCACAACAGTTTGCTGATAGACGAATTTACTACGATTAAACTACAACTAACTTGTCGTCTGTCTCTTTTAATCATTTACATGTATCGCATCTTAAAAAAACCTTGTGGCGTCTTGTTTTGTTCACTTTTTCTTATCAAAAGCTTCTGAAGGATGGAGTCTATTTTTGGGGGTAAAAGTCAGGCTCCCACAGGTTGTCACAAACTGAAAGCTTTTTATACTTTTGATAAAACCTTTGTCTGTGCAGTAAAAAGAACAATAACATCCCTCCTGCTCCCCTCTGGTCACCTTGACTTTGTTCTGCAGTAGTTGCTCCTCCTCTCTGACCTCCTCCAGTCTTCTTACTGCTGTTTGTTGCTCCTCCTTCTCCTGAGATAAAATCTGTTCCTGCTGCTCCACCTGCAGGAGGTCAGAAGTGTTACGTGTTTTCTATAACTGCTCACTGATCAGCTAAAAGACACAGAACAAATGGTCCAGAATGGGAAGAAGAATAAAGGGGAAAAGTCTTCTTTAAATCTTATCTACTAGATTACAACTTTCATGGATTGAACTTTATTTACAGCAGCCAGTGTGATTATTTCTAAGACTGGAAAAAAACAACACCAGGCAAGTATTCCAATCAAGTAAAGCCTCAAAGTGGTTGACTGGTATCAGTCCTTCAACTGACAGTGGTGATAATAATGGAGCAGGTCCTCTGATGGCTGATATATAATGCTGATAGTATGTTGTTATTGTTTGATCAACTGTAAAAAATTTATACATAAATGAGGAAAACAAATTTGCATGAAGGAACATTTGCTAACATAAATGTGGACTTAAAAATATTGGCACACTAAAATATCATTACATGACACTTACAGATTTCTGTCTAGCTGTTTTTAATTATGAGAAAAAGAAGAAAATACAAGGTAATTATGTACAGTAGGTATGTATGTGTAGTTATGTATTATTATATCACTATTCCATGCACATAACAGTCTAATAAACATGGTGATCTTTGCCAGTAACATGTTTTAATATGTAACAAATATTCTAACATGCCAAATATTCTGCTGTATTTTGAGGCACATTTTGAAGATAATGTCTTCATTTTTCCTGAAATTAATAAGTCTACAACAAACTATTGAACACTGTGTATGTTGGTGCCACATCATTGAATTATGTGAGAACAATAGATGACATAAAAAATTTAAAAGATAAAAGTTACCTGACAACTGACTGAGTGCAGATGCTTTTGAGACTCCTTAAGTTCTGACAGCACATGAGTCAATCTGAACACACAAATACACAAACACAAGGGTCAGGAGTTGAATAAATGGCTTTATTCAAAATGTGTCCTGATCATAGATTGTATATATTATGGACAACTTGGTTCTGCCTTCCACCAGTATACGGATTTGAAGCCGAAAAGCTCTCGGTAATTCCATGTTTTTTTCTCCACTTCCTGAAACCCACACTGCGCAGTAGTATTGTACGCATTCGGCGGGAGAGTCGCCGAGAGTCGCTAGCATGATGCTCGGCTCAAACAGCGTATCCCCCATGTGCCCATAGGCTGTATCAGGTGTCAATCATAGAAAACATGAACCCCCTAATAACTTTTAAAAATGGAACTGCACAGAAAAAAAGAGGACTTGAGCACAAACCAGTCTTACTAAAACTACATGTCAACATCGCAACCAGGGGGGGGGAAATATATATATATTCTGTGTAATAAATTTCTGAAGTTTGTCCACAGCCCCATAAGCTTTGCTGGAGGAGGCGGGATATATGACCTATACTGCAGCCCGTCACCAGAGGGTGCTGTTCAAATGGTGGTTTCACTCAGTAAAGAGGCAGACTCTGTCCATTCTATATACTGTCTATGGTCCTGATCTATAGAAGCTTCTCACAGCTGATGGTCTGTTGTGTACCTGTCTGTAGCTGAGTGTATTTCTGTTCCAAACCTCTGAAACTCCTCTCTTCTGCTCCTCAGTGCCTCCTTCACCTCCTTCAGAGAGCCCACCTTTTCCTGCCTCCTTCTCTCCAGCTCCTCCACCTCCTCCTGCAGCTCTCTGAGGACAATTAAAGCCAATGATGAAGATGATGACAAAGAATCAGAAACCTTTATCTGAGTCTGGAGGTCAGAGGTGGATCAGAAGGAGTTCACCTCATTTGCTGTGTGGCCTCCAGCAGACAGATGGCGCTGTCCTGAGCTGTTTGCAGCAGTATGTCGGCCTCCTGCTGAGCTGAACTGGCCTGAAGTGACCACAGGAGCAGGATCAGATTATTTGTCATGAGTGAGGTACAGGGAGAAATGTTACTCTGTGTGTGTGTGTGTGTGTGTGTGTGTGTGTGTACATGTGTGTGTGTACCTTGTCTCTGGAGGTGTGAATGCTGCTCTGAGCCTCCAGCAGCAGCCTGTCAGCCTGCCGAAGTTCAGCTCGTCTCTTCAGCAGAGTTTCTTCCACACACTCCACCTCATCACACACCTGCCTCACGCTTCTGTACACACAAACACACACACACACACTGAATAATGAGCTGGGTCCTGTGTGAATTTCCCTTCAGGGATCAATAAAGTTCTTCCTCTTCTTTAGACCAGTTTATTGATTGTTAAAAGTCAACTGTGTCTCCATCCCTCTTTGGTCGGTGTCCCCCTACCCCCCATCATGTCTCTTTTCAGACGTCTCAGGTTGTTTTTGGATTTGAGGTTGTATCTTTGGGAAGATTGTGAACACAGATGTTGTTTTAGTCATTCAAAGTAAATTAAAACAAAATGAAAAGAAGATGGCATGTACAAGATAAAAGTAATAACAGGATCAACACACACAATACCAAAAACAAACAGTTAGCATAAAAGAAGTTATAAACTGTGGGTGAATAACCTGCTTCGTCGCAGTTGTCTGGTTTCCTTTAGCAGTTTCTTCCTCTTTACTTCCAGTCTCTCTGCTTTTCTGTGAATACACTCACACTCACACCGGTCCACCTCCTGACACACACACACACACACACACACACACACACACACACACACACACACACACACACACACACACACGCTTAAATAAAAATACACTAATGAAGATTGCATAAATTTATCTAAGCTCTTATGAAATAATTGACAATACAACAGTATCAATTTAAATGTGGTGTGAGAAGTTTTTAAAATGCTACTACTATAACATACTTCTCTGAGCTATATCTGTATTAGCTGCCATTTGGATTTTGTTCATGTTATTTTCAACTACAATTGAATTATTTGATTATTCTGCTGATGTAAGATGATATTGTCTTGATGTTTTCAGATCCATCCCTCATTAACCCTCAAAACAAATTGAATACTTTGTTGAGTTTTTTTTTTTTTTTTTTGTGGTTGATGGAAGATAAACCAGATTTCCTTGACTCAACCTCACCTTGTCTTTGTGTTCTGGGATGTTACAGTGCAGCACAGCGCCTCCTGCTGGAGAGCCGTAAACAACAGCTGAGGGTGATTCATAAAGCAGCCAGGCAGGTCCCACCACAGGAGTGTGACTATCAGACAGCCCAGCAGGAGCAGCTGTATCTGGGACAGGAGGAGAAGGAGGGGGTGTGTGTCTTCTGGGGCTCCTAGCAGCGTCACTGCCTCCTCCGCTGTCCCTCCACTCTGCTGCTGCAGCTGGAGACGGTTTTACAGGTTAGGAGACGCCTGCACTTACACCTACACTTACATACCCACTGTTTTGTAAAAATAGGGTTAAACATGTGATTGTACCTGTTCCTGAGTCAGTGTGTGCTGGAGGAATGTAAACCCAGTACCCTCCTCCTGTGGGCGGTCTGTCCTGCTGTTGCCCCCGTTCAGGAGAGGTGAGGTTATGCAGGCCCAAACCAGAGTCCTGAGTCCCCTGAGAATCCAGACAGGGATCCTGAGAGACAGAGAAACTTCAGTGTCACATAATGCATGGGTTATCCCATTTTTATTAATAACTTTTTTCACTTTTGTTTCTGACTGCCATGTGCAGACACTCACGGCTGATAACACCACGCGAATAACATCAGTGTGTGTGTCAGTGTTTAAGCTTTACGAAAAGCTTTAAAGCCTCACGCTGTGTCCAGGAGGTATGAAGCACCACTGTCCTCCATTTCCAGTCCTGGTCCTGGTCCTGGTCCTAGTCTGGTCCAGCTTCTTTCTCAGTCTGTGTGTGTGTCTCTGAGCTTTGGTCAGCTCAGCTTTCAGCTCCTCTACGTCATGTTTGTGTTCAGACTTCAGTGTGGGTGAGTCGACGCTGACCTCGTGCTCGTCCGTTGAGTTCTGACACAAACAGAAAGAAAAGATTCTCTAGTGAACTTTGACGGTTCAAAGGCAGTTTTTTTCTATTTTTAGATCTGAATTAAATGAAAACAACCATCAAATGTTTTACATAAAAACACTGACTGACCATGATAATTTCACTTTTTAACGCTGATACTAGGTAAAAGTGGCCACATGACACTAAAAAACCCCACTCCATCTACTAACTGTCAACACTGAAAGACAAAAGAGAGCAGATTGTAAACTGCTAAATGAACGGCATTATAAAAACCCATAAAATACTGAACTTAAATGCCACCTTCAAGACAATGGAGCATTTGGTTTCCATTTTCTGCAGCAAATATTCAAAGTATGTGACGCATTTCACTGCAACAGGAAAGAAGACCTTCAAAAGAAAAGAGGTTCACTTTGTATGTACAAGACATGACAGGAAAGAAAGTCAAGGTATCACTTTGTCCACAGAGGGCGCTAAACCATTTCAAACTGAAATTTCCACAGGAGAGCTTTCAATAGAAATAGCTTTTATGTGGCTCTCCTTAAAGCCACCGCACTGTATGGAAAAAAACATTTTAAAATAAGACATTAGAGATTAACTTCATCAACCCAGGGGGGCCTTTTAAATTAACCACATAAATAAAATTACATAGAACTGACATTACCTGCTCAGAGTTTGTGTGAAGCAGCTCCACCATGTGGTTCAGATCACTCAATTGTTCAATGGCTGACTTCAGCTGATCTGCAGTCAGCTGATTGGAATCATGCATGGAGCTGCTGAGCTGCTGTAGCTTCTCGTTCAGTTTGTGGATGCTTCGCTGGTTTTTGTTGCTCTGTGAACGCAGCTGAAACACACCACATGACAGTCACTCCCATAATGCACAGCTGCTGTTAAATATAGTTGTTATCTTCTGTACCTTCATCACTACAAAACTTATCGGCCCCCATTTATCAAGCTTGCATACGGCAGAAAACTTACGTACACCTTGCGTATGTAAGTTGCGACGGTGCAGCAAATGTCTGTCTCAAAATAATTGATATACAGACCTCAAACCTGTCATTAAGCACAAGCAGCCAGATTCCATTTAAGATTAAGACGTAAATAAAATGAAATAAATTTGTTATGTCCTTAGTGAATAGGCCTATTTGATAACTCGCTGTTTTAACATTGCGCACACATGCACACGAGCCACTGTGGAGCGCTGCATTTGACTCCTAAAAGGCAGGTGTCTCTGTCTTGGCCCAGAAGCGGGGACGTTGTTGTACACTTCTGAAAGGGTGTGGGACATCATTTGGGCTGGTACAGGTTTGCACAATGTTGCACTGGTGAATGGAGTGCCGTTGGCTGTGCCGGTGCAACATGAGGACCTGATGCCCGGAGAACAATAACGAGGAGAGACTCCACAGAGGTGCTGTACAGAGGAGACAGGACCTTATCCATGGATTCTGACATGTAAAGTATAAGTTTAGAAAGTGCTCTTGCTATTTATTCAGTGATAAAAATCCAATAGAAATTCCATAAAAATGTGCCTCAGGGGCAGCAACACACCGTTTGGTGAGGTTAATAATTATTTTCGTTCAGCCTCTGTCAGACTCTCCAGTCTGCTCTACATTACAAAGAAGCAACAAATTAAAACTAAATACTTTCAATAATAGGCGTAACGTACCCTATGTCATGGCAATAATGTTTTATTCCTCTAGCCTCTCTTTTAGTCTACTCTTTTCAGTATTTTACTCCACTTTAGTCCTAGAATTATTATCTTACACTTTATTTTTTATATCTTGTCATGCTTTATCAGCTTAGCTTCAGCTCCTGTGTTTCCCCATTTTAGTTTAAGATAGCATTTCCTTGGTCCTCTGTGGCTTCCTGTTGAGCCCTGACTTGGTGTCCCGATGGTTGTGTGTGTGTGTGTGTGTGTGTGTGGGTGTGTGTGTGGGTGGGTGGGGGGGGGGTCTCTGTTAAATGCGGGCTTGGAGGGTGGGTTGGTGGGTGGGGTTTTTGCAGTTTGTGTTTTATTTTGTATTTTATCTTGTATCCCCTGATCCTCTCCTTCTCGTGTACAGCCCTTTGTGATACAAGTTTATGTATGAAAAGTGCTTTATAAATAAAGTGATTGATTGATTAAATAAAAAGAATATGAGGCATGTATGAGATATTAATTTATCATCATAAGCAACCTATTGACTAATAATTTATTCAAACTTTAGCCACTGTCCGCTACTCCGCGGCAGCGCTGTTCACTGCCACCATAATCCTGCTCCAGACAGGAGTTTTCTGGACTGCTTTTATACCAGTTTTGATGCTTCCAAAGAGAAAATCCTTGTTAGTTTCCACCACAGATGTGAGGATATCCACTTTCAGCTCGGAATAGTTTCTAATCTTTCTGATATTTCTCCTCTTTCATGTTTGACCTCAGTGGACGAGGCTTCTGAACCACGAATATTTAAGGGCGTAAACATGTTAATGATGATTGATTTCAGCCGCTGCATTTATCAAGACCCGGTCATACGTACGCTGGGATTGGTCAGATACGAACCATTTCATAAATCTCACATTCATCCTATCATACTATGAATCCTGCACTCAGATCTGCGCTCAGTTCTACGCAAGCTTGATAAATGAGGGCTATTGTGTGTTTAGAGGATCAATGACTTGTGTTACACTATGACTGTAGTGTGTCTATTCTTTTTGATATTTTCACAATTGATTTGTACTTTTATTCTTTTTATTTTTATACTGAACCTTTATAGACTGAATGTTTACCATAGCACTGTGAACCCTTAAGTAAAGCAATTTCAATTCTTTGTATGTGTTACACATATTGCAGAACTGAACATAAAGCTACTTTGAACCTTGAACTCAATGATTTTTAAAAGGAAGCAAAGGAAGAGTAATGAACTTTTCTAAAAGGTGATTTATGTATGTTAGTGAAGGATACATGACATACCTGACCCAAAAGTGTGTCTCTTTCCCTCAGAACATCCTGAAGCTGCACGCGGCTCTGCTGCAGCTTTGCCTCCTGCACAGTATAAACAAATATCATCATTTTAGAAAAAACACACAATAACTCATTATCACAGCAACGATTAAGTACTGGTATGTTTGTGCAACATGTGTTCAGATTTTTGGGATGTCAGAGAAGTTGGTCCCCCTCGAAATATACCTGGAAAAGGAAGGGATTGTTTTATACTCTGTGTTTGGGAATGATGCCCCCTCAGTGCTTTCATATACTTAATGTGAAAGCGCTGATTGTTAAGTTTGCAATATTAGGTTTACAATATTAGCTCCAGAAGTAAAATGGTATAATGGAACAACTAACTTTAAAATCCACTGGTTTTATCAAACTGTTAGCATTCAGGAGATAAACTTTGTGTGATTCCTGACATCCCATAGCTTTCTGTCCTCCAGAGAGGGTCAGTGATTTTTTGGAGGCTGTTAAAATCAGATGGTTTACACTCACCAGTTCCTGCTGAATATGTCTGTTTCTGCTCTGAGACTTCTCCAGTCTGCCTCTCAGACTCTTCAGTTCCTCTTTCTGCCCCCAGTTGGACTCCTGATCCTGCTCCACACCACAGATCACCTGGGCCTCCAGCTGAGCCATCTGTTGGGGCTTGTCCCTGCAGGTCCTGCTCTGCTCGATCACTCTGTAGAGCTGCTCTACACTCCTGGACCACAGGTCCTCAGGACTGACAGGACTATGATGAGACAGGACAGTAGACAGACACACCATTTGTATGCAGCAACCTTTATGATTATACACTTCATCAGTTTTACTGGTGGTCTAATGTCTAATGAATAAACACTGGTGACTTTAGAGTGTCTCGATCAGAGCTGAATGTTTCTGTACCACCTTCACTTTTCTACCTTAGATTAGAAAGAATGTACACAACAACCTGAAGCTTTAGTGCCTTTAGCCTCTTTGCTAACAGTTATAGTTTGCCTTCCTGTGGGTCAAATCAGCCATGCTCCTGCATACAAACGGCCATAGCAGGTATAGCAGGTATCACATGCATTACAAAAAAATGCATTAGGTGGGAAAAGGCAAGTATTCTCCTTTGAGAAGCAATTAGGAATCCATTAAAGATAGATTTATGTATTAACATTCAGTTGTTTTGCGCATGGTGCTTGTGACTTGAAGAGAGAATCTTTGCTCCCCCATCTAACCACAGGGGAATTAGCTCAAATGGTAGAGCGCTCGCTTAGCATGCGAGAGGTAGCGGGATCGATGCCCGCATTCTCCAGAAGACTTGTTTTCATGTCCCTCTACTGTGTGTGAACACACCACCAAACTTACACTCTGGTCAGAGGGGTAGAGATCAGAGAACACCTTCAGTATTTACCCCTATAAAAAGTGTTCAGAGGTAGGCTGTTGAATTGCCCTTGAGAGATCAAGTTGGCTGATCAAATCAAACTGGACTGAAAAGACTTAAATACTGTAAAAACTGCAGGTGACAACAACACCTGCAAATGATATGACTGCTCCCTCTTCCAAAAGAAAACTTTTCGATTTCATCCGATAATGTAAATATCTTATTTTTACATAAAAAAAACTACTGACTGTTTGTGCACATAAGTCATAACCCATCACATCTGTAACTGAGGGTGAACAGAGGAAGTTCCCTGTTTTCAAATTAATCTCTTTGTCTTTGGAAAACAGCAATCTAGTTTTCTACCTGAGGAACTGAGACGTTAAACAAACAATACTGAGGATTTTACTATTAAATTCTTGCTGACCTGTTGGAGGCCTATGGTAGTACAGAATAATTAGCTCAAATAGCAGATCACTTGCTTAGCATCTGAGGGATGGTGGGATCCATGCCCGCTCTCTCAGAACGATTTTCCACTCTGGAAATATGTTCAGTGATTTAGGACTCAGAGCTAACCTGTTTTAACTAACCAGAGACCTTACTGACAGCAAACAAAGTCCCACACTCAGTAGTTTGGTCAGCAGTGGGCTGACTTACTCAGCCAGCTGACACACGCCTGCTCCTGACCTTTGAGTCATGTGACTCTCCTGCTCTGGTTTCAAAGGTCAAATTTTATCTCACTCTCTGCTCGGCTGTCTGGCTCACCAACAGGATCCACATCTTGGACAACAAAATAACTGTGTTTACTATGACAAATATCACTCAGCTGCTTAGATATGAGATGTTTACAGCATATTAACCTACAATATGATGTCCAGACAAAGTCCCATAAATGATAGAGCCATTGAAAATTAAAAGTATGACAAGCTGGCTGCACCTTCAGTCCCTGTTGCCCCAATTTTGTCTGAGTGGTTAAGGTGATGGCCTGCTAATCCTAATCCATTGTGCTCTGCACGTGTGGATTCAAATCCCATCCACATTGGAGGGTTTTGGTGTGGGTGAAACTCAGAAACTGAAGTGTACTGCATCCAACGTAGCTCATGGTATTCAGTCATGGTGGATGACTTTGAAACACAGACCAAATGGAAAATAAAGCAAGTCTCTGCCGTGCAGCTGTCTGGAAAAACATTAACAAAGTACAACAAAGGCAGTAATGTCAAACCTCTAATGTTTCTACAACAGAGCAGCTCTTTGGGGATCAATGTTTTACTGTCAAAGAACTGGCTGAGTAAGGGAAATAAGAGAATTTCCTTCCTGGAGGGGCTGAATACACCAACCAGCTCCAACAAGGTCGTTAAAGTGAAACAGTCAGGCAGAGAAAACCTGTTGGCCAATAAAATATGTTAACCAGGGTACAAAAACAATACCAGGTTTCAAGTACTAGTACCTGTATTTGCCTCCATCAAACTCATCAGATTCACTCTGGACCCCCTGAGAATCCAACAAGGATGCTGTGAGCTGGTCCAGCTTAAGTCTGCTCTGATCTAGCTGGATCCTGCTGTCTTTGAACTGGTTTGCAGTCTGGTTTAACTGGGCTTTGGTCTCGTCCAGTTGGGCCTGTAGTCTCTCTTTAACTCGCTGGAGAGACTCCTTCTCATCCTGCACACAGACATGTGTTTTATGAATTTCAGTGTGAGCCCCTCTTGACCTTTTCCAGCTGGTTTAAGTTCTGATTTTGAAGATTAAAGAACTTGGCTCTCTGACCTGCAGGGTGACGATGAACGACTGCAGCTGAGACTCTCTAATCACTCTGGTCTGTTTCTCCCTGTCAACATCAGCCTGAAGAGCATCACGCTGCAACTATAACCACACAAAACAAAAAAAATTACATACAAACAGTTTCATTGTGTTTATCAGCTGGATAAAAGTCTTTGGGACTGTCTTTTGTAACCCAACAGATCTTCCAGGAAGATCTGGAAACAGCTCTGATCTGGTTTGTTGCACTTAAAATTAACAAGCTATGATGTTCAAGATTCTACTTCTACATATGACTGCATGCAGATACTCAAAGACAAAAACTAATACGCACCAGGAGCACTGAGTTGTTTATTGAGTAATGGTAGACAGTTAAATTTAAGAGTCACCTGTCCCTGTCTGATCTGTCGAGTTAACTCCTCCCTCAGCTGCTGAAGCTCCACCTCTAGCTCAACCTGCTGTCTGCTGCTTTTCAGCTGCCTTTCTCTCAGAGTCTGGGCCTCCATCCGTAAAACAGTCAGCTCCTCCTGCTGGATGGACATGTCCTGAAAAAAGACAAACAGAACAAATGCTCTTGATAGAAAAACACAGTATAACACTGCACCATTTCTCCTCCTGTCACCTGCATGCACACACCTGTCTGTGTGTTCTGGTGGTGTCCTCCAGCTGACTGCAGCGTCTTTGAGTCACCTCCAGATGTAGCTGCAGACTCTTGTTTTCAGCCTGCAGACTTTGAACCTGCTGCTGAGCACTGCGAGCCTGAAACACAAACAGGACTGCGTTTACAGACATCACATCATCACTCAACCAAGAAAAACCTCAGGAGCTGAATGATGAAGCCAGAGTGGTAGTGCCAAAAACTATAGATCCTTAAATAGGAGTGTTTATACACCTGCTCCCTGAGTCCCCTCAGATACCCCTGAAGTCCAGAGATGATTCCCTCCAAGTCCCTTTGAAGAGCTTCATTAGCCAAAATTTGACCTGCAGCAGGAGGAGACGACAGAGCACACATTTATGACACACCTTTGAAAACATTTTTCAGCCAATCAAAGGGCTCCAATTTAAAAGAGATTTCATGAATGGATAGTGGTCACCTTACCATCAGTCAGCTGTTGCTCCAGCTCTTTTATTTCTTCCGTCTCCATGGCAATGCGTGACAACATGTCGCTCAGGCGACCCTCAAGCTCACTCTGCTTCCCACTCATGGTTGACAGCAGCTGAGTCAGACTAGATAACCTGGAGGCCACATAAGCCTGACAGAGATGTCAGCCAGTTACTACAGGGTTCAATAAAAAAGTGTTATTGTGTTTAAGTGTTAGTACTGACAGTGCTGTGTCTATCAAGAGACATAGAGGCTATGCCATATCTAAAGCCTACGCTACATTAGCTTAGCAAAGGCAAAAGGACACAGCCTCGAAGCTTTGTGATAACCAAAGAAAAGACTGAAGTCAGCACTGTGGGAGCATTTTGGATATGCCAAGAATGACCAGGGAGGCCTTTGTGACGACAGATAACACATCTGCAACACCTGCCCCTAAAAAAGTTGCAGTTAAAGAAGAAGAAGAAGAACTTAAAGGTGGGGTGGGCAGGATTCCATTAAAGTAGCATCTTTTTTTGTGGTGTATATACGAAAAAGCTTTTAATATCAGTCAATAGCTATTAGTTTTTGAGGGCATTTGGTAATATCACAATATCACTGTGTTTTGTTATGTCTGTGTAGTCAACATTTTTAAATTTTTTGAGTGGCCCGTTCATTCTGACTGTAAACAAAGCCATTCTCCGCCTCCCCGAACCTGATTGGTTGTGAGGTAGACACTGCGCCTTAGTGCTGATTGGTTGTGAGGCAGACGCTGCTCTCCCGTGTCGTTCATGAGCCCAAACAAAGTTAGCGTGCTACAACATTGGACAGTAGAAACCAACCAGAAAGTACAAAAAATTGTCTGAATCGCCTCCTTTCAGCCACGACTGCCAACACAAGCAATAAAACATAATAAATAAATACCGGCGGCATAACGGGCGCTTAAAACAGAGGGAGACCGGACAAGAGCTAAAAAGCTGGGTCATCATCAATGGAGCATAAACTATGGAGGAGGCTTTGGGGTCTTCCGGACCCTAGCCAAGTGTCTGTAACAGAAGTGTTTCTTGTCAAACGGACCTGCTGTAGCGTGTTGTAGCACTGTTAAACTGTTTACCTCGGGTCCCAGAGTATGTCACTTTATCCTAGTTGTAGAAGTCTTGCAAACATTGTTTTTGCTGGTAGTCTGTTGGCATCTACAGTAACACCAATGATTTTTAATTTCACATCGACTGGGCCCCATTTGTAATTATCTGAAGTATTTTTCAGCATTATATCTGAATTTAATGGAAACGATAAGAGCGAGCAGGAGTCTATTTGTGGGCGGGGCTTGCTGGAGCAGAGAGGGAGGGGAGAGGAGGAGCTGAGGGGAAAACTGTTTGGGAGGGGTAGAGTTTACAGTCAAGATTTCTCCCAAAAACTGGGACTTCCTCAGATCCTGCCTACCCCACCTTTAATTGATCCCTGAAGGGAAATTCAATGGGTCAAACACATCTTATGTGAGGAGGTGGGTGGCTTGCCATCGAACCATTATGACGGGGGTGGGGGGTTGTTTACAGATTAGAGGCTACTTTTATTTAATTTCAAAGGACTTTTGTTAATCTATATTTACTATTTTTACTGTATCATTTGATTACTGTTATTTCTGTCAGCGATAAATAACACATTTAAAATTCCTGAAGAATGTTTATTTGATTGTTGTTGTCAAATTAATCAATGCATAATAATCATGATAACTGTGAAACAATGATTATTCCTCAGACTATAATTGTACAGTCAAAATCTATAATTGTTTCATCCCTAGTTTCTATCATGATCAAATCAGTCCTGGGCCCAGTTAAATTACTATCAATATCAATAACATTGCCTCCTCTATTAATGATTATAATAACTATCCTTATACAGACGACCCCAATATATTTTGTTCTTCTGACTCTACAGTGCTCGATGTTGAGAAGTAACCATTCTGTTTTAATGCCCTCCAAAACGCACTGATCAGTCTTGTACCTGGTGCCTAATGTTAGCAAATCTAAAAAAATGCTCTTTCCATGGCAAGAGAAGTTGATTTTAACCGTTTACAATCACCCAAACTCAGGTATGTACTTATGAAAGAGTCCTTTCATATGAATATCTTTGTGTCTGGTCTGATAAACCTTTACTTTTAAATCCATACAGAATCCTTTTTGCCAACTTCAGCAGATCATCAACTCTTCTATACAAACAGATCAAATGTTCCTGTTGTTGGAAAAGTGTTATTGAATCAGTCTTTCTTTCAGTTCTACATTATGGTAATATGATGTTCAGAAATAATGCTGTAGGTGCATGCAGTGATTAGCAAGAGTTTATTTAAACAACGGATTGAGGATAGTGATCTTGTACCTATTAGAGAACTGACGTGAGCAGCTGAGAATATGCTTGAGTGGCCTGCCCAGGTATCAACTGTGTGGTAAACATTAATATCTCAGAAGTCTTAAAGTTCTATCTTAAACCCAAAAAGAGCTTCTGATAAAAAGTTTGAAACTGTGTCCCCATAAACTGTCTACTGGGTTCAATCAAGAATTGAAGAGAAAGGTTAAGAAATGACCAGTAGACTTTCACTCTGCATTAGAACCAGATGTATTGTTGGAGGCACAAAACTATGGCAGAATCAGCTGGGGAAGGGGTCGGGGGAGTCAGGGCTGTGTTGAGAGACCCGAGCAGTGACAGCTGGAAGGAGGGGAATTAGCTCAAATGGTAGAGCGCTCGCTTAGCATGCGAGAGGTAGCGGGATCGATGCCCGCATTCTCCATGAGACCCTTTTTACCCTTGCTTGTTTTCACTGTCTGGCGTTGGAGCTGTCACTCAAACATGTTGTCCCAACCTCAGTGCAGATTGGACACATTTGGAGTAAATACACTGTAACCTATAAATACAGAGCAGTGATTGCTGAAAAAGTTAAGTACGCACTCAAAACAGCAACACTGATGACACTGATCACTTTTCCTTTCTCAGTTTAAACACAACTTATTTTAAGACACTGGAGCAAATGAAAAACCAATCAGAGCAGCTCTAGTTACCATATCTAGGTCTCTATTCTGGGGAAAGAAAGGGCTAAATATGATATGGAAAATGCAGGCATCAATCCCACTACCTCTCACATGCTAAGCGAGCGCTCTTACATTTGAGCTAATTCCCCTCCATGCATTCCTATGAGAGCCAAAGTCTATGACCCCCTCACCACCCTCCTTGTTCCCCCTCTGTGCTTCTGTATCCATAAGAGGACTCCTGTATCTGCAGCAGAGAAAGGGACCACTGTGACTTCATGTTTGAACACCGATCCTCATTTTTCACATCGCTGTTTGTTCATGTTTAGGTGAGGACTTTTGGAGCACACAATTTTAAGATAATTGTGTTTGGATGTAACCAGGTTTTAGCTGCTTTTTAAGTCTGCTAATTAAACCAACATTTAGAACAGAGAAAACAAATTCCCTCTATTGAGTAATGTAGTATCTCATGTCATATTTTGACAAGTTTCTCTTCACTTTGTTATTTATTGATCCTTGTCTGTACAGTGGGTCTTGTCCTGGTGACTTTGAATCCTCTGAGTAACCACTGAAGAGATGTCTCACCTCTGGGTGAAGCCGTGACAGAATGTTTGCCGTTAATGCAGTTCTTTCAGCATTTTTGCAGCACATCCTTTATATGCAATGTATTTACATCGTTGCAGTCATGTCAGACTTCTGCATGATGAATTTGCACCGTTTCAGATCTTGAGTTGCAGATCTTCTTGATAGCCACTGGACTATTAGGATGCTTAGCATTAGCTAACAAGCAGTCATCACTAAGCCAAACTAAGGTTGATGTGAAAATTGTTAGTTCAGCGAATAAAGCCAAACCTATTGGGCATGTTTAAACATCAACTTGATAATGATAAAGCTGAGAAGTCAGAAAATCAGTGTTATTAGTTTGTCCTCAAGGAGCATGACTGTCTGATTCACATCTTATCACAGTTTATTAAAAAGGTTCTGGAGACGTTTCACTTTGAAGCACAAATGTCAGGATTTACAGTGTCTGTATGTCTGCATCTAAGGGATAATGTCTAAATACAGAGAGATGCCCTCCCATTTCCTTTGCAGTGCATTGTGGGAAAGTTTCAGCCCACCCATAAAAAAGTGAATCAAATCTCTATAATAATATCCGTATGTTTTCAGAGAGAGCATCTCTTGGATTGTAGTTTGTTTAGTTTTAATTATACTCAGATTGAGTTTGAGTACTCACATCAGTTCAGTCTGTCAGTCCCCCCACAGACCACACAAGGCTGCTGGATTACATCCTTCGAGTTCTCCATTTCCTTCCTCCTCTTCTTTAACTCATACCAGTTCACAGCTAACAACATTTCACCCCCTCTTCCTTGTTCTGAATATTCTTCCTTTATACATCTGTTTTCTTTCTCTCTGCCTCTTCTCCGTTACAAACTTCACCTCCTCTCCTCCCCTCTCCAACCTTCCTTTGAATCCTCTCAGGAAATCTCTCTCTTACAGCCAATCACAGCCAAAGCTGTATTTAAGCAGCTTATATCCTGTCCAATCAGAGTGAATAAAAGCAGTGAGGACCCGCCCCTCAGAGTGGGGTTCCCCAAGGAGGAGGAGCCAAATGTTCTTAAACTGACAACAACCTGTTGCTGTTGTGTTTCTGCACAGTGTACATCTACAGATTTACAACAGCAGTTGTTCAGGAAAAAACTCACACTTTAAACTTTTCCCATCGCATTCTCTAGGCTCAACTTTTTATCTGTACGTTTGAACTTGAGGGGGAGAGTTCATATTCAGACCATACTGAGCCCTTTCAATCAAAAACAAAAACATTTTATTGGAGCGTCAGGCCTGAAGAAGCTTTTGATTGATTCAGCTGAGGTTGCTCTCATCATAACCTGACCATTGCATGGCACTTGTCCTCAGTAAATAATGAGCTCAAAAGACAAAGGATTAGCAGAGCACACTGGGTCAGCAGATTTTCCCCTTTTTGCCTTTAACTTTTCTGTCCTTTTCTCACACTGAATGAGTCAGTTGTCTAGTTCCCCCCCCGAACACAAGCTCTATGAGGAAGTGCGGCTTGTTCATCTTTACCACACTGTGATTTTGTGAATGCTTGTGTGTTTGTGAGTTCTGCTACAGAGCAGCTCCCTGCTGCAAACACGACGCTCTGCAGAAACAGGAGCATGAAGGGGGAGGGAGGTGAACTCTGACGTGGCTGGAAGATACACAGCAGACGGTCATGTGGGGAGAGGTAGGAGGCGTCAGTGCACTGGAGGAAAAATGACTGGAAGCAGTGAAAAATGACAGCAGGACAGAGAACTGGCTCAAATGGTAGAGTGCTTGCTTAAAGGTTGAGTAGGCAGAATCTGAGGAAGAGCCAGTTTTTTTGGAGAAATCTTAAATGTAAACACTACCCCTCCCAAACAGTTTTCCCCTCAGCTCCTCCTCTCCCCTCCCTCTCTGCTCCAGCAAGCCCCACCCACAAATAGACACTCCTGGTCGCTCTTATTGTTCCAATTAAATTCAGATATAATGCAGATAAATACTTCAGATAATTACAAATGGGGCCCAGTCAATGTGAAAGTAAAAAGCATTGGTGCTACTGCAGATGCCAACAGACTACCAGCAAAAACGATGTTTGCAGGACTTCTACGACTAGGATAAAGTGACATAGTCCAGGACCCGAGCTAAACAGTTTAGCGGCGCTACAACAAGCAGCAGGTCCCGTTTGACAAGAAACACTTCTGTTACACTTGGCTTACTTTGTTATAGTGGTTCACCTATCCAGCAGAAAGGTTACAGGGTCTGTAAGATTCTGAAGCGTTCCTTATCATTTATGCTGATGTTGACCCAGCTTCTTCGCTCTTGTCCAGTCTACCTCTGTTTTAAAAGCCCATTATTCCACCAGAGTCTCCGGTACTTACTTTGTTTTTTTCCTTGTGTTTTCCGTACAATCTGGTTGGTTACTGTCCGATGTTGTAGCACGCTAACTTTGTTTGGGGTCGTGCACATTATCGGAGGACATGGAACATGCCTCACAACACGAGGGAGCAGTGTCCGCCTCACAACCAATCAGGTTGGGGGAGGCAGAGAAAAGCTTTGTTTACAGTCAGAATGAGCGGGCCACTCAGAAAATTTTAAATGTTTACTACACAGACATAACAAAACACAGCAATATCATTATATTACCAAATGGGATACACATGTCATCTATACAGTGCCTTGAAAAATGTATTCACACCCCTTGAACTTTTTCACATTTTGTTACTCTATAAAAGGGTTGCCAGCTGTCCCTTGAAAAACGTAACAAAACGGAATCATCCCGTATTTAGAAACAAAAGTATGCGTTCGGTATTGAGCTGAAAAGGGATGCATCTACTTAAATTGTTTCACACACAGAAAAGGGCTTGAAAATTCATCATACTGGAAAGGGTGGAGGCAATCAGGCCCTGCCAGTGAGGTGTCCCTTATTTCTTTTTTGGGGAGTTGGCAAACCTACTCTACAACCACAAACTCAAAAGTATTTTATTGAGATTTTTTGTCATTGACCAACACAAAGTAGCACATAATTGTGAGGTGGAATGAAAACGATACATGGTTTTCAAAAATTTTAAACAAATAAAAATCTGAAAAGTGTGGTGTGCATTTGTATTCAGCCCCCTGTACTCTGATACCCATAAAATGCAGTGCAATTAATTGCCTTCAGAAGTCACCAGATTAGCTAATAGAGTTCACCTGTGTGTAATTTAGTATCAGCATAAATACAGCTGTTGTGTGAAGGCCTCAGTGCTTTGTTAGAGAACACTAGTCAACAAAGAGCATCATGAAGACCAATTAACTCAGCAGACAGGTCAGGGAAAACGTTGTGGAGAACTTTAAAGCAAGGTTAGGTTATAAAAATATGTTCAAAGCTTTGAACATCTCAAGGAGCACTGTTCAATCCATCATCCAAAAATGGAAGAAGTATGCCACAACTGCTAACCTACCAAGACATGGCCATCCATCTAAACTAACAGACCGAGCAAGGAGAGCACTGGTGAGAGAAGCAGCCATGAGGCCCATGGTCACTCTGGAGGAGCGGCAGAAATCCACAGCTCAGGTGGGAGAATCTGTCCACAGGACAACTATAAGTCGTGTACTCCACAAATCTGGCCTCGATGGAAGAGTGGCAAGAAGGAAGCCATTGTTGACAGAAAGACATAAAAAGTCCTGTTTTCAGTTTGCCACAAGCCATGTAGGGGACACAGCAAACATGTGGGAGAAGGTGATCCGGTCAGATGAAACCGAAGTTGAACTTTTTGGACTGAATACAAAGTGCTATGTGTGGCAGAAAAGTAATACTGCTCATTACCCTGAACACACCATCCCCACTGTGAAACATGGTGGTGACAGCCTCATGCTGTGAGGATGCTTTTCTTCAGCAGGGACAGGGAAGCTGGTCAGAGTTGATGGGAGGATGGATGGAGCTAAATACAGGGCCATCCTGGAAGAAAACCTGTTGGAGGCTGCTAAAGAATTGAGACTGGGAAAGAGATTCACCTTCCAGTAAGACAATGACCCTAAACATACAGCCAGAGTTACAATGGAATGGTTTAGATCAAAGAATATTCATGTGTTAGAATGGCCAAGTCAAAGTCCAGACCTAAACCACATTGAGCATCTGCGGCAAGACTTGAAAACTGTTGTTCACAGACGCTCTCCGTCCAATCTGGCTGAGCTTGAACTGTTTTGCAAAGAAGAATGGGCAAAAATTTCAGTCTCTAGATGTACAAAGCTTGTAGTGATGTACCCTAAAGAATTGCAGCTGTAATTGCAGTGAAAGGTGGCTCTGCAAAGTACTGACACAGGGGAGCTGAATACAAATGCACACCACACTTTTCAGATTTTTATTTGTTTGAATTTTTGAAAAGCATGTATCATTGTTGTTCCACTTTACAATTATGTGCTACTTTGTGTTGGTTTGTGACAAAATATCTCAATAAAATACTTCTAAGTTTGTGGTTGTAGAGTGAAACAAGGTTAAAAAGTTCAAGGGGTATGAATACTTTTTCAAGGCACTGTAGCTAATAGCTATTGACTGATATTAAAACCTTTTTGTACAGTATATACAGCACAAAAAGGTGCTTCTTTGATGGAATCCTGCCTACCCCACCTTTAACACGCAAGAAGTAATGGGATAGATGCCTGTTTTTTTTCCAGAGAATCTCCTAGTCCTTGAGCCGGACCAGATGTCGGTACCACTTGGGTGGGCAAAACCTCACATATACTAAATTGTTATTAGGGTCAATATTAGTAAATTAAAATATGATAGACTTTTCATAGGAGTAGCTTTTTATATTTTTTCTCATTTTGTTATTTTCCTCAATAGGCGAATTTTTGTTAACTCCAAAAGCAACACAGACAGTCAAAAGCACATTAAAAGTCATACTCTTTTTGGGTCACACTGCTTTTTTCTATAAATGAATCAAACCTGTGTCTAATTAAATGAGTTGATGAAGTGGGAGTGGCCCAATTTGATGGTGGAGCAGTTCTTTCAGGTATCATAGCACTTGAGCCAAGAACCAAAATTTCACATATCGGTACCACCTGGGTGGGCAAATTCTGGTTGTGATTTTTTTATTGCTATACATCCCTACAATAAGTTTTTATAGGATAGACCTTGGTAACTGGTAGCTTCATTGTAGTTATCACTCATTAAAGTAATAGAGTGCAGCTGTTCAAAAATGAAAAATCGCCTTCCTTCAAAATGAGCTTTCTTTCATTTTAACCTCTCATTTAGGTGTGTTTGAACTATTGGCTAGTCATAGAGACTTGTAGTAACCCCCTAAGTAGTATTCCAAGTAATTTATCTAATACAGGTGTGTATATATAAGCTTCAATTAGCCAATTGTCAGGTCTAAATCAAGGTCTAAATTAAGGATATTTTTTGACTTAGAAGTAGAAGTAAAATAAATGCAGACTAATAGCATTATAATAACACAACTTTAATATGACACTGGCATATTTTCAATGCAGGAACTCAATATATAATCATCCTGGCTGGTGCAGGGCAAGAAGACATTAGCAACAAAATACGATCTACTGATGTATACACTCTATACAATCATCTGAGAAAAACTCCAATTCCTATTCAAAGTCCTATTCTTTCCATAAGGAACAGTGACAGCAAATATGACTGTCAAGTTTTGGCTTAGTACATAATACTGTCACTGAGTCACAGTGGGTCTGTTAACATGGCTCCTTTTGGTCATCGTTTATTAATCAACATCAGTAATCGACATCAGTATCTGTATCTTCTTCTACATCTGAATCTGCCGGTGTGCAAGGGGCTCTTCCTCACTGTATTGGTTGGCACAAGTTTGTAATTTGCACAGGTTTGTGCACTTCAGCCCATTGCTGAGACAGGTGCAGTCTGGTGGTTTGCATGTCCTCACACACTTGCAGGATAGCAACTGCAAGACCGAAGAAGTAAAGTAAATGCAGACTAATAGCATTATAATAACACAACTTTAATATGACACTGACATATTTTCAATGCAGGAACTTGATATACAATCATCCTGGCTGGTGCAGGGCAAGAAGACATTAGCAACAAAATAAGATCTACTGATGTATACACTCTTTACAGTCATCTGAGAAAAACTCCATTCCTCCACCAAGAACTTGATGAGACTGGCTTTGTTGGCAGGGCTGCAGAGAGGTTTCCTCCACTGCTGAATATTGTGGCCAGAAACAATGTTTCTGAACTGGATCCCCATGTCTGCACCTCTGTTTAGTCTCTCTGAATTTTTGATTGACATGTCCTTGTAAACGTCAAAGACAATGTCAATCTTTTCACTATCACCACCTTCATGCAGGACCTTGGCTAAAGTTGAGTCCAGCCAGCTTACACCATGTCAGGATTGGGTATTAATGCAACCGATTCGTGCCAACTACCAGGTTGCTATCTGGAGACGGTCTCTTCATACCAAGCCATCTGTACCAAGCCCCAAGGACCATGGGTGGACCATAAATGACGAAGGGCAGCTGGAAATACAGTGGATGCGTGATTCCCCAGCACCAGATGCGGTCTTGCAGTTCCTATCCTGCAAGTGTGTGAGGACATGCAAACCACCAGACTGATCTTAGAAGTAGATCTTATTTTGTTGCTAATGTCTTCTTGCCCTGCACCAGCCAGGATGATTGTATATCGAGTTCCTGCATTGAAAATATGTCAGCGTCATATTAAAGTTGTGTTATTATAATGCTATTAGTCTGCATTTACTTTACTTCTTCGGTCTTGCAGTTGCTATCCTGCAAGTGTGTGAGGACATGCAAACCACCAGACTGCACCTGTCTCAGCAATGGGCTGAAGTGCACAAACCTGTGCAAATTACAAACTTGTGCCAACCAATACAGTGAGGAAGAGCCCCTTGCACACCCGGCAGACTCAGATGTAGAAGAAGATACAGATACTGATGTCGATTACTGATGTTGATTAATAAACGATGACCAAAGGGAGCTATGTTAACAGACCCACTGTGACTCAGTGAAAGTATTATGTACTAAGCCAAAACTTGACAGTCATATTTGCTGTCACTGTTCCTTATGGAAAGAATAGGACTTTGAATTGGAATTGGAGTTTTCTCAGATGATTGTGTAGAGTGTATACATCAGTAGATCTTATTTTGTTGCTAATGTCTTCTTGCCCTGCTCCAGCCAGGATGATTGTATATTGAGTTCCTGCATTGAAAACATGTCAGTGTCATATTAAAGTTGTGTTATTATAATGCTATTAGTCTGCATTTACTTTACTTCTTCGGTCTTGCAGTTGCTATCCTGCAAGTGTGTGAGGACATACAAACCACCAGACTGCAACTGTTTCAGCAATGGGCTGAAGTGCACAAACCTGTGCAAATTACAAACTTGTGCCAACCAATACAGTGAGGAAGAGCCCCTTGCACACCGGCAGATTCAGATGTAGAAGAAGATACAGATACTGATGTCGATTACTGATGTTGATTAATAAACGATGACCAAAAGGAGCCATGTTAACAGACCCACTGTGACTCAGTGACAGTATTATGTACTAAGCCAAAACTTGACAGTCATATTTGCTGTCACTGTTCCTTATGGAAAGAATAGGACTTTGAATAGGAATTGGAGTTTCAGAGAGTCTGTCAAAGGCAGTATTAGGAAGCAGCTAACACCATTTTTTGTTCTGTTTTAAGGTAAAGAGGAAAAATGGAGCACTGTGACAGATCCAAAACTGAGGAAATCTTTAACTATGTACAAACTCAGCAAGCCCAGCCTCACCATCAAGAGCCGCTACAGACAGATCTGGCTCTAAAGAGAAGAAACTCTCAGAAGGAGGTGGAAACAGAACCACATTACTTAACCAGCTGCCAACTGGACCAGGACACCAGGAACACGTATTTTCCTCAGATAACCAGCTGAATGATTAAACATTATAACCTCCATAACTGCAGAGTGAGGTTCAGTAATGTGTCAACACAGCAACTGAGTTTATGAGTGTCTGACAAGAAAATCGGATCCAACAGCATAAAAACAACCAAAACTAAACAAAGAGTTTAGATCTGCACCAGTGGCGATTGCTCTAAGACTGCAAGGGAAGCTCGGCTTCCCTTAAAATGTCACCCCCCACAAAAAAGAAAAAGTGGTGAAATACGTACTGCTGTGTGTACATTTCATTAACTAAATACGCACTAGAAAACCTTCATCTTTTGTTCAGACACTGTGATAAGAAGCTGATAATCACAGGTAACCGGCATAACTTCGTTCTCATTCATCCTCGCAGCGCCTCAGCGCTTTAAACAGCCGGACGCTGGGCTTCTGCTGACTTCAATGTGGAAGCTTAAAGTGGGTTGTTCCAGCAGCGAAACTAGACGCTCATTGGATAAATGCTGGGCTTTGTCCCGCCCATCGGAAGCCCAGCTTCACTGGAGTTCTATGGCGAGAGGGCGGTCCCGACTTTCTCCCGGACTCCAAGCTTCTGCATCCATGATTGGATGAGCTGTCTGAGGTGAAATCCTTTTTTGATTGACAGCTAAACAAGCGAATCAGCGATCTTGAAGAATAAAACATCTACCAGAGCATTTTCCAAGTTATTCATTCCGTTGTTCTTAACTGCTCCGGAGACCTTACCGATCCTCAGCGACTCTTGTCTTTGTTAAAAACGACTGCCGTTGTGTTTGGCGACTCTGTTCTGTTACATACTAATAAACAAATACAATTATGATGTAGGCCAGAAAAATGAGCTTCCCCTCCTTGAAAGACCAGCAGCCGCCACTGATCTGCACTGATCATATTTGTGTCTAAAAAAGAAAAATACAAAGGAGAGGTTGTTGGATGTTTACACCGGTGTAACTGTAGCTGTATGTTTTACTTTTACTATGCTTAGATTTAATTTGAAAGTAATAAGTTACCTTTTATTGTGTGTGTTTGTGTGTGTATGTGTGCATATTAACATACATCAATAGCATAAAGAAGAAGAAAAAGAGCAGTTGTGCGCAATATAACTTCATAACTTCACCAATAGAGGATTCACTCTCATTCATCACAGGAGCTTTTTGTCCTCTCAGGCCACCATAACTTCAATGATGAGAGTGAGCCAGGCACCATTTCAATCAACAGTCTGACTGCTATGAAAAGTTTAATATCTTTTTTCTGCACATCTCACCTTTAATAGGGATGCTAACAGTGAATGAAGTTGTGAGTGATAGATTTTTTTAATGTGCTCAAATATGAATGTTTATGTTCGATTTTCAATGAGGTACCTACATGAGAGCTTTCTGTGTTTCCTGCTGTCAGACTGACTGTGACCCTGGTGTGCTCAATCATGTGGACATACTGATTTTTCTCGATAGGAACAAGCAGGAAGAAGCCTGATTTTTTTCTTCTCTTCAGTTCTTCATGGAAAGCAGTTCCACATTTCGTAATTTGGGCCTCATTCTCTGTAAATTTTAAGTCTGTGAGGATCACCTGAGGCTGTTCTGTATGTTGATATTCAGCGTCTTACACTATTAACAAGCTTTGATAAGTTCTGAAGCCTTGTCCTACCATCAGTTACATACATTATGTTGTCATGGAAACTATGATTAATGAAAAAGCATTTATTACTGTGTTTGTCAGAGGAAAAGTCCTTTTTTATGACTCACATGTTGTGGGTCTGTGCTGTCCTGAGTAGGAAGCTGTTTCTCCATCTCCTCCCTCTCTGTCTCCATGATCTCCTGTGTCTTCAGGTCCACTTGTCCTCTTGTTTCATCAGCTTCATTACAGATCTGCTCCAGGGCAAACTAATCACCAAGCAGGAGAACCAGCAGCTCCTGAATAAAAAGAAGAATGATTCACTTCTCTAAGTTGTGTCCAAACTGTACTCTTACTCTAAAACTAATGCTCGCTTAGTTTGCGCCATAGGCTAATTAATATGATCTAATTTATCAAATTATTGCAAACACCATTAAGTAAAGTGTATTAAAACCGTGTAATTAACCAGTAACCCTGACTGTGTTGTGTTGCTATGTAAGGCGGCCGTTGCTGTTGTATCACCTGTTGCTCCTCAGTCATGTTGAGTTTCCAGTCGCGGTGTGCTTTGTGGTTATTAGCTTTGACAGCAGGCTATCAAATCTAACTCTTGAATAATTTATTACTAATTACATATTATCACCCAGCTGAAGTTTTCCCTGTCCATGACAAACTAAGTGACGCACTGTAACAGTCACAAACCCCATCCAGACAAAACGAGGAAACGGACACAAACGTTGGCTATCAAAATAAAAGCTGATTTTAAAAAAATCCTCCAAAATATCTCATACAAGACATATCGTATTACACTCTGCATATCTACCGTTATCATGCCGTATGTAAAATGAATCTCAAGGTTAAAAACAAGCAGTTGATTGAGGTGAAACTCCTTTATGTCCCGTGTTCATCCGTATGCCAGGGGCGGTGTCATGGTCAGACCTTTAAGGGGGCTCAGCTGCTACAGGGATTTATATTCTTTTATTGGAAATGTTCAGTACTTTTAATCATCCATTTCACTGAAAATTAAATATTTTCTTGCAAAGGTTTGTATTCACAAAAATACAAAATGATCTGAGTTTTATGGTGAAAAAATATCCCCAAAGAAAATAAAAGATTGAATTTGATTTTGAATACAGGCACAATTATATTTATAGATCACAATTATTATTTACTGTTTAGATGGTATTGGGGGAAATCTACATTAGATAAGGAGGTGATAAATATGTTAATTCATCAAATTCTCTTCACCGTGTTTTTTAACAGTATCAGACCACTTCTTTTGCAACCAGAAAAATTAGACAGCCCATTACTGATTGGACCTGTTTCAGTCTAACTGACAGCAAACTCTTACTGTTTTGATATTGAAACCACCTCCTTCATCTAAATGGTCAAAGCTGAAGGCAGTTTCCACATGGGCCTGAGTTTCAGCTGCTTCAAACACAGTTTTTTTTTCACACCAATGTTCTCAATCACGGTGGGTTGATGATAGCTCTCTGATGGTAACATTATGATTTTTAAATTTTTTCTTACTGCATATGAGGGAATTACAAGACTGCATGTGACAAACAATAAAAGAAAAAGTATTGTTGATAGCCAAAGATAATATGAAGTAGTTGTGCAAAGTGAATAAGGCCTCAGTTGAACATTTGCTTTCAATCTTTTTCGACTACTTTTTTTTACACTAATTCAGACTTGTGTCGTTTCACATTGTTTAATCTTTTCTTCACCTTTTTTCAAGTCCTCTGAGACAGATGTTGCATCATTGTGTTGAAAACATTTGTTCCAAATTTCAAGTTTAAACACGTCATTTCACAAAATTCATAACTGCAGAAAGACATTTTATTCATTCAAAAATATTAAGTTAGTTTTTGCTTTTACAGAACAGCTATTGAGCTTAAAGAGGAAAAACACACCAGTTGGCTGATAAAGAACACTATAGTACATAATAGAAATAAAAAAAAATACAACAAGACCTGATACAGACCCTGTGAGAATCCTGTCCTTGTCCTGTCTGCTTCAGTCTTTTGAGATGAATTTATGTTAAGCACAAAGTCTTCATCAGAATATCCTCGAAAGAAAAAAAAACACTGAGATAAAATGCTTCCTAGATTAAAGACGTGGTAGTTCAAAGGACTCTTCAGTTTGGGATTCATACAGTCATGGAACAAGAAAAACTCAAAACTAGCCTCATGTCTTTAACAAGTAGAGAAGTTGTGTTGGTGTTAAATCACTCAGAAACTTTGTGACTAAAATGTGACTCTGTGCTGAGCAGCACTTTTTGTTGTTTAAACTCAAAAGTCTTCTTTTGCACACAAAAGAAGATGATACTGATGCCAGTCTTAAGAAAGCAATATGTTCTTAGTCAGCAGGTGTTGGGGAAATAATTATGCAGCGCCCATGCAAATTTATTATCCTGCAATCTTACATTTTGTTGAATTCTTTATCATGTCTGTGTTGGTTTAGTACAGTCTTTTGTCACATGATGCTTTGAAAGACAAAAAGTTCTTCTACAGACCAAATACAGATGTAATTTTGTTTTCACTTAGAATACATCAAATCCTCTTTCATCATGACAAACCGAGATATCTTATATCAGATTTAACAGGCTGTTTTCGAATTGGCCTTCTGCTGACCGCAGTACAGTATACAGTACATACTGCATACTCCTCCTTCTTTCCGCATTATTTGTGCAAACCACTGACAAGAGTGCCATGTTTTGTTCCCATACCGTACAGTTTTTATCCTCTATTACCATTGCCTCAAATGTTCCTGCTTCTCCTCATCCTTTATACTGTATGGTATGCATAATGTTTACATCACAGCGCGTGCCATCAGTGATGTTTACATCACACAGCTGGACAGACAGCTGGCATTAGAGGCGACTAAAGCTTTAATGTAGAGAGGTGAGTAAACGTTAAAGGAGTCTGACTCAATCAGCAGCCAAGATGGTATTTGAAATAAATTAACAGGGGACAGGAGTTTGTATTACAGGGTTTTCATTGTAGTTGTCAAACTATCGGGACAAAGGAAAATAAGACCACACCACGCAGATGCCATCAATTAACATATTCAGGAAGGATTGCAACTTCTTTCATTTAAGCAGGAAACGATGGCAACATAAACATAACTTTGCTGTATTCACAGTGCCTTGATGAGAATGAAATGCTGTCAGATCGACGAGTCATTGCATGGACAGAGCACGTTTTGATGGCTGGTATCGGGCTGAAAAATCCCCCCAAAATCCAATTAAAACACATAAAAGATTTTTTCCAGTGGGTAAATGAATAGTCAACACTTTCGTGTCTTTGCTATAAACCAGGGTACAATGAACCTTTCCATACCAAAAACCAGCTGATCCGGGCCAAGCATACTACATAATAACGGCCGACTTGCGGTCATACTGCATACTAATGTCAAACACAATACTCAGTATGCAATATCTACTACATACTGTAGTCGGCAGGAGAATGCAGTAGGCCAATTCGAAAACAGCCTGTGAGAGACATGAGGTAAAATACAAGAGGTAATAAGGGTGATGGGAAACAGGTGAGGAGACACTATCAGGAGGCAGGTGTGACAAGATGGGAGCGGGGAGAGACGGGAGAGGAACATAACTGAAACAGGGACAAGGGTCAGTGACTCCAAAATAAAACAGGAAAGACAAGACATGAAATATGAATGTGACAAAATAATGGAAACTTAACAGACATGATACTCCCCCTCTTTCAAACCAAACTGCTTCTTTTCAAACTACAGCTGTCTTTCAGTCTTTTCACTCTGCTTCAATATTTACCCTCACGAAAGTGATTCATAAAATGAAACCCTCCTCCTGTGCTCTTGACATCATGCCTGTGAGATTTTAGAAAGAGGTTTATGAGCCAATCAGTTCATATCTCCTCTCCATGATAAACTCATGGCTGATAATTGGTACTGTTCCTACTGATTTAAAAAAAATTCACAAGTTCATCCAAGACTGAAGAAACCCTCAATAGACCCAAATTCTCTTCATAATTTTAGACCCATTGTGTAACTTCTGTTTCTATCCAAGGCTCCTGAAATAACTGATTTCCATTTTAAATAACAATGAGCTCCATGAGGAACACCAGTCTGGATTTAGGGCAAAGCACAGCACAGAGACTGAACTCCTTAAAGTCCTCAATGGTTTGCTGATTGGAGCTGATGCTGAAATCTTCTGTTTCAGTTCTTTTAGACTTGAGTGCCGCCTTTGAGACTGTCCATCATTTTATTTTACTGGACCATCTGCAACACTGGGTCAGCACTGGAGATTGTCACTCATGCTTTTGTCTCTTCCAGTTTTGACCACTGCAACTCTTTGTTCACATGTCTGAACCAACAGAGTTCACACAGGTTACAGCTGGTCCTGAATGCAGCAGGTCACCTCCTTTCTAGAACATGAAACAGAGATCCTCTAAACCCTATTTTAGCTTCACTTCATTGGCTCCTGCTTAGTTTGAAAATTGATTTGAAGATTTGATTGTAAACTTTTAAAGCACGCTCTGTTCTGACACCAAAGTACATTTCTGATCTCCTCACTCTATATCATACACCCAGCTCATAGGGTTTTGGTCTGCAGCACAAGGTGTGGTGTGTGGTGTATCTTGTGGACCCAGAAGCAGACACAGAGGCAGATTGCAAACTAAAGATGTATTTATTGTCCAACTCAGGGAAAAAAGGCACGAGAGAAAGTCTGGTTCGCTGGCTGGCTGTTGTGTGGGCTGGAGACACTGTGGAGAAACAGGGGAGAAGGAGGTGAGAAGACATACGAGGGATCACAGGGAGCAAACAAGTCACATGTACTTATCCGAGGAGGAGGCCAGGAGAAGTGTCTATGCCACTGAGAAGTGAAGACAATACTCAGGCGCTGGGACTGAGGGCTGCTGGCTTCTTAAAGGCCTTGATTGCAGATTCAGTGCAGGTGTGTAGTTTCACTCAGCCTCAGCGACCAGGGAGGGGGAGGGTGCTCTGGAAAAGATTCAAGCCAGACCAGGCAATCAAAGATAAACAGGAAGTCCAACCAAAATAAAACAAGAGGAGGAGGCGTCTCCCCACACAAGGGTCCTCATTATTTACATTCATCCACAATTGAGTGCATTAAGATCAATATTCAGATCCATCCAATAACATCATTAATATCCATTTGATTATTAGTAAACACTAAACTGAGACAGCTGTTAGAATATGGATTTCTTTATTGAGTTCATATTTAATAAATGTCCTTACATTAATTCTTACATCTGGATTACTCCTCTTGAATTTTTCTCTTTGATTTGAGTTGTAATGATTTCTAAAGCAGGTTTGTTGGTTAAGAGGTGATGTTCACTTTCTCTTCTGTTTGCAGTCTGCTGCTCCAGCTTTTCTGAGTCTTTCTGACAGAAACTCTCAGGAAAAACAACAACAACAACAAAAAGATTCAAAGAGCAAAGGCTGGCTGTTGGTCTGTTCTACAATACGGAGACTTGATTTGGAAAAAGACATTCATGTCTTCTTTTAAGGCAGCTGTCGACACGTTGGTCTAAAAAGCTCCTTCTACATAGACTTGAAATCTTGTCTGCAGATAGAGAGGTGAAGTAGTGGGCTCTCTTCTTCTAAATATGAATGAAGATGAAATGAAAACTCTCAGATGAACTCATATAAGTGTGCAAGGCTCTTCTTGGATCATTCAGAGTCACCCAGTGCAGAGGGAGTAGAAGCATCACAGCTGGAACAGCAGGTGGATTTCTCGCAGTTTGGGATGGACAGAAAGTGGAGCAAGGTCAGTGCATGTCCTCAAACAACCCCTCACCTTACCTGATCATGACTGACAGTTGTGCTGCTGCTCTCACTGAATGTAGCTGTGCCAGGAAAGCAGTAGAGCTCGGCTGATGAAGCTAAATGAAGAATATTTGATTTCCTTTGAACCCACTTATGCAGCCAGTATTTTGAGTCCATGTTTCTGACTGAGGGTAGATGTATGAAGGAGGTGTTTCTCTGTAGCTCTGAGGGTTTGTTTGATGGTTCACCAATCAAAGAGGGCAGAAAATAAAGAAGAGAAGACATTCCCATGTCAGTCGGGAGAGTTGATCCTGGTCTGTATGGATGAATGAAATAAAGGATCTGAAGGAGATTTGAATGTTGTTCTGCTCTGATCATTAAACTAGATGTGAACCTTCATCTTGTAATATCAGGTGAAATAAAGCATCTTCTCTGACATGGGCTTAAGGACTGTCAAACGTGTTTTGAACTTCAAATATGAGCCTATCTCTCCTGATCATCTCTGTTTTTAGTCTGAGTGTCTGAGTGATGTGAAATGACCACAGAGTCAGAATATCCAGATTTGGACCTCTTTCCACCTGGAACATTGGATAAGGTCTATTGTTCCTCATCTTCCATCATCTTCACCTCCCCGCAGACTGCATGTAATAAGCCAGGTTATAACCAATCAGAGAGCTTGTTTCATGGCTCATTTGCATTGTTTTACCTGGTTTTACCAGCACAAGGCCCAAAATGAGAGGGAAGGCATGATGAGCGGGGGACCAGACCAGAGCTGACCACTGAGCAGGAGACAGTTCCTCTGTGGAGAGATGTCCTGATCTCAGGGACTGTTGGATCTCCTCCACTAGAGAACGATCATTCAGTTCATTCAGACAGTGAAACGGATTGATGCTTTTCTCTGCAGACAGATCCTCGCTGATCATCTCCTTGATGTACCAGACTGTTTTCTGATTGGACTGTGAGCTACTTTCTGTGTGTGTCAGCAGACCTCTCAGGAGATCCTGACTGGTTTGCAGTGAAAGACCCTGGAGGAAATGCAGAAACAAATCCAGGTGTCCGTTTTGACTCTGTAAGGCCTGGTCTGTAAGGCCTCAATCATCTTCCTGCTCTCTGGACTCCAGTGTTGATCAGTCTCAGCTCCTCCATCATACTTGATGTTCTTCATTTTTGACTGAACCACCAGCAAGTGGATGTACATCTGAGTCAGGGTCTTGGGCAGCTCTCCTCGCTCTCTGGTCTTCAGCAGATCCTCCAGCACTGTAGCAGTGATCCAGCAGAAGACCGGGATGTGGCACATGATGTGGAGGCTTCTGGATGTCTTGATGTGGGAGATGATTCTGACGGCCTGCTCCTCATCTCTGAATCTCTTCATGAAGTACTCCTCCTTCTGAGGGTCAGTGAACCCTCTGACCTCTGTCACCATGTCAACACACTCAGGAGGGATCTGATTGGCTGCTGCAGGTCGTGTGGTTATCCAGAGGCGAGCAGAGGGTAGCAAGTTCCCCTGATGAGGTTTGTCAGCAGCACATCCACTGAGCTGGACTCTGTAACATCAGTCAGGACCTGATTGTTGTGGAAGTCCAGAGGAAGTCGACACTCATCCAGAACATCAAAGATGAACACAACCTAGAAGTGTTGAAAGCTGCAGATTCCTGCTTCTTTGGTTTGAGTGAAGAAGTGATTAACAAGTCCCACCAAGCTGAACTTCTTCTCTTTCAGCACATTCAGCTCTCTGAAGTTGAATGGAAATGTGAAGTGGATGTCCTGGTTGGCTTTGTTTTCAGCCCAGTCCAGAGTGAACTTCTGTGTTAAGACGGTTTTCCCAATGCCAGCCACTCCCTTCGTCATCACTGTTCTGATTAGTTCCTGTTTTCCAGGTGAGCTTTTAAAGATGTCTTCTTGTCTGACGGTTGTTTCTGGTCGCTCTGCTTTCTTGGATGCTGTTTCAATCTGTCTGACCTCATGTTCATCGTTGACCTCTCCAGTCCCTCCCTCTGTGATGTAGAGGTCTGTGTAGATCTGGTTCAGAAGGGTTGGGTTTCCTGCTTCAGCAATTCCCTCAAACATACACTGGAACTTCTCCTTCGGGCTGGACTTGAGTTTGTGTTGGCACTCTGCAGCAGCAGATCCTGAATGAACAAAAAGAAATGTGATGAATAATCTAACGCTACAATCAGTCTGATGAATTTACACTTGAAGACATCAGGATGGCTTTGACTTCCCTCCTCTCTGAAATCTCTTCAGCTCATCAGCTGTGATCAGTTTCTCTCAGTTCATAGTTGTTATATAAATGTGTGCATCACATGAACAGCAGAGTCTGTACTGCAAACCTCTCCCATTTCTTCTTTCCATTATGCTAAATCTCTTCAAATTCTCTTACTGCTCTGCAGACAGTCAGCCAGCCCCTCCTGCTTTATTCTCCTCAGGAAGTTCACATTGATCTTCAGAAATGCCTCTCTGCTCCTCCTCTGCTCTTCATCCTCATCCTCCCTTGGACTCTCTAAGCATGCTGACTCATCTGGACTCAGAACTCTCTGGATCTCCTTCAGCTGTTCCTTTACAAAGCTGATCATGTTCTCCTGGAGCAGCTGGAACAGAACAAAATGTGAACTTAAACTTTAGAACTGAACATCAGATCATCTGTTACAGACAGAAAGCCTGCTGGTCTGTAGAGTCCAGCATGGAGACTGGATCACAATGCTGCTTGAGGGTTGACTTTGTGGATGGTCCTGTCTACTACAAATCCAGTTTCAATTACCTGAACTTCATGTTGGAGAAATCTCCCGGTGTGGTTTCATGGAGAAAAAGTCTGTAGTGACTTTAGAGGTGATGTGTTTATTAGAATGAAGCTGAAAGCAGCAGCTGTCAGTAGCTGTGTTTACATGGGCACAAATATTTGGAATAAATGTCTGATTGGAAGATTCTGATCCGGTTCTGATCAATCAGAAAGAAATTGTATTCAGGTGGAGAGGGGTGGTTTATGCCGATTGTTATTCCAAGACTCTAAACACTTATTCTGATCGTGACTCTTTACCTGGCTTGGTCTTCACTCTTTATGTACTGAAGCCAGTTCAGGAGGTTTCATTATTAACATTCTGGCATAAAACACAACCACAGGTGAAGTGTCTGCTCCTCCAATAATATAAAAAGGCGTACATACAGCGTAATAATAATAATAATAATACATTTTATTTGTAAAGCGCTTTTCAAAGACACAAAGACGCTGTACAGAGTAAGCAGTAAAAACACACATCAATAAGTAAGAAAATTTACGGCAATATAATAAAAACATGTAATCAGGTAAAATCAAATAACAATAAAACACACATAAATGAGTAATAAAATTTACGACAATGTCAATAAAAACGTAGAATCAGGTAAAATCTAATGGGGGGGGGGGGGTTAGGAGGGATGAAAGGCAGTGCGGAAGAGGTGGGTTTTGAGAAGGGTTTTGAATCTGGTGAG